TATATAAAGAAATATATAAATAAAGATAGAATTATAGAATTAATTCTTTAAAAAGGAAATATAGTCTACCTGCTGTAATACTTATAAGGCTATAAATTACTAAATATTAAAATAAATAAGCTAAGTAATAAACTTAATATTAAAAAAATAAAACCTTATAAAATTTTAAAATAAATTAAAGAAATTAACTATAAGCTAGCTTTATTAAATATAATAAAAATTTAAAATCTAGTTTTTTATATATTATAATTTAAAAAAGCATAAATTAATAAAAAAACTAAAAGACTTATTTTAAATAAAATTATTATAAAAAATTAAAAAGAAGAATATAAAATTAAAAATATTATTGCTGTATACTAAAACCCTAAAACCTAGAATATTAAATATTTTATTAAATAAAAGAGATACTTAAAATTTAAAAATTTATAAGAATTTATTAAATATTTTAATTTTTAAGCGCTAATAAAGAAATTCCTTTAAACACTAGGCCTAAATTAATAAATACTATATTTTAATTAATTACATTAATGCTGCTGCTAAGTTAAATATTTACTATAGCCTTTAACTTAATATACTTAGCCTTATTTAATTTATTTAAACTCTTTAAACTATAATTTATTATTTTAATACCTTATAATACTAAAGATTTTTATTAAAAATAAATATAAAATAAATAAAATAAAGCTTTAGTAGCTTTTTATTAATATTTAATAAACTACTCTTTAGCTTTCTTTTTTTATAATTACAATCTCTTAAACTTAAAAGTAATATAATTTATTATAAATAATTAATAAAATTATATTTATTTTAAAAGAAAAATAATTTACAAGCACTTAAAGAAACACCTATTTTATTATAAAAATAACTATAATATATATACTCTTTATAATATATTATATTATTTATTATTTTATATTAATTACCTATACTATATTTTTTATAAAAAGAATAAGCTATTATAAAGAATTTTAATTTTTTTATAATAACAGCTAGGGAAAGGCATTTATATATTTTTTAAAAAACTAGTTTAAAAATATAATTAGGTATTATAAGAATTACAGAAAGTTTAAAAAAAGGACTTACTTAAGCAATTAATATAAAAAGGGCTTTTTTATAAGCCTTAAGGATAAAACTAATAGAAAGGGGGCATTATATTATAACCTAAACCCTATATCTATATATTAATAGCCTAAAGGTATATACTTAAGAATTAACTAAAGACTAATAAACTAATTAAAGGAAGATTATAGTTTATAGGCTTCTTTATTAGATTACTTCCGTAAGCTATTATAAGCCTATGCATTATAATTTAACTATAATTTAAACAGAATAACTTACTATATAAGACTATTTATTATACTTATTAAATATAGCTTAAATAATTAGTTATTAATATAGCATTTATATAATAACTAGATTAAACTCCTATCTAAAGTTATTAGCTATATAACTAAGACTGCTTATAAGATCCTTTGCATCTCTCTGCCAACATAAACCCGACGTTAAAGGTTTATCCCTTGGGAACTAGTTACTCTATACTAGGTATAGGATCAGAACGTCACACCTACGAATAGTGGAAACATACCTAAATCTAAGCGCGCTATGGTGAGGCATTTCTCTCATGTTCATGGCCCTAAAACGGCTTCGGGAAAAGGATATACTGTACCGCTCAAATATATATAACAGCTCTTTGGAGGAGCCGATGATGATACCCCGTGGAGGCTCACCCTCTGCTCTCTAGCCCCACATTCGATACACGATGGTGTCGTTTTTCTCTCTTCTTGCACTGTGGTTCAGAAGAACTCATGATAGCATGCAGATTCACAATTATTTGCAGTCAAGTATCTAGTGTGCAGCAAGTGTTAGAATAAGTAAATCAGATACCACTTCGGAGAGTAACTAATAGGGTCTGTAGATGTAAATTTTTCGGTGTCAATCGTTGAGTTCGTTATCAAGGCTAAGGCATGCTAAATAGTGTTCAAAAGTTGATTATTATTACATTGAAACTTGATTATTGTCGAAAAGTATTAGATTTCAAAGGGTATGCGACGTACGATATCAGGAGGTTACCACCAATCTGCTATGGCTGTGAAATGCGTGTTGATACATGGATAGGATTGCAATACTTTCTCGATTATCATTATTATTTTAGCTTATACGCCCTATAGAATGATTGCAAAGATAAGTCTATTTGTTTAAACTTGCAGAATGGTGGATAGCATTAGAAATAGTGAAGATATTAACAAATGCGATATATAATATTATGAGGATGTAATGAAACATGCGAGAGGACATAATACTATCATTATATATGCTCATCTACCACTTGTATAACGCTTATCAGACAACTCTCATACTATTGGGAGCAAACACGGTACATGAGACATAGTTCCAAGGGCCATACTTATTCAATCTTAGAAGAATCATACACGGTTAAACAATAGATTCTCCAGTAGTCTCAAGATCTGTTGTGTAAAATTGCTTAACAGCAAATTATTATATCGTATCTTCGCCCCAAATAACAGCAAAACGTAACTATTCGCACTATCATCAATGTCTATATACCATAATTAAGCAGCACGCGGTATCTATATGCATAAAAAGTATTTAATGTTGAATATATACTCTCATAGCGATTTAGCGCCTACAAGAAAAGGGGCGGTTCGTGCTTCCGTCATTTGTTTCTCGAATCTACAACGATGTTAGCAAATCTACAAGATGTGAAAATTTATATATCTTGTACTTACGATATCGGCAATAGTGGCATAAGTACCAGCAACTAAAGCCACTACTCCAATAATAAAGGCCAGTATACTTCCAAAAGAAATGAGAATATTCTTTCCTGAAAACCAATCGCCCTTCTTGCAAAGCAAGCAGAACCACATGATGGCGGGAATCCAATAAGAAAATCCGGTTACAAACAATGCGGAAACGAGGGAAAGAAGATCGGAGAAGATGGGAATCGCCTCAGCAATAACCCAGGCAATAATGGTAAAGATTGCAGCCTGCACAATCCAGACGGCCCAGCCCCTGGGGGTATTGACATATTGAATAATGGATTTCTTCCACAAACGGCCATGTATATAGCGAAGTGCCACTGTCGAATTGATAGATCCAGAGATAAAGATGACAGGTATAGCGATGCCGAAAGTGATCTTGGATATGAGTTCACCAGAAGACAACAAAGCGGGAGCCTGAATTGACGGGCCAATAAACGCATAGCAAAGCGCTCCAGTCAAAGTATAGATAGTAATCTGAGCGATACCTGAAGCCCAGATAGACTTCATGTAGTCTGTTGGAGTGTGCATCTCGTCCATGAAAGAAAATTGGCCAATCGCAAAGCTGAAAGCAAAAATGATATTGCTTACTGCCACAAACGCCTCAGAGAAAGTGGTCCCCTCCTGAGGCCAAGTTGACCACTCCACGCCAGAAAGGCCGCCGGGAGCATTTCGAGCCTTGACGCCTGTAGCGATGATGGTAATTCCAATGGCAATGATGATTGATGCAAAGTCGATGTAACCGAGCACAGCTATCTCAGTAAATGAAGGTGGTATGGCCAGAATGAATAGGATGACCGCTGACACAGCAGAAAACACTATGGAGCAGACGTGATTTCCGTTAAGGGTGCCGAGAGCAATGCTTCCAGTCAGGGCGTGAGAGCCCACTGACATGACAAGCTCGAGAACCATGGCAGCGCCAAATAGTTCATACCCAAACCGTCCGAACAAAAGTCTTCCGGCGTCGGCATAGTGTGAGACCTGTGGATAGGCTAACTTGACTTGTCCCACCAGGTAACTTGTGAAAATTGTGATCAATCCAAGTGTGATGGTTAGGAATACTCCAGGGAACATGCCGAGGGTATGATAGGCTGCTGGTAGACTGAGAGCTCCCAGGGCAATGGCCTCGACGATGGTGACGATAGCCAAGCGTTTCCATCCCAGGCGATGGAAGTGTGCGTTGCCATCCGCAGCAATCTGCTTCAGTCGACTGTTTTGCAGCTCATCGCTTGTTTCTCCAAAGATTTCATTATCGGATCCAGAATTTGGTCCAATTTGCTGATTTGCGAATTTGGAGGCCTCGTGTTTTGAAGAATCTGGGGTGCGGGCCTCAAATTCTACATCATTTGTAATGGCAGCCATGGTGAAGATCGAAAGAGCCTCCGCTACTACTCCAATAATAACAGTGTCTGGGGAAAGGAAGAAGGGAAAGGCAACTCCACGCTTAAGGGAAAAGAGAAGGGCGGGCCAGCCAGGAGGGAGAGACTTTTAAGAAAACAGGTTCGGTGTGTGGAAAGACTAACGGTAAGTTCTTCAGCCGAGACCCATCCATATGCCGAAACGCCGCTGGATTTGAGTGGATGTTCATAATCAGCTACGTAGATATGAATCCCCCCTGTCTCTGTTTACGATTATACTCCGTACTCTCTCCACGAATACATGCTGGTCGACTCTGGCTGCTTTCCCCCGCAATGCAGGATGTATTGAGTCTGATACTAAGTCTATCCACAGTATCCTGGATATACTGGGGAAATTCTACAGAAGCAGATTTAGATGCCATCGTGAGTGGTACTGGCCCAATTGAGACGAAGTACACTGTCAACGTGGATGATCAGCCCTGCTACAGCGGCAAAAAAAAAAAATTCTAGAAGTTTTCGAGTCATGTTCTATAAACGTAAAATTTTCCTAGTTTGGTGGAGCACGCCTCTTATGGCACAAACATCCAGTGCCGTGTGTGGGACGATTTGTGGATGCCGGTATGACAGAGATCCATTATCATGACAGTCGGTACGAGTAAAGTGGAAATGAGAAGATTAAGCGTTCTCTACAATACTCCATTTCAGTTATGGCCGTTGAAAACTGCTGCGCGTGCAAAAAAAATCTGCTCGCACGGAGTCCCTTGAACGAGCGTTCGATCGAGGCTTTCCAATGTTGCTGGGCTAGTCTACGTTACTATGTACATCCCCCAATCCACAGAATAGCAGCTTGCATCGTCAAATCTACGGTGTAATAGTAGTACTTCGTGCTCTTCACAGGGCGCGTACTGCATTATGATTAATATACAATTCGTAAATGTTTTGGACGGCTGGAAAGACATGTCCGCGCCCTAAGTGAGACGATCATCTATACGTATCGTACTCCGTATTAGGTATTGAAAAGGTATGGGGCGTTCAAGGCGCCCAGCTAAGATAAGCGTAGACGAAGATCATCATTGGCCCAGCGCGAGAAAAGAGCGCGTGTGGGAACATTTAGAACATTTAGAACCATCAATGCCGAAGCTAAGGCGTGTCTAAGGCGTGCACGGGCCGGAGCGAGAGAAATTGTGCGTGGCTTATCCCGGAAGTAAGCGACGAAGGGCCTGCGCCTCCTGCTTTCTCTTCTCAACAAAACACAGGCAAAGCTGCCATATACATGTGGGAAGACTGTGTGAGGTGCACTGCTGCTTTGTTGGACAATCGTCGATAGCCGAGAGCCACCTTTCCACTCTTTTCGGCCTCTTCAAGCCAGGCGTTTCGAGGAATGAGTCTCTGGACTTGTTTAAGAATTGGAGAATACATACATGAAATACCTACGTATACCTACCTATATAGGTACATGTAAGTAGGTCGCACTGGGTCTACGCTAGTAAAAGGCGTATGAATCGCGGACTGCAGCAAAAATTGACTGCGCAAATCTCGGCCCAGACAAGTTTGATAACTCGCAATGCGGAGATGAAACAGATTACAGGAACCTATCAAGTAATAATAAGAGTTAGTACTTATATTTAATACAAGTATAATGTAGGTAATACATTCGATATGTTTGGCTCTAATCTGATGTACGCTATTGCTGAGTCAAATATAGAGTACTTCCTACCATATCAATATCACGGGCCCGTTAGCAGAGCATGATTGCAACAATGGAATGGAGATGTACTTGGTGTACGCACCACGTCTTAAGCAATCAAGAAATTCGCGCCGTAATAAAATAAGAAGCAGATGCGATATGTGTATCCTGTGCAACTTGGAGTATAGCCCAGTAATGAGAGTCTAGAGTCTGACGTCATGACCATTCAGTTTTCAACATAGGGTCATCGCTCATAGTATACATATTCGTTATAGAGCACACTCAGTGGGTGCTATAGCAAATAATATCCCACTGCTACTGCTATTCTTTAGCAGCCTAATATATAAAGTATGGATTTAGCTCAACGGGCGGTTAATACCCCCAGTTGTATGACGAAGCAGCTCCCCACAGTTCGTCTCTTGATCTCGGTAATGATAAATCTTATTCGCTAGCGGGCAGGGTTTCGAGGCTTTGACATCTATGTGCCGCCATACGATATAGATTTCATCTCATTCAGTCTCTTGAGCACAGCCAGGTAAATAATCTATCGCCGAGCATAGTACTTTGACTAGAAATACTCTAGCAATGTGAGGCACAAAGACCTCAATAGGGATAACAGTGGCCAATATTTTCAACCGTGATATTCTCATCGGCTATGGGAGCGATCTTCCTTTCCAGCCATATATTGCATCCTGCATCATTCCACGCTTTGCATTCCAAGCCAAACAACTCTATTCTATAATCGGGATATCATAATACTATGTACAGCTTGCGCGTCGCTTCTATATACAAAACTTAAAACGACGCGCTAGTAAATTCATTAACCAAAAATATTTTTATACGCCAGCGCCTGCATCTATAAGGGCCACACGACATTTCAGCGTGCAAGGGTTGGCTAATCCTTTGATACATTACAGCTTTTGGGATCGGTATCGCATGTGCATGTTGATTTTGCATAAACCCAGCCAGTGAGTCGGCTAAAGCTTCTGTTAGCCACAACGGACTACAAGCATCCCAGAGCGAAAATATAAACGTACTTGGCAATATCACTGGCGTAGCAGTGAGTAGCAATATTACTTTGCAGGTCACCGGTCTTCGAGATGGAACCAGAATTGTAGATGCGAGCAGCACGGTAGTAATCGGAAACATCGCCTCTGCCTGATTCGTTGATGCAATGAGCCAAACCAGCTCCGGAGGATGTACCAGCAGTGCCTTCCATGATCATTTTATGGATCGTTGGTGTCGGGCAAGGTGTCGTGAGTTTTTTGTTGTCGTTGCACGAGGCATCCCCGTTGTGGTTCTGCATGAGGCCGGGATTGCGAACGCCCAGGTTGGTGGTGTTGACTCGCGGGCAACCATGCGATTCTTGCATTATCACAGCTAAGATAAGTCGATGGTCGACGCCAGTAGCATTAGCAGCCAGCTGAATACCGTTGTAAATAGCTTCCTGTATATCACCTCCATTAGTCGCAAAGTCATCAAACATTAGGTACTGATAACCAACGCACAATTTCGTCCGCATTATTGTTGGGGAGACGCCAGTTCAGGTTTTGGCAAGCCCACTGTATTTGGAGTTTGTAATTCTCGAACCTGATTTCCGTGAGCCTATGTTCCTGCTGCTTCAGCTCTCAACACTTACATGTTGCCAAATGAGATCCAAGAATCAATAGACGGCCACCCCGCAGCGGTTGTTCCGTTACCAAGGTAGAGCTTGTAAGTATCGGTTCCATTGCCCTGGCCGTCCCAAATGTTGTTGTTGTCGAATCGGGCAATACCCTTGGTGGTAACATTTCCTCCTGTTGAACGACTCTCGATCTGAACGCTGTCGGGAGCAGAAAGACCAGCCAAAGAAAGTAGAGATGAAGGCAGGGCCGTTACAAGGCCTGCGCAGGCGAGGAATGAAGCAGAAGAAAACTAAGAACCAGCTTAGTATGGCGTAATTTTTCTCGTTCTAGGGTCCGAAGATTTTACCTTCACCATTGTGAAACCCGGGAACAAAAACACGGGAATGGATAACTTTGATAGTCGTTTATAGAATCTCGATGTTTCCGCAGTTCTGGATGAACATGGAGCTTCATGCATGGGAAATCCACTAGATATATACGGAGTAGTGTAGACATGATTATATATTTATAGACGCAACATCGTGATCTAGCTGCGTCTCCGTCTTCCTCTTTCGGTCATATTATTTTGCACAAGCTAGGTCTGTCCTAGCCTAGTCGTGCTCGTTGAAGCACCACTCGTACTATCAATAGTTCGTCGTTGTCAGGGATCAGAATCCGTCAGATACCTACCTACACCAAGGCACCCTGCACTCTTGGCATTAGAGAGGCTCAAGACCGCTTATGGCCAGGGTACCTGATAGGCCAAATCTAAGCGCTAGACCAAATTTTCGGGCTTACTCGTACTTTGTGGGAATTTCTTCGTGTTTGCTTCAAGCCTAATAGAGCACCAGCCCTTTACGGAGCCGCAATTCCCCCTTTTTTCAAGGCTTTAATCTTTTCGCAGATTTTTCTATACGAACTGGAGAAAAACCGCAACTAAGTAGGTATTTGTGTTTTATGTGTGCAAACACCGGCTGGGACCATAAGGCATCTCAGCGACTGGTATGAAAACCATTGTGTTGAGCAGGTGAATCACAGTTGCTGCATCTAACAGCAGACTATAATAGTGCTGAGATTACTCAACATTTCAAATCATGCAGTACTTCATGCCGGTACTGCTTCTTGTATATGCGTTAATGCCTGAAAGTCGCATCTGGAAATATTTCGGATCACTCTTAGTGCCAGAAATTGTTATAGAAATATGACAAATCCCACGCTTTTTGCTCGGCGCCGCGCTCTTGGCCTCCACCCTTTGCTGCGAAGTATACCCGATTGCGCGATTCCTCGGTCGCTGGCTTACCCGTGTTTGAAGCTCATTTCAACCGGAGCCGGCCATCAGCCGCAGGTGTGACTCTTGATGCATCAACCGGCGGTGAGCCACGCCCATTCCTGGCGTGAGGCTGAGCGTCGTTGAGGTAAACAAGCAGCCACGCAGATGGGGACAGGAAAACTTTCAAAAATATTCTACACACACACACACACATATGTAGGTATACTTTAGGGCTGTTCGCGTATTCTCAGTTGCGATCCCTGCAAGTTCGCCCGGCGCAGCTGTGTTCCTGACGATCGGCCAGTGGCTGATGCTAGCACCAATAGTACTAAGTAGATACGTGTGAACTTGGGGGCTAATATTAGCAATTCGCAAGTGTTCATAAAGCGCGGCTAACGAGCCATCTCAGACCCTTCAACGCCCTCGCAAGACTTGGAGAGCTCCGTTTTCTCCCCAGCTTGACGCAAATCCGCATCACCGGGAGATACCTTGCCAAGATGCTTCGTACTTAGGAGACCATAAGAAATACGAGTAGGTATAATCGTGATTACGGGGCGGCGAGGGTAGCCTCTCCTTTTCAGTCTCGTACTTTGCTTGGCGTTTTATTACCCAGCGGGCTCCTGAAAAAGCACCCTTTGTCATTGCATAACGCACTCAGCGCGCTGCTACACGTGCCAGTGCCTAAAGCGACGTGACTACTCGTGGGTGCCGAGGGCCGCAGGCTTAGCTCTTTGGTGGCTGGTCAGCAATATGGAAACAGCAAAGCCACGATGCTGTTAGCGTCGGGCAGGATTTTTCTCCTCGAGTATGGTGTAGGCTAGGCTGTTACAGGACCGGAAACCACAATTTTGGGCAATTTAACGTGGCACCAACGAGCAGTGAGAACGCTAATAAGCGTCGGATCATGCGCTGGCTTATTGCTTATTGGCACCTGTCAAGTTTGGGATCCCAGTGAGCAGCTCAGTAGCCAATCGTTGCACTACCGGTCCAATGGCGAGATGAATTTGCAGAGGATTCTCAAAGGATTCCCTTGTCGAGTTCAGATCCATCTTATCGATGTGCACCAAACTTACTTAAAGGCAGGCCGAATTCATCTTGGCGTTGAATCTACCTGTGAAACTTCTCACGAGATAATTGAAGCTGCCGGGTATTGGGAATATCACGAATTCGCCTACCGCTTTTTTCTTCTTTTTCTTTTTCTCTAACATCATATTTGTTTTTTTTTTTTTGGCCGGGGCTCCCCCGGTAGATTCATACAGTATACCTAGGTAGGTATATGTGAATGAATATTTCTCCCATCTACCAGCAGAGCTTATACATCCATTTCTCGATTTATGATCCGACTCAAACGTGGCTTTGGCCAACTTCGTCATGTCTGAAGATAGAAAAGAGGTAAATATAGAATCTATATGCGTTGGTTTTAATATGTCTCAAAGTGACTAGTACCATTACTCAGTTACTATTTTTGGTTACTTCTCCGGACATGCAGACAGAACTATGCTACGATGCTTATTGGCGCAATTTTCACATTCATGGGCTGGAGCTGGCGAAAGGGTCTAGACACCACGGCAGCTACCAATCGTGAGGACCTACGGAGTAGCAGCTACAGACTGTTTCAATAAATCGTGCCTCAGCAGCTTCGTATTACTCCCCCCCCCCCCCCCCCCCCCCGGCGGAGTGGGCCCAGGGAAAGGGAAGGGAATTACCGACAAAAAGCTCCATGCTAGCAAAGGCAGACGTTTACTCGAATGGCATGGACGGTTAAAATCTCATCCATGCTCACTGGTATTCGCTTATGCCAAGGTAAGTGCCGCGGTTCGCTGATTGTTTAATGCGACCGTACGCAGTGTGTGGCACGTCCACTAGGACTCGAAATACATAATGTCTGTCAAATGACACCACTTCTCACATCCACGGAATAAATGTAGAATTTATCCAACGGTCGGAGTAGTTCCTGGACTGGTATCTAATAATTCAACTAAGTCTAAATGCTGTTAACATATTCTGAGAGGATTGCCAGAGCTGATAGTAGCCACTGGTCAATCCGTCTGGCCTGATTTACAGGGTAGGGGGAAAGGTCTACTCGATCTCCGCTAGCTTATACCTTGATCATGCGATTCACTGTGGTTAACCACTAGACGAGACCTAACTAAGCTTCAATAAATTCCATAGAAGTCCGCTTATGGCCTCGACTTGCCCATCGAATCTATTAACATGTACCATTACATCTATTTCGAGAGTGATACTGACAATCGCCATTTACGGCGGAAAGCCCTTCAAGTGAATGTTTAGGAAGACGTAGCACATTTTAGAGGAAGATACACTGTATTTGGGACAGGAACAATGGGTAAAGAACTATCTCTTGATCATTAACATATACAAACGTAGGAGCATTGTCAGCCCACAGGCATATATGACATAGTCTGGCCCATTGCGCTCATAGGCTGCATACCCCCCCCCCCCCCCCCTTCCCCCTGTACCTAAATCTGCGTCGAGCACCCTGAGTTCTCCCTTTATGTATACTATTCACTTTATCTCAATTCATTGCTATATTTTACATGAAAACTTTTGCTTTTAGCTTTACGTAAACTCTATACACATCTTGAGTTTGCTGTCTACTGGAAGACTTGCACTAACGACCTTGGCCCATTTCAAAAAGTAGGCTTCGCGCTTTTGCGTCGAACCCTTCTCCATTTCATGCCGAAGTTTTCATAGTTGCCTCCGCTTAGCTCAACGAAATCAAAGCCTTCCCGTTCAAGACCACCACAGACTTCTTCAGCTTCCTTTGGAGTGACTCCTGCGCCTTCAAATTCCACGCTGTTAAGTTTTGCTCCAACAACAAAGCTGGGTGACACGCGTTTTCTGATAGCTCTTGCGATATCCGTAATGAAGCGCAAACGGTTCTCCACTGTTTGAGTTCCGTATTCATCGGTACGCTTATTGGTCCGTGGCGATAGAAATTGTGCGATTATATAGCCATGGGCACCGTGGAGCTCAATGCCATCAAAGCCAGCCTTGTCTAAATATTTGGCGGCATACGCAAAGCCCTCAACGATTTCGTCTATCTCTGCCTTACTAGCAGCATGTGGTTTACTAAAAGTCATACCCATCTTTGGTTCTGATTCACAGTTAGCATTGCTGTGCAACTTTTCCATCATAAAGTTCTCTTATCCAGCTGTGCATCAGATGCCGATATCGCCTCTGGATTCAAGCGGGCTTGGACCTGCTTGCCTGGATGGCTTAATTGTCCAATAATCAAGCTTCCATGGGCTTTGGTTGCTTTCGCAAGCTCCTGGAATTTCTCAAAGCGAGGACTACTCATTGGGCAGTCGGTGGCAATGATCATATTTCCCAAATCATCCAATGAGTCAAAGGAGATATCCATATTACTGGTAAGAATCATGCCCCATCCACCTTCTCCCCAGCTGCATTTATCTCATATCAGTCATCATATCACATTGTTCTTCAGAATCTTCCATATCATTCCGGCGATATAGTTCAATAGACTCATCTGTTGGTACGCCCCGCAGGTGAGGTACTTTTGGTCCCACGTAGCCAAAGATTCGGCCATAGAGCCCTTCATGAATCGATTTAATACTCTATGACCAGAGGGGTAGTGATTAGGCGGGCGACCCAGTGGTAAAGGGTTAACAAGCTTTGTTCCATAGCGCTCGTGAGGCACGATGAATAAATGTATGGCTATTAGTGTTCTTTGATGATTAATGTGTGGGCGTTTATGTTCTTTAATGCTGTGATCGATATGCTTCTTGTATGCGTGCCTCCATGTCATTCCAATTATTGAGACTTGCCATACTCTTTATATTGAATTCGTGAATGATTTAAATAATGGCCACAGAGGCTCTGTCTCTCAGCGAGCATGCATGCTCCATCGTACAGATCGGACTAAATGTACATGGAAAATTGTTTCGCAGACGATAAATCTGCGGCAGAGCACGGCGATTCAGTACTTCAGATCACCCGAGATGTAGTGTAGGTGTCGTCTTCCTATTGGGGTATGCGGTACAAGTGCTCGTAAGTTCTGTTCCAAATGTCTCCGAGAGCGAAAGATTTGCTTAAGAACACCATTTCTTGTTCGTCTCAAGGAGGAGCAAACAAATTCACGCATCAAATGGATATTTCCTCCCCCACTGCGATTACAAATGCCCTATCATTAGGCGCTGTACCTGCTTCTTATGCATGAGTAAGTACGGAATCGAATGTCTCAGTACTGCACAATGTTCTAGTGTCTCGCGACTTAGTGGTGAGATTAATGATCGTGGATTGTGGATTGCGGTTATAAATCCCGCCTTCCTAGCGCTCGTTAACCGAGATGCCGATCTGAGTCTTAAATGTCTACTGTAGGCGAATTCTCAGATATTGTGGCAGTCCTTACTAGTTGAACACTCCTAATTAAGAGAGAATTTAGAGAGAATTTTGTAAGGAAATGGGCAATCCTATCAAAGTATTGGTTAAATTACGGGCAGCTGGCCATGCGAATAAGCCTGCTTTGCATTTCGTATCGCGTGGAACGATAGCTACGGTCATGGAATTCATGTTGGAGCACGACTTGTTTGTAGGCGGGCACAATACGAAATATTATCTCATTGTTTGGATAAAGATCTAACGGCAGGTAGGTAAAAGGACTGCAGCATATCGTAAATTACAAATGCTTCCTCTATGTAGTGTTGAACTAGACACAACGAGATCAGTATTGCTATATCCGTGGCCCTATTGGATATTTGGCTCCACGAATACTAGCTATGTCAAGACTATTTGATAAGGCATAGAAAATACTTTTTTCCAACGTTCTAAAGTGTTGTACGTTACAAAGCAACCTTAGTCACAGCACAGAGCACAGAAGAGATAAAGGCGGGACTTGCTTGAGGTAATTCCTATGCTTGCTCTAATGTAGTGGTAATAAAATTGTCGAATTAGCCAGCTCAAGTAAAAGGTCATCTAGACAAATCACTCTGCAAAATGAAGGCATCCATCACATAGTGTGGTTAAATGGAATTTATAATACAATATAATACAAAGTGGTTTATGATAAAGTGCCGCCTCTGGTTAAACTTAAACGGAGACACCTTTTATATTCCTACGTCATTAACCCCAGCCACATACGGAGGATAAAGTGATTCGCTTCTGTCATTGCATCTGAGACTAACGCTTGGTCAGCCCATCCTTAGAGTTAGCACAGTTTAAGCAGACTAGCCGCTTTAGGAAATTCTTGCACAAAGAAAATTTACTTATGGAAACTATTACCAGCAGGACTCAAGTACGTAGGTATAAAATTCGCGTACCCCGTACTGAGAGTAAAGTCCTCCTTTGGACTATGAGGCAACAGTGTTGTAAATTATTACTGCGTGTATTCCGCCAGATTTTGTAGCTAGAGTTTTCACTTTATACTTAAGCAATTTCACTCATCATCGCATTCAAACTATCATGGTACCTTCCGTCATGTTCTCTTCTCTTTTTTATCACTAGATTTCATTTACTAGCAACGTGTCTACATGTAGGCCTTTGCTTTCAGTGTCAAACTTCCTGTTGTTGGTGGGCAATTTTCTCATTTGAAGGATTACGAGATGGCCTGGAATATTTAATAAGACTATACTACACTCAATATGACATATATGCTAAGATGATAATAGGTTGCGCAGAAACATGTCGGCAAAGTCGTCGTTAAGATTGTATAGAAAGTGTTCTTCGGGATCCTATTGTGAATTATCGAAGTACTATCTTAAACTTCTATAGAGATGATAATTGCTGAGAATATCCTGTCATGTACTTCATACCTGAATCACACATTATTGTGACGACAGTAGATCCTGGTTTTAGGTTTTCTGCCACACGTAGCGCAGCAGTCACATTTGCTCCAGTCGAAAGACCACAAAACAAGCCTTCTTCACGTGCTAGACGAAAGGCCATTGCTCTTGCGTCAGCAGTTGAAACTCCTTGAAACTCATCCGCAATTCCTTCTTTCCATAATGGCACAACATATCCAGCCCCTATACCATCAATATTGTGTGATCCCGACATGCCACCTGCTAGAACAGCCGACTCAGCGGGCTCGACTGCAACAAAGCGGATTTTGCTGTCAAGCTGGCGTAAGCGCTCTGATGTGCCCCGAAGACAAGCTCCTGATCCAACACTCTGCACGAAAGCGTCAATTTGTCCCCCTGTCTGCTCATATATCTCGTCGGCTAGCTTTGTATAAGCAGAAAGCTGATCCTCATTATCCATCTGAGCCGTGATAAAAGCTCCTGTTTTTTCAGCTATAGCATGAGCCTCCCAAATCATGTCTTTGGTCAGCTTTTTGGTTTGTTTTCCATTATCACTTGGTATAACCGTCAAGGTAGCGCCAAGAAGTCTCATATGGTTCAACTTTTCTTTGGAAAAAGCATCTGATGTCACTATATGAAGCGGATATTGCTTCACGGCGCATATCAACGCCAGTGACACACCAGTGCTACCTCCAGTATACTCAACAACGGAGCCACCCGGTTTCAGACGGCCATCATTTTCGGCAGCCATAATCATTGCAAGAGCCATGCGGTCTTTCATACTGGCTGTTGGGTTGCTGCTTTCAACTTTTAGGAGAATGCGAACTCCATTTGTAGGAACCACGTTACGAAGCTGTAAGATGGATGTATTCCCAATAGTTTCAAGTATGTTGGATTTGATTGAAACCATTTTGTGCTCTGTTACCGACGAGCCTGAGAGATATTAATCTTGTTTAAATTGAAGTTATCAAGATGTAGTATCTGGAAGGAGCTTGTGTGGTGTATTGAGTACAATTACTTGATAGTAGGATCAACAGGAAAAGTTAAGAAAGTCCTCAAGTTGCCAAACGCCTAATATATACCAAATTCTACTCCTCTGAATGCTGAAAGACTAGAACGGATTATAGCAGAGAGCACTAACAGGGGTACTATTGTCTATAACAGGCATAGGGCAGCGAGTTAAACAAAGACTAAGGGTGCTGTTGGCTTGAACTGTCTCAAGGATAGCGTTAGCCTGGAGCCAGCGAAGATATTTAGAGAAGGTGAGAAAAAGGCTGCACTTTTACTACGAAGCTATGTAGAAATAGAGTATCAACATGAACCTACATCATTATAATTACTAAACATTTTTGAACATTTCAGAGCAGCATGAGGTGGAAATAGAAGACACTCAAGGTGCCTAATGTTTAATAATCGAGTTTCTTTCTACACAGTGCTCAAAAGAGCTGGAGAATTCACTGTTAAGACTTGCTTCAATCGCCAAGTTTTCTGCATTACATTATATATTAACTTGTGTCTATTACTAAACACAAACGTATGCTAACACTAAGGTCCGAGCTACAATGGATTATGTATAATGAGTTATCCTCTGTTGAGTTGATATCGAGCCATCAGGTCTCGGTTGATCGTTATTTCATTACTAATCCAATATGACAGCCACAGTGGCTATGAGTCCAACTGTAGCAGCGTCTCGCCTCATCTCTTGTAACGACTCAAGACTCACCAATTACGTGAAAATGGTGGCTTTTTGGATCTCTGCCTTTGCTTTTTGTAATATGCCCGTTATTTTCTTTCGAAAATAGTCAGCAAATAGTTATTCCGGTGTTCAAGCGTCGGCCGGCTAAGATGGCCTGGTACGGGGAAACCTGATATCGTGTAGCAAGACTCGGGTAAACCGAATTCGATAATAGCCGAAGGTACTTCAGTGCTATCACGGAAGCAAAAGATGCAATAAACGTACTGCTGAGCGTGTCTTAATCCCTCAAGCGTCTGATAGTCTTAGCGCAATATATAATGCTTCCCCCGCTGTTATCCGCATCAAATATTGCGTTCACTGTCAATTCCCAAGTGAAAAGGCATACATATTCTCTACGACAGATAACTAAGTATCCCATTTTGATTTTCTAAATGACTGGTATTGCAATTTTAGGAGCTGGCATTTTTGCCACTGAAGGTAACACTTTCCATGTAGTAGCTAGCAGAGCTTAGATGTGTGCGCGATGCTGACTCTGTCACCAGCTCACCTACCAGGACTCGTGGCAAATAAGGCGACAATCAAGGCGGTATATTCTCGCTCTACATCTACCGCGTCCACACTGGTTGCGGAAGCAACTAAGCTTGGAGTCGCCAATATTGACTTGTATGCGGAAGACAAACCTGAACATACGCTAGACGATCTTCTTAAGCGCAGCGATGTTGATGCGGTGATTATTGTTTTGCCGATTCTTGTTCAACCATCTATTGTTAGGCAATGTTTAGCTGCTGGCAAACATGTGCTCTGTGAAAAGCCGATTGCAAAAGACGTAAAAACTGCTCGCGATCTGATTGAAGACTACAACAAGCTATACGCAGGTAAAGGACTAATTTTCAGCATTGCCGAGCAATTTCGATTTATGTGCGAGTTTGAGCTTGGTCGGAAATGGATTGTGGAAGAAAAGGCAGTCGGTGATATTACCCAAGCACATCTCAGAGTATGGCGCAACCAGCCGCCAATTGGTAAATGGTACGAAACGCCATGGAGAAAAGTGCCAGAGTACCAAGGCGGCTTTTTACTTGATGGTGGAGTGCATCAGACGGCTATGCTTCGATTTATTTCAGGCCAAGAAGTCGTCGAGACGCAGGGGTTTGCTCGCCAAGTCGAACCTCACCTTCCACCCCTTGATACGCTTAATGCAGGTATCCTTCTTAGTGGTGGAGGAACTGGTACTATTTCAATGTCGTTTGCTTCAATACGATCTGCTGCGGAGCTTACTATCATTGGCACCCAGGGGAGCTTCCACTTAACTGAAGGTCCTGACGGCTTTGTGCTGACTCTTGACCTTGTCTCCGGAGAGAGTAGATCTGAGGTGGTGAACAGCAAAGGCGTTGAACTTGAAATCAAAGCTTTTCTAGAAGCTATAAAAACCGGAAAGCCAGAGAAACGGTCAGGTCCAGAGGAAGCCTTGAATGATCTAGCTATTATCGAGAGCATGTGTAAGGGCGGCGGAAAGGTAGATTTATATTAAGTAGAAAGATGCTTCCTCTTCTTCTCGCATTCTCTTATAGAATTCCAAATTAGGTAATTCCCTAATTAAATAAAACGTCATAAATTATTTTTATGAATTGTTGCAAAATGCACGATCGGCTCTAGAGTGACATTGAATCGTTTTATCTCTCCGACTGACCCTTGCTGCATACCAAGCTTACCATTTCTGAGCTTCATGTTGCATCAGCTTCTGTACCTTACAATTACTTCCGTAAATAAAAGAGCTTGGATAGCTACGGGGGCCATAATAGCGTAAATGCGTGTCGATGACGACAGCTTCGATCGCAGACTCTGCCTCTTGTCTTTTCGCGTCATGGCACTGATGTGGGGGTTTATAGTGCGGAGAATTTAGTTAGGCAATCGGACTCGCTATACCTGCAGCCGAAGACTGGAGATAGCATGTGGCCTTTCGCAACGCACGAGTCAGTTGCCCCTTGCAGGCTAATATACGGCTGTTAAATTAGGCTAAAAGCAACTTTCGTATGTAACGGTTTGGATCGCCGAAAGGCTCTGAACTAGGCCGTAGCCAGTACATGTATCTGTCACACAGGATTATTCATGCCTATGATCCGACATCTTCTAAAAATCAGATGAGGGAAAATATTTCTGCGTTTCAAAAATATTAAATCGCCACTTAAAGCCGTAATCGCCTACCGTAGAGCCTAACATAGTTCTAACTCCATTCATAATGAATGCCATTTGGTCACTATTTGGATCGTAAGCCATATACGTGATACCTATAAACCACAGCATCATGCCTGCCTACATAGAAAGTGTATATTCCACTTGCTTATATCCATTCTACCTATAAACATTTTGTCTTGCTCCAAATTGTTTTCTTAGGCTTCCGATGTCGAAGACGTTGTACCAGTATTGCCCAGGCTATTCCTGGCTTGGCAGCCCTGCATGATGATTTTGAGGCCTATACTTTTCTTACGTGCCGGGGAATGTGGAGACTGGCAGCCCATTATGGCCTCCATTTCTCCGAGTATCTCGCAGATCTTGACTTCTTTTAAGAGACATCGTATGTACATATACTCCCGAAGCTGGTTCTTGATGCTAATACGTGCGCTTCTATGTCAGTGCCAGTCAAGTCTCCACCATTACATCTCTCGTTCGTTATCCATCCGTTACTTGAGAAATTATAAAGGCTTCATACCGTAGACATGTTGAACTTCTATTCAAAGCATACTAAATGGATAATCAGGAAACTTAAGGCAGTGGTAAAGGGCTCATTTTAATGGAAAAAATTGCAAGATGTATCGCATTTGGAACATCTACGGTAGGCATGATCCTTCAAGCTACTTCCCATCAGCTTTTAGGTATCCGATACCATCAAAGACCGTTACTGATATCGTTTTATCACAGTTCTTGCTGCCTTTGGCACCATTGGTGGTATGATCTTCGGCTTCGAGATCAGCTCCATGAGTGCATGGATTGGCTCTGATCAATATCTCGAGTACTTTAACCACCCAGGCTCATCCCAGCAAGGTGGCATTACTGCGTCTATGTCTGCTGGATCATTCGTCGGATCTCTTTTATCTGGGTGGCTTGCTGATCGCCTGGGTCGCCGATTAGCCATACAAATTGCCTCTGTGGACTGGATTATCGGTGCCGTGCTACAATGCTCTTCTCAAAATGTGGCTCACCTTGTAGTGGGCCGCATTGTCAGTGGGCTTGCAATTGGCGTAACTAGTTCTCAGTGTATTGTCTACCTTTCTGAGCTTGCTCCTTCTCGTATCCGCGGCCGAGTTGTTGGCATTCAACAGTGGTCCATTGACTGGGGTAAGAACTGGTTATTTATTTCTAATATGTCTTGTCGACAGAAAGTTGAAACAAAGGCTAGGTATTCTTATCATGTACCTCATTCCATATGGTTGCTCAGTCTCTATCCACAGACCGGCAGCATTCCGAATTGCATGGGGCCTGCAAGCCGTACCTGGAGCGATTTTATTTGTTTCTCTCTTCTTCTTCCCAGAATCCCCTAGGTGGCTCGCATCCAAGGATCGCTGGGAAGAATGCCACGAAATACTTGCTAATCTGCACGCTAAAGGAGATCGAGGCAATGTTGTGGTTCTCGCTGAGCTTGAGGAGGTCAGGGAAGCGGCAAGGATTGCTGCTGAGTCAAAAGAGATCGGTTACTTGGGCTTATTCGCTCCCAAGATGTGGAAGCGTACGCTAGTCGGAGTCAGCGCACAGGTTTGGCAGCAACTTCTCGGTGGTAACGTTATGCTCTATTATCTTGTTTACATCTTCAATATGGCTGGCATGGTGAGTGTTGTGCATAACACCGTATCACTCAAACCTGTTATTAACCAACGAGGAAGTCAGGGAATGCCGCTCTCACGTCTTCTATCATCCAATATGTCATTTTTCTCGTAACTACCGGAGGAGTTCTTTTTGTTATCGACCGTATGGGCCGCCGATGGCTGCTAATTGTTGGAGCAATAATCTGTGGTATCATACACTTCACTGTTGGTGCCGTAATGGCTGTTTATGGGCATCATGTGGATAACGTAGACGGTAAGCGCGGAGCTATTTCTCCCTCGTAACGAGTCTCACTAATTGACGACACAGGAATTGATATTCTCAAGTGGCAGATCAGTGGTCCACCCGCTAAAGCAGTTATTGCTCTTTGTTACATCTTTGTTGGAATTTGTAAGTTAAATTTACTGTCCATCTATTAGTGGGAATTACAGCTGACATGTTACATAGATGGTATGGGGAAGCGCTTGCTTACACCCACACATATCTCGTTGCATCTGCAGTTAGCTGATTCTTTATTTAGGAGTTACATGGGCTCCAGGAGCATGGATTTACTGCGGAGAAGTCTTCCCATTAAAGTACCGTGCCAAGGGTGTTGGCCTAGCTGCCGCAGGTAATTGGGCGTATGTGACCACCATTTGATGTCTATTTACAGTAAATTTGAGCAACATTTATACTAACATCCGTGGCAGTTTCAACTTGGCTTTGGCATTTTTTGTCCCTCCAGCGTTCACAAATATTCAGTGGAAGGCGTACATGATTTTCGGCACTTTCTGCATCACTATGGTGTTCCACGTTTACTTCATGTATCCCGAAACGGTAAAGAAGTCACTGGAAGAAATCGACGTGCTATTTGATGGGAATATTCCTGCATGGCGCAGTGCAAGCGCCGTGAGCACATTTGAAGAGAAAGTAGTTCGTGTGAAGGAGACGGGCGGGCTTGAGGAACTCAAGCAACAAGGCGACGTTGATCATGCAGAGAAAGTCTAATAAGCTCACGTCTATGAGAAATATGGAAACTATTCGGAACAAGTGTGGATTTCTGATGCAGGATGTGTGATTTACAGAATAGATAATTCATCGCTCCCATATTTTATAACAGTCGCCCGACACACAGCCATCTGATGTAAGACACTTATAACGTATACGCACACGATAGCTGTTTTTCAGTATGTCCAAGCCATTCATCAGCAATTAAATGGTGCCTAGTTATATAACGCAGCGATTTCTTTTTTATATAAATTGTTTCTAATCGGATAATGCTTTCTCTGCAGCACCTCTAGCGTGCAGTTCCAGAGTATTAAACATCGGAATATTTGGTCGATCTTTTTGTTCAATGAGCAATGGGATCTCTGTGCAACCTAGGATAACGCCTTGTGCTCCCCGAGAGACCAAGCTATCGACGATTTTTAGGTATCCCTGTCTAGATTCCTCAATAAATTGATATTTGGCCAGCTCGTTGAAAATCACATCGTCGACATATTTCTGTTCTTCTTCCGTTGGTACGATGACGTTTATTCCGAAGCGAGTTGAGAATTCGTTAGGCAGGTAAGTTGACGACATAGTAGCTTTGGTACCCAGCAAAGCGACAGTCTGTAAGTTTTTATCCAGGATTGACTGAGCTGTAGGATCGACAATGTGATAGAGGGGGATCTTGATATCCTTCATGAATGCTTCGGAAACCCGGTGCCATGTATTCGAAACACAAATGATGAAATCAGCTCCAGCTCTCTCTAAGCTGAGCGCTATTCCATGCAGGTACTCTCCTCCTTCCTCCCAAAGATCGTTTGTCACAAAATGAGTGCTGCGCTCAACATTCATTGAGTTAATAATGATTTCACCAGTGTGAAGCCCGCCCAACTTTGAGCGGATGTGGGCATTTATCAGCTTGTAGTATTCGACCGTGGCTAGGTCGGTGCTGCCGCCAATTATTCCGACTGTCTTCATGGTTACTCAAGTTATGTCGGAAATTAATAGTTCAGGATTAGGAATTGTGATTAATCTCAGTTTTATACGGTTTTTGCTGGAACTTGAATGAAGAACATGAAGGACAAATAAATAGTTTCGACCGGCGTCTGGTGGTAGCGGCTAGGGGCGGACAGCTTGATTGTGGGCATACTAAGTGGATCAACCGTCTCCACGTCTCCCAATGTCATGAAACGCCCTGTGAACCTGGAAGGGCGCACAGCTGGGGAAACTTGGTCAATCTTTCGCAGGCCAGTATCAGAGTCCACATGCAGTCTGTGGCATCTTTTCACTGGCAACATTGCGTGTAAAGCGTGTTATACTTGATGAATTACATGCAGAAACAGAATGACCCCTGCATCTACTATTACTTTCAAGTAGGCTCTTGTTGTACTTGGCGCAGCTCTTCTGGCACAGAGAGAGAGAGCACTAGCTTCACGTACTGTGCGCCTTTAGATAGAAGCCGAAGGACACCTGAACACAGCGTTTCTCGGACTAGATTTTGGTCTTACTGCTAGAAAATACGGGTCACAATTCAAACCACAAACTGCTCCGTCTAACAAGTAACAAGATTGCCTTTCTTCATGTGTCGGCGGTAGCTGTTCCTGCCTTCCGTAATGGAAATTGATAAATGCCAAAACGGACGTATCGATCCTCCACTCCAAATCCAGGAATGTCCACCACTCTCTCCTCATTAATATTCATCTGCACTCGCCAACGAGTCCCCGTCTTCACACCAACCTCATTCCACAGTCGCTGCAGGCTTTCCTCGTTATGTAAAAATGACTTTCTTCCTCCCTGCCTCTCTCTTGGGTTGTGACTCCCGATCTGTCTACCGAAGATTATTGCATCAATGGTTCCTGGATGCAGGAAGCGTACTATTCGCATCCCGATGACAACTTGCTCTTCCCATGTGAATAAATGGAAGAAATTTCCTGCATGCACAAGCGTGATTTTACCGTCTAAAATGTTCAGATCTTCATCTCTCGGATCTAACATATCGCCGGCCGCAAAAGTTAAACCACAGCCTTCGTCGCGGAATAGCTCTGCGCCTATTGAAATGAATTCAGGGTGCAGGTCTGTACCAAAGAGGCGCGTTGGGTCAATTCCATCGTGCACCAGTTTTCGTAATAGCTGGCCAACACAGCATCCAATATCGAGGAGCGCTTCTGGGTAGCTTGATTCGGCACCAGAAGCGGCCGAATCTCTCAATCGCTGGACTACAGTGTAAAAATGAGGGTCGTGTACACTTTGCAGATTGAGAAAGCTCCATCGGCCAATGCATGGGTACATGGCCACTTCCCAGAGCCTCTCACGCTGCCGAGGGAGTATTAGAAGGACCATTATCATCTAAAATAGTGAATCAAAAGACGTCTTACCGTCCTAAGAAGTAAGCAATCAATGTCCTCAGGTGGTATGTTGCTATATTTTTCTAAAAGGTTGCGAAAGTAGCTAATGTCTTCTGGGAGATTATCGACATAGGTGAAGCGCTTCCAACGATCCAGAGTCGCTTCGTGATCCATATTTACCAAGCTATTTATGCAAATTTGATTTGCCGCCTTCTGCCAAAAATGAATTTATTCCGGTGTTTCACTGCTCTCTGTCTCAAAATGTGAGATCTTCTTTTGTCGGTATTAGGGTGGCGTTGAGTTGGGATATTCCGTATTTGGAGGAGTATCAGGAATTCATTCTTGAATTAGACCACATAGAATAGAGAAATCTGAGAAAATTAATTTCCCCTCAGTTTCGTCGAACAACACAAGACATTTTCCCCTCAGCGCCACGATGGATGGAGTTTCAGCTACGAAGATCGGATTTCGGTGCTTCTTAGATCCGATATTGAGTAACAGTAGAAGTGCTCATGGACTCTCTTCCCATCCAGTCAGCAAACTGCCAAGGGTATGAGATGAAAATTGATTCCACCAATGCGCTCTTAAACTCATATTCTTTTGAATCAATGAATTATTATGCGGACTTGCTACCATTTCCAAAGCCGAATGATGATGCATTTTACCACACCAAGGTACGCTGAGGCAATAATTCTACTATTTGAATAAGCAATTATATCATCCAACAAGCATACTATATCAGCCTCAATGAATGTGATAACGACAGATCCGTAGCCAGTTAGGAATCCAATAGTCTTTCTATTTTCCCATTTCTGATAAGCGGGCAAACACTTAATGGTATGGTTAGAAATAGAATGGAACTGGTCGGAAAATATGCGATGCAAGTATTGACCGCAATGTCACATTTCGTATTTATTGACCATTAACAGGCTTTTTTTACAGAACTTGATGAGGAATTTGGTCAGATAGCGGCACTAAAACCAATCACCTTCCTATTTAAGGCCTACCAGCAGTTATCTTTGATCATCATATTCTTGCATCAACCCCGCGTATTGTTCGATTGTACTTGCATAGAGCGCAAGCATTGAACGATATATGAGGAGTCGATTCTGCTCAATGCCCTGCCAGAAAATGTTAGAATAGAGACTACCATTAGCTATCTCGCGAAAATGCGGTTCAAGGCTACGCTCCTAAATGTCCTCCTTCTTAGCTTGCCCATTGCTGTAGTATCGAGGCCAGAACCCGGCGGAGATGGATATCTAAAATCGACTCGAAGGACGGCTCAAAACGTCACATACATTCCAAATACCTATATCGTAGAGCTTGACAAGCTTCTGGCACGAATGCTGCAACTCGATTTGCTCAGAAGCTAAGGGGGGGAAATAAAGTATCAAGTCCGCAAAGAGTTCAACAGTGCCAAATTTTTTTACGGGTTATCTCTGACTCTAACGGATAATGCATCTGACAAAACTGATCTGCTAAAAGTCAGCGACGTCAAAAGTGTCTGGCCGGTTCGAGTTGTGCCTCGGCCAAATCCCTTTGCTGCCGCTCCGCCAGCATCACTAAGCAATGGCACTCTGCCGCATATCAAGGGCAGTTCAGATGTTAATAGGCCACTCAAGATGGCAAGTGTAGACAAAGTGCACAGCCAGGGGATTAAAGGCAAAGGTGTAAAGATCGGCATCATTGACACTGGAGTAGACTATCTACACCCGTCTCTTGGTGGCGGATTTGGGCCTGGTTACAAAGTATCTTTCGGCTACGACTTTGTTGGAGATAATTATACCGGGTTTAATACGCCAGTTCTAGACAACGATCCATTGGCTTCATGCGCGACTGGATGACACGGAACTCATGTAACGGGCAAGAAGCAGGCGGCCTTCATGTTTTCAGGTATATCAGAATGCAGCTAACACTTGATATAAGGTATTATTGGAATGACTGATGCCTCTAATCAAGGATTTGGCTTTGTTGGAGTAGCTCCTGAAGCAATTATTGGTATGTACAGGGTTTTTGGATGTGAGGGCGATTCTGGTGACGATGTTATCATGGCAACTATGCAACAAGCAGCGGAAGATGGCGTTCATCTTATCTCAATGTCGCTCGGCAGCATCACGTATTGGGAAAAGGCATCACCGTATGTTCCGTTAGCCCAGAGTATTGTGGAGAGTGGTGTGGCAATTATTGCTGCGCTTGGAAACGACGGCGACCTTGGGCCTATGCAGTATCGGCTCCAGGTTTGGCTCCAGAAGTTCTAGCAGTGGGATCTGCAGAGAGCAAAATTTATCCAACCGTTTATAAAGCAGAAAACAATCTCGGCAGGACGTTGGAGTACATCTCGGTCCTCCCCTTCATCTCTGACAAGCCCATCACCATTTTCGAGGCTGGCAGCGGCCTAAACATACCTATCACGGAGGAACAGACTGGTGGGTGCGATCCCAGCGTATGGACAGCTGCACAGAGTGCCATTACAGACGGAGCACAAAGCTGTTTTAATTTACAATACGGTATATTGTTCACTTGGATCATATTCAGCTCAACTGTTGGCAATGAACGTGACAACTGTCATATACTACACCGATGACCCGGACACTCCAATTCTTTTAGCGGAAGCGGGGACAACGGATCCATTCAATATTCTCTTCCTCGGATATAACCAATCGCAACAGGTTGTCAAGGACATTGCTAGCCTTGGTTCTAGGCAAAAGTACACTCTAGTCTTCAAGTCTTCTATGATCCAAGATTCACCCAATCCAGCTGGTCACACCATTGACTATTTCTCCTCCATTGGTCCGACTATTGAAATGACACAGAAACCCCAGCTCTCTTCCTCCGGAGGTAATATTCTCTCAACATACCCGCTTTCAGCTGGAGGTTATGCCGTATTGTCAGGTACCTCAATGGCTACGCCTTTCACTGCTGGAGTTTTTGCTTTAATCAAGTCTTAGCAGCCAGAACTCAGCATTGCAGACATCACTTCTCTTATTCAGTCGACCGCAGTGCCCATGAAAGCACAAAATCTGAATATTATTTCTTCCGTCACGCAACAAGGAGGTGGATAAATTAATGCTTACGCGTCAGTTGCTGCTGATTCTCAAATTTCGCCGTCTCAACTGAGTTTGCTTGACTCGCCAAAGCCAGCAAAGCATTCAATCACTATCAAAAATACCTCCAGCAAAGCTAAGGTCTACTCCATTTCTTGTTTGGGTGCTTCATATATCCGGACTGTGACTAATTTCACGGGAGGGTAGGATGCATCATTCTTGAGATTCACCTCTCAGCCATGAGGCAAAATTCGCCGCCGCCCAATTTTCCAAATCGAAATTATCCTTGCAGCCAGGTCAGTCAACGACTGTAGAGGTTCAGTTTACAGCTCCTGAAGAACTTCACCCAGAATCAGAGCCTATTTACTCAGGCTATGTTAAGATTGCTACCAACAGCAGCAGCTATGTTGTGCCGTACCTTGGTGTGCCGTATACCAGAAATGATGTGGATTACCTTGGACACAACACAACGGCATGGGTAGGAAATGATAGACCATTCGTAGGGCCGGATGTAACGAAACCAGGCGAAAGCAACATCGGAAATTACAGCATCTTGGGCCGCGATGGCTCAGTACCGGCCGACCTCCTTGTGCCCATCACTGGTTTTATCGTCGTGCAGCCCACGAACTTGGTGCGCCTGGACGCTGTGCCTGTAAATACCAGCTTTGTGCCAACATTCTACGGCTTTGATCCGTCTATCAAATCCGATGTTACAGACGTAGATCTGCCACTACTGGAGGGTTTTCTGGGCGTTCCAACCTATGGGATATTATCCGCGTGGGGTATTGGCGACATCCCCCCTGGAATAGACCCCCGAACCCTTGTAGCTTGGCCCAATCCGAACGTTTTGAGCGGCTTTATCTTGGAATGGCCGCTTTTTATGTTCGAGAACGGCACAGATTTTAACATTACGTCGGGTCCTTTCCGGCCATTGCTGCGCATTTTGCGTTATGGAAACAATGGCACAAGCCCCGACGACCATGAATCGTGGCTGGGTCCTATAATCAATGCGCACACGACATAGAGGGGATATGGTCATACTTTAGGGCGGCGCTACCTTCACGCCAGCTATCTTCACGCCAGGCAAGCTTTATAACATAGTTGCGATAGAGGAATACAGAGTAACCTTGTCTAGTACCCGTTCTTAGTTATCTAGCTCCTCGTGAAATGTGCGGATCTGTATGCCTTCTCCTTTTTCTATTTTGTTTGGTGGGGTATAAAAATTGCACTACCTAGTGCTCCGTACTCTATGAGTGCTTTGCAATACACGTACTGTTAGGGAAACAGAAAATAGTGTATAACCACCTGGTGTTCTTTGAGGCACCAGTTGAAACCAAGATTTAACACCTCTTACTCAAAAACCCTCAGCGGCTTTCTGCGTGTAGCTTGCGGCTGAATACGTGGTGGAACGTCACTCGAATGGCAGACAGTGAGAGCCAACATTGAATACTCACGGTTACAGCCAAGGTATCTATATGTACGTTATTATACGCTGCCAAAAGAAGGAATGAATGCACAAATATTATTGAAGTACACGTGGAAACCGCTCGAGATACTACGCGGGCTATGGGTTTAAAACATGCTACTAGTACCAGTACTAGTGTCCACCAGCCTATAATAAGGGGGGGCAAATCAAAGAGCTGTGTTTTAATGCCGATGCGCCAGCGTTCTTATCTATAAAGCCGCGGTTTAGGAGAGCCGAATCTTAACCTTCATTGTGCTTTGGGACTAGCACTATCGGACTTCACGGCTCTCCACAGAGCAGAGGCGTCTCCGCATTCCTCCATCTTCCACGCCGCAGTCCGTGCTTCGTTCTCCGTATTTTCTTGACTCCATCGAGGGCCGAGTTCGCCCCTTGTCAAGCTGCCCTGACCTGTCAGTCTGGAGTTCGCCCTGCCGTCATTGTCACAGGCCGCATCAAGCTGCATAGCTGCATCAGACAGCCCACCCCTCAACTCCTAATAAGTGCCCTAGAGGTCTATTAGGCAGTGGAAGTGGCTGCACGGTTTGGAAACTTCCCACTGTTCCCGGCGTGCTCCAGTAGCAGATACGGCCATTTTGCTGCCACCCGCGTCATCATGTCGCTGGCAAAGAGAAACAACGGTACGTGATAAGCTCTTTATTGATCCCTTTTTACCAATGCTCGACACGTGAATTTTGACTCTGTACAAGGTTGTCTCGAGTGTCGCACGCGCCGAGTGCGCTGCGATAAGACAGAGCCCGAATGCTTCAAGTGCTGTAAAAAGGGCATCAAGTGCTCAGGCCAGGGTATCGAGTGCCGATTCAGCTCCCACATGAAATATAGCAGCTCGCCACGGCCCTCACAGTCCACAAATCGCACTGCTGGAGATGGTGCTAAAGCTTCGCTGCGTGCACCAAATCGATACCGATGGGTTGTCGTAAACAGCAAACAGCCAGGATCTTCGCCCGATACAGCGCGGTTGGCTTCTCGCCGAGCTTCCACTACTCTATCAAAGATTTCAAACAAACGCCCTCTCGTCGGCCCTCTTCCAGATATACCCACGTCCGACACAGATTCTTCGGCCGAGAGCTTAGAAGATGACGTGGAGGAAGTTTATTCAAGAGAGATGCGACTCTCCCGCCCGCAGCCTGCTATTCAAGCTCTATCTCCTCAAGCCAGACAATTCTTCAGCTATTGTAAGATTCTCTTTTTTTCTTTCGCACAGGCAAGCTTCGTTGAAAGAAAGACGGTGACTGACCACATTCCCTTCTAATTGCAGTTTCGGAAACCATCGCGCCCAAAATGGTTGTCTTTGATTTTAGTGGCAACGGCTATCGCAATATCTTGCTTCCTCTTGCATGTGAAGATGAGCTTGTTGGACAGGCGATATCCGTTATTGCAGCTTTCCATCTATCGCAAAACGCGCCGCATATGCGAATGGCAGCTGAAGTAGGCCAACAAGCAATTTTATCGAAACTCTTCCGCGACTCGCTTCAACTGGAGCCAAAGAGACTTTTCAGCCTGTCAACATGGGCGACGATCCTGGTTTTACTTGTGGGAGACACGATTACGGGCGCGAATAACTACGTGCATCTGTTAGAGATTCTCTCAAATTTGGCAAAATCGTCCGATTCGGTAGAGTCTCTGTCAATGACTACAAGGGAATTTATCAAAGAACAAACACGAATGTAGGTTGTTCAGAGTGATATTTTTGCCCATGAAAAACTTAAGCTGATGCATCAATTTAATCAGGTTCGAACTCTTTGGATTTCCACTGTCCAGCGAAACTAAAGGACTACAAGTCTTGTCGAAACGCCCCGACTACTATCTAGACTTCATGTCTTCAAGCCCATCAGTCAATCAAGACCCGGAGCAATTTGCCAATGTTTCTGTCATGAAAGAAGCTATTCGGCAGGCCTGCGATTTATACCGAAATCGCGCCCTCCATCTCATATCTGACGAAGAGTCTATACAATCAGTAGAACGACTCCGAGAAACGGTTCTTGATCTAGAGCCTAGTGTTGATGGATGCCACGCTCTGGTTTGGACATACTTTGTGGCTGCCGCAGAGAGCATCTTGCCCGAGCATCGAGATTTCTTTTCCCATCGACTCCAGAGCCTGTACAGCTGCACCCACTTTGGAACCATTCCTATCGCCGTCCAGACTCTTGAGCACATATGGGCGAACCAAGGCTCTCAGAGATGGACTCAAGTAGTTACCCGACACCGCCCAATTTTAATCATGTGAAGATAAATGATGTTACTAACGCATTTAATGTTCATTTCGCTATATGCAAATATTGTTTGTACATTCGGCCTTCTTCAGTTCGTGCCTCAACTATTCTACAGTCACCAGTCCGCATGCCTCTGTTACAGCTTGGATCGACCAGCGAAATCGGCTCGTACAGTAATAGCAGCGCGGGTTCCCTCTTCAATAGCACCATCTATGAAGCTACGCCACCCCAATGCCCAGTCGGAACATGCGAATACGATGTTGCACTCTCTTGCTCTCATATCCTTCAAATGTGTGGATATCAAGCCAGGTGCTGGGAAGAACCTTCAAGTACAAATTACAACGTTAGCCATAGGCTCGACTCGAACATAGGGGAGAATAAGGAAGATTTTTGATGCTTACCAGGCTCCCTTTGCAAACTCATCCTTAGACCAGTTGTGGAAGACCAGTCTCTCGATATTCATAGGTGCAAACCCTTCGAACGCTGCCTTGGTGTGTTCAACATTTTCTTCCGGATGGAAGTGATTGTGCTGTCCACCGAAGGCTACAACGTGCGTATTACCGGCTGGCGTTGTCCCGTCGCCAAAGCCGTAGATAAGCCCATTGTGCGGATAGCTGATGCCTGTAAACGAGCGAAGATCTCGGTCACTGATTTCGGCATGAACCTTGACGCATTGGTTGACATGGCCAGTGGTGGCAGCTGCCTTTCTTCCTGTCGCCAAGGGTGGATCAAATTTAACATCGTTCAAGACATTCAAGGGGATAGCACAGATCATTTTGGTTCCCCGGAAAATCTTGCCAGCACGGGTCGTGATCTGAACGCTCTCGCCTCCATGCTGGACGGTTGCAACAGGACTGTTAAAAGAATAAGACAAGTTGCCAGAAGCCAGAGCCTCGCGGAAGAAACGAATCGCAAATGACGACTGGCCGCCGCGGAATTTATACTTAACGAGGTAGTCAATGCAACCCTCGTAAGAGTAACCGCTCAGTGCCCACCAGTGGAGAAACTCATAGAAGCTCGTTGTCTCAAGAGTGCCTCCGCTGCACAAAAGGACGAATGCTTCTGCGCAGAGGCGCTCGTTGGGAGTAAGATCATTCTTAATTTCTGCAATCCGGTCGGCAACAGACATGTGATCGTACTTGCGAGCTTCGGGGCTGAGTACGCCGCTGTGAGGGAAAGGTACAACTGTTCGACCATGGCATCCATCGACATTGACGAGTTTGGCAAGTGATGATTGCATGAGTGCGTCCTAATAATAGTCAGCTTCTGTTACGACTGTTTTTGTTTAATAGCTATAGGCAAGCCAATGGCAGAGCAAAAGCTTTGTAATACCTCTTCTTCATGACTAAAAGTCTGTACGCCTTGCGGGGTTGATAATAAATACTTATTGATTCCTCTGGAAAAGTCGTAAGAAATCTCCAGTTCATCTTGCATGCCGTATCTCGCAATCTCGCGCCACACGTTGGCTTGTCCCCAGTATACCCATGTGCCACCCATTTCGTACGGGTATCCCTCAATGTTGGATGACCACGATCGACCGCCAATTCTGTCGCGAGCCTCCAGCAGCAACACTTTTAGGCCTAATTAAAAAAAATCAGCATTCTCCCTTTTATAACTTCTCCATATTATTTAGAGTCAAGGTAGTATTACCGGCTAAGCTAGCATCACGAGCTGCTGTGAGGCCACAATAGCCCGCGCCTACGACAATAACATCGTAGACTGTGTCGGTGCTCTTAACATTTGAAGGCGGTTCAATTACACCGATAGATGGAACCCCAGCCCGAAGGCCTTGGGCTTTTGTCCACGAGTAGCCGTCTTTGGATGTCATTGAGTACTGCGACCACGAAAAGATAAAAGGCAAAGTGCAAGCGAAATAGGCAGTCCGGCGTGATTAGGCATTTCTGCAAAGCACAGGGCGCGCTTCAGCTATTAATACATACGTTTGCGTGCAAGCCGAACGCTGGCCATTGTGGATGATCCTCGTGGAAACTCAATGTTAGGCCATAGAATCGTGCAACCGACTCAAAATTTCGCCTCAAGTGGCAATATTTTGAGAATCGGCGCCCTTCGTTTCGGAGGGGTCGAACTGCCAAAGCGCTGCTGTGCGCCGCATTATTCGTTGCCTTCTCGCAGAATTGCCCAATGTGGTAGGCGGGCCGGCATGCGTCGTACCAGAAAAGATAGACGGCGGTCCACTCAATGACCAGCACTTTGAAGCAGCGCAAAACCGATTACGATACAGCTAAAGGCTATTCATTATTTATCGGCCTCAAGTACGAATCCACAAGCTGTTGGTGGAGCAGCAGATTGATCCACTTCCCCAGATACTGAATCATAAGGCGAACCTCAATTCAGCGTCAAGGAGCAAGATACCGGCGATAGCTTGTAGATGCCAGCTGTGTCTGCCGATAAGACGGAATCAACTCCGATAATGGCCTAAATGCAACATAGCGTTGGTCGACAGCAACTACCTAGTCTCTTATCTTCTCCAGCCCCTGAGGCACGCGCGCCCAGGGTATCTGCTTATATATGTGCATATAAAATGGATTACCAGGCTCTATAAAAACAAAGCGCTTCCCTCAACGTGCACGCGCGTAGGCCTTCCTATTATGCCACCTCTCATCACCAACAGAAGTCCAGGTTGCAGCCAACAAGAAACTCTCGTTCTAGGCCTGTTTGTGGCGCCCTTCAGAGTCGCATGAACAGATCTCTGCGTGTCACCATCTTATCCAGAGAACGGGAATAGAAACGTCTCGGTCCGCGCTCCACGCGCAGCTCCGCCTATGAAGTATTAGCTGAGAGTTCGGTACGGATCTTCCCCATGCTATCTGGCTCCATATCCACAGCTGTTTTGAGGCTCTCCGGACCGCAGCGATAGGACCACAATTGCTATCCTTTCCGACAACCCACGTACTCATTTTATCCTATTTAGGCAAGATTCTGAGAAAGAGGCTGTAATCAGTCTCGATTCTTCAGTGAACTTATCTAGATAGCACGCCTCTACCCCGCGTTTTTTAAGTGGATTATTTGAATTGATCTGGGGAAGCACTTGTGAGTTTCTCGGGAAATTGCCTATTTCGGAAGCTATCCCACGCTTCGTATCAACTTGTTCGAGACACTTGAGGCCTCATCGCCACCATCTGTCACTGGACAAAGCTTCAACATTTCTCTACCGATATCAAAGGCCATTGATGCGAGATAACCCGGCTAGCCAAACTATGATAATCGGTCAAAGCCTCTAACAGAATAGGGACGCAAGAGACACGGTTATAATGTTCTTTCCGTGGTTTCCAGAGAGCCCGCTTTCTTGACCGAGAACTGAAGGCAATCAGTGAATACAAATCAGGCCCATCACCGCCTCGAATTTCTTGCTATTCATTGCCTATCTTTCCCTTTTCCTTCATCAACGCTTTCGTCAAATTTATTCAACAATGGCGCTTTTCGGGTCCAATGCCGCAGCATCGGGTGACGGGGCTCTTCAGCCCAGACTGTCAACCCTATCAACAATGGCCATGGCTTTTGCCATTCTCAAGTACGACCATCATTCCTTGTATCAACTATAGTTGAATGATTCAAGATAACTAATGATCAACAACCAACACAGCACATGGATAGCACTTGCCGGTTCAATAGGCCTTGTCTTGCCCTCTGGTAGCTCTGTGGCTCTATTATATGGATTTATCTTCTGCGTCTTGTGCTGCTTTTGTGTAGCCGCAAGCCTTGGAGAGCTCAGTGCTATTTGGCCAACCGCTGGAGGACAGTACCACTTTGTATATGCCCTCTGCACAGAACGATGGAGAAAGCCCATGGTATGTTTTACGACTCAGTTTCCTATTTAATCGTCTTGCGTCTTGTATCTTGTACACTGACAGTCAATGCCCTTCTAGAGCTTTGTAGTCGGATGGGCCAATATTGTAGGCTGGCTTGTCGTTGTAACTGTACAGGACTACTTTGGCTGTAAGAATCAAATTTTGCCACTCATAACTTATACGGACATCGCTAATTCATGACTTAGCCCAGTTCATCTCTGCCGCAGCAGTAGTGGCTTCAAACGGATCCTATCAAATCACCGCGGCGAAAACATACGGAATATTTGTTGCAATCCTCGTCTTTACGACGGTGGCAAATATTTGGGGTAATAGGATCCTAGGCAGATGGAACGATGCCGCTTGTAAGTCGAGCCAAGAAGGCGTTTCAACAACCCGTGTCAGTTTGATGGCTAATACATCAGCATAGTGTACTGGTCCATCTTCGGATTTGTCATTATCAGCATTGTCCTTCTCTCCATGTCAGAAAAGACTAGTGCAGAGTTTGTCTTCACGGACTTCAATAATGAGACTGGTTGGTCCGACGGCATGGCCTGGATCTTGGGCCTATTGCAGTCCGCTCTCTCTCTCATCGCATTCGATGTCGTTCTTCACATGACAGAGGAGATGCCAAATCCATCCAGGGATGCACCAAGAGCCATGATGTACTCCATTGTTATTGGTGGTATCACGTAAGTTGAATGTCATCATGCTGTGCATATATATATATAAGCCCGAAAACATAACTAATAACTATATTCTTAGGGGATTCGGCTTTATTCTAGTCATTCTCTTCTGCCTTGTCGATGCCGAGACCGTCCTTGCTACGTCGACAGGTATGCCTATTGTCGAGCTCATCCTTCAGGCAACCAAGAGCCGAGCTGCTGCCACTATTCTCAGCTTAATGCTCGCCGTTTGTTTTATCAACGGCACAAACGCCAGCATCACAAGCGTCAGCAGACTACTTTACGCTATGGCTCGTGATCGTGGCATCGTTTTTCACAACTACTTTGCTCACATTCAGGCTGGCTTGAACGTACCAGTCCGAACTATCATGTTCTGCTTCGTCTTTAATATCCTATTTGGTCTCTTATATCTAGGCCCGGCGGTAGCTTTCAGCGCATATGTCGCGTCATGCACCATTTTCTTGAACGTCTCGTACTCGTTTCCGATCATCGTCCTGCTCATTCGAGGACGGAAGGTGCTTGACATTTACCAGACTCCAGGGACTCATTTCAAGTTGGGAAGAGTATTTGGTCTGATTGTGAATGTCATTGGAGCACTCTACGTGGTTGTTACTTCAATTGTAAGTTGGTATTACTCTACAAACTCTAAACAATTATACTAACACCATTTACAGTTCTTCTGCTTTCCTACGTCACTTCCCGCTACCGCAAATACTATGAGTAAGTGTTGACTCGCAGTATATCAAGAGTAATATAATAACCATGAGCAGATTATGTATGTGTTGTGATTGGCATCTGGGCAGTAGTTGTCGCAGGATACTGGTTTTTCTTCGGCAAGACGTTTTTGGGTCCGGTAAGTGAAGGCCAAATTTTATCCTACAATAGTGAATGACCATCTTTTCTAACAAAGGTAATTATAGCAAGATTTGATTGTCGCAGATTTCGAGGATGTTGTTGGTCGTCGTATTTCCACCCAGACCTCAAGCCAAGAGGACAAGGCCGAAAAGGGAGCTCAGTGATGTTTATTTATTTATTTATTTTCCGGTTCTTCTCTTAAGCAAACTTTAATGCTTAAAGTCAGGTTGACTTATGCCTTGTTTGGCTCTTAAGAGCATGTACTCAATACCCCTGAGAAATTAAATCAAAAGTAGCTTTTATTATCTCTATGTTCTCCATTTATGACTTTCCCAACTCGGCAGATCGAGCTGTGGCGGCCATGACAGCCTTGTTAACAACCTCATCAAAGCCCAATGATTCAAAAGTCTGTAAAGCAGCATAAGTGGTTCCATTGGGGCTCGTGACATTCTTGCGCAGCTGGGCTGGCTCCTCTGAAGATGTAACAAGCATTTGACCAGCTCCCAAGCATGTCTGCTTGGCTAGTCGAGTAGCCTGCTCTTTCGGAAGGCCCAAAGCCGTTGCACTAGCAATAAGATGTTCAACCATGGCGAAAAAGTATGCAGGGCCAGAACCTTATGCTTGTGTTAGCCGAAGTCCTCATGTCAATCCATGTGGGCGACTTACCAGACAATCCGGTTACAACATCAAGTAGTTCTTCCTTTTCCACCCACTCAGTGGCCTTGCTTACACTGCCAAGAAGTGCATCAACAAGCTGCTTCTCGTTCTCCTTGACATCCTCGCTTGCATAGAGACCAGATGCACCCTCTCCAACCAGAGCAGGCGTGTTTGGCATCACACGAACAACCGGCGCAGTCTTGCCCTCACTGGTCTTCAGCCACTCTCTCAGGCTATCAAGGGTGATGCCAGCAGCAATACTGACAACGATTGGTAGAGTGGCCCGGTGGGACCAAGATCCTCCAAGCTCCTCGCATACCGTCTTGGCAATTTGAGGCTTTACGGCAATGATGATGAGGTCGGCATCCTGGCCGGCCTCGACGTTAGATGTTGTGGTTCGCACGCCAGTGGCCGCAATCTTCTCTCTGTTGACATCCCAAGGCTCAGATACAATGATGTTCTGCTTGTTGATACCCTGGTTGGCTAGTCCCCCGATGATGGCAGCGGCCATATTCCCCCCTCCAATGAAGGCCAACTTGCTGTTCTGCAATGAGGCTGCCATGACTGTATTTACGTGAGAATTAAAACTTGTTGAATTGAGTTATCAGTTGCCAAATTAGAAGAACTGAGCCACAGACTGCTGGAATAGCCAGGCACTTATGGGAACCCCCGGACGCTTGAAATCGGTGCAATCTCAACCATGGATGAATCATCAAGCAGTAGCTATGCTACTACTTGGCTCAACTGTGGGGAAAGCCTGGTCCCGTGACCGGCTTCCATCGGCAGAGCACAAAGGCGGCCGGTGTCGGAAGAGGAGAGAAAGAAGCGTTAGCAGCGATATAGGCCTCAGTCCAAAGTCGTGATCTATTGATTGGTTCTGAATCATATACTATATTTTGTTATCTGCATTTTTCTTCACTCTAAAGGCAGCGTACGTCTCAAAACTCTTCTACAGCTGCGCTGTTCATTATTTCATATCTATCGAGCAAAATTAACATTGAGGCTAGTCAAACTCAGGGTCCTTGATCAGCTTTCTAGCTTAATAGAGGTATTGCCTTTAGCCTTTTTAACATTAGTGCGCTGAGCTTTAATACGGAGTTGGTGGTTACAGACAGCTACTAGATACCTTACTCTTTGGCGTTATTACATTCGCGCATGTGCGTATGTAGAAACTTCGACTTAGGCTTGTGATTTTACAAGAACTTCCATAAAAACACCAGAAAGAAACAAAACTTTCAATTTGAGCTTCTGACCAATGGCATCAAAATGAAATGCAGTGTAAGCTACCTCAAATACTGTGTGACTTCATATCATATATTCTTCATTTGGTTGCAAAGCCCGTATTTCTCTTCTGCTACAGGGTACGTGCTAGACACTGCAGCATGAGCCCGTGAGCTACATGTAATGCTTGCAATTTCGTGACTTGCTGGAATAGTGGATAAAAGATTATCGGTGGAAGTCGTGGCATTGGAATAATGATTTAGTATATTAGATGCTTTCACAGCAATTGGAATTCGCCCGCTAACATGGCGATGGATCCTCTGCGCCTACGAGAGCTTGGAGACCATTGCCGGATCTGCAGGGTTTTGCCGCTTCCCTGACGATACCCGGATCGCCATGCCGTCAGCATCCGGGCCAATTGGCTAAATCAATGCCGCTGAGCACCGCCCGAATCATTCTGTTTATCGGTGGAAGGCTGAAATACGAAATGTCTCTTCTTCATGCCCCTCGCAAAGGCAAACGACTCGCCCAGAACATATGAGCATTGAGACGCAAAGCCTGAAATATGCGCAGAATGGTCCTTGTTTCTATTACAACTCTTCATGTGTAGATTTAATCATATTTTCCCTGTACCTTGAGCAATGCTTGTCAGTCCGCCCCCCCAAGTCGTTCCCATACGAGACACGTCGCACTAGCTGGGGTAGTGGGTAATACGGAATACTCGCCCGCTAACATAGGAGTATAATTCCAAAATTATGGGCTCTTGGAGGGCTTGGGCGTGGCAGCCTGCTGGTACCCTGAGAAAATTCATTACGTACCTTTGTTCTGGGCCAGAACGTTGCCGTAAAGGCCAATCGCCCTACATCGTGCATGCAGCCAAGCATCGCTCCAAAGAGTGGAACCTTAAAACCTCGGAAATCGGAATATGAGCTAATTAGGCTGAAACTGTTCTTGGGAATGGAAAATGAGGGTTTTAATCTGCTTTATAAACTGCTTGACTACGGCTGTTTTCGGTTTCGTCTCTTTGCAACCACGCTGCATGTAAGCATTCTACGCTTCTTCTGTGATTTGTTGCATTTCCGTAGATATCCGTAATCGTGTGATACTTTGTGTCGCTTATGTCCTCGGCAGTCCTCGGTCAATATATTTCTTTAATCGTACTAGACACGGCCTTCATAGAGAAATAGTTGTGGTCTTGAGAAAAGGTTCGGATCTCGGGCTTACTTCTATGCTCCATTGGTAATAGAAATCCAGAGTTTTCTGGTCAGAGAATCGTACGCCAGAATACTGTACGAGGTGACATATTCTGATGCCTTACGATTTTGCCAATTGTGGCTTGACCACTGCCTGCAAGCGCAGAATACTTCAAAGGTATGGGTGAAAACATTTATTTTGTTCCTGAATAAAAGAAACACGGACATGGATCTATGGATATCTCGCAGGCAGCCATCTTCAGTCAGGCCATCTTTTACGTGTTGCTTTCAATATTAGATGACTTCCTTCTTGACTAGGACATTGCAATTTACCAAAAGGAAAATAAATAAAAAAGAAGGAGAAATGCATAGTGGGATTTGATGGGTTATTTTAGAGTAGAGTAGTTCTGCAGTTTAGACTTAGATTTACGTACAGAGCTAGTTGATCGAGTTGTATTTTACAATACCTACTACCCAAGTACTACAAGTGCCTCCCATGTCTTAGTGACGCTATGCGCTTTTGGTAAATTAACTGCAGGCACAGCCCGTCAGCCTCAACTCCTTGGCACACCTGAATAGGAAACATTAAACAGCGCCTGTAAGTCAAGAAAATCCACCAGTAAGCTTTGCCCCTCAACCCATGGACGGCCCATGGCGATCAGATCTGTGGTTCATAAACCCACGTGCCCCTTGTAAAAAGAAAGAGAAAAGAGGAAAATATTGTTACCCGGGCAATTTTCGTCAAGGGTATGGCCTGGAATCGATTTATTTCGCCTGATCCAGTTATCTGGCAACCTGCACCTTACAAGAACCGGGCTTTAGTCCAGCCTAGTGTTTTAACTACCTTCCCAAAACACCATCGCCCAACCAACCAGCTGCTGTTTACAGACAAATTTGATCCGTCCTGCTTACATTGCTACGGCCGCCAGGAACTAGTTGATTTCAGCGTATGATTCGCTGAATCACACCAGCGGAAAAATTCCTTGTCTTACACCGAACGCATCATGGTATTGGAGCCATGGGTCGGGCTCGCCGAGCTTGGGTTGTATACGCAATGCAATATTCAAGGGCTGGCAGTACTAAGAAAAGCCTTCAATATTGATAGTGATGATGAATCAATAGCTGAGTAAAGCAAAGTTAGCCAGAGACGCAAGAGAGCATCGAGTATATATATAGAGCTGGCGATCTCTTCCTTCTTTGTCTCGATCATCTCACACATCACTTGCAATAACAACTCAATACCAGTCCTCAAAGCTCAACTTCTCAGATTTTTTAAATCCAAATTTATAAAAAAAAAAAAAAAACTCTTCAAAATGTTTGCTAAGACCGCCCTTATTGTTCTGGCCGCTGCTGCCGGCATTGCCAGCGCTCTCCCAAGCTCTGAGCCTCCGTCTCGTGTTGAGTCTTCTCCCCGAGCCAAGCGAACCACGTGAGTTTCACAGTTCTTGAAGTTTAAAACATGTCTTCGGAGTACTAACACGCAGCTCTAGTCACTACGGTCTCGCTACCGTTTACGACCAGGAGGGCGCCTACGGATCTTGCGGCCAGAAGCACGCCGATAGCGATTTCATTGCCGCTCTTACTCCCACCTGGCAGGGCTCTTCATACCCTCCCAAGTACTGTGGCCGCAAGGTTTTCATCACCAACACTGGTAGCGGTGATGGCGTTGGTGGCAAGGGCAACAGTGTCACCGTCACTGTTGAGGATACCTGCCCTGGCTGCCCTTCCGCCGACAGCATCGATCTGTCTCGCGGAGCTTTCAGCTCACTCACTAACGGTGCTACTACCGGCAACGTCAACATTGAGTGGTAAGTATCTGTTCATTCTGGTTCAAGATGTTTGTACTGACAAGATTTAGGCACTTCTGCAACGTCAATGGCCAATGCTAAATGTCTATCGCCAAGTATATAAGATGAATCAGCACGATTTATCTGGAAAAGATTTTGCTTGACTTTAATTCTTTATATATATTGATGTACATACTCTTCAATGACTTTATGCACATATTTGAATAGCACCGAATATAAATCAAATTTATCAGCTGTCGTTTTATCACAATAAGTTTATATAGTGAAACCATCGTCTATAATGTTCACTAGCGTAGAATCACTTTGATGAATCCTAGTATATATGCATTTCGTAAATCGCTTAACTATATTGCATGTCGACTAGCAATATATAAAGTTGTAGTTAATATGTATGATAGGTACTAACATTCATTCCAGCATAACCCAAGCCACCCCACGTGCATTTAATCTATTTGGCATTTCAATCTGATGCCCACTACATGTTCATGGCTGGCTAAATTTACCGTTAATCGAACTCCAAACACCTCGATATGCCTTGGTAATTGCATGTCTTCCATCGTATAGAGGGTAAATGACCACCGCGAAGAATGCTAGAAATTGCCATATAATCGCAACCGTCGTCCAGCCTGAAAAGAAGGGTTTGGTGAAGATGTAGTTTCTGTATAATGGCATTGGCCATGCGACAAAAGTGACGAACACAACGACGACAAAGAAGAGCCATGCTATGCGGTACCAACGATACAGGTCTTGCAATGTCGCCTCATCAAATGGATGCTGCACATTATCGAGGTCGAGTGTGCTTATATCGCTATCTATTGATATGCTCATAGTACGCTTTTCTCTGATATCAGAAATCTTAACATTCTCTGGATCGGAAGCTGTATATGATATATTCTCGCTCTGTGGATCCGAAACCACAACCCCATGGCTATTAGACTCGTTGAGAACTCCATCAGTTTTGACATCCTTTTCGTTATCATTTGAAAGCGATGGTTCAAGTCTCTCAAGCTTTGGTGCTTCTGCTAACTCAATAAGCAAAAACCGTCGCCAATCAAATGTCTCTGGCTTGTAAAGAGAAATGATAACTGAGTAAAGAGCAGGTGAAAAAAACGACGCAATAGCTCCATACAAAGCAGGAAAACTAGCTTCCGTGGTTGCGATGTTGATGGTGCCGTAGAGCGACTTAGCTGTAGCTAGCCAAACGCTAAGACCGGTGAGAAACCCGAGAATTGGGGATGCGACGGCTGCTAGTCTCGTCTGCTTCGGCCATGCAAGGGTCAGACCCAGAGGAATGATGCCAGGGCAAGAGAGGATCGGCCTGAAATAGCCGATCCATGTCATATCAGCTCCACCATAGTTAAGCGCTAATGAGATGCCAGTGATGAATATGGCGTGGAAAACAACGGCGAGGTGGCTAACCCTCATAATCTTTTTATCCGATGCCTTTGGGTCGATGTATGTTTTATATACGTCGAAGGATAAAATACTGCTGACAGCAATCATAGAAGAAGAGACGGTACTAGTAAGAGCCATGAATAAGAGAACAAAGAAAGCCACAATTCCCTTGTCTCCAATCAGGGCCTTGATTGTGTACGGCATCACCAGGCCTGCATTAACTAGATCTGGAGAGAACTCGCCGGGGTATGTCGGAAAAATTGGGGTTTCATGAATGGCCCTTGCAGTGAGACCAATAACGGTACCGAGGCCCCAGGGAATCCCGAATATTGCAATTGCGGCAAGGTTATATCCAGGCACAGTAGCCTTGACCTCAGTAGCAAAAGACTTTTGCCAGAATGCCGTATCCTACCGGTCAGAGGTGATGAAAACAAATTAGCAAAATGCGGATTAGGAGCACCAAAAACGTAGATTCATTCTTACCATGACGACGAGGGCAAGGTTCCCGAACTTGAGAATCAGTCCCCAAATAATTGAGTCGAGAGACTTCATCGTGAGCAGGGATCCTTCGTAGTTTCCTGCAATAATATTTTCTGAGGCCGTCGCCGTAACCTTGTCATACAAACCTCCGAGGCCTCCCACTGCTTCGTGAGTTAAAGTTGCCAGGGTGAAGTAAATAATAAGGATCAAAGCAATAGCTGTGTGAAGGTAGTCTGTCAAAAACGTCGCCTTAAGGCCACCCACTGCCGTATACAAGACCACTATCCGACCGACGTCAACAGTGATGTTCGAATACAATTTAGATGTATGTGGGAGACGCTTACCTCCGAGGGGAATGAGAATGGTAGCTGCAACAAAATGCATGCCAGAAACACCAAAGATTAGTTGCGACCCTGTTAATATCATGGATGCACATCCAAAGACATTGTTTGTGATATTGAGGACAATGAACACAAGATGCCCAATTTTACCATAACGCATACGGATAATTTCCAATGATGTGTGAGCATATGGCACGCGAATCTTGGCCAGTACGCCAAGAGCTGCCATCAAAGCAATTTGAAAGCACAGCCCTGTAGCCCACCACTATAAGCAACATGCGTCAGCTACAATTAGATGAAAATGACTATGGAAACATGGAAACCGGAAAGATGACTTACAAAAGGAACAGCCATCCCAAATTTGTAGCAGAATGCAGCTGAAAACACAGTTTCGTTAATCCACATCCATGATGAAAACACCGCTGCTGCTGTTAGCCCTGTCCCCACCGATCTGTTGGCAACCATAAACATCTCTGAAGTCGACGAATCTTCTGAAAGGTAGGCTCTCTGTATTTTGATAGCGGCCAGAATGACACCGCAGAAGCCAACGCCCAATCCTATCAGGAGGCCATATGCTGCTCCCTGAGAAATCACAGGCACTCCAGATACACCCAATTGAACCGACATGATGAAGGCTAGATGTGGTGGATTTTTTTTTTTTTTTTAAAAAAAAAAAAAATCGAGGTGATTCTTCGAGTCGCAGCGAAGCGATGTCCCTCAAATTATGGGTGCGCTGACGGCACTTTTAAGCAGACAAACGAGACAAGTATACCCAGGGACATGTTAACCACCGTTCATTGACCATAGCCGACTTCTTATCTCGCACTTGTAGATCTTACTATATCTTGAGTTTGTTCATTTCCGGGGAACGATGGAAAACAGACCCATAGACCTAGCACGTTGCACTGGGAGGTAATGACGTTATTTTGTCCTCTCTAGCTAGCTATATATCTATAGTGAGTAATTAACAGACACCTCTCAAAATCTCACCGATAAACGTGGTGTTGCGATGAAGCAAGATAGGGCCCTTAGACCGCCGACAAGCGGACTTTGGTATTTGCGGCGTAAATGATGTTTGCCGACATAAACTCAACAAAATGGTCCGACTAAATGAAATACGGTTTGCAACTCAATTTGAACTCGATCTTCTACTGGACAGTGATAAACCCAAATATGCGAGATCGGCCGTTGATGTGAGATCATGGTGTGTATTGCGTGCTATGCGCGTTGTGTGGCGACTTTATAGCGGCACATCAACCATACTATTGCTCCATGCACAGAATATTAGTTCAGTCACTCTCATATGATTCAGTAGGGCTAATAGTGAAGTTTTGCGTACTTGAGGTATTTTGTCGGGTATTTAAAATGTAATTTTTTTTACTTCTTATATGAAATACATGAAAGCCTTCCAATATTAAATAGACTAGTGCTTCATCCCAGCTCTGCTATTGTATGCGCATCGCAAAGTTATATTCGCCCCTTCTTGATATATTACTGAATGATATAATTGAAGATCCAATGGGCGATAACATACTAGCTGCCGCCCCAGCGGACGGCGAGCAGGCCAAAGGGAAGAAACAAATTATCTTGAACGCTTTCGTCATGAATACTCCAGGCCACTTATCTCCTGGATTTTGGCGACATCCGAAAAACAAGACTGATCAGTACACGAAACTTTCATTCTGGACAGACCTTGCACAACTCCTGGATAAAGCACAGTTTCATGCCATGTTCATCGCAGATACTCTAGGACCATACGACGTATACAAAGGACCTTCGAACGTCGTGCCAGCTTTGGCATCTGGCGCTCAGTATCCAGTTAACGACCCATTATACCTGGTTCCTGCAATGGCAGCTGTAACCGAAAACCTCATTTTTGGCGTTACGGCTAGCTTGACATATGAGAAGCCCTATGCACTCGCTCGACGTCTATCAACTGTAGACCATTTGAGTGAGGGACGTGTTGCTTGGAACATTGTCACATCATATCTCGATAGCGCAGCTCGCAATCACGGACTCAAGGAGCAAATTCCTCATGACGAAAGATATGTCATTGCTCATGAGTACATGGAAGTGCTTTATAAACTATGGGAAGGGAGTTTTAGGGATGACGCAGTTCTTCGTGATCGCGAAAGTGGTACATATATCGCAAGTGATGGCGTTGTTCAAATACTGCACAAAGGCAAATATTTCGAGGTGCCTGGGCCCCATTTCTGCGAGCCATCTCCGCAGCGCACGCCATTCCTTTTCCAAGCAGGCGTATCTGAAGCAGGTAACGGTTTCGGAGGAAAGCATGGAGAGGCCATCTTTGTTGGTGGCCAGACGCCGGAGGGCGTAAGGAAGACTGTCAATAACATACGAGATGTAGCACGAAAGGAAGGCCGGAATCCAGACCATATCAAGATCATTGTTGGTATAAACGTCATCGTTGCTGCAACAGACGAAGAAGCTCAGGCCAAAAGGGAAAGTTATCTCCAGTACGCCGACCAAGAAGGCGCTTTAGCTCTATTTTATGGATGGACTAGGGTCGATCTTTCTGGTTACTCCGACGACGAAGATTTCCGCTTTACAGAGTCTCCAAGATTGCAGTCAATTGTCAGGAGATGGTCAGACACTATCCCAGGCACTGACAATCTTCCATGGACCAAGAGGAGAATTGTAGAATATCTCAGCTTGGGTGGCCTTGGAGCAAAAGCGGTAGGAAGTCCAACAACTGTAGCAGATGCGCTAGAGAGATGGATCGACGTATCTGGAGTAGACGGATTCAACTTGGCTCACGTCACAAACCCAGGTAGTTTCGAGGATATCATCGAGTATCTTCTTCCTGAGCTAAGAAAGCGAGGTGTATTCAGAAATCATGTTGAGAAAGAGGGCGCAACGGCAAGAGAAGTATTCATCGGGTCTAAAAGGCTGCCAGAGGATCACCCAGGCAGTCAGTACAGGTGGCGAGCCGGCGAGGCGCTGCCAAAATATCGCCAGACAGAAAATGGGAAAGCAGTTAGCGATTAGAAGATACCCGTTATAGCGCGCCATGATCTATGCCTTTGTATACCGATAGTTTCGGTGTCTCCCTCAGACCATCTAATGCATCATCGATGTATTATGACGTTCTCTGGGCATCTTTAAATAAGTTCGCTTGCACTTAAAGACTGTCGAAGTAGCCTTAGTGCATTTTGATATGAAGGCACATTTGCAAAGATGTTTGCTTGAGAAAAAGTCACCAGAAACTCGTGTAGAAAGGTCTTATCGGAGACATCTTCTCGAGTGTTTGCGGCCAACGCGAGCGTCAAAGCACAGCTAAGCGTGATATGAACAAAAACCCACGATCTCCGAATTGGACAATCGAGCCTGAGCAGTTCCAGATACGTGCGAAGAACAGAGCGACAGCGCTCCAGATGGGTGTCTGTGAGCTCTTTGCTGTATGCATTCCCATACGAGAGCATCACTGGGCGGTAGAGACAGAGCACTACCGAGTCCACGAATTCGCGGAAGAAGTGATGTTGGATAGAATCGTCACGGGTTCTGCATACTGCGGCATGCTGAAGGTGAGGGGCTGATCGCGCGACAATTTGGTCAACTACCTTCTTGAAATCACGTATCTCAAGAAGGGAGAGCTGTCGTTTTGAGAATCTAGCCTTGCTGGTAGCTTGGCTAATTTTATTGGCCGTTATGAATAGGTGATTGCAGCTGTGGGTGAAAGGATACTGCCGAGATGATTTTTGTGGCGGTGATTCGATTGAGATATCTTCCAGAACCGTAATACAGGACGGCCGCCCGTACCAAAGAGAGACCAGCGTGTCTTGCCATATTAATGATCGCCTATATAATTGTTCATCGTAAACATGATGAGTCAGATGTTTGTGCCATTTCGTAAGAAAATGAAATTATTACGTACCAGATATAGTATTTTACGGTCGCCTCACCTTTTTGATCAATGGCAACATTGTCGGGGTCTGGAGAGCAGTGAAGGCCGAGTGTTTGCGCAAGTCGTATCGTCAGACCTGGAAGTACACGCATGATAATAATTAGCACAATACTTCTTTCATCCTTTTCACCCGATTTCACCAATATTATTCACCTAAAATTGACCAAGACGCTCCAGCATTCGCCTGATTCTGCAAGAAGTTGACAAGCAGTATGAGGGCCTGGATAGTATGGATATCAGGAAAAGAGATGAAGTTATTCAGTCGCAAGCACTGGAATGAGCAGCATGCTGTATGGATTTCGGTATTTGTTAGAATCATCGATCATAAATACAAAAAAAAAAAAAAAAGGTAGAGGCGATGAGACCGACCAAAAACGCCAGCTTTGAGCAGCTCAGATTCTTGGTCGGAACGAAGCTGCGCGCTACACGAGAGAATACTGAATAACAGTCCGAACCAAGTTAACCTGCAGTCAGGTGGTGGGTTTTGCAAAGCTGTAATAGGATTATTTCTCTTTGCATTCAGAAAACGAGACAGTGCAGCTTCAAATTGAACGAAATTGATAGTAAAAGGCAAAATACGAAATAGCGATGTCTGGAAGTACTGAACATAACTTTCTGCCTATTAGTTTGAAGATACCTGGACTGAGAGACATTGCAATAAAGACTTACCTCTTTATATGTTCGTCTTCAGGTAAAGCTTTGTATATAATTTCAGGACCGTCTTCCGGTTTCCACAGGTTTGCAAACGGTATTAGAGCACCCGAATCCTGAAGACAAAGAAGCTCGAATATGGTTTGCGGATTTGTTGAGGGCCCAAACGCAGCTATCGATGGGCTGCTCCGGCCCTGAAGCTGTTGATGAGAGCTGAGACTCTGGTACATCGTGAGAAGACTGGGAAGAGACTCTGGGCCTAGATGAACCTTGGCATTGTACGGGGCAATCGGATTCACATATAATCCTTGGGACATGTCATTTGCAGTACCAGTGGCTACAGGTTCGCCTTCACTCGCAGCAGATGAGCCCGGATTAGAGACATTATTAGCTTTAAGCGAGTGAATCACATCCGGAGCTAGAGTATAATTGCAAAGATCCGGGTGTCCACGGATGGTGCAGCTGTCACAAGGCTGACCGAAGTTGCATTTGACCTTTCGTCGCCGACACGGATAACAGGCCTTTGCTGCTCGAAATCTTCGCTTCTTGGCAATCACCAAGTCATACTCACGGCTAGAAATATCCTGCGGCGCCTGGTCTTGGGACATTGAGACACGGTATTGTCAGTGACGGCGGCGGTAACTCGGCATGTGTTTCCGTTACTGTTGATTCTTTAACTTGCGGTTGCATTGAAGCCTGATGCAATTTTCATGCTTGAATTCCTGCTTAGCATCCAGTGGCGGAGAGGGTCCCTTGAAAACGAATGAAGGTTTTGGGCATGGTGATAAAATGATAAATGCTATTCATACATATAGGTAGCTAATCGTTGCTGTTGAGTACGTCGTATCTTCTGGCTTGTAAGTGCCGAGGCCGGTGCCCCGAGAACTGCCAATGATCTGTCATCTGCTTATAAGCTCGCCGCCGCTTAAGTGGATCAACTAGAGCATAGTGGCTCTCATTTGCTCAAAGCAGGGATGCACTGCTGTGTGTGATGGACGAATGTGCAAAACAAGGCGGAGAACGCTTTGCGGCAATTTTTTTACGAGTAAGAAAGGTTCAAATGAGGCAATAGATTGGTACATGTACCTAGACGTTAGATGATAGGAAAGGGAGAAACAAAGTCACATGTCTTGAGACGAAATTGACGGAGGAGGCTCGGAAAAAAAGGTCCGGTACATTAATAAAATACCTATTTCGAAGGCATGCAAAGGTATCTATGAAAAGCTTGGTCCCTACGGTGGTCGCGAATGCCAAGTATGGTAATTGGTAATGCCAAATTCTCAGCTAAAGCTGGTGTAATAGGTAGTATTTGGTAGAAGAGTTACTCCATACTCTTTCTACCCAGCGGCAGCCTCATCGTGCACCGCCATAATCAGCCACATATGGTGGGGTTATTGTGGCTGGTCCCTCAGCCTTGCGCAGGTCCAGTCTTGCTCCAAATCAGCCCCTCCAAGCCATTCAACGATTCTCATGCGGTTTGCTGCCCTGAAGCCTGACAGCGATCAAGAACGTGTGGTCGGGAAGTATCAGCACCACGCTCCTCATGAATCGCCAGAGACCTCGCCTGAAGAATGGGGTTGACCTCCAGCTTCAGTCGGCCTTTCATGACGGCAACTGGCCTGTCGTGATCCGCCTTGCCGAGAAGCGAGCCAAGATCTCCAATGATCAGTACTATGAGGTGAGTTTCGCAGCTCATAGATTCAACTTTAAGAGATGATGTTTCCAGGACGATGAAGCTGACCGAATATCTCCTTGCCATAGTTTCTCCAGGTCTGTGCCGAGAGCCAGCTTGATGATCCCAACGCCAAATTCGCTGCGGTTGCTGCTGTCTGGAAGCATGTCAAGGACGGCAGCACTATCAAGGATGTAGAGGCAATTGAGCTGATGGAGTGGGCCACCACAAACTTGATCGATGCAGATGATTTTTCCGAGACTCTGGGGCCGTTGAGAGTGCGCGCCGTCAAGGCTGCCCCGAAAGACAAGTTTGCCGCCACACGCTGTCTGGAATCGTGCTTGCTTCACTGGGATTTGGCCAGCGCCCAACAGGTAAAACCACGGCATTTCATATAGCTTGACAGGCAATTTTGGAATTGGCACAGGTGGCTCACAAAATGCAGATTGCGGCCATCATCGATCGCTCGTTCCCGCAGGAAAGGGATTGGCTATTCTGGAATATAGTCATCACACATCTTCTTTCTGTGAGTTTCATATTCAGATTGCTATTCATATATACAGCTCCAACGCTTCAGCTTGCTGATTCTGGTACAGAAAAGTCCATTGATCTCGCCCGACAAAAGGAAGCTCTACGGTACCTTAGCTCAAAAGCAGATCGAGAGAGCTGCTCAAGCCACAGAACAGGTATTCTACTATCAAAGGACGATGTAGACAATTTCAATACTAAGTACAGGCTCTCCTAGGCTGAAGCAGACTCAAATGAGGCATCTACAAAGGCCCCTTCTAGGCGTGTGAAGACGGAAGAAGAAGTCCTTTTGCTCTATGACATTGTTGAGACACACGGCACTCCTGAAGACTTTCGCAAACTTATTTCTAGCCCTATTTTCTCTCCTGTTGCGCAGTTTCGCCAAGGTCGAAAAGAGGTGGTGATGCGCTCCATTGCCAAATTTAGTCGAGATGGTGACTGGCCGACTGTATTCAACCTTTGCAACGACTGTCTTTCCGACTGCGATGCCGACGGACAATCGACTCTACTTGCATCAGATATTGCCATGTGGCGGCATCTGATTACTGCGGCCAGCCATATGAAGGACACACATCCAGAGTTAGTGATGCACCACATCCTTGTCAGTTCCTTGTCTATAACACTGCTAATCCATTAAACTAGCTCTGCAAACGTTATCCAAAAACTGCTTTCAAAACTTCTGTCGTCTAGCCACATGAGACCTATGTACAGACGAAATATCTTACTAGCAAGAGTTTTGGCAGTATTCAGCCTTGGTCCAAGTGACGAACCCGATTTAGCAGATGCCCAGCCTTCTTCATTACGACTTCAAGAGCTGATCCACTACATTGATGATCAGCATACTAGCCCAGCATGCTTTAGTGACGTGAAGACTCTGATGGAAAGCCTTGATGCTGCCGGATTGAAGTATCTAGCATACGATCATTTGCCTAAGTTGGCAGGAGGTGACTCAAGCGACTTCAGGGCGGCCACCACGCGATTGCTGGCTCTTAAGGCACAGTATCTATTATTAACGCACCGAAAGACCAAGTCTCGGGACCAAAATCAACAGCTCAACTGCACGGTTTGTGAATCTACAGTGGAGGCAGCGTTGTGTCATACTTGCCTGTCTCAACTATCACAAGCAGGTGTAACCTTTTACACTTCGGTCATAAAGTCTGAGGGTGACAAAACCAAGATCAACGCCGAGATCATGCCAGAACTTGCAATATTGATTGCATTTTGCGGCCTAAACTTGGCTTTCAGTGAGCACCAAGCTGGGCAGCTTCTAAAACCACAGGCAACGCGCCAACTCATTCGTGCCCTCCTCTTACTCGACGACCATCTCGCCCAGAACTCAGGCCATAGTCAGCTATCTCTTGTTCTAACACAGCTACACATACGCCTTGGTTCAGGCTCTAGGGCCAGCGATATCTGGGACGTCATCGGCGTCAAGCGCACCATAATCGACTCTCTCGGCCCCATCTTCTACGATCGCCTATCGACAATTTCCCCTGCTTTATTGTCAACTTACGACAGCTGGGGCAGCCATCTGATGGATCTTTTGCAGTCGCACTACGTAAATTCCTTGAAGCTAAAGATGCATCAGCGCTTGATAGACGCTTTTGAATCAGGAAGCTACAGCAGCGTGGTGGAAATCCCACGATACATCGAGCGCCTTCGATCGAGCTGTACGAGGGCAATGAGTCTTGCAGAAGCGCGAAGAATCGAAAGATTCCTAGGACAAACTTCACGCGAACTGGAATCAGATCCGCGATTTAGTAAGATTGAGGACTGGTGAAATTTTACTCTGCAATTGAACTAATGATTGGACAGATGAGGTTAACGATGATACGCATCTCACCCAGACAATCGATTACGGATCATTTCCGTCCTGGAACAGCAGCACAGTCCAGCCGATGCACCTCAAGCTTCGGCTTGGACCAGCCCCGTCGGTAAGTGAAACTTCACCTACTTTTCTTTGTATAAGTATTTGTGCTAAATGTATCAAACCCACAGAACCGCCGATGCCATCTATCCATGTTAGCCGAAGCGTTCCACGAGCTACTGACTTATAAATCCCCAGCTAGCTACAAAGCTTCAGCGGGGAGCTCGGAATATGATCATATTTTCATTACAGAAACATTGGGCCGCCTGAGTAACTCTTTCCCAAGGTTCCTGGCCGGCCCTGATGATGAAATGACCCCGCCGGAGCTCTTCTATTTTGAAACTATTAGCCTGCTTTGCACTCTAATGTCTCTGTGCATCGATTTTGATCGATCTTCCGATATTTCCGATGCGTTATATCAAATAACAGAGGCCTTGGGTCTAAGTCTTGAAAACCAACGAAGCCAGATTTTACACAGCGAGAAGTCTTCCATTGAGCGTACAGTTACAATGCTTGGGTCGATGCACAACATTGCCATGCTTCGAGATACAACCGCAGCAATCAAACTGGCTGCTCAATGGATCTTGAACCATAATGAGAAAGAAAAAGCACGGGATAGATCAGGAAAGACCAGCCTTCCCAAAGAATTGGCGTCTAAGATTAAAGATCTACAAACGGCAGCAGAAAAGAGCATTAAGGAGGGCCAGGGGTGGATATCAGAACTCAAGACGGAGGTCATGTCGAGAGACTTTGAGCCTAAGCTCAAAAGATGGGTATTAGAAGACGAGGACGCAATCAAGAGTATCCTCACTATGGACTCGCTGCCTGGGCTGATTGATAGCTGGCAGTTGAACGTCAAGGGTTGGCTGCAGGTCAAATGGGCATAGATGTACCTTTAGGCGGGGTAGAGTAGATAGATGATGATGCTACGGGATATGATGCATCTATAACGGGTCAGTACATACATACATACCTGCGAGTAAGAGTTTCATAAAGCTTTCTAGAACGAACCAGGCTTTACAAGCGCTGTCGCGTCTGTCAATGAATAGAGGCCTGCTAATGTCTGGGCATGCCACACACCAATGCAGGCAAATTACCTATCTGAAAACGACGGGGATTCCCACGACAATCTGTTTTTGAGATTGGATAACCCCAAAAAAAGAACTCCATACAACTGCAGCAACTACCATTATCAACCGATAAAAGGAGGAAAGATGCCAATCCAAAAAAAAAAAAAAAAAAAAAACTTATCCTAGGCTCATGAAACAGGCTTCGCCATTGGGTGTGGAGTGAATATCGCAATTGAGGCGGGTCCCCCTTTTCTGCGCTGAGCCTTGATTGCGCGTACATGCACGTCACCACCGGCGGCTTTTTCTTCTAATTTGCGATTGTCGCAGTTGAGAGGCTTGACGATAAGGGCCATTACTCGTACCAACGGCGGCTTCATTACCCACTTGTCGGTGAATGAGGCCTGGCCGCTGCAGATTTTCCGCGTACAAGCATGGATTTGCGTTGAAATCCAGCGTCACGCACGCGACCCGATCACTGCAACGGCGCTCCAGATACAGGATGGGCCATCAAAGATCACTACCCCAGCCAGGGTATATCTTTCCCCGGCTTCTTTCTCCCTCTTCTCCCTCTTGGCTTCATTTACCGTTATGATTGTCCCAATTAATTCCCACAAAACTTTTCTATCTTGGCAATGCCAAGCACTCGGCTAACACGGCTCTGTTTCTACCGGCACGCGCGTCCATTTCGGCTTGTCGCCTGCCCATACTTGTCTGCATTGCACCTAGCTGGCATCATGGCCTGTATTATCTTGCTTGTGTTGTGTCCCTAGTGGATGGGCATCTGGCCTTAGTAGTAGCCGATAGGATCTAATTTGGAGATGAGATGCTCCGACTTGCGTTGACAGCGCGCGACGCCAGCTTGGCGCATCCCTGGAGCATCTCCCCTGACACGCCGGGACCTGCAAGGAGGCGATGAAGGTATAACGTCTAGTTCTGCTATGATGCAGGTTATTTTTTTTTTTTTTCTTTCCGACTGTATGGAGCTGAATTGTTTTTGGCAACATCTGTGCAACGACCGTGAAGAGAGAGAAGAAGAAATACGTTAAACGAAGCCGGCCCTCGTTCTAGTCAAGATCATGCAGATGATCCATAATGCTTATCAGACGCTGCCATTCGCCAGTCTCACACAGGAGCCTTACGGTCGTCATCATTGTGATTACGGTATTTCTTCTTACTCTGCTTGCTAAGAAAGAACATAGCAAGGGAACAAGGCAATACGAGCTGCCTTTTGGCCTGGGTATTGCAATCTCAGCACAGGACGGTTTCCATTCAGTCAAATCATGTCCCTCAGATCTGGATTATTTGAGACGCAAGGAGTACGGGTTGACTCGCAATGTCGTCTTTCGAAAACGGTGTTTTCGTGGCGTATATAGCAATGAGAGTAGCCCGCGTGAGTCTGTCGCCGATGTCGACAGGCCATTGTTAGGATCGAGAGCAGACATCCTGGATCTCGATGACGAATGTAATAGTGTTTCATCTTCTAGTTCATTAGACCAGGCCAGATCTTGTGACCCTATTACGTTTCCGATATCAGCGCCATACCCAATGGCTAATTTCTCGAATGTCATCTTTGGTGTGGCGACGACACTCTCTCGTTTGCAAGACTCGGTTCCTCAGATTTCTCACTGGATGTCAGGGACTGGTGCTTTGTTTCTGGCCATTGTCGTTGACGAATCGGTTACCGACGATAGTCTTACTTCGTTAGAATCACTCTATGACAGTCACGATATCAACCTAACAGCCATTCGACCATGGAACTGCTCATTTAATGTCAACGAGCAGCATTTTGCCATCATTCGGGACCTACATGATTATTCAAGCCAAGAGACGCAATGGGCAGCTATCATTGACGACGACACATTCTTTCCCTCGCCGTATTCAATCACGCAGCTCCTAGCATCACACGATCCGTCTCTGCCAACCTACATCGGCGGCCTTTCCGAAAGCCAGGGGGCAGTAGACTACTTTGGCGTCATGGCTTATGGAGGCGCCGGGGTCTTCATGAGCATGCCGCTCATACGACAGCTGGACTCCCATGTCGACGAATGCTTAGCCGCGAGCCTCACCAGAGAAGGAGACGGTCTGTTAAGTGGTTGCATATACAACCACACACAGACGCAATTAACCGTCGTCCCCGGACTCTACCAACTCGACATGAGAGGCGACCTCAGCGGCTTTTACGAATCTGGCGTCTTCCCGCTCAGCCTCCACCACTGGAAGTCATGGCACCAGGCCCCCGTCGACAAGATGGCCAAGATTGCCGATTTCTGCGGCGAGTGTTTCTTACAGCGGTGGAGGTTCAACGGTGATACCATCCTAGCCAACGGATACAGCATTAGCATCTACGAGGGCGGCATAGCCAAGCCCGACTTGGATCTCATCGAAGGCACATGGGAGGCAGCGAGGGAATACGAGAGCACAATGGGCAAGATGAGGGACAGGGTGGACGACGGCAAGAAAAAGAGCTACCGGCTTATCGACGCTGAGGAGGTGGATGGGAGTTTACGGCAAGTGTTTTTGCGTCATGGGTCTTCCGATTTGGATAAGGATGGCGAGTTGGAGGCAATGGACGAGGTCGTGGAACTTTGGTGGGAGTGGCCGCAAGACGACGAGTATTGAAGCCGAGAGCGTGTGAATGAGCTCAGATTTTTTTTGGGGGGGGAATTTGTTTTTACTGTGTTTTGCTTTCGTCTTGTCACGCTTGATTGATGAACCGATGGACAGGGATACTAAAGGACTGGCGATGGGAGTTGGCGGGATGGGGTGGTTTGTATTTTGTGCGTGGCGTTTACGGCTCCTACTCTATGAGATAAACTTGTTGCAACATCCATAGCATCGAAATACTAAACAAGATCGGACAAATCTCGCCATTTGGCTCACAGATGGCAAGTCAGGTCACAATCTACAGTGCTATGCTCGTCCATGGCGGCTTCAACATGCACATCGACAGACCGCACGCTAGGCAGGACTAAGCAGTAGACATGAAAAGACTTCCGAGTCACTGAACAGCATCCCATTTGCGACAACGGATGGTGTATAGAGTCAGCTATATTCTAACTTTGTGTATATCAGCCGGAGAAGCAGAGGGCGTCGTATGTAGAGACAGAATCTCGCAAATGTCCGAATAGGGTAAAAATTGTCTGTTGATTCTTAGCGCAGAGGCGATTGGATTGGCTGGATAAGTGCGGAGAGAGATCTGTGGAGATGGTGGTGGCGTTTATTTTGTAGTGGTATTGCCTGTTTTTGGCAGAATTTGAGAGAAGGAAATGCATTCTAAGAATTGCCGGCAAGGGTACCGTACATGCTGCATCTCAACACCATACATGGACCTTGGTGACTGCGATAGGTGCATGTAATACATGTTGGGGGAGGAAGCATGCGTGAGACCATATAAACCCAACAGTGCGGCTATTGACGATTACGTTCTTTTAGAGGCGTTCTGTGAGCGACTTTTCCTGTATCTCTTCTCATTTATTTTTGAGCGTCCTTTGTCGATTTGATTCCTCCCTAGCTGCAGAGGCACTTTCAAGATGGACACGCTTCGGGAGTTGTCTGTTGGCAGACTATTGGAGACATTCGCGTCTCACCCGCTTACGGCGCTGGGAGCTGCTGTGCTCTTTCTGAGTATGGTATACACGCTTGTACGTATCATATCATTTGCGAGACATACAATCAACGAGTCTCTTTTATTAACCACGCCGTCCGTCTCTAGATGCCGTCGAGCCGTCGCAATGTCCCCTCATTCAACTCTCCACGGCCCGAAAAGCAATCCAAGGATGCTCTGAAAATCGACCCATTGAATGACCTGGACTGGAAGGCCGTTGAGCCCACGAAATACCGACCATTCAAGCCCATTTACCACATCACCATGGGTAAGTTCTATTCTCCTGGCAGCCCACTCTCACTTACACACCCGCGAACATCGAGTAGGACCCTTCACTGCCAATGTCACAACTAACGGAACACACAAAAAATAGCACTGAAAGCAGACACCCCTTCGGAGCTCATCACCGTCGACACAGACTACTTTGACAGAGTCTCGCTGCGGCGCCAGATCATCACCCAGCATGGTGCCTTGGTCCACGGCTGTCTTCCCGCCGGTGTCGAAGCCGTCAACGAGCTCTACCAATTCCTGCTCAAGGACTATCTCCCAACTCGCTTCCCAACCATGTTCCAGCTCCGGGATCAGGGCCTTCGGTTCGAGAATCTTGTGACCGGCCAGACGTTCCCCACGGCTGTGCCCGAAGATCCAGCTGCGGCACTGCGGACCCTCGCCGAGACAGTCGAGGAAGACATGTTTCTGCTGATTGGCGAGCCAGAGGGGCACCGTGCAGTGGCATTTCAGTGCTGTTTTCCGTCAGGATTTGATCCATCGTCAAAGGTGGGCAAGTTGCTGAAGGAGATTCACTCGCCGGTGCCTTCGTACGACAAGATTGGACCAAGCATGGAGAGGTTCTTTGGCAAGATTGAGGTGGGCAACAATGTAAAGCGAACAAACGTGAGTTATTGTCTCTGTCTTCTTTCCTTTTTGCCTCCTTTCTCTCTTTTCTTCACACTTCTCTTTATTCTGCTGTTTACTTTGTGATGCGGCTGAAGCCGAGGCTGAGGCTGAGATTGAAGCCCATCTGAGAGGAGCTGAACACGATCAAATGTGTGCACGTACATGTGTTGAACCTGAACTAATCAAACATCTTGTGTAGTGGGGCATACAAACAGATGGCAACTTGTTTCATTACGAACGGCACGATGGACCAACCAGCGATGCTCCATTGGCAGCTGAAGCAGAGACGGACATGAGCCAGGTGAGAGCCCCCTTTTATTTCATTGCATAAACCTTCCACGAGGCGGTGTTACACTGTTATCACGTCCAGGTACTTGCTCGTACATGTGGCTACATGTATACAGCATTTGCACCACCCGCTGCGTGTACATGTATCTACTACTATACCTAAATAGCAGCTGATTCACATGAGTACATCATGTACTGACTCTTCCATCTCTCTGTCCAGACTTATGCTCGCATCGAGCTCCAGACGCTCAGCCGGCTGCCCAAGACTCGGGCCGTTCTCTTCTCCTTCAAGACGTACCTCTATTCGCTGCGGCAGCTCCGAGAGGAAGGGCTGGGCCCGCAGGTGGCAGATGCCATTGAGGGCCTCAAGACCGGCAACGCGCCGGGCATGTGGAATTACAAGGGCGCACCGCAGTGGGGAGAGCCGGTTTGCAGGTACCTGAGGTCATGAAGCTCATGGAGGTCATGAAGGTCATGGGGCAGATTAGATACGTGTAGAAAGGGCGATATCATTGAGGTATCATATACGGAGTACGTGGACGTACATATGAATGAGGGCGTGCCTTGTGAAACCAAGAGATGATACCAAAGCATCATGTACATCACATTGAAGTTGGTACATGTAGTATTGGTCGTGAGTATGGAGTTTTCAGCTTCTTGTCTAGTAGATTCATTTACATATAAAGCTCAAATCATTGATCTTTGCAACGCCATTTGTACGAGTTTAGAGTTGCCACAGACACATGCCTTGCCTCTCTTTTTGCTTCCGGTACCGACCCTTTGTCTACCCGGATCATGCCTTGTTTCACATCTCGCGACATTAATCAATTGCCCATGCACGCTGCAGCTGGTTACATGCATCTTGCATTCACCGAAGCCACCACACGCATCGGCCACCTCAGCTTGTGCGGCGTCGTTGCGAAGCGGCAGCAAATGCGGGACGGCGATTCGCACAGCGGCAGGTTTAGCGCTCCTGCAACCGGATTCCAGGGCCTGGCGCACGGCCGCTCGCCCGCTAATCAGGTCGCCTCGCCCGCTGCAGGCCACCACACGAGACGCTACAAGTGCTGTGGCATGCGCGCAAACCGCTCTGCAGCTGACCCGGCCCGGCATCTTATAAATTTTGCACTGCTCACTCTCTCCTCTCCTCTCCTCTCCTCTCCTCTCTCTCTTATATCTTCCCCCTCTTCCTCTTCTTCTCCTCTGCGTTCCGCCTCTTTGCCTCTCGTTTGCGCGTTATTCCCCATCTCTTTGCCTGCACCTCCCTGCATCTCTCTTCTCTCCCTCTTCACGTGCACCCAGCGCTCAGCATCTCAGCTACCGCCCAAGTGCCGACGGTGCCTTATCGCCTCACTAGCAGCAAAAACTCCCCTGTAAAACCCTCCCGCTGGTGGCTCGCCGCCCAATCACAGCGCCCTCCCTGTCTGTTCCAGAGGGCTGAACTGCCGCTAAAATCGCCAGCAGCGAGCCTCGTGATCCACCTTTATCCGTCGTCGCACGGGGAACGTCACCGCAACGTACCGACCCGAAAACCGCCAACTGAGAAGCTTCAGAAACGGCCAGACAAAAACTTGCTTCTCCCCCATCGACCCGGCACCAGCCTCGCGCCTCGACCCGACGCAAGCCCCGTCCAGCTTTTGACTTCTCTCTCCTGCTTGATCTGCGTCCTGCCATCCTCGACGAGTCCGATCGGTGACGAATATCCGCATAAAAAAGACGAGACACAGAGACAGCAAGACAGAGACAGAGACACCATCTGAGCGCCAGCCCGGCTTCCGACGACCCAGATCCTCTCGCGCGCTCCATCGCAGGCTATGCTCTGAGGCCGCAGAGCTGCTGCGCGCTCCCGTCCATCCGTCACTCTCTCTTCCGCGGCCCTTCAACGAGCCTGTTGGGAGCTGCCTGCGTTTGCCGAGCTCTGAAGCTGCCTGTCCGTTGGCGTGTAGCGCGCGCCGATCCACCTCGTTTCGCGCCTCAACCCCGAATCTGCAGACGACGCAGCACATCACGCGGCCAACATGAGTCTCCCATGTGCGTTTGATTTCTTCTCGTCTCTTGGTGCTGTTGCCTCTGGCTGTTCTTCTTGTTCTTTCCGACCCTCCTCCCCCTTCGTTCCTTTGTTTTCCTTCTTTATTCCTTAAATCATCTACCCTACCCTGGCAACCCAATGCCTGGTGGTTCGATCCGATTCGATGCAACCTGGCATCGGCGCCTTTCCCTTGCCGGTGACTACGATGACTAAAGATGGCGATATGATGACAATGGCAACCCTATCATGGCTCATGGCTAACAAAATCCTGCTCTTCCCCCCATCACAGTGTCTTCCGACGACAAGAAGCGCTACACCGCCCTCATTGATGACATCCTCTCCACCGCCGACCTCGAGACCATCTCGCGCAAAAAGGTCCGCCAGGCCTTGGAGGCTGCTCTGGGCGGCAAGGACTTGAGTGAGCAAAAGGCAAGCATATAGTGCCATGAGAGGAAATCCACGTCTTGGCCCCAAAAAAAAAAAAAGACTAACCCGCCTGGCGTGTTCTAGGATGCTATCAAGAGGCTTATAGAGGAACGCTTCGATGCCGTCTCTGGCGCTGATGCCGGAGATGCTCCTCCCTCACCTCTGCCCGACGCATCCAGCAACAAGCGGCCAGCCGCCAATGGCACCTCTGACTACGACGATGCCTCCGCCTCTCCCGAGCCGGCCAAGAAGAAGGCCAAGCGGTCCTCGTCCATAGAAGATGCCGACGCCCGCCTGGCTGCTCAGCTCCAGGCGCAGGAAAACAGACTGGCAAGGAGCCGCACCACCCGCGGCGGAGGTGACAAGGCGCGGATGGCAAAGAAGAAGAAGGCTCCCCGCAAGAAGAGCGCCAAGAAGGTCGGAGATGATGACGACAGCGAGGTTGATGCCAGCGGAGACTCTGCCAAGAAGCGTAAAGCCGGCGGTGGTTTCCAGAAGCCCTTCAACTTGAGCCCTACCTTGTCAGAACTATGTGGTGAAACTCAGGTAAGAAGAGGAGAAAAACACGTTCATGGGGTTGATTTGATTTGACATGCTCTTCTAATGTCCTTTTGGGGGGGACGCATTCCGCTAACATGACTATAACAATAGCTTTCCCGTCCTCAAGTCGTCAAGAAGCTATGGGAGCACATCAAGGCAAATGACCTTCAAGATCCCAAAGACAAGCGCCAGATTCGCTGTGACGAGAAGATGATGGCCGTGTTCAAGCAGGCCAAGGTTGACATGTTCCGGATGAATAAGGATATTGGAAGCCATCTCTACCCCGTTGGAGAGGAGTAAAAAGGGAGAGTTTCTGAAGGTGAGGAAAAAAACAAAACATGTTTTTCAAAACAGCAATACCATCATCACTTGTACCGGTAGCGGCCAGAGATGAAAGCAAACGACTTCATCGATTGCAGTGGGGTTTTCCGGGCGCGCCGGCGGCGTATTTGGGGTTACATAACAAGGCTGGGTCATCAATCATCATATTTCATTTACTATCATCCGTATAGGGGGGAAGAAGGAGGGATGGAAGGAGAGGAGTATTCAGCGAAGAGTCATTTGAATTTTCTTTGGTGTAAATGGAAATTGGGTGGCGGAGGGAAAGGCTAGGTCAGAGGGGACTCGACGGATTCATCTGGTGTTTTTTAGCTGTGATATCTTTTTTTTTTTTTTTTTTTTTTTTTTCATCTTTATCTTACCTTGGACGGTTTTCTTTGAGAGAATCGTGAATATAAAGGAAATAAATGGAGAATAAACAGCGTATAATGCTCCCAGCCGAACTAATATAAACAATGCTGCAGATTATCAATGTGGAGTTTACAATGGCTTTTTTGGGGTGGGAATGATGCAAAAACATGGAAGAGAAGAGATACTGCTCAGTGAATAAAGAAGTGGTGCTAGGGTAGCCTCAGAGATGTGTTACGGATGTGCCGAGAAGCTGCAGCTATACCCGTATTTTATTCGTATTAGCAATTGAAAATAAATTGAAACCAAAGCATACAATGGAAGCAAATGATTCCATGGGCCTGTTTCGTAACGAGCTACCCTATTGCTACCCTATTGCTGCTAGCACATTTGCGCCATGGCAATCCCCTATTCTACGGCCGGAGTGCCCGTACAAGGCAAACGTCACCGCTTCAAAGGCGAATGAGCCATGAGCAATAATAAATCCATCTAATCTAATCAGCCACATTGATCCAAGGCCTGCAGCAAGACAAGAGTGCTGTGAAACAAGTCCCCTATTTGCTTGATTTTAATTTCTTCAGCGTCGTTTGCCGGATGACTCCTCCCGCTGACTAGAGGCGGCCACCTGAGCTACCCGGCATTTGCAATAAAAAGCACAACAGGGCTATGATTCTACAGCGAGCCGCAGCTGCAGCTGAGTCATCAGGGCGGACTGCGCGGAAACACAGCCTTGCAAGGCGAAACGCGCGCCGCTGATTGGCCGCCCCAAGCCTTTCGCTCCAAGGGCTTGAAGCAGGGTAAAAAAACACCGCCCAGAGCAAGCGGGCTTGCCTCGTTTTGTACGTACAAAACCCAGGCGGTAGCCCTGCTGGAGGGGCTCTGAACGATCGAGGCCAAAAAATCCGCAACGAGGCTTGATTCCTCTCGCTTCTCTTCTTCGCCATCATTTCTGCTGTTTTCTGTAACCTTGCCACATAATTTTATTATACTATTCTATTCTTCTCCTCTCCATATTACCTGTCTCGACATCTACATAGACCGTGCATCCGTGGAGCATTAGCTCGACGATAAGCGATAGCTTTGCCCGTGGGGGTTCAGCTGCAACGTTTCTTCAACGCCTACACCCAACCCGAACCCACAGAAAGCTGCCTCTACGGAGAGCCTCAGCGCATTTCCCGAATCTCCCATCCCCGACTCAACCATGACAGCCCCGGAGGGAGCAGCTCAAAACACCAGCCGAGGCGACGGCAGCTCTAGAGGACGAGGCCGTGGCGGCGGCGGTGGAAGTAGAGGAGGCGGCGGCGGAGGGGCCAAGCGAGGAGGACGAGGCAGCGGCAATCGAGGACAGGGACGCGGCCAGAAGGGAACACAAGATGCTGCTGCTGCGACATTGGCCGGGTCAGCAGAGGCTGCGCCGTCTGGAGCCGGCAAAGAGAACAAGGCCATGGCGGCCACCCGGCCAGAGGTCGACGACGGCGACGACGACGCCGAAGTCTGCTTCATCTGCGCCAACCCGGTTGCCCACCACTCGATCGCGCCGTGCAACCACAAGACATGCCACATCTGCGGCCTGCGCATGAGGGCCTTGTACAAGGTCAAGGATTGTGCCCACTGCCGAGTACGTCATTGACTTCCCTTTGCTTTTTTGCCAATACATGTATGCTAACTACCGGTGCTCTTATAGACGCCAGCATCCTATGTCATCTTCACCGACGATGCCGAGAAGCGATTCGAAGACTACACCGACAAGGACTTCACCACCACCGACACCAACATCGGCATCAAGTACACAAACGAGGACATTGTTGGCGACACCGTCCTCCTGCTGAGATACAACTGTCCCGACGAGTCCTGCGACTTTGCCGGCCTGGGCTGGGCCGACCTCCACCGGCACGTCAAGTCGGCGCACCACAAGCGCATGTGCGATCTCTGCACTCGTAACAAGAAGGTCTTCACCCACGAGCATGAGCTCTTCGGCGATAAGGAGCTGGAGAAGCACATGCGCCACGGCGACGACAAGCCCGGCGCTGCTGACCAGACGGGTTTCAAGGGCCACCCGCTCTGCGGCTTCTGCGGCCAGCGCTTCTATGACGACGACAAGCTGTTTGAGCACTGCCGCATGAAGCACGAGCGATGCTTCCTCTGCGACAGACGAGATTCGAGACAGCCCCACTACTTCCTCAACTATGAAGAGCTGGAGAAGCACTTCAAGAAGGACCACTTCCTGTGCTCTGACCGCGGATGCTTGGAGAAGAAGTTTGTCGTCTTCGAGTCCGAGCTGGACATGCAGGCTCACAACCTCGCCGAGCATGCCGGTAAACATGTGGGCAGAGATGCCAGGCTTGTCGACATCTCTGCTTTTGATATTCGTCAATCGTATCAGCCGGAAAGACGCGGCGGCCAGCGAGAAGGACGTGCCCAGGGACGGGCAAGAGGCAACAGAGGAAGAGACCCCAACGAGGATAGCATTCTGCCAACTGTGAGTTCGACTGTGCCTCTGCGGAGAGACGAACTGGCGTTTCAGCGACAAATGGCCATTGCCTCGGCGCCTTCGGGTTCAAACCGGACATTCCGAGGCCAGCTGTCGACTCCAACTCCCTCTACCGCGCCAGTAACTCCCACGCTCGCACCCACACCAGCTCAAGCATCGTCAGCCAGAAATGCTACGGCAACACCCCCTTCAAGGCCCCGAAGCGTTGGACCAGGCGCCGGCCCCGCTGCCGCGACCAACGCCATCGAGGCCCTCAGCCTTACCGACTCAGCCAGCCTTTCGCCCGAAGAACGAGCTCGCCTAGTTCGCCACGGTAGCGTCATCGAGCGGGCTGCGAACCTCCTGGGCAACGATGCGCACAAGATGGCAGCCTTCCGTAGCCACATCTCAACATACCGCCAGGACGGTTTCACAGCTCCTCAGCTCATCGAGGCCTTCTTTGCCCTGTTCTCGGATGCATCATCAAACGCCCTCGCAACTCTCGTGAGAGAGCTGGCAGATCTTTTTGAGGACAAGAGCAAGGCTGATAACCTCAGAAAGGCCTGGCAAGACTGGCGGGCCATCAACGAGGACTACCCCAGCTTACCGGGCCTTGGTGGCATGCAGGGAGCAACCTCAAGCTCCAGCGGATGGGCGAGTGCCGCGGCTGCCAACACGAGATTCACCGTTGTTGCGCCTTCGCAACGAAACTCGAACAGAGTCTTGAAACTTAAGAACAGTACTCGACTCGGCGGCCCAACGCCCACCGCTTCACGAGGGCCCCCCGGCTGGGTGGCAGCGTCTTCCTCATCCTCCTCGTCCAAGGCCCCCTCAGCATCAGCCTTCCCTTCTCTGCCAACACCGTCTTCATCCTCATCATCCCGCGTATCTGCGGCCGCCTCCGCACCCTCATGGACCGCCTCTTCTTCATCATCCTCCCAGTCTCGCGGCCGAGGCCCAGCACCGCCAAACACCCGCGCAGAAGACGCTTTCCCTGCGCTTCCCGCAGCTCCGAAACCTCAAACGACCATCTTTGGCTACGGTGGAGGTCGCGGCGTGAGACGCGACTTTGGCCAGCGGGAGTCAGACTTCCAATGGGGGGCTTCTTCTGCTGCTCCTGCGGTGTCGTCGTCTGCGGCTGAGGAAGCGGACGATGTTGAGGCGGGAGGAAAGGGCAAGAAGGGTAAGAAGGGTAAGAAGCAGATTCTGGTTCAGTGGGGATAAAACAGTAAAGAAAGAAAGAAAAAAAGACCAGAAGAAAAAAAAAGGGGGGCGTTGAAGATACTACTCGCGTTCTTTTTGTCTCACTTTTTTCTTTTTTTTTTACATTACGGAATAATGTTGTTTCCTTACATATCCCTTGACTGTTATTGCTTTTCCCTTTATTGATGAGGGACTTGTGACATTGCCTAGGCGTTGGATTTGATCGATTTCACACTATATCAAAAAAAAAAGTGTGAGTCTTGTAAGAGCGAATGTTGGAATAGTACACAGATAGGTACATAGAGATGAAATAAAGAGAAATGTGTCACGCAACTACTGCAAAGAGTCATCTACTACCCGCATACTGTTACATTGTGAAAGCAAAGTTGAAGCTAATATTGAAACATGAAAAAAAATACAATCCAAAAAAAAAAAAAAAAAAAAAAAAAATCAAACGCTTTTAAACTGTCATATATATCGCTTTATAAATGACAGGAATCGCTATCCACCATGCATGACAGCCCCCCTCCATATTTTTCTCTTCAACTACCCCCTTTTACAGTCCAGCAGGCTCATAGTACTCTCTAAACCGATCCGACGTCTCCCAGTGCAAGTTATACACCACGTTCCAGCACGTAAGCAGCAGCATCGGGAACCTCACCGTCCAGTACACCAGATATCCATCCGGCAAGGAACCCACACTCCGCTTCAACGAATCCGACATGTCCTCATAGTGATTGCGCTTGTTTCTCAGGGCACGCAGCAGATCGAGTAGTTTCGATCCTGTGTACTTGCGCTGCTTGCCCAGGGAGTCGACAAACTCCCGAGTCAGAAGCTTCAAAAAGTCTCCTCTAATGACATCTGGAGCATGTCTCTCCAACTCCATCAGCGCATCCGAAGGAGGATCCCTAATTTCCTTCTCGAGCGAGTCTGATACATCGCAGAGGAAAGCCAGACGCTTCTTTGGGGACCAGAAGAACGGGTGAGCCATGACCTCCACAGACGTAGGCCGTAACTTGGGGTCTGCTTGCAACATGGACGCAATTAGATCCTTGGCTTCGTATGAAAAGTCGCCGAGCGAATCCAAGGGATCGAGATTGTAATTGCCCTTGCGAATGTTGACCTCACGCATATATCTATCGCCGCAATCAAACGGATGTGAGCCGTTTGTGAGCACGTAGAAGAAGACGAGTCCCAGGGAGAAGATATCAATGGCTCTCGTAGCGCGTCGACCATTTAGGAGCGTAGGATCCCCAACGAGAATGGTGCCTGAGCCACTATGTGTGCTTCCATCCTGAGCCGCGGGATTCTGCCCGTCGTCATCGAGAAGAAGCTCGGGGGCACGCCATCCAGTCGTCCCAGCTGCTCGGCCTGTCGTTGCTCCAAACGAAGATTGAGTACCGTCCAGTTTCTTGCACAGGCCAAAGTCAGAGACTAGTAGTCTCGGTCTGCCGTCCTTGTCCAAGTTGACCAAGATATTCTGAGGCTTCAGATCGCGATGGACAATGCGCAGGGAGTGTAGATGAGTAATGCCGTTGGTGATCTGGTACAGGACGCCAGGCAAATCTTTTTGTCCAGCATTGGCCAAGTTACGGAAGTGATTTGGCTTCTCAATCACATCTGCAAGTGAGGCGGCGCAGCGTTCTAATGCAATATACAGGAAATCTCCTCGCATTTCCTGTGAGTAATATCGGATAACTGCGAGTGTCAAATTAGTATTTATTTCACTTGGATTTACCATGTGAAAAAAAAAAAAAAAAAAAAAAAAATAGCACAATATGCGTAACAACTTACCATTGGGGTGATCGTCACTCTCACGCAACAACCGAGTCTCCCGCGTAGCAATGTCGTAGAATTGGATAGTCATTCTCTTGACAGCAACATCTCTGCCATCAAATCTACCAGCAAAGACAACGGTGCCGTTGCTGCCCATGCCAAGTTCTATATCTGTGTCCACTTCGATGTTGCCGATGCTAATGATAGAGCCTGTGACAGCTTGCATGTCGTTATAGATCGTTCGGAAGTCAGGCTCGAGGCTGGGCCGATCGCCCAGCTTTTTAGCATTGCTAACGGCCTCATCCACCGTACTAAGTCCTCCATCATCATCTCGTGATGGTGAACCCTCACGAGGGCGATTCTTTTTGTGCTTGACACCACCTCGACGACCTCTATGGGCTTTCTTCTTCTTCTCAGGAGCGGCGCCATTGGCAGAGTCTTGCGCCTGTGTGTCTGGAGCATCATCTGTTTGCTTAGCCCCATCGACCACCTTCTCGTCTGTCTTCTGACCGGGCTCTAAGGACTCGGAAGAATCTCTATCTCTGTCTTTGTCTCTATCTTCATCGCCAGCTGTGGAGTCTAATTTTGGTTTAGTTACCTCTTCCACTCTTTGGTCTTCAAGTTTAGCGAGTGGAGTGGTAGAAGAGGAGGAGGAAAATGCTGCATCTTTTTCATCGCCTGATTCGTCTCCAGCACCAGGATCTAGGGTAAGGAATGGATATATGTCTTTGAGACTGCCTTCGGTCCTAAATCGGTGATATGCTCGTCGGAGCTTCTTTTCGTTGTATATCAACGAACCCACGAAAAGAATAATCAGCACAGGGTTGCTGACAAACTCTATGACGCTATTCGTGGCACTTTGTTGAAAGGCTTTGGCTTTTGTTATGATGGTAGGCTCTTGGGGAACAGCAGGTGTTACCGCGTGAGCGTTATTCGAGCCATTCTCCACGTCATCGGAAAAATCGTCGAGAATTCCAGGAGGGAGTGTCAGATGCTGATGTTGGTAGCCATCACTCCGCAATGAGTCCAAGAAGTGGGTGCCCACCATCGCTTTGGAAATTTTCGAACGATTGATCGTATCAAATGCTGGAGCCGTATCCCACCAGTCAGGTTGCGATATCTGAGCCACCGGCGCGTCGACAATGAGAGGATAGGCCCGGCCAGACAATGCATACCAGCTACCACTTTCGGTTTGATTGAGGAAGATGCTGTTGCTTCGCATTTTGGCAACAGTTTCATCCTGTGATGGCATTGGCGGTTGGGGAAGAACAACAAGCTCAGGGTTGGTGCCCGCGACAGCGTCCCATGGACGACAAACATCAAAAACCCGTGCCACCGGAGAGGAGAATTTGTGGCTAAAGAGGGGCAAACGGTTATCCGACCGGGACTGATCGAAAGCATAAACCTTGCCATCGTGCTGGCTGGTTATGTAGCGGCTATCGAGCGACGCATGATACTGCTGGTAGAGGTCGCTGTCAAAGGTGTTTGGTCCCCATTCTGCATATTTAAGAGTTGCAATTGGGCGGCCATCTCGTCTTTGGATTCCCACAGTATACTCTGTTCTTCCCAGGGTGATGGTACCCATGGAGCTGCACTCTTCGTTGTCTGGATCACCAAAGGCATTGGGTCGGAGGCAGCTTTCGCCTTCATTGACAAGGGACCCGCCGGAACCAAACCACTTAAGCACACGTCCGGTAGCCACATCCAGCGTAACCATGGTCGTTTTCTTGTCTCCTGTATACACGACCGGTGGCTCATCGCCCGCATACGGGGCAAGCTCTTCTACAAGCCGCTTCATGGTAAATCCAGTTCGAATGAGGCCGGCACCGGCATCTGGAATCCATACATAAAGCCCTCCATCGCGGCTGGGCTCAACAGCCCATATGTAATGATCTACGGGGCTGTAATCGTCGTCGAGGACGGAGTTGTTTGTTCGGTAGTGTTTTGTTTCTACCACTGGCTGATCGACCTCAAGATGCCACAGTTGCCGGCCGGTTTTTCGGTCGCTGGCATAGAGGTCTCCATCGACGGTCGCCAGAAGAACAAAGTCTTCAACTTCCCAGTCCTCCAGACTCCGCGCATTTTGCGGCGATGCCAGCCCAGAAGCGCTACTGCTAGGCCAGAGATGTCGTGAAGTGTGTGGTGCTCGAACGGACTGAGCCGGAGCTAAAGTTGCGAGGGCGCTCGCATCGCTAGGGACTTTAATGTATTTTGATTTATCGGATTCTTGGTTTGGTTGTTGGGATCGATTTGGCGCCTTGTTGACGTAATCGTACGGGGCACGTCGAGCGCGTTGATGCTGCTGCGGCAGAGGCGTCGGTTGCTGTGGCTGTTGACGTGGTTGTTTTTGTTTTCTGTTTATGGTATCGAACCTCGCCTCAGCGTGCACATCGTCGACTTGTGCGGCGTACCACTGGTTGTTGGTGGCGTCTTCGGATCGTGAGTCAAGAGGACTGTCGTCTCTTTGCGAATGGATTCGGATTTGAGGCTGTAGGGGCTGCTGCTGAGCGTCGACAAGCTGAATCCATGGGATGAGGATGATAGCAAAAGCTAGCAAGAGCTTCTGATGCTGCGAGGACCATCGTCCTTGGCCCGGAGGTCGTCGAAGCATTGTTGAGACGAAAAAGGCGGCTGTCGGAGAATGGATCACATGAAGAATGTTGCTGCTAAAGCTCTACCAAGAGAGAGGTAGATGCTGTTGCGATGCTAGAGGAGCCATCCCCAGCCGTGGCAAGAATCGGGATAGATTTCGCGTCTTGGCCTCAGGGGGAGGCGACAAAGGAAGAGAGAGCTGGGGGCTGGGCAGAAACCGGTCCCGCACAGCAAGCAACCAGGCACAAAAACCGCCGAACAACCCGCGGCACGGCCAGATGTGAGTCGAGAGAGAGCTCTGGAGGAGCGCTGCGTAACGGCCTGCGGCTTCGTTTGTGACGGATAGGAGGCGTGACGCAGATTGTGGATTCCGGGCCGGGTGGTTGTGTTTTGAAAGCGCTGGAGCTCTATTTCGACCGACTTCGCTTTTCGCTTGGCCAGGGGGTTTGGCGTCTAGTCCGTCCGACTTGGGATCGCTGCTCGTGTACTGCACCTCCAGCCCAGGACCCTGCGGCGTTGGAAGGGATTCAGGACAAGGGCAATGGAAACTGGCGATGGCGAGGGCGAGAGGAGGCCCGAGAGGGAGAGGGAGAGCAGCGTGGCTCAGATACTGTGCAAGATGGTGTGGTGCGGGTTTGTGGGTTGGCCCGACGCTGCTGGGTACGCGGTGCGAGTCGCTTAACGGGTTCCTCTCCAGCGCGGATACCCCCTCAGCGAGGCCGCCGCTGCGGGCCCGCGAGGTACTCTTGGGGCATCGGTACGAGTCAGCGAGGTAGCCCCGCGTATCAGAACCCCCCCCTCAACCCCCAGGCCTGCTGTCTCTGCCGCTTCGCCAGGGCTGGATCCTCAAGCCTGCGCAGCAGCCAATTGCAGGCCACTCCCAGTCGAGGATCGCGAGATATTTGGTGCGATGGCCGTAATATTACTGCGAACGGCCATGTGTGCCGTGCCGCCAGAGCCTGTCTTGCATTCCCTGCAGCCCACCAAAACAACTTTGCGCAGCCTGTGTAAAATTGCATCACAGTGGTTGAGTCGCCGGGGTCTGCGGAGGACGAGTTACGGCATACGTGTGCACTTCTGCTGGCACTGGCTGCATTACGAAGCAGCCGCAATACGGAGTATACAGTATGAAGCAAAGACGAGAATTACTAGGTTAGTAGGTAGCAGCAGTAATAATAATAATAACAATAATAGAATACTTTACTACTACTAGTAGTAGAATAAATTGCATGGTCTGCAGCTAATGGCCAGACCAGACACACACATCTCTCCATCTCCATGGCTGATGAGACAATCCAGCTTTCTCCAAGAAAAAAAAAAACTGTCATTATTTTGTGCCATTTTCCGTAAATAAAATCCGGTGAAAATCTACCCATACACGCAAAGCACTCCCGGAATGCCTACCCATGCTAGACAAAAGAGAGAGATACACACCCCATATCCATCTATGCCACAATCTCCTCGCTCTCCTCCAACACATCCTCGACGATCTCTTCAATCACCCGGTCGTTTTCGTTGCTGGCTCCGTCGAGTGCCTCCACCTCCTTTGTCTTTGCCTCTAGAAGGGCAGCATGTGGATCCTGCGGCAGACCCAGGACCTCCCGCTCTTCAGCGACCTCAGCCTCCACCTCCGCACGCCAAGCATGCCACTCATCCAGGACGCGGCGGCGGGCTTCGACAACTGCGAGATCGGCAGACGCACCACGGTCGGCGTCTTCCTGCTCGAATACTCTGCTGTACTCACGCAGGTTCTTGCGGATCTGCTTCTGCTCGTCTTTTGAAAGCATGGTGGGCGGTCGCGGACGCCACTGAAACTGCTTGAATTTCTCGATGGGCTCTTCGCGGAGCGCCTCACCCTTGAAGTCGTAGATGTGGTATCCATTTTCCATCTGTGGTTTTTGCGTTAGCCATCTCGTCCTGCGATTACATATAGTCTCCTGAATGTGCATCTTGTAAATGTAAAAGTACGTACCGCATGCTTCCATGCCGATGCCCACGTGGCGACGAATCTTCCTGAGGGATCCCACTCGACATCGGTGACGCCGTAGTGGTCGGCTGTGTTCATGAGCTGCAAGTTAGCAGTCAGGTCCTTGGCGGACTCTGGCTTCTCGCCCTCAAAGTCGACATCGTAGAAGTCGAGATCCGAGCTCTGCTGGTTGGCAATCGTGGCAATGACCACAAATCGTCCCTTTGGTGACCAGTAAATGGCATTGCTGTTCTTCTTGTCGAGAGTACGGAGCAGCTTGAAGTTGCCGGCGTATGGGCCCTTGGCCTTTTCAGGGCAGAAGAAGGAAACCGATGTCTTGGGAGGGACGGCAGTGGGGCCGACGGGCTCGGTAGTAGTGATGAGGGCAAATCTGTCACCTTTGGGCTCCCAGGCAAAGTTAATGACGGTGTCCTTGATGGTGTCAACAACCTCAACTGGAATTCCCTTCTCCTTAACTCGGAAAATCTCCAAAGTAGTGGCTTGTGACTTCTTTGACTTGGAGTGTCGGTCGACCTTGACACAGAGGTACGCCGCATCTGACTGCCAGTGCAGCTTGGCGTCGCTGACGTTGAAAAGGTTGAGACTGCGGACAATTTCCTTGGAGGGGATGCTCATCAAACCGACCTTGGCAGGGTTGCTGCCCGTGCCAGGCTGCCAGTAGGTGAACAGCTGCTCGTATGTCTTGACTCCCTCACGCTGGGGTGTTGCCGGAGCCCAGTCAAAGTCGACCACGCCCTCGATCTTGATGCTAGTCTTGTCGAGGAGGTTCATTCGGGGCAGTTCGTAGACGGAGATGGAAGCACCGGGGGTCAAACGAGCGACGTACTTGTCATCCGCAGACCACTTGAACGCAGGCCACTGCATCTTTGGCTGAGGCTTGCCCTCCTCTCCCTTGGGAGCATCTAGATTGGCAAATGATCGCAGAGGAGCAGCAGTCTCGATATCCCAGATGACATAGTTCTTGCCTTCGTCGTCAATTGACAAAGCAGGGTGGCCAGTTTCGGGAATGGAGATGGGTCTGTTGGACCAAGTGACAATGTACTTCTCGTTCGGGGAGAAGGCAACCAAGTTGACAAAGGGGTGGGCAAATCTAGCCTGTCGTGACCAAGATGCGCCACCCCACAGCTGCACACCCTGCTGGTGAACCGATGCCAAGTATGTGCCCAAGGGTGACCACTGGAGGAATGCCTCGGTCCAGTGCTGGCGGTCGACAATGTTCTCGGGCTGATCCTTCTCGTTGTTCCAGAAGACGCCGACGGAATCACCGCGGTACATGACAAACTGGTCTCTGCCACGGCCGGAGGGGTCCTTCAGCCACCATCTCAAGTGCTCCTTCTCGGTGAACTCTTCAATTTCAGGGGCCACGTATTTCTCGTCAACTCGACCTTCTCGGCCATATCTCTCTATATCGGTGATTTTGTTGACGCGGAGGGTGTGCTTCTTATCCAAAGGAACGCCATCCAGCTGACGAGTGGCGGCCTGAGCTTCAGCTGGTGAGGAGTACTCAACAAAAGCAAAGCTAAACCAAGAAAAGAAAAAGAAGAAGAAAAAGTTAGACATTTGTCTCCTGACGATGTGGACAACTGGGAAGAATGGAGATGGCGAAAGAGAAATGGCCCTGCTTACCGCTGAGACTTTCCATCCTCGCCCATAGGCATGTAGATCAGCTCCTCCTTGGTCTTTCCAACAGTGTTGAGCTTCTTCAGCAAAAACTTGACCAGCTTGGGCTTCTGGTCCTCCGTGACCTCGGGGAGGCCATCGATGACCACAAAGGTGTCGTAGCCCTGCTCCAGCTGGACCTCGAACTTCTCGCGCAGGTCGGAGATATCAATTTCATCTTCGTTGAACTCGTCGTCGTCGAGGTCAGCCTCGCGCAGCTGGTCGAAAGAGGGCGCCATGATTGCTTGGGGGAGGGGTGCCGAGATTGCCCCGCTTCGGCGCGGTAAAAGTTGAGGATTGGGAGGCGGCTCAGGGGAGATCGATGCTGAATCTCCAAGGACGGAGCGGCGATGAAGGTTTCTGGACGGTGGCTGGATGCGTTCGCTACCCGGGGCGTGGGTGTTTGCGTAACGAGCGAGGGCGTGGACACTCCAGACGTGTGTTTTTTTTCGGCGGCGATACCCCAAACTAGCATAAATTTGTTGTTCCAACTTTCCAAAGTGTGCGGCGGAGAAGCGATGTTCCTGAGCCGATAATTTTCCGACAGAGGGGCAAGTCACGTGGCAGCTTTTTTGGGATGGTGGGGGTTTTTGCGAGACGGAACTGCTTGGAGGTAAAGGAGAGCTTGGCGGCGTCGTCAGGAAAAACAGGCACCGAGGATTGGTCTTCATCTGCTAGCAGTGGCCAGCTCGATACAGCCTCCTTTTACCTTTTCGTGTCCCGTAATTCTGTTGTTTTACACATAGCCTCACACCATGGTATGTCTTGCCGTTGACGCGTTCTGCATGCCTTGTGGCCAAGTAGTATCTGTTGCCCAACTGACTTATCAAACCTCCCCGCCATGCAGTCTTTCTTACCGACCCAAATTTTTGCGGAGGGCACCACCGAGGAGAAGGGTGAGAATGCGCGTCTGGCGGCCTTTGTTGGCGCTATCGCGGTGGGAGACTTGGTGAAGAGCACTCTTGGTCCGAAAGGAATGGACAAGATCCTCCAATCTGCGTGAGTGCTGGCTTGTCTATTACAAATGCCCTGCCTAGCCCCTCAGCCCCTGACCCGTGCTTCCATATAGTTCTACCGGCGATATCATGGTCACAAACGACGGTGCCACGATCCTCAAGTCAATAGCCCTCGACAACGCTGCCGCCAAGGTGCTGGTCAACATCTCAAAGGTTCAGGATGACGAAGTCGGTGACGGCACGACGTCTGTTGCTGTGCTGGCTGCCGAGCTTCTCAGAGAGGCCGAGAAGCTGGTTGACAAGAAGATCCACCCTCAGACCATCATCGAAGGTTACCGGATAGCGAGCCAGGCTGCTCTCAAGGCCCTTGAAGAGTCTGCCGTCGACCACAGCAAGAGCCCCGAGGCTTTCCGAAAGGACCTTATCGCTATTGCACGAACAACCTTGAGCTCCAAGGTACTGTCACAAGACCGGGACCAGTTCTCTCAGCTCGCCGTCGATGCGATCCTTCGACTGAAGAAATCCTCCGATCTCAGCCACATCCAGATCATCAAGAAGGCCGGAGGAAAGCTGAGCGACTCCTACCTGGATGAGGGTTTCATCCTGGACAAGAAAATTGGCGTGAACCAGCCCAAGAGATTGGAGAAGGCAAAGATCCTGGTTGCAAACACGTCAATGGACACAGACAAGGTCAAGATCTTTGGAGCACGTGTCAAGGTTGGCTCAACTGGAAAGTTGGCTGAGCTGGAGAAGGCCGAAAAGGAGAAGATGAAGGCCAAGGTGGAGAAGATCAAGGCCCACGGCATCAACTGCTTCATCAACCGTCAACTCATCTACAACTGGCCCGAGCAGCTCTTTACCGATGCTGGCATCATGTCCATCGAGCACGCCGACTTTGATGGCATTGAGAGGCTGGCGCTGGTCACTGGAGGTGAGATTACCTCTACCTTTGACCACCCCGACCAGGTCAAGCTCGGTCACTGCGATCTGATCGAGGAAGTCATCATTGGCGAGGATACACTGATCAAGTTCTCGGGAGTGGCGGCTGGCGAGGCATGCACCATTGTGCTGCGCGGTGCCACACAACAGCTGCTCGACGAGGCCGAGCGAAGTCTTCACGACGCCTTGGCTGTCCTGTCCCAAACTGTCATTGAGCCCAGAACAACGCTTGGCGGTGGATGTGCTGAGATGCTCATGGCCAAGGCTGTTGAGGGTGCGGCTACACGAGTCGAGGGCAAGAAGCAGGTGGCTGTATCTAGCTTTGCAATCGCCCTCCGACAGCTGCCCACTATCCTGGCTGATAATGCTGGATTGGATTCTGGTGAGCTGGTGGCGCGCCTGCGAAAGGCCATCTATGATGGTCTGACCACATATGGTCTCGACCTGATGACTCCTGGTGGCGGCATTGCAGACATGCGAGAGGTTGGAGTCATTGAGAGCTACAAGCTGAAGAAGGCGGTTGTCTCATCTGCCAGCGAGGCAGCAGAGGTAAGACAACTCACTCCTATTCCTACCATCAATTTTCACCGTTAGATGACAAGATGCTAATACTCCCGAAAAACAGCTTCTCTTGAGAGTGGATGATATTATTCGGGCTGCCCCTCGGAGACGAGAGCGCATGTAAGATGATAGGGTAGGGCTGGGAAAAAAATAAATAAAAAGTTCAGGCGCCACGGATCTCGACGAGTTAGAGGCCTACATAATATGGATTGTAGCGATATGATAGACGCATGAACATGGACAAACAAAAATGCAATGCCATGAACAACAAACCTCTTCTGGATCTTTCGTTAGACTGTAGTAACTGTAAAGTGAATTTGGCTGCTGCGCATTCTCTTGGTTGATTTTTGCACGCTAGAGAGGTCACTCTTGCTTCACATTTGGCTCATCTCAAGTTATTGCAGGTCATACTTGTTCTTCGCTCCTCCTCCGTTTTATTTTTCAAAACTTTACCAAATACCACAGACACTTGACAGTCACCTAATAACTGCACATCCAACTTTCCCCTGCATAGACCCCTCTGGCTGCGGAAACTAGAGACATAGCCTGACAGCTATAATGGCAGACATGACCGAAGCAACACACGATGTCATATCCATTTCCTCATCTGACGACGACTCGGACTGTCAAATTGTGAAAGTCATTCCGTCGCCTCGCGGTCAAAGGAAGAGCAAAATGAGGTGGCAGTACCATGCTCGCAGCTTGCGAAGGGCTAATAAAGGGAGAAAGAGGATGGCACGCCAGCGAAACGAAGACGCATATGATGATCATCAAGACAAGGAACCGACATCAAAGGGATATACACCGCATTCCGAGGCAGATTTGATAGCAGTGAGTGGTGATGCTGCTCGCAATGATTGCTCCCAAAGCGTGGACCAAAGCATTGATCCATTACGCTTCGGCTCCATGGCCAATCATTCATCTAGTCATGAGACAAGTGATGCCAAGGCGGAAAGGCCTGAGATGATGCGTGTCGATCCGATAGATCCCTTGGCGAATCGACATCATACCGCCGATCTGGGGCATGCGAGCATGTTACCTCCACCATTTCCATCACAAAGACCAGATCCCAGCGAACAGATACCTCAAGACAGCGAAGACAAGCAGCGAGACATTCGTTCCAGGTCTTGCTCTGCGGCGACTCTCGATTTTGAAAGGGCTGATGCTCAGCGAGGGGACTATCAGGGGTCTGAGAGGGATGTTCAGGGGGTTAACACAGATGTCCTTGATGGGCAGCCTGAGCTTTTACTTGGAGGAACGACAAATTCGGCCGATTGTGCCAATCATCCACAGCCATTCGCTAACTTGGCTAATGAAGATGGCTCTATATTGCCCCTGGAATCGTTGCTAGAAGAATCGAATCGAGATGCTATCAAACTAAAGGAGCCTCAAGATGGTGAGACAGGTTCACTACGGCCGTACAAGAGGGCACCAACTGCATCCCGTCGTCGACTGCCTCAGGTTGGGAAGCGGCGAGCATGGAGTTCGATCATCAACTTTGCCGCATATGAAGCTATGCCTACGCCGCTGTTTACTCAGCAGAAGGAGACGATTCGTTCTGTGACATACGACGATATGATTGAGGAGAGGGCAGAGAGAAAGGCGAACAAAGAGTAAGGGTAGCAGCGGCGAGAGGGTGTCTGATTGACTTGGAAATTCCGATCCTGACAATTGGCTGTATGGAATTGTGACGTGCTTATCCAGAGCTCAGTACCTGCTTGTATATAAGTATGTATGTATGTATGTATGTATGTATGTATGTATGTAGATTGGGACGATCCTGAGAAATATGGGTAATACGGCTGATATGCTCCATGGATATGCATTAGACTGCTATTGGGAGTGACGCTGCTAATGGCGAAGATCTGTTGATACTCCTTTACAGTCAGTGTCTTTTGCTCTTCTTCACACAGGGCATGGTACTGAAGTTGGTAATGCTGGATATAGAATACATGTCTGTGTATTCCAAATTGTAAGCCGTTGAGCTGTCCAAGTCGGCATCGCTGCAGAGTGAAGGGGGCCGCCTCCATCTCAGGCAAATCGCTGTGGGGCGAGCAACGCCGATTTATTTCCCATCGCAAGGGACTCTGGGCACCCCGAAAGAATCTAGAACGTGGATTGACCCGCAAGATAGAAGAGCTGAAGAATGGACAATTTGTATGTAGCAATCAAGAATCATCAGATTGGTATTTATAGCAGTGTTGCGTAGAGTCTTGCCTAGGGCATGGGTGCCATCTTTGAAGTAAGTAAACACTGCACATCACAATAACAATAAGTGCTATTATTAGGTAGCCGAGAGACTTGCCGACAAGCGACTGTATGCCATAGCAATTGTAGCAGCAGCAGCCCGTGGCAAAGTTTGGACTTTTCTCGCCTGGATGACTCGATAAACATGCGCAAGGGAGGGCCATGCATGAAGAAAAACGATGGCGTGGCGGTGAAGTTATTCCCGTTCCTGGTAGGGCTGACTCTGTCGCTGCTTTGGGCTGCGTGTCCGAATACAGCAAGCAGCCATATAGAGCATGTGCCTCGTATATAAGTGGAGGATGCTGGACACAGACGAGGTGCTTCACTGTTGCCGCTACTAGTATTCACTTGCATGTGAACATGAATTCAACGTTCGTCATGTCGCAGCATCTACTATGTACACCACTTGTTTCCACTGATGTTTTCGCAGTTGCAAAACAAGCACCAGCACTTTGGCCCCCCCGACCCAGCCGAGATTGACTTCATCTCCACCCATCAGGGGCTGCTGATGCGACACTGTGCTGTCGACGCGGCCCTGTAGCGGCATCCACTGTGTGCACAGCACAGCGGGCAGCAGAGCCCATGGGAGGGTCTTGTGTGCTCTTCCCCCCAAGTTTAGCAGTATTAGAGGGCAGGGATGCTTGATTAGGTGCTGTATCAGATACAGTGCAGAAAAGCTTAGGCTTGCCAGGGACGACGCTTTGGGCAAGTTCTGGCGCCCTCCCTGTTTGCACAGAAGTCTTGAGCTTTTGCGAGTAGATATCATGTACCTAATTTGTGTGTACATGACATACATGCGGTGCAACTTGGGCAAGCAAAGCACACCCGGGCGAAAAGAAGAGGCTTGTGGCTCGCCTCCATTGCCGGAGAATAAGATAAGCGCATGGGATGCACAACCACTCTGGCCGTCTCAAACGTCACAGATACGCAGCCGTGCGTTTGATTACCGGAGCGCGTCCATCTGCATTCGTCAAGGTACCGGTTCCTGCTAGCGATGGTGGCGGCGCTTGTCCCGAAAGCAAGCACAGCGCTGCGGTGTACAAGATGCGCTTGTAGCTGCTACCTGCAGCAGAGTCCAGGGGCACATCGCCTCGCCCTGCGCTCTGATGCCATGCAGCAGCCAGGCCAGTCCACAGCGCATGCACCGCCCGGAGCGCCTTGCAGCTCTGCCCTGTAGCAAAGCAAAGCAGAGCAAAGCTTCAGCACCAGCGCCCAGAAATCAAGGCACGGAGCAGGAGCCTTAGTAGGTGAATTAACCCATGAGGGCATGGCTGCTTGCTGGGTGCACAGGTACCCGGTACCCAATGCCTGCCCACTCCCGCAGTACCCTGTACCAGCACCAGCGTAGCAGCTTGAGCACCTGCGCAAGTACCGAGAGGCCCCTCCTGGTTTGGAGCTTCGATTTAGGCGCCTCCTTGGCTTTTCCGTCATCTCTTCCCTCCAAATCCTCTGCAATTCTCTGCATCGTCCTCTTCTCGTCCTCTTCTTCTCATTGCTTGCTTGTTTGCACACACTCGTTATAATAAACTCAGTCGCTTTGCTTATCCTTTATCGCTCTTTTTCTTCTCCTTCATTCTCATTCTCATTCCATTCCATTCCATTTCATTTCCGTCCTCTCCTTCTTTTTCACTTTGCTTGCGCAAACTCACTCTCACAGTGGTTTCCCACTACACAAACGCCCCCTCAAACCGTTCCGAGCATATTAGAGCGTGGTTGTTTCAGACCTCGAGACACCTTGTCTGGGCGAATTGCGCCAGCCAAAGAGGCTCAACCCTGCTGCGCTGCACGCGGTAAACAACAGACGATCCCATTATCCCTTTCCGACCTTTGCTTTCCTCTATAAACGCGACGACTCGGGGCAGCTGGTTGCCCTGCGGATGCTACGATGTTTCGTGACCATGGCGTCGGAATTGGCATCATCAACGGCGGCCTCGACACCGCCGTCAACCACGCCGCGATCCACGGCCGCATGAGCCCAGATTCACCTCCCGGCATGACGGCGTCCAAGAGCTCCAAGTCGTCTTCCTTCCATTCGTTAAACAGCGACGACGGCAGCGTCCTCGCAGACGTCGGCCATTTCGAAGACATTGGCCTGGATGACCGTGTCACCCCAAAGGCTGCGCCACAACCCGTTCGGCAGCCTCGAGATCTCGCCTCGGCCAAACGAGCGCCGCACCCGAAGCGATCTTTTACCAACCTCAACGGCGCTTCTCAAGGCTCAAACCCGCGAAGCCCAAACTTCCCAACTCTGTCTGACCCACGACCAATCGCAACTCTGACCAAGGGATATTCCACCTCGTCTGTCCCGCAGTCTCGCCGTCATCGCAGCTCCAGTCCGGGCATTGCGCTCAATCCTCGAGATCCGAGTCTGCCTGGCCGGCCGCGTCGAGGCAGCTGGCAAGTGAGCCGAGACCGCAAATCTATCTCGGAGCTAGAGCAAGAATGCGACGACGACGAAGACGATGACGACATCCCTGACGGTCTTTTCCTCGATAATGTTCCCATTTCCCCACGCCCACAACATGAACGACCCGTGAGCCGGCCTTCATCTATAAAATCTCCTTCGCCCTCTCCCAACCGCCGACAAAAGAGCCCCCGAGTTCGCAGCGTCGGCGCCGGCACGCCTCCTGTCGCCCAGGCACAAGGCTCACTACGGTCGCCAAGGCAGCCTCCCAGCCCTCTCAGAGGCAAAGCCCAGACCTGGAACATTGCGCTTTCAGAATTGAGTGCCGAAGCAAAAGCTCTTACCGAGAAACTCGAGGAGCACGCCGACGAGCAGCACGAAATCGAAGCCAAGCGACATGGCGCCGTTGTACGGCCCAATACTTGGGATCCGAATCAGTCTGTTAAAATTGATGGTGTCCACGACAAGAAAAAGGGGCGCGTCAAGTCTTCTTTCGCTGAGCTGCCGCCACTGCGTCGCTCCAACATCATGATTGACCCGCTCCCTATTTCCAAGGAGAAGGAAGCCGTTCTCAGCCGCACTCGACCGTCGTGGCTGCCTCCCAAGGATCCCGCCGAAGAACGCCGTCATTTACGCGAATATCAGAAGCTGATGCTTGCCAGTGTCAAGGCAGAGGAGCGCCGTGAAGCAGCGCGAAAGAGCAAGGCAAACGCCAAGGACACCAACGCGGACAAGGCCATGCACATCTGGGAGGACGATATCCTTCCACGATGGAACCAGGCTATTCGCGAGAAGAAGACGAGAGAGTTGTGGTGGAAGGGAGTGGCGCCCCGCAGCCGGCGAGCTGTATGGGCCAAAGCAATTGGAAACGAGCTTGGTCTCACAGAGGCATCTTTCAAAGCAGCACTGGCCCGGTCAGACGAGCTGGAGAAGAGAGTCAAAACAGATAGGGGAGATGCCGAAGATCTGAGGCGCGTCAAGTGGTTTGAACAGATTCGCAAAGACGTTGCTGAGAAGACGTGGAGGGATCTGCGCATCTTTGAAGTGACTGGTCCACTTCACCAGGGCCTGGTAGATGTGCTGAGAGCCTATGCCATGTACAGGAACGACATTGGCTATGTGTCAGGGTGTAATGTGAGTAAATACATCTCTCTGCTTTCTCGCTCTCGGGTGATTTCACTAACTTGGGCATGATCAAATAGACTATAGCCGCCCTGCTTTTACTTAATCTACCGAACCCCGAAACAACCTTTATTGCCCTCGCAAATGTACTTAACCGCCCTCTACCATTGTCATTTTATACTTTTGATCGCGGCGCGCAGGCATCCGCATACAACTTGGTGCTCGAATCGCTCAAGACCAAGTCGGATTCCTTGTATCATCACTTGACCAAGACGGTCCCCGGCGTCCAGCTTGACCACTATCTCGCAAACATCTTCACTAGCCTATTTACAGGGCATCTGGCCATTGACGAAGCAGCAAGGCTCTGGGATGTATACGTCTTCGAAGGCGATACGTTACTGGTACGAGCGGCCGTTGCCATTATCCTTAGCCGAGAGGTAGATTTGCTTGTGAGCAAGACTGCTGAAGAGGTCAAGGCTGTCATGCTACGGACCAGTGCAGGCGCCTCATCAGCACGAGCAGTGAGCGAAGTTGGCGCTGAAGATCGATTCATGCAGAGTGTCCGCGATGCAGGGAAACACTAACCGATTGCTAAATTCTTTCTTCTTTTATCAAGACATGGCAAAGCAGTGAGCCTTGATTTCCCTGTACAATTTTTTTTTTACTTTTCTTTTGCATATCAAGACGATATCTAGGGGCCTCACCTCCCCTCTCAGACATATTGATGCCCATGACATTTTGGTCTGAATCCTGGTGGTAATGTATATCAAGACATATAGACATGGAGACAATAAGGGTTGGTTATGTGAGCTCGGGCGTTGGTCAGGTTACACACTCTCTCACTCACACACACACACACACATACACAAACACACACACATCTCAGACCCTTGGTTGAGCAATGTTGAGCACGTTTTCCTTTCATCTTTTTTGTTTAATCTTTTTTTTTTCTTTAAAAACTGGCGTGAAATTTTCATTGAAGCTTTTTTGAGCAAGCAAGGGATTTTAACATATGGGCATGACTGGAGCTAGCCAATCTTAATCCTAAAGATTATTATATAGTGTCTATTCAGCTTGCTTTCGACAAGCAGACAAAATTGAATGGCTTTTATATCCCAACGTTTCTCCTTGTTGGTTCGGTCCGTTTACAGTGAAAGCATTCTATGTACCCACCCGTATGAGAGTATGAGATGGCGACAATTGCTGCATTGGTTGACAACTCATAAATGATGAAGCATGTATAAACGGACAGTATCCGCGTATGCTCATTTTTTATGCGTCACGAACATGGATATATGAAGACATAATCTGGGGGTTGAAGTGACGAAATTGATCACGTGCATGTTGTGTGTGGGCAATATTTACGTCAATACCCCATTTAACGCGATACACTGGCGTCATCAAAGCTGCCGGACAAAAATAGCCCAACACACCGGATCTGCGGCAATCTGCCTCGTCTTTTCTTGCTTCCTCCATCTGTTCCATCAAGCGATCAAGCGCTGCGAGAAAACCCCTGTTTGTTATATCCCAAGTCTCACCTTTTTGTTTTGTGTTGTGCCATTGGATGCTGCTGCCCTCGTTGATATGCCGTCTGGGTATAAACATGGCGACACTCCGGCAAAAGCCATGGTGCGCGGCACCATTTCATATCTCGAATCCCAGGGGCTGCCGGTAAACAAATCTGCCATTTTCCGTCACTTTGAGCTGTCTCGGTCTCAGGGATATGCCGCTCTGAATTCGTCGCCGACGCCTAAGCGTGAAGATCCCGAATGGGGAGAGACGCGAGGACGACCAAGCAAGGTCTCGGACTCGGACCAGAAGAAGATGGAGGAGATCCTGTGGGATGAAAAATTTGAAGATGTGAGCCTGAACTGGAATGGGTTGGCCAAGGCAGCTGGCTTGGAGATGAACTGCAACCGGAGAACGCTGCATCGAACGTTGGGAACGTTGGCGTATCGGCGATGTCTTGCGTGTGGACGAACTCACACGCACAAGAGGCATCGGGAGAAGCGTTGTGATTACGCCAGGAAGACGTTGATGGCATATCCTCTGGTGGAAGACTGGCGGCGCATGCGATTCAGCGGAGAGCTGCACTTTGGCTTTGGGCTTGACGGCAAGATGCGTCTTACCCCAAGGTCGGGCGAGAGGCTGTGCAGCTCCTGCGAACAACAGCCTGGCTTGGACTGGCCACGGGATATCCGGCGTTTGCACGCTTGGGTGGCCGTCGGATACGGCTTCAAAAGCGAGCTCGTCTTTTACGACACGTCCACCAACCCCAAGAACAGCGGCAACATGTCCATGCCAGACTACTGCGACAAGGTGCTCGACAAAGTCGTCAAGCCGTGGCTCACATCCGCAGGCCCCCAGTCCTTCATCCTGGAAGAAGACGCCGACGTCTTCGCCCACGGCAGCGCCAGCAAGATCAACCTCGCGCAGCAGTGGAAGGACACGCACGGCCTGCGGTGCACCTTTAGCTGCGGCGAGAGCCCGGACCTGAGCCCGCTGGACTCGCTGCTGTGGCCGGCGAACAAGCAGTGGACGACGGAGCTGCTGACGGACTGGGAGGACGAGACGCTGCGAAGGGCGGCGAGGGAGGCGTGGGCGGGGGTTGGGCAGGACAAGATTGATATGTGGGTGGATGTGATGCCGCAGAGGTTGCAGCTGGTAGTGGAGAGTGAGGGGAGGATGGTGTCGTGGTGACTTGCTGAGAACTGGGTGTGTTTGTTATCCGGGATTGCAATCTGTGAGTTTCATGGGAGCATTTGATATGGAGTCATGCAAGTGTCTGTTTAGAGGGTATATGTGGTTTGCTTCTTCTTCTTTTCTACTCGGCATGGTGTATGGTGTTTGTTTGCAAGTTCTAGTAATGACTATCATAGGTTTAGATGATGTTTGTGATAGAGGGATGGCATCCAATTGAGCAGCATTAGTATGAAATAGTAGTAGATTGAATTTGACTTGTATCACTTCGATAGTTGTATGTGATAGTATGTAGTATGATGTTGACAAGTCTGGAGAGTAGCTTGCATTGGCAGCAAACGCTAAGCCGTTTTGCTCATAGAGCAGCGTCGATGCCAGCTGCTTTTGTTCTCCAAATACCCAATGAGGGAAAGGCTATATTTGATATTGATCCTACTAAGAAGCCATTTCTACTTTTAGCCTCTTGTCATGATCCTATTAATACATGATATCCGAATAAACAAGCCAGGGGGGCTGTCAACAACCAAAGTGGACATATTCCCCTTCTCGGCAAACGTTACAGTAGCCAGGCGCCCGTCAAGCAGGACTGTTGGGCGGCAAACGTACGATGTGACATCCGAGAGCCCAATCAAGAACACCTGATGCATCTAGGGCTACACAAAGCAAAAACTAGCAGCTGCTCCAGCAGTTCGGCAATGCCAGCTACTTGCGGGGGGGACCAAAAAAAATCAAAAAAATCTCGACTCTTGTCTTATCAGTTTGGATATTCTCCGTGTGGAGCAGGACTTGTTTGAAGCCAATCAAGGCCGGCTTCATTACTAAGCCTGCGGCATCCAAACACGTGGGTTTTTTGCGGCGCATCGGCCCCACGCCAGATCGACGGGGCAAAGGGAGAAAAAGAGAGAAAAAAAAAACGAGAACCCTGGCCTCAACAAAAATCCCAACAGATGTGGGGGAGGGACAATTGAGAGGTGTTACCTTTTGTACCACAGAGATGTGTACTGTAGGTACTCTTACTGCGTGTGGTGCCGCAGTAGCAGTTGTAGCATCTCTTTGTGTGAAAGATTGTTTTGCATTGTTGGTTATAATGATATTTCAAGTTGTTTTTTGTTGCTGTGCTATGTTACTGCACATTGATATTCTCGAAGAGATGGAAAAGTCAATCGCACATATCATCTCCACAGGTAAAGTACCTGGGTACTAAGGTACTCAAGTGACGAGTGGAGAGAAGAAGTCTTCAGTCACTACATGTACAGCTATTTGGTGGTAGGTTACCTTGGCATAGAGCTGATACCTTACAGTACATGCCTATCCAAGCTGAGACGTGTATATCCATACAACCCGTCAGCACCATCTCGCCACCTGCAGTGTCTCTACCACCCAAGCGGTAAGGAACATACATACATGTACATACTCCGTACATACTCTGCATGTCTCTCTAGAAAGTCATTTACCTCTTCAAATTTTGTTGGTCTCGCGTGGCCTGATGATGCTAATTTCTTGCGTGACATGACACGGCTGTGCGAGATTCCGAGAAATCACAGAGGCATCAGGAGAAATCATGGCATCAGCAACCGGTTGCTAGCGGTTCCAACAGAACAGAACTGTGGAGGGGAGGGGGAGAGAGAGCGGAGAAGAGGAGAAAAAAAAAAGGGCGAGAGTAAAAGGTGAGATTCACATGGCCCGAGGCTGAAGGTGGTTGATGTCCTGAGGCGTTTTGCAAGAGTGCAAGCGAATGATGGATGTAATTTGGCTCAAGGGAGCATATGGGAGACAAATGACATGTACCGGGATGCTGTACAGGAAGTATTATTAGGTTGCATATGCATCGGGCGTAGATACGACCTTGCAACGGGCATCAATCCTTTAAGCTCTGCACATGCCGTGCCATCCAGGCAAGTAAGTATGTAGTATGTAGTAGTGCTGCTCCGTCTTCGCCTCAAACACCCACTAGCCTGGGTTGAAGCATGTTTTGCTGGGCGCCTCAGCAGAACTCGGCTTCACATGTTTCTCCTGACTCTCCCACTCTCTCTCCCATGTACATACATAGTCTACATACTTGTACATGCGCAGATCGCCCATATATTGCATTTTAGGCTCGTTCAGCCAGCCACCCCGGCACGGCCGTGTCTCTCTTTCCCCGCCGCACCATCTACGTGTCTTTTGGTTTGTGGAAGAGAGACTTGATGGGATGCATGTCGTAACTCCGGTGCGGGTGATGTGAGGCAGCAGTAGTGTGCGCTGCCAAGGTAGCACGAGGACTTGTGAGGTCGTACAGAGAGATGCAGGCCAGTCATGGATGGAATGCAAATGCGGCGTAAGAAGGAGGCTCTACTGTACACCTATATATTTATGGTGTAGCTGCCTGTACTTTGGACGCCGTGACGGATGATGGCGATGTCGATGATGCATTTTCGCCGTCAAATGTCTTTTGCGAGGGAATTTGAGTCAGCTTAGTGCGCCGCCGTGGGAGCGATAGAGGCCTATTCGGAGATGGCTTATCTATCCCGCCATCTGTCTCTTTTTTTTTTTTTTTTTTTCTTTTTTTAACATGTGACGGTGGCGTAGGACGAGACACTGTGTGTAGAATTTTTTTTTTGTTTTTTCCTTTTTTCCAAGATACGCTCATGAAGCTTGGTCTGGATCAACAGATGTACATGGAGCATGCAATGCCCAATGCCCAATATTCAGCTGCTATAACTGCAGTGTCGACACCACTGTATCTGTATGTACTGCCAAGGTACAATCTGTAGACTAGTAGGCAGCTCTGATAGCATCGCAGACCCTGGCCAAAAAATTGGAATTAGAAAAAAAAAAGAGTGGCACTAGGGGTAAGTTGGCCCGAGTAGGCAGTTCAGGCTGTCCATCCAGGGTCCAGTTAATGAGGGGGGGAACCAGATCTGGCGTTAAGCTCGCCTCCAATTGGCAATGCAGCCCTTGATTTTTATTTTTTTATTTTATTTTTTTTTCTTCTCTGGTGTAAGTTGACTGTTGATGGGAGTGAGACACGCAGAGGACACTCAACAGGATGCCGCAATTCCCCTCAATTGGGCGGGTAAAACAAACACAGATTCAATAAAGACACCAACCAATACAAGTACCAATTTTTATATTTTTTTTTATTTATTTTTCTTTTGCCTGCATGTCAATGTCTGTCTGTCCCTCTGGCCGCCGCCGCCGCCGCTCCGCGAAGCCAAACAGGCGAGGCCCCACGGTGGGCGGGAGGAAACGCCCCCCCAACAAAAAATTCAACTCGCATCTGCACCTCCGGCTGGATCTGCCACTACCGGAGCCCAAGCAGGAGAGCGCGAGCAGGAAGGGGGCCAAACTCGGCGTGTGCGAGTGTACATGCGGTGTACATGGCGGGAGCACCGATGCTGCGCTGCTCTGCTTGTACCTCCCCGTAGTGGCCTGTCGCCGTTGATTGGGCTGCCGTGTGTGCAGCTCTCGGGCTGGCCTCTTCTGATTTTCTTCCTCCTGCTCTCGTGTCGCCTCCATTCCTCGCTTGTACCCTCTTTGAAACGGGACCATCCCACTCCAGACTCGTGCTCTGTCGTTCACGCAAAGGACAAAAGGAAAGGCGGCCCCAGTCCCGGCACTCTCTGCTTCTTCCCCCCTTCTCTCGCTGGAGGTCTCCATAAACCACACGCCGCCTATCTTATCTGATAGTGAGCTGTGCTCGTGTCACTCTTGGTTTTTCTTTTTTTTCTTTCTTCTTCTCCTTCTTCTTTGAGCCTTGTCTGTTTTGTTTTCCTTGTCCTCTCCTCCACAGCATCCTCTCTCCATCACCCGCTTCTCTTCTCTTCTCTCCTCTTCTCTCCTCCTCAAGTCAGCTTGACTGCCGCAGCCATGGCCTCCACCGCCGTGCCTCTGCCTGTCAAGGCCTCGCTCCGGCGCAACATCACCGACTCGACCGAGTCTTCTGCCGCCGTCTCGCCCATGGACTCGCCCAGACCGTCTGCGTCGTCAACCTCGCTCTCGTCCATGTCCTCGGTCGACGTCAACGCCGCCAAGCCCGAGAACTTTGGCCGCCTGATCGACACCTACGGCAACGAGTTCAAGGTGCCCGACTTCACCATCAAGGACATCCGCGATGCCATCCCCAAGCACTGCTTCCAGCGATCTGCGCTCAAGGGCTACTACTACATCCTGCGCGACATGGCCTGCCTGGCCACCACCTTCTACGTCTTCCACAACTACGTGACCCCTGAGCTGGTCCCCTCCACGCCTGCCCGTGCCGGTCTCTGGGCCCTGTACACCATTCTCCAGGGCCTCTTCGGCACCGGCCTCTGGGTCATTGCCCACGAGTGCGGCCACGGCGCCTTCTCCGACTACAAGACTCTCAACGACTTCACCGGCTGGGTCCTCCACTCCGCCCTCCTGGTGCCCTACTTCAGCTGGCAAATCTCCCACCGAAAGCACCACGCCGCCACCGGCAACATGGAGCGTGACATGGTCTTTGTGCCTCGCACCCGTGAGGAGCAGGCCACCCGCCTCGGCAAGTTGGTCCACGAGATGTCCGAGCTGGCTGAGGACGCTCCCGCCTACACGCTCTTCATGTTGATCATGCAGCAGCTTGTCGGATGGCCCAACTACCTGCTGACCAACGTCACCGGCCACAACTACCACGAGCGCCAGCGTGAGGGCCGCGGCAAGGGCAAGCACAACGGCGCTGGCGGCGGCGTCAACCACTTCAACCCCTCCAGCCCGCTGTACGAGAACCGCGATGCCATGCTCATCGTCTACAGCGACATTGGCCTCATCCTCGCCGGCACCGCTCTGTACTACCTCGGCACCACCTTTGGATGGTACAACCTGGCCATCTGGTACTTTATCCCGTACCTCTGGGTCAACCACTGGCTCGGTTAGTTTTACTAATTCTCCAAAACAAACTTGACATGTCCTGATTCATACTGACCTTGAAACTCTCCCCTATAGTTGCCATCACCTTCCTCCAGCACACCGACCCTACTCTCCCCCACTACACCGGTGAGCAGTGGAACTTTGTCCGTGGCGCTGCTGCCACCATCGATCGCGAGATGGGCTTCATCGGCCGTCAGCTTCTGCACGGCATCATCGAGACCCACGTCCTGCACCACTATGTGGCCACCATTCCCTTCTACAACGCCGACGAGGCCACCGATGCCATCCGTCCCATCATGGGCCAGCACTACCGCTCCGACACAAAGGACGGCGCCATTGGCTTCATCCGCGCCATGTACCGCAGCGCTCGCATGTGCCAGTGGGTTGAGCCCAGCAAGGATGCCGAGGGCGCCGGCAAGGGCGTTCTTTTCTTCCGTAACCGCAACGGTCTGGGAACCAAGCCTCTGGTTATCCCCAAGCCTGAGTAAAATCGGCTTTGGGTGTGGAAAAAGGATAAAAGAGACGATAGAAGTTTGTGTGTGTGTGTGTGTGTGTGCGTGTCTGTGAACTGCAGCAAAAAAAAAAAAAAAAAAGAGTAGACTCTTCTTTCAAATGACTTGAATACGGTTCCCTGAGTTCTCTGATGACCCAGTGGAACGACGAGTCGCAAGGGCTGCCATCCCTGCAGAAAGTCTTGAGAGTTGGTTAACCAAATTTGAAGAATTCGTATAGAGCTAGAGCTTTAGATGTATATGAAAAAAAAAGTATACCAATAGAGACAATCCAAAGACTAAATGTGCCAAGATTGTGCTTCGCTTTGTTCTTTTCTATTCGTAGTTGGTCTATTGGTGATGAATATTGTAGGGGAGATGCAGCAACGACGTTCAAGAAGGATAACAAAACGGAGTTTTCAGCTGGAATGTAAACATGAACCAGGTCTGTATGCGGGGATCCGAACCTTGAGCGAACAACAACCCCACAGCCGTAGCTTTTTCTGGTTGACCCGCGATGTGCGTGGCTGTGATTTGACGCCCATCTCTTTCTCTCGCCAACGAAATTTCATCCGTCTAAGCCTAAAAAGACTCATCCTCGGTCTCGGACAGATGCATTGCAGAGATTTCCTTCAAGCCGCATTCTCGGAGACGTGAAACTGGCCGCTGAGCTGTCAGTTTTCTTCGCTGTACCAGGTATAAGCCGAGGTTCCGCCCAAAAAGAGGAAACAGTTTGAGATGTCCGAACTCTCCGCTTGGAAAGCAGAGAGTCCGGGAGTCCGAGAAGCCCAGGGCCGGAATACGATTCGGTCTCTTGGTTCTTGTCAAGGGGATTTCCTGAGTTTAATGCTTGAAAATGGATCGTCATTGCTTATGCGACTGTTTGTTTTTGAAATGTTAATTGTTGAGTCTTTTTGACTTGGATCGTGGAGGCAAAGTCTGGTTGGAATGACTGCTGGATGATGTGTTGATTGCATTTATACGTGTATCCGGCACAGCAGCAATCTATTTCGTAATTTTGATACTAAGGTGAATTTAAATTTACGTTTTTTTTTTTTTTTTTTTTTACCATGTAGCGCAAACGTACTTGAGCTAAATCGAGAGTGATGATTTAATAGTATTTTACAATCAGACTGTAAATATTCTAGAGTTGTAGTTTTACAAAGAATGCCGGCATCAACACGTGGAGCTGCATCGTCTTGGCATCTGACAAGGGGCATTTCATCCAACTTACGCTTAATTTTAAAGAACAAAGTCTATTTTTTTTTCCCTATATGTACACAACTGCCCTGCTCTATTGGCTTTTGCTCTTCTTCCGCGCAACAACAATCGCAGCCTTCAAAACTCTCGTCCGGTGCAGCCAGCTATACACCTTCCCAACCGCGGTATACCCCGTCAACGATATCCCGTACGGACTCAGCGCCGCGTGCTGCCTCTGCAAAAAGCCCGCCAGGCCAGCAAACACATGGTCCGAAACATCCCTGATCTCAATGTGCCCTCCGTCGTCGTAGCCACATTCGACCAGCTGCTGGCGGTACTGGCCCTCTGTCAAGAAGGTCCGCCACGGACAGAGCAGGACGAAGCCCAGCAGCCTGACTGCCAGGGTCTGCCATGCGGATGCGTCGTCGCTGAGCACAAGGTCAAAGGCCATGACGTTTGCGTCCATGTGCTGGGCCGCGTGCTTGAAGATGGGCTTTCTGGACGGCGAAAAGTGGTAGAGGCAGTCCAGGCCCAGGAGCCAGCGCTCGGAGAAGGCCGTGTCTGATAGACTGTCGACGGCGGTGCGGATTGCCTTGTTCCAGGACTGGGGCTTTGCCGCATCTGCCTGGAAGAGCTTGAACGACAGATTGTCAGCAGCGCTCTTGTCCATTGCCAGCAGGGAGGCGTCGAGTCTCTGCTGCGCCGCTTGCTGCTGCACCTCGTTCAGAGTTAGTCCGACGTAGCGGAAGTGCGGCCGTGATGGGGCCTGGATGAGCTCTGCAAGGGCGACGGTCTGGTCGCCGCATCCGAAGCCCACGTCGAGGACGGCAACTGCGTTTTGGGTGGTGGTGTTGTTGGATGCAAGGCCGGCGGCTTTCAAGATGTTGGCGAGCATGTTGCGCGCAGCCTCGTCGAGGTGTTGGATAGGGGTGCCGTCATCTCTTGTCCTGTGGTGAGAATATGTGAATTAGATGGAGAGAAATTCTAGTGTATGGCTATATGTTATGAAACACAAAACTTGCCAGTATCCCAAGTTCATCCACATGGATGGAAACGGCGCCTTCGCATTCAGCTTCCAGTGACCGAGGCCATAGATGTCACCAGATCTGATGAAAGAAAAGGCCACCAAGGCCAGCACGACGATGATGGCCGCGCATCCTGCTAGAAAGCCGAGGATGAAGTCTCCAGCAGCCATTTCATTTACTGGGGTTAGTTGGGCTAATTTTGTAACTCTACAAGACCCAACCCCAGTCAAATTGCTGCTAGATTATCAAGATCGATGAGAGTGATCTGAGGCTGGCGGCAGCGCACACGGAAAGCTGTCTGTCTTCGGATGGTGGGGTCCAAAACGCCCGTCTCATCGGAGTCTCAGCCGCTGTCTTACAGGTACGAAACGAAACTTGCTAGCAGTCTTGAGGCGCTGTAAGACGTCAAAACGCCAGTTCTAAATGTTAGTGCTGCGTAAATCGTCATGCATTTGTCTCTTGACGCTGCACTCATGTAGTGGCCTCTTTTAGATGATTAGAGGGCAAGCCACCCGCAGCCAAGGTCAGTCAACAAGGAGCAAATGCTGCTGTTATTCAAGCCTGACTGATGGCTGTCAAAATAAGCACCCTTTCGCAGCATTCAAAGGTGGCAAAACGGGGGATTCATTTAATCTTGATTTTAACACGTGCTAGTCCAATTACCTCCCAGTTCTAGTTCTAGTCCAGGGCCACTCTCTAAAAAAAAAAGACAGAAAAAAAAAATGCCAAAAAAAAAAAAAAATCGGAGGGTTCTGATCCTCGGCTCGTGCAGTAAGAAAATGGCCGTCGGGGGGTCTGAAACCCCCTAGTCAGTCCAATCACAGCAGATGATTTGCGACTTTGTTGGGACTATCTGCTAGGGGTTGCAGCCTCTTTCCACGGATCATGTACAGCATCGCGCCATTAAAATCTCCAGACGCTGCATGTATTAAATCAGGCGTTGCACGCGTTGCTTGTGCTGCGCTGTACGGCGTTTCCCTGGTTCCAGCTTTTCATTTTTGAAGGATTCCATCATATTCTTGCTGCTATTCATCGATAATAGGGCGACCACTAAAAAGAGCCGTCTTATCGCACGGGGTCTTGGCTGCTGAATAAGGAGGAGTGAATGATATAAGCAAGATTCATACCAACATCCACCGAGAGATGCAGCATCAACTCCGGCCAGCAGACGGCCGCAGCGACAGAAGCCGTGTTGCAATCATTGGCACCGGCCTGGCTGGCCTCACAACAGCGTATCTGCTGCATCAGGACCAGCAGAAGCGCTACGACGTGACGCTCTTCGAACAGGTAATTTCTCACTCACTCACTCACACCACCCGGAGATTCTGCTGAGGCTCCCAGCTCTGTATTCGGAGATTCGGAGCTTCTGACACTAACACGCGTATCCTTCCACAACACCAGGCTCCGAAATTCTCCCTCGATGCCGCATCCGTGACGCTCAAGAATGACGCCACCGGCTCGCTCGAGCGCGTGGACATCCCGCCGCGCAGCTTCTGCCGCGGCTACTACGCCAACCTCTGCCGCATGTACGACCATCTGGGCGTTCCCTTCCAGCGCATCCAGCTCATCTGGGTCTTTGCCAAGGTCTCGGCCGCGTCGCAGGCCCAGATCCCCGTCGCCGAGGCCGCGGAGACGATGCCCGGGAGCTACTTTGTCTATGGGAAGCGCCTGCACGAGCTGCTGCTGATATCGCCGCATTTCTGGCTCCGGGCGTCGCTGCAGAATGTCTTGCTGACCTTTTATCTGGCCGTCTGCCATGCCTGGTTCTTCCTGGCGTGCTTCTTCCTCCCGCCGCGGACGATCCAGCCGGAGACGTATCTGGACGTGAAGCACTCCGCCGCCAAGAGCAGCAAAGGCTGCGAATCGTTTCGCCAGTATCTCGACAGGATATGGCTGCCGCAGCGCTACGTGCTGTACTACCTGCTTCCCATACTGAGCATCATCTGCAGCTGCTCCCACGCCGAGATGCTGGACTTCCCGGCCAGCGACGTCACCAGCTTCATGAAGGGCACGTTTCTGAGGAAGACGTATGTTGCCAAGGGGGGGATCAACAGGGTGCAGGCGACGCTGGCGGAGGGAATCCAGGACGTGAGGCTGCAGACGCGAGTCACAAAGGTTGAGCGGGTTGACGGCGGCGGTGGCGTGCGTGTGCGCTATGAGAGCATGCAGGAGGGGGGTGAGAAGCGCTCTTCTTCTTCCGAGCAAGTATTCGACCGTGTGGTGCTTGCTGTGTCGCCAAACGTTGCAGCCGCTATTTTCAACCCGTGCAAGCCGCTGCTCAGTGTTGTTCCCACCGTGCCCGTCACAAGCACAGTCCTGGCCTCTCCAAACACAAAAGTGTCGCTGGTCCACGAGAAGTCCCACGTTCCGTCAGGAGAGTGCTCGTATCGCCGCGGCGAGGCTCAGATCATGGCCTTTAGGACCACCTTCTCCGACAGCATTGTCCAGACCGAATCACTGCACTATCTTTCAGGGGGGCTGGTCGTCAGGACGAGCCCTACGGCAGATGTGCCGGAAGTAAAGGGCACGCTGGACACGTCGAGATTTACCAGGACGTTGCGCACCACCGAGAGCAGGAGCATGGTCCAGAAGGCGATGGAGACGAAGGGGGCCGGTTCTGGCAATGAATGGGTGAATGGAAAGGATAATGTCTGGGTTGTGGGCTCTTGGTGCTGGGACGGGATGGTGCTGCTGGAGGGATGCGTCATCTCTGCGATGCGGGTGGCCAAGGATCTTGGGGTTCAAGTCCCGTGGTAGTTGTTGTTTAATGTTTTTTGGCTCGTCAATATCATTGCGATATCCCCAGGTTTGTCATTCGCTGCGTTCATGATAGAATTTCGATAGAAGCGGGCTGGTGGTTGTTATAAGCATTTGCGTCTTGAGCGCTCAGTCTTTATATACCTTTGTTGCTTGAAACCCATGTAGATAGTATATATGATATCTTAATATTTCTTCAGCTCAATATACTGCCCTTCAGATTGATTGGCGGTGCTTGAATAGAATGTGCACATTGGCCCATGGAAAAGCCATGGTTTACACACCGGGATTGTCGGCTGCAATGCACATGAGAGCTTACTGGAAACCGTCAGTTGACAAGATGCAGGCCTAGCAATTATGCTTGATGCTTCTTTTGACTGCATTCTATTCAAGGCCATATACTACCTATAGGGCTTTTGCTCCAATGGACCAAAGGGCTACCGTGTTTTGGATCGTTTAGGTGCTGACCGTGCGTGTTTCAATATTGGTCTTAGGCTCAGAGTATAATTAATTAATCGGGATAGTCTCATCGCAAAAGATGACAGAGCTAATGCCAACATGATACACGAAATAAACTTGCTCACGTCGGAGCAATCAACGGCACTTGGCTCCCGTTGCAGCCCTGTCACCTTGTCTCAGTGCAATCTCATCGCCTGACGTGAAGCCATCGTTGTATCCGTACGCTCCGGCAAATCCCGCCAACTCACAGCTCGGCACCATCCCAAGCCACCCTCAAGAACCCTCTCATTATGTCCTCCGCCACATTACGAATACACTCTTACTCATCAAGCTTCTTACAACAGAGAACACGTCCATGAACTGTGGCGTCTTGCGCAGCTCATTCTTTCAATTCATTCAAGCTCAGGCACAGCCCCCCCTAAGCGGACGCAAGCCAAGAAAGTATACTTGCTGTTTGGGGGCAAAAAAAGAGTTGCAGCACGGATGGCCAACCAAAAAGGAGCAAAATCCGCCGTTGGTCGCGGACAATCGCAACCATGACGCCGTCGATGGCAGATACGGGCGTCACCAGGTAGCCGGTACTTTGCCATTGTTTTGCCTACTTTGGCAAGCTTGCGTATTAGCCCTGTTTTTTTTTTTTTTTTTTTTTTTTCCTTCTCCTCGACTGACGTGGAATAATATTCCACGCAAAACAGCCTGGATAATCAAAAGGAAAAAAAAAAAAAAGAATGGCACGAGACCGGGCTGTACAAAAAGCTGGCCTAATGCATGCGTGCATGTCACGGTGGAGCAAAACTCATCAGCTGTAGGAGACAGTTTTTTATTAGCATCGTCTTGGCTGCTCCCAATCGACTGACAGTAGTGAAATCGAAGAAGAAGAAACAGCTGTCGGATTTCAATGCACTACGTAATTAGAGCAGGGCCAACAACAGTCCGCTGAACTTGGCTGCCTTGGAGTGGAGCCTCTATCGTGGACGACGCCCTGCAGGTTGGTAGGAGTTGGTTAGGATAGTTAGCAGATACAGTAATGGTTTAGCTGTGGTTGTGATATGCAGCTTCTGCAGCGTAAATGACTCGAGTTGGGTGAGCTTGAGGAGCAGGCATGGCATATCACGCACAGAGCCTGGCATAGCCACAGCCGCAGTCTGTCAGTCTGACGCGGGGTAAGCAGATGCGGACGATGGGCTGCCAATAGTAATACTGTTGATAGCACTGTATAGCATGCCGTATGTTGCCCAAAGGGATAGACAGAGACAACTGGCACTATGATGGTGGTGGTGATCATGAGCGATGCAAGCAGTAGTCTGTAGTAGATACAGCAAAGTAATTATCATTAACCCTAAAGGCGGGCCTCCCATTTGGTATTCTCGGTAATATTCTCTATCAATACCCCAATTGCAATGCGGGGCTTTCCCTCTCCTCCCGCTCTTCCTCCTGTAGGATAGAATGCTTCATAATCCCTATAGATTTCACCTGTGACCCGTGACGCCGAGCTGATAGCCAAAGCCAATATGCCGTTCTGTCTGTACCATCCGTTTCGTATCGTCGATCCCTCCAGGGAACCGTTTGGGGGGGAAAAGTGTAATAAAGAGAATCGTCCAAAAAGTCGACTGGAACATCATCGCCAGCGTTGTTCCGCCTCGTCCTTTTGTCGTAAAGTAGCCCATGGGTTAAGCTAAGATGAAAAGAAGAGGAAGCGAAAGATAAAAAGACCAATAAAACACAAGCGAGTATCCTTCTCTTTCTAGAATAAAAAAAAAAAAAAACATCGGCTGAGTAGAAAAAAGTATGCAGCGTACGGTACTACTGGTGGTAACGTAGAATTAATAAGTGAATCGCGAGTAAGATACGGCTTGACGGCTGTGGAGCGTATTTTGTAATGTGAAGTGGTGTTGAAATCGCCCGATGAAGTTTAAAGAAAAATAATAGTAGTAATCAAAAATCAACAAGACATCAAAGCCGGCTTGATTCTATACCATGGACTGGCTGATGCTGGGCTTTCGTTGTCTTGTGGGTGACCAGCTGTTGCGGGCTGCTGCCACGCCGCCAAACAGGCGACATCTGCGGCGGTACGATCTCCTTGATGTTGTGCAGATATAGGCGGCGCCAAAGATGACGGTCAGGGCGACAAAGAGAAGGCCCAGATAAAAGGTGTAGTGCTCGCCAATCATCAGGAACAGGGCGGCATCCCAGCCGTGCCAGCTGCTTGCGCCGCCGTGCACGAAAATGGGCGTCGTGACCTTGCCTCGGAGCATGTGCGGCGCCATGTCGCCATTCTCGTCCGACAGGATGTAGACCCGGCTGCTCTGGCGCCCCTTGAGCACGTCGCGAACGTAGGCCATCCACTGGTTGGAGTAAAACATGCACCCGGTGCTCAGCATGTTCTCGACGTAGGGGATGCGCATTGGCAGGGCCCAGTGCAGGTCATGGCTGGGCACATTCTCCAGAAGCTGCGACAAGAACGGATGGCCGGGCTGCGTGGCAATGAAGGCATTGTTGACTCCCGCGGGGTGGGCGCCGGGCGAGACGTACGGGAGGCGCACAATGGGCGTGGAGTCGAGGGGGACGCGACAGGTTACGTCGAGGTCGACATAGACGCCGCCCGAGTGGTGCAGCAGGGCATATCGCAGGATGTTGGCGCGCTGGATGTTCTGGGCGTAGCCGGTGTAGTGAGGCAGGATGTCGGGATAGAACTCGGCAATGAAGGCTGTGGCGTTGACGTCGGTCCAGAGCTGGTGCTTCCAGTCGGGGTGCAGCGACGTGCAGCTGGAGATGGCGGCCTGGTATTTGGCGACGCTGGCGTTGCCCAGGGCGATCTGGTGGATGATCTTGGGCACGACGACTGGGCTGAGTGTTGACGAAGGCGGTTCGAGCTCGGGCAGAAGCGACGACGAGTTCTCCGGGTGTCGATACAGGATGTCTGGGTGCTTATGAAGCAGCGGGTAAAAGGTGCTGTATGTCAGGACGATCTCGCCGAGCTCGTGGATGTGACGGCGGAAGAGGACGACCAGCCAGAAGATGGCGATGGCGGCCAGGGCCACGATGCTTCGGGTCCGCATCGTGGGCGACGGGAGAGAGAGGGAGAGAGAGAGAGATTGAGTTCCGATTCGATCGTCTCGTGCTGAAGGCGAGTGCGAATGCGAATAAGGGATGAGACGCTGTGAGAGAGGGAGAAGAATAGACGAGACAAAGAGGAAGAGATGAAAGAGAGAAGCGCAAAAGTTGGTGGAGCTTCTCAGCGCTGCGTTATAGGTAGTGGGCAGCGTGTGCCTGTGGGATGCAGTGATACATAGATGGGTATAGGTAGGTCGTAGTGCATCCAGGTACTACTCCGTAGGCAGTATAGCAGGCTGTTACAGTCGGGATTCAGGTTGCTAGTCGCAGGGTGGATAAGAATAGCGCCTGGATCTGCCGTTCCCCTTAACCCTTTTCCTCCCAGCCCGGCTCCTTTACGTTTTAATCCTTGCGCAGGTTTCTGGCCTTGGCCGCAAGCGAGGCGCATGCTGTGTACATGAAGAGCCAGAAATACTATCGCTTCGGACTCCGTCACCACGAATTAATTATGGGGTCCGGCACACCCCCCTTTTTTTCTTTTTTCGCCTTTTTTCGCCGTGGAGTTTGCTTTTGCCGTGGAAGCGCAAGCCTCGCGAAATACAATTTAGGTTGGTGGAAGCCCCCGTCCTGGCGCTAAAGGCGAGTGTCCATCCCGGGTCCCCTTGTCCTCAGACCTTGCGGCACTGAGGCTGCGGCAGGGAGTACCGCATACCTGGTCGGTACCTGAGGCGCCGGCACATTTGCCGTGCGTACCGTCTACATGGCGCGTCTAGGCCTGATGCGTGAACCTCGGACCCGGCATCTCCCACGTCCAGCGACCAGGCTTGGTTCTGGGCTCTGGCGCTGATGACGCTGCTGTCTGACGACCAGACTGGCTGAGCGCACGCTGGAATCATGCCCAGGCGTCTCTGATGGCCTCTCAGGCGGCTTCCCGGCTAGCAGCTGCAGGGTGAGGGTGGACCAGCCGCATCGTGATTGGGCCAAAATGCCTGGCTGAGGTCTGGGCGGATCGGCGCACCCTTGCACGGCCAGACGACGAGGGACGAATGAGCGGCGGCAGTGTACGAGTATCGGCTGGTCTTGGCTGGCCTGTGTCTCTGCGCCGTTGTTTTTCCTCTGCCTGCTTGCGGAGCGCCAAGCCAGCGTCTGCTGGGCAACATGACGGCGCAGGACAATCACGATTCCTCCAAGTCTTGGCAGGACTCGAGGTCGGGGTTCGGACCGCTGCTGCTCCCGAGGTCGCCAGATCCAGACACTGGGCTGTTACGAGTACATGGAATATTCCGATTACACACCTCCGCGCTGCACTACGGAGTGCTGGTGTTGTGCCTCCTCCGTGGTGGCACGGACACAGTTGAGTAATGGGGCATCGCGGAGAAGGGTTCGGCCATGACGAGTTGCCGGCGACACGGGGCCAAGCATTTGCCAATTCCGCTTCACCCTGATGGGTGGGGTGGCTGGCTGAGATCACACAAAGGCAAAAAGAAAATGGCAACAAAAACAAAGGAAAATAGATACATAGCAGTAGCCAGTCCGCAGTATATGCCGCCACTTGAGCGAATTGGGCGTGGTGTGATGGATTCAATCTTCTCATTTCCACTTGGCATCACCAGAGCCCGCAAGGCATAACGTCTGATTTCAGATGCTTAACAGACAGAGCCGAGCATCATCCAGCAGAAGGAGAAGAGAATCAAGCCTCGGCGTGGGTCTTTTTTTTTTTTTGTTGCTTTGCATGTCTCCTGAGCCTGACAGAAAGAAGCCGAGCGAGGCTGCGGGTCTGTCTTCCTTGGGCCCGATTATTCTAGAAAACCCTCCCGCGTGCCTGGCCCGAAATATGGGAAAGTAGAATAAAGTTAAACACTGCCTCGGTGCGGACAGCGCCGGGGCCAGGTTGCATCCAGGGATTGGGTTGACTGAGTGAATCGGAGTCTTCGGCACGAGGCGAAAACGTTTGCGATGGACGAGATTTGGCATCAAAATGCAGCCACGTGAGGTCCGTCGTCAAAATTTTGCCAATTGGCCGTAGTTACGTCATTCCAGCTTGTGTTCTTGTCCCTTTTTGTGAAGCGCAGTTTTTAGGTGGCATCGGACCCGAAAGGCGGGAAAAAGAAAGATCCCGAGCACGTGACTCTCCTTTGCCCCCCTGCACTTTCGTTATCACTATCAGCATCACAAGCCATCGATCGGTGCAGGCCAAACCGAAGCTCGCGCGAAGATGCCGGATTCAAGCTGCGTTATACATGCGGCAGCTACTAGTATCACCTAAGGATTGACCCCAGTCGCCTTCTGGGACAAGCAGACCAACCAAAGTGCAACAAGCGAGATGCTTGCCTCCATGGCGTCGTGCTTCAACTGGCTGCTGGCGCGCCGCTTCAGGAGGGTTACAACCATCTTGGCCGGCCTGGTTCTCTCCATCGCCACCATCGTGTTCCTTGTCAACAACCTGGGCCCAGCTCCAACCTTGCCCAAAGGCAAACCGGACGCAGCATCTTCCGGCGATAAAGCATTGAGCCCCGGATTTCCTCTTTGCAGCCATCACACAGACCCCAATGTCACTTACCCCCTGGAATCATGGCGGGCTGCAGCTGAGACCAAGTATGGCGGGCTGCTGGACGACAAGTTTACGTACGTTCAATATGCTGCTGCTTTATGACGGGTAAAGATGTGCTAATGACGAATCTTGTTGTAGAATTGCCATGTCAACCTTCCATCGCCCAAAGGAGCTTCACCGCACCCTGACCACTCTACTATCCGCCGAGATCCCATCACTGCTCGAAATAGTCGTCATATGGAACAACTTTGACGAAAAGGAGCCCGACAGCTTCGTATCCGAGCACGGCGTCTCTGTGCGATACCGCAAGCCGCCTCGCGACAGCCTCAACGAGAAACTCTGGCCAGATCCCGCATATCGCACAAAGGCCATCCTTCTTACCGACGACGATGTCTTCTACCGCCCCGAAGATCTCGAGTTCGTATTCCAGATGTGGCGCAAGTTTGGGAAAGACAGAATGACGGGAGCCCTTGCGCGCTGCGTCTCGGCTCTTCCATCCGGCGAGTGGGACTACAACTTTTGTTCCCAAAGGGAGCACGAAGATGTCTATTCCATCGTCTTGACCAACCTAGCGTTTACGCACATTGCATTCCTCGACTATTACTTCTCCGACGATCCCGCCGTAACCAAGATCCGCAAGTACGTGGATGATGCCTTCAACTGCGAAGATATTGGCCTCAACTTTGTCTCTTCCATGTTGACTGGTTCCGGGCCCCTTTTGGTCCGCGGCCGCCATCAATACGTCAACTTGGATCCTGCAGGCGGCATCAGTAGGAAACCAGGCCACATGGAGGCTCGCAGCAAATGTCTCAACGTCTTTGCCGAAGCCTTCCAATGCATGCCGCTGGTCAACGAAACGGGACGGATAGAGCACGGTGTTAAACACAATGTATGGTATAAATCTCTGTGGGATGTGATTCACGGCTAGCGAATGCGCTCAGGAAGCGGTTTTCCCCCTGTTTTTAAGCTGTTTTTTTTTGGGGGGGGGGAGAAAAAAAGGTATTTTTCACGTAATATTAATGATAATGGGGTCGATACACGCACATATACTATATATACATGTACAACAACAGATGGCACGCCCCTAAAGAAGTGGGGCCTGGTTCATTATACTAGGCAAGGGAAACAACAAAACGCAATATTGCAATGGGATAGATAAAGTAAGGAAAAAAAGGTACCTCCTCGGTCATGAAAGGCATGGTACCATATCAGTTTCAATAAAAACCGCCAGACGAAAATCGATTTGATATAGTCCACCACTTAGTCCATATCACTGTTGGGATCATCAATGTTAGCAAATTCGAGTTCTAACTCACTCCATTCAGGGAGTCACTTACAGCAAAGCTAGTGTCAAGTCGCCGTGGATCTTTGCCTTCAGCTCAATCTGAATATCCAGATTCAGATCGAGTCGCAGCTTGAGAGGGTCCTTCTTGCCACCGTCCTTTTGGGGCTGCTGCATCTGTTGCTGTTGTTGCATCATCTGCTGCTGCTGCTGTTGCTGATACAACATCTGTTGCTGCTGGTCCTGGCGTGGTATCATCTGTCCCCTGTCTTGTTCGTCGTCCATATCCTCCACCTGGCGTTGGAAGGGGGCCCTTCTCCTCCGGCGAGGCTTGGTCTGGGTTTGAGTCTGCTGCCTCTCGCGGCTGCCGCCGCCGCCGGACTGTTTGCGCTCTGGCTGAGGCGGTGGTGTTGCCGGCTCGTTGTCATCCTGATCTTGGTCGTCTGACTTATCTTCACTCAGATCACCGTTTTGCCCATCCTGCTGCTGGTCTCCTTCGTCCTCGTTCTCGACGCCAGAGTGCTGTTCTTGATCTTCTTGCTCTTCATCCGGAGGGTTGTTGTTGTCCAGGTCCTTGGGCTTCTGAAGGAGGTTGAATTAGTTCACATAATCATTGATAACACGCACATGTGGGATATCAGCTTTTGGGAGACAAACCTCTTCTGCAGACATGATGGCTAACTTTTATGAGTCTCACTTAAAGTTGAGAAAGGTGGAAAATGAATACTAGGCAATGAGGAATTATGAGGGCAAAACAAGTCAGAAGCCCTTCTTTTTGGGTGTCAATTGGTCTTGGACAATGCCAGATATTGTCGTCTTGAGTTCAGTCTTTTTGCATGTCAAAATGAGGCGTAGGTCCGCAGCGCTCGCTTTTGTGGCTCTAGGTCAACTTTTTGTTCCAGGTTCCACTACGGAATTTCTTTGAATATTGAGTGACGCAACAGCTATGTGTCTCGTCCTCTTTTTATGAGACTAAAAAGCCAACAGTAACAGTCTAGGTAACAAGGCCTGATGCAGCGGTAGCCAAGCTTTCTTCACTCCCCCCCTTGTCAAGTAGTGGCGTTTATGACGTGCCAACATTTGCAGTTACGCTCGTTCAAAACTGGAAGAGAGGGAAAGATGTCATCCGGAACAAGCCTCTGAGGCCCACGCCACGGGCGTCCACCTCATGTGAGGTGAAGTCATGCTGTGCGGGTTGCAGGATTACCTACACCAAGCTAGGAACTTTAAGCAGGACATGGGTAATCAGCCCCCACAACTGGAGACGCGGGATCTCGATCGCTTCATGCAAGACCCTCCTAAATACGACTACTGGAGTCATACGGAAATACGTACAAGCATATACACGATCAGGATTGCCATAAAAACGTCATTCAAATGGAAACCCTCCATGGGCACTGGGTATCCCCTTTGTTCATACCAAGAGCTATACACTCAAACGCCCATTACATGATGGTCATCGGGCTTCTCGCCATCACGGCAATACCAACCGTTACGGGAGTGGGCCAAGCCGTCAGTGCCCAGAAGAAGCAAAACGCGGCAAACAAGGAAAAGGAAAAGTTTCACCTGACGGCGGTAGTCCAAGATGGGGAAGAAGAAGACGACGACTACGAGACGGATTTCTGCGTCCTGAAAGACGGAAAGGTATGTTACTGTTGCTTGCGAGACAAACCACGGCAAAAGCGTTTAGCAGCTGACTTGACGACAATGGCTTGACAGTTGCTTGTCAACATTCCGCTCGATGCCGATTTCCCTGGCTACGCCTTTTGTGGCTACTACTTCACATACCCCAGTGAGGAGCAGCATCTGGGGCTAGTGAGCACCATCTCAGATGATCCCCCAATGCTCAACTGGATATACATCAACAAGGACACGCACGCGGTGGAGTACGGCGCTCGTAAGGACACCCTGGGCCACGTCATTGGGCCTTGGGGATGGAGCGAAGATGAGACGTTTCTAACGATTCAGGGCAACGACGATTGTTTTGTGGCGAAGCTGGAGCGCGACGACAGTGGCTCAGGCTCAGGGCGATGGGTGGTGTACTGGGATCCGGAGAACGAGATACTAGCCACGACGGAGGTGGAGGAAGAGTGCAAGCCAGTGAGGCTGAAGAGGGCCATGTTACTGGGCATGCAGAGCAAGTATGTTAGGGACTAGCTAGAGTGTGAAATCTACATTGCATTGCAAAGCCTGTTTGAAAGGAAAAGATTGGGGACAGGGGTTAATTGCTTCATCACGATGAGGTGGCTGCTGATTGATGGAAAAGGTTATGGGGTAGTCATGGCTGGCTAGTGGGAGCTGCCGCGGAATGAATGGCCAAAAACGTGGTGGGCTTGGCTCCGCAATAAGTGGTCTTTGATTTAGCCCAAAAATAGTATGCTGCTGATCCCTGTATATTTGATACGGAGGAATAAATTAATTTATATTAACGTGCATTGCACCTATTGGCTCATGATGACTTCATAGATTTTGTTGTGAAGGTGAGGGCGTGTAGGAGGAAAATAAATCACGAAATCGCGGGAATGGAACAAAGTGGAGATGGAGAAAGAAGGGTAAGGGTTTAGAAAGAAAACCGGTTGGGCTGACGACGTATGTGGTGTGCATGGCCTTACTGAATAAATGGGGGTATATCATTATGATGTTCCGGGTATTGGATGGATGGATGCCATGTTGGATATACTACTAGAAAGGCAATAGCCAAAGGGATAGCTGCTCTAATTTTTCTTCTCATACTCGGACTTACACATACCTACTAAGACTGTTTCTTCTTCTTCAACTTAATCTCATCTTATAACTCATCTTGTCTTCTCTTTTACTTTCAGTCAAGGCAACTACACCAACAGCACAACCGTTACAATGTCAAATGCCACAGCAGACAAGGACCGCACCGACTCCGCTGAAGAGTACGCCTCCGACTCTGCCGCCGAGTCACCGCCCCCCCAGCCTCCCCGCCGTGAGAGAAGACAGATGACGAGGACCCAGCGTCGCGGCAAGTCTCAAACCGGCGGCGGCCAGCTCGGTGCACTGGATAACTTGCCCGTGGCCGGCGATTTAGGAAACCAAGTAGGGCAGGTTGCGCAGACAGCACAGGGCGCAGTGGGCGGCGTGACAAACGCGCTGGGAGGTGTCGCAGGCAATGCGGTCCAACAGCAAGGCGGCGGTGATGGCGGGAAGAGCGACACATTGAGGCTACGGCTGGATTTGAACCTGGATATTGAGATTCAGCTCAAGGCCAAGATTCACGGAGATCTGGAGCTGGCGTTGTTGTAAGTCTTTCAAAACCCCCATTTCCTTTTTTCCCTCCCCCTACTCATACACACTCCTCACCCCTTTTGCATCTTGGCCCCATTCTTTGAGTCCTACTACATACTGGGTTATCACATTATCTTACAAGTGCGGCCTCTCTTCAGGACTGGCTAGTTATGGGGCCCTACCATATCACCCGCATTTAAAAATTACAAAAAATTTTAAAATTAGAAAGAAAAAAAAAAAGACAAAATCGGCTAATAACGTTGCGCTCTTTGTTCACAACACCAGGAACTGAGAAGACAAAGCGATTTTCACATCAATCAACAACGACGACAGCAAAAACCGGCGCTTCTATTTTTATAATGAGAGACCTGATCAATATCAGATGTGGAGGCGTAACCGGATGGCTCCTTCTATTTTTTTCTTTTTGATCCCTTTTTTTTTTGACGCTTTCCTTTTTGTTGTTGTTCAATTTGTTTACATGAGCCTCTTGTATTGTGTCCTTTTCTTTTGGGAAGAGGCTTGGGCACTAGGAGGAGAATAGTTATAGCGTGGGAGGGTGAGAATAACTTTGTCCTGGAATGTTACGATTATCACACGCATGTATTTGTCGAATAAAGATGGAGAGGTGAACGAGCAAGATCATGGCTCTGCCTCTAGTTAATGATACTATACTCCTTGAGTTCTAAAAGATTCAGCCTTCATGCCTAATGTGAAAAGAGGATGATGGAGAGTTGACATAGACAAGTCAACCACAGAGTCACCAGCCACATTAGCTGCGAGCCACAATTCCTGCCAGTCCAATGGAATAGCTCAGAGCCACAGTGCCAAGCTACAGTATTGTTAAGCCACAGCATGGCTGAGCGCCACTGCATGTCATGGCTGCTTTCCCTATTTGGACCATGTCTCAATTCGGCATCCTCCGACCGAGACTAACGTCTTCGACGCGGAGGAAACGTTCCACGACAGCAGGATTTGAGCTGAGTCTTTTTACCTGGGAAAAAACAGGTATTGTGAGGGCGTTTTCTTCTTCGTTACTTACTAAAAGTCCACATGCAAAGTCCGTAATACATACTGTTTATGCCACAGTATCAAACGGTCCTATTCACGCCCGTCGTGGAGAACCCCTGTATCAGCGGGATATTCTTGGAGCGATCGGCGATGCGGATGATGTGGGAGTGTGTCATCGCCCCATGCCGTGTGGCCATGCGCAAGGTTTCTTTGCACACGATGACGCAGCTGCTGTTGCTTGTTTGCTAGAGAGCTGCCAAGAGAAAATGTGCAGCTGCTATTGGGCTACGCTGGCAAAGGAGCGCATCAAGCTATCGTGGTCGCTATTCTTTACTGAGCGTCCAGGCCATTTTCCGTTATGAGAAACTCACTTTCTTAATAATTGAATCATTACTTTTGTACCTTGCTCGGCGCTCAGCTGTAACAATGCCGCATCAGCAGTCATCATCGCCTAATAGCCCCCCGTTGCCGTCATCCGACGGTGATCGTCAGGGACCACGACGCTCTTCCAGCCATAGGCTCGTCATGCTGCCTCGGACCAATTCACACAATGGCAGCAGCGAGGAGAGAAAAAATCCAGACATCAAGATACCCAAAATACAGCCCGTTGAGCAAGGAGAGCCGCTCGCCGAACTCGCCCAGGGCTTAGTGGGCAAGTTTATCGACGAGTTCGGCAACATCCTGGACTGGGATGGTACGGTGCTGGGGTCTGTGGAGGGCGATCTTCCTGCCATGGTGGGACGGCCTGTGTCCGAATCTGGGGAGATTTTTGACAACGCCGGAGAAGTGGTGGGATATGTATCCGAGAACCATACGAGGCCGAAGCTTAAGGATCTAGAGGGAGGTTTGAGGATAGATGGCGATGGTAACATCTACAATAAAGATGGCAAGGTAGTTGGCAAGATGAACGGCCCGTCAACAGAGGAGGGAGAAGGAGGATCTGGGCAGCAGCACAAGGCGAATGAGGGCGGAAAATCTCAAGATGCCGGCAAAGAGAACGATGCAACGCCAGGCCCTTCAGAGGTGTATTTGGATGTCAAATCAACACACGACGGCATCCAACTGATTATCAAGATACCCACGGTTTTTAAAAAAGGAAACTAAGACGCATCCTAAGATACCTCTTTCACTGGTAATACAAAGCGTAGTAGGATCAGGGGCAGTTCAGGCGTTGGGCTCAATACTGGTCTGGGAATCTGGTGATAGCATCATTTTTACAAAATATAGAGTAATTGCAGTTTCACGGGCTTTACACAAATTCCCTTCCTTAGCTTTGATAGCTCGAGATATCATCGTCATAGCCAAGCCATCGACAGTACAACAATTAATCTCCGGCAACGCTAATCAAGGGGTGCATCGTCTTCACAGCCACACTTGTTTTATTCATACTCCCCTATCAGAAACCTGTTTGGACATAGAAATCCAGCGCCACATGATAAATGAATACGACACCTTCTCATTTAGCTTGTGGCGAGTGGTGGCTTACGCGCGGAGAGAAGATCTCGGGCTCGGGTCTCGCTCGCATGGACATCCCTGTTTTGCGACGCGCACTACTATAAGCATCAGAGAGCTTTTTGAGCCTATGCTTGAGCTCGAGAGACAGCTTTGTGGCTTGTCTGATATCATTGTGATATGATGTTCCCCTTGATATATGGGTTCTATGCCTAGTTGGTCGAGCTGTATATCGGGGTTATCCATGTTGTCAAGACGTAATCGGGGTCCTAGTCTGCGTCATGTCGCATTAAGATGGTGGTATCGGATGGCTTCACATCGAGATACATGCCAGTAATCGACTTATGGCAGTGACGCTGCCGAACATGTTAGGAGATTTGCATGTGCCAAGTCGACGTATGCTGCGTATGCAGATGTTGAAAAGTTGGATGATGAAAAGGCGCAACTTTATTTCCCATCAGCACTCATAAAAATATATATAGCATGAAAGAGTAAGGACGTCAATGATAATTTCAAATCACTTTGAGGAAAAGTAAAAAAATAATTCAGCTACTATAACCAGAGAAACTCACATAATTCTGTGAACCTAATTATTTATTTTTTGTTTAATTTTGAATGAGTTACTAAGCCCAAAATGCCGTTCCCAAAACCTGTGCAAGTCCAGGGGGGCTGGCAAGTCAAAGATAGTCCTACTACAGAGCAGAGAGATCCAGGTAGTGTACTCATCTTTGATCGTAAACTACAATTGCATATCTAACAGCTACTCATCACAGTTGAAATGCTGCGATCTATCCCTCGATCTGCTGCTGGCGTTGTGACCGACACAGGAGACATTCTTGATAGAGCCGGCAAGCCTATCGGAAAGATTACCGAGTCAGGGGAATCTTCTGATCTCGTGGGCAGCGCTGTCATGGCTTCTGGCGACATCCTCGACTCTTCTGGAAAGGTCCTTGCTAAGGCCAACCTGGATTCTGAGGAATTGGGTGAACAAGAAGGTGAGGAGGGCGAAGAGGGCGATGAGGGTGAGGAGAGTGAATACACGACTGGAGCAAAGGACCAAAAGTCCGGCGGCTGGAACCTCATGGGAAAGACCAAATCTGCCTACCAGACGGCCAGCAACCTCCAAAAGCCCGTTTCACAGGGCCTCGACCTTGTCAGTAGGATGCAGAAGCCAAGCGAAGATGAACAAAGCTCAGCTGACTCGTCGATCCAGGTCGGCGACCAGGACAAACAGCTCCAGGAGCGGGGAATGGAGGCTGGAGATCAGGAGAAGCTGAAAGAAGAAGCTCCGATCGCAATGGAAGACAAATCGGAAGCTGGTAAAGAGCTCGAGGGAACCGAGGCACCCCAGCCAGAGGAGGCCAAAGAAGGCGAGATGCCCGAGCCAGATACCAAGGACTTGGAAGAAAAGAAGTCTGAGGTCGCCGAAGAGGGCGAAAAGCTACAAGAAGAGGAGCCGATTGATTTCTCCATGCTCAAGGGAATGAAGGTCAACAAAGCTGGCAAGCTTGTAAACAAGGATGGAGATGTTGTCGGAATCCTACTCGAAGGTGACGCCAAGCAGCTCATCGGCAAGCAGTCAGATGAAGAAGGCAATATCTGGAATGACTCTGGCAAAATCATTGGTAAATGCCGTCCATTGAACCATACCGAGCGTGGTGATGAAAAGGAATTCGCCCCATTCGAGAACTTCCCGGATGCCGTTGTTGAGGCTGATGGTCGCGTTATGTATAATGGCCAGCAGGTAGGTGTTGTTGTAGAGGGCGACGCGAAGCATCTCAAGGGCAGTAAAGTTGATGAGGACGGTGATATTCTCGACCGACGAGGCAATGTCGTTGGAAAGGCAGAGTCTTGGGATCAACAAGAAGAGGAGCCAATTGATTATTCTGAGCTCAAGGGAACCAAGGTCAACAAAGCCGGCAAACTCGTCAACAAGAATGGAGATATTCTCGGAGTCCTCATCGAAGGCGACGCCAAGCAGCTCATCGGCATGAAATCAGACGAGGAGGGAAATATTTGGAATGACGCTGGCAAAATCGTCGGCAAATGCCGTCCATTAACTCATGGGGAACGTGGCGATGAAAAGGAGTTTGCCCCATTCGAGAATTTCCCAGATGCCGTTGTTGAGGCTGATGGCCGCGTTATGTTCGAAGGCCGGCAGGTTGGTGTTGTTGTTGACGGCGATCCGAAGCATCTCAAGGGCAGTAAAGTTGATGAAGATGGCGATATTCTCGACCGACGAGGTAACGTCGTTGGAAAGGCAGAGGCCTGGGATGAGCCCGAGCCCGAGCCTGAGGCTGTTGTCGACATGTCCTCATTGGCAGGCAAGAGGGTTAACAAGGCTGGCAATATCGTCGATGGATCGGGTGCCATCTACGGCAGAGTTATTGAGGGTAATGTTAAATCCCTGGTGGGCCGTATGTGCGACAAGAATGGTAATATCCTGAGTGAATCTGGAGATATCATTGGCAAGGCCGAACTCGTTGGCGAAGGCGAACGTGAGGGCGTGAAAGAGGGCATATTCGCTGAGCTGAGTGGCTGCACTGTCGCAAAGGACGGCACAGTTGTTACGCCTTCAGGCGATATTGTTGGAAGACTCACCGAAGGCGACCCCAAGAAACTGTTTGGCCGTGCCGTCGATGAAGATGGAGATATTGTCGACGGCAACGGAAACGTCCTGGGCAAGGCCGAGCGCTGGGAAGAGCCTGAGGCTCCTGAGAAGAAGAAGGCTCCTTATGCAGGTCGCAAGGTGAACCGCGAAGGCAACGTCCTGGACGAAGAAGGAAACCTCATCGCCAAACTCGTTAGCGGTGACGTTGCTGCCTGCTCTGGCAAGGAAGTCGACGAAGACGGTGATGTAATCAATTACAAGGGCAACACCGTCGGCCACGTCGCTCTCCTTGAAGACATTCCCAAAGAAACCGAAGAAGACATCAAGAAGCGCGAAGAGGCTGAGAATGATCGCAAGTTGGCCGGGAAACTGGCTGGATGTATCGAGCAGTCTCTGGACAAGATGCGTCCCATCTGCAAGATGATCACAGACAAGATCAACACAGCCGAGAGGACGCCCAAGGAGGAACTTGACGAAGAGGCGCTGGTGAGGGAAGTTAAGCCGCTGATCGAAGAAGGAGCCAAGATCCTGACTGAGACCAACGGTACTATTCGTGGACTCGATCCTGATGGACGTATCCAGCGAAACGCAAAGCACAAGGCGGGCACTAAGGAGGCTACGCCTGAGGAGCATCACCTGGCTGAAGTGCTCTCAGAGGTGGGTGGCTTATCGGGATCATTATACATTAAGGAATCGCAAGCTAACAAGTAATGATTATAGCTCACGGGCACTGTTACTCAGACCATTGACAACGCAAAGAGCAAGATTGAGGGCATGCCCCATGCTAAGAAGGAACTCAACCCTCTCTGGGGTCTCTTGGCGGAGCCGTTGTTCCAGATCATTGCGGCTGTTGGATTGTTGCTCAACGGCGTCCTCGGCCTCGTTGGTAAATTGGTGAGTGTCTTACGATAACGTTACCCTATTCTGATGCTAACTTCATTTTTCAGCTGAGTGGTCTCGGTCTCGGCGGCATTGTCGACAATCTCCTCGGAACGCTGGGACTGAACAGGGTCCTCGATAGCCTTGGACTGGGTAGCATTACCGGTGTTATAACTGGTAAGGACAAGAAGGAGAAGAAGAAAGGAGGAGGATTGCTGGGATTGGGAATCGGCGGTTAAGCGGAGTCTTTTGGGGTGGATTGTTGCTTTTCCCATCTATTCAGAAACGCCTTTCTTTCTTTTTTTTTTCTTCAAATAAAAGGGAAAAAATGGGGATCAGAATGTGTTGGAAATTATGAATGGGACAAATCGAAGCTGGGAATATCACAAATATGGATGGACGATGTAATTGTGTTTGGTGTTTTTGCTTCTGTTGGCAGTTCCGTCTTCATACGATGTAGGTAGTATCGCTGTAACGTAACTAATTCTTTTACTGAGACCTTCCTGGCCGCTGACTCGCTGAGCTATACAAAATGAGCCCATGGACTAAGCACTACTAAACCTACCTTAGCAGGACATGTACATGCCGAGGTAGTACATGCTCTTCTCTGCATTGTCATTGTTCACAAGTTCATTTTGGTTACCATCACCAGCGTCATTCTGTCAAGATCACTTTGATCAACCGCCACCATGGCAAAGGTTGTCTTTCTAATGGCCGACTATGGCCATGATCCGACTGGTGAGTAAATAAATATCCACGCCGGGACATCAGTTTGATTGACTTGCATCCAGAAACATGTGTGCCTTATACGGCCTTCAAGAATGCAGGCTTCGATGTCAAATTTGCAACCGAGGCAGGCAAATCGCCTCAATGCGACTCCAAGATGCTGGAAGGGCTCACGCAGTGCCTTTTGGTGCGTTCTTTGCCAGCTCGCGCGCATTGTGCAAGCTCTAACACGAGTGACTGAATCATAGGGTGCAACCTCGTTCAACGTAAAGAGATATCGCGCCATGGCCGACTCGGAAGAATGGAAGAATCCCTTGTCATGGTCTGACGAGCAATTCTCCCTGGACGCGTTCAACCTCGCGTTCTTCCCTGGTGGTCACGACAAAGCAGTCAGGCAGGTGATTGACTCGGAGAGAGTCCACAAGCTGGTCTCCGATTTCTTCCCCAGCGCGAAGAAGCCAAGCAACAAGGCAGTCGGCGCGGTCTGTCACGGCGTCATGGTGCTTTCAGAGTCCAAGCATCCCGATGGGAGCAGCGTCATTCGCGATTGCGCAACCACCACGCTGCCGGCGCGGTTTGAGCAGCTGGCCTTTTGGGGCACCCGTCTCTTCCTGGGAGATTACTACAAGACGTATGGAGCGGGAACCGATGATGTGGAAGTCTTGGTGCGAAAAGAATTGGCAAATCCTGATCAGCTCAAGATTAGCATCAAGCCCTCACCGTGAGTTTCACCGGGAAAACGGCGGAAATGAAAGATTCTAGATTCGAGTTGCTGAATATTAATGTCTTCTTAGCTTTGTTGTCGAGGACGAAAACTACAACTACGTCACGGCGAGATACCCCGGCGATGCAGAACTTTTGTCACAGAAGCTAGTTAAGCTAGTGCAGAGCTTTTGATGGACTTGCGGACATGAGGCGGCTATTCTGGAGGAGCCGAGCCAGAGATCCGGGGAGTCGCGGAGAAAATGGAGGAATTGATTTGCCAAGTGAGATTTTGGCGACGATGTGGACGGCGAGGATCCACCCATCGGCCGCATCAGATTTGTAACCCTCGATTTTTCGTTTTTGGTCTTTCTTTGTCTAGACCGTTTGTATTTGAATGTCTTGAATGGGGGAGTTGCCTGATTTCGTTTTAGCCGCTATTCATATGGGTTATGCATACAATACAACACAGTACATGTGGAATCAAACATGACTGATTGGGCATTATTATACCATCTTTACAACTGATCGCATGTATGATTCTAAGCTGGTATTATTCAATCGCCTGTCTTATTAGTGTCCATTGTTATGGCATTGCACTCGGATAGCCTTAGCGAATACCACTTTGCAAGCTGCAACTCACGTACACACGGGATACTACTAATAACAAAAGAGGAGGGCTAAAACTCAATGTTACCATGCCATGGACCTGTTTTTGCTTTCGTGGGGTTCTTGATGCTACAACTAACAATCATCTTTGTTTACAATTGGCAGGGCGGAGTCCTTTTTTTACGGGTATTAATCCGGGGCCACACACCAATCCGGAGCTGTGAGCTGCGTTGAATAACGGCATCCGGGCAGCATCCTTGCGTTGACGGCAAACGGCAAAATGTATCTGCGTGCGTGGGGAAGCATCAGGGAATATTCGCATCTTCCCCTGCAACGTCCATTGCTAGCCTGAGCTTCCCCCGCACGCCAGCAGAAAAAAGGGCCGAGTTTGTTGTTTATGTGCCTGACCTTGCCGGCACAGAAGCAGAGATGAGATGAGATTCCCCTTGGACCTGAGCTGGTTGGCAGGGATCCAGAGTCGAGGCGAACATGCCGAATGGGTCGGTCAGCCATGACAAGTTGTTGCTTTTACAGCCTTGATACTGCTTTCTCCGCGAACGGCGACCCGCAGACATGGATGGGATTGGTTTTTGTAGACATGGATAGGACTTTGTGGCATGAGTCTAACACGACTGTTGGCCGGCTGAGGTATCCGTCCATCCGTTTGCCGATTCAGTCAGGCAGGCCTGGAGATCGAGTGAGCAAAGATGAATAATATAATATTAACAGCAACAATGAGTAGATATATAAGGAGAAGAGAGGCCCCGATCGGCGGTGAAAGAGGAGGCCTGGTTCTTGCAGCGACTGAACTAAGGCAAAAGGAAGAAGAAGAAGAAGAAGCAGCAGGTTGAGGCTGATCTCACCTGTGATACTTCTGCAAAGATGAGAGCCGTGTCATTGCTTCTCGGCCTGGCTGCCGTTGTAGCTGGTAACTCTCTACCAGCCGAAGGCATCGAGGCCAGACACTCGTCCGGCTACTGGTACGAGAACATCGAGCACAACGGAATCAGTCCCTTCATTGCTGATGGCAAGAACTGGACCGTCTTCCGCAACGTCAAGACACACTTTGGTGCCAAGGGCGACGGCGTGACTGATGACTGGGCAGCTATCCAAGCTGCCTTTGACTATGCCAATGCGACGGATTCTCGCAATGCGAGTGTTTGGGGCACCACCGGCGCTCCAGCTGTTGTTTACATACCGGCTGGCACATACCGTCTGAGCAAACCTCTTCAGTCGTATATCGACACCGTCGTGATTGGTGATCCTACCAATAGACCGGTGCTGCAAGCCTCTTCAGACTTTTCTGACCCATTTCTCTATCTCGGCTGGGACCCCAGACTTGACCCAACCATCAACTTCTACATCGCCCTGAAGAATGTCGTCTTGGACTCTACCAAAGTGGCCCCTACCCACAACATCACGCTCCTCAACTGGGCCGTGAGCCAAGCTGTGCAGCTTACCAACGTTTTATTCAACATGCCCAACGGCGGCGTTGCTCACACAGGCCTGTCGATGCCTCAGGGCGGCTCGCCTCTGATGATCAACGACGTTGTGTTCCAAGGTGGATCTGTTGGCATTCGCATGAATGAACAGCAATATCATTTTAAGGGAATCACCTTTAAGAGTACGTCTTGACTCGAAGGCATTTAAACTTGTACAATTTTACTAACATGCCTAATTTTATAGACCAGGACATTGGCCTGAAGCTCGACAAGCTGTTTGAGGGTACCGGCCAGGGTCTGCACTTTGAGTCATGCAAAGTCGGCATTGAGACTACAAACAACAATACCGGATTCTTTGCTCTTATTGATTCAACTGCAAAGAACGTTGGCATTTTGTGGAATGCTGCAGCTTCGCCCACAGCTCAAGGTTCTATTGTCCTTGAGAATATCCAAGTAGACCACACTGTCGGTTCTGTAAGTTACTCTGCCCTCTTGCGAAAACTTTCGCCTCATTACCAGGAGAATCAAAGAAGCTAATAGCATATTTGGCTAGACTGTTACAGCCGGAGGAAAGAATGTCCTCAGGGGCTCTGTTAAGCCGGGCCAGTCCTGGATCTGGGGCAACGTCTATGGACCTTCCGACGGCCAGCGCGCTCAGGGCAAATTCTTCCCAGCATCTCGACCTGCAGCACTTGTCGATATCACTGGAGCCTACCATGTTGCCACTCCTCCAACTTTCCAGGAGTATAGCGTGAACCAGGTCATCAATGTCAAGACGGTTCGCGGCCTGCCCGTTGCTGGTGACGGTGTTACAGATGAGTGAGTATTAGGACATAGACATTCGGTCCATTGATTGCCAAGAAGATGAGGAAGCTAACTCATTTATTAGCACCAAAAACCTCCAGAAGATCATCAACAGCGCTGCTGGTAAGAATGTTCTCTACTTCCCTCATGGAACATACCTTGTTAGCGATACCCTTGTAGTTCCTCCTGGAAGTCGGTAAGTAGCATTGGCTTTCTTTCTGTCCAGCCCAATCAGCTGACAAGGTCTTAGATTCCACGGAGAGGTTTGGTCTGAAATCAGCGCTACTGGATCCAAGTTCAAGAACGCAAACAACCCAGTGCCGATGGTTCAGGTTGGATATCCTGGCCAAGTCGGCGTTGCGCAATTTGTCGACATGCTCTTCACTGTTGCTGATATTCTTCCTGGCTGCAAGCTCGTGGAGGTCAACATGGCGGGCCTAAAGGCTGGAGACGTTGGCTTCTTCAACTCTCACTTCCGTCTTGGAGGTGCCCGAGGCTCCAAGGTCCAGACCAACTGCGATGATCCCGCGACCTGCAAGGCCGCGCGAGTTTGCGCCCATCTCACAGCTTTGTCTTCGTCATACTGGGAGAACAGCTGGTGCTGGAGCGCCGATCACGATCTTGACGATGATTACGGCGCTAACCCTTCCACTGCTGGTGGCTTCTTGGTGGAATCCATCCGAGCTACCTGGATGTTGGGTATTGGTAGCGAGCACAACTCCCTGTACCAAGTGAACATTCATCAGGCACAGAACGTCTTCTTGGGCTTCCAGCAGAGCGAGACGCCATACTGGCAAGGCAATAACTCTGGCTTGCTGACTCCCTTGCCCTGGACCGGCTCTCTACTAGACAGCGACCCGGACTTTAGCTGGTGCGCAGCTGACGATGCTCAGTGTCGCATGGCTATTTTCCAGTATATCCACGATTCTAGCAACGTCAATGTCTATGGTGGCGGATACTGGGTCTTCTTCAACGGCATCAACCGCGATGGCTGCTCGGCTGAATGCCAGCAGAACGCTGTCATCTATACCGATAACAAGAAGCTGTTCAGTTATGGTGTGAGCACGCATAATGTTAGAACTATGGTGCTCGAGTCCACGGGAGGGAAGGACGTGGCTGAAGTGACCGATACTGCAAACTCGGGAGGTTGGCAGAGCCATGGTGGTGTCATGGCTGCGTACTTGGGACAGAGCAGCTATTAAGGTAATGCCGATGTTTGTAGTTATTATTATATAATGATGAATGAGATATGAAGAAATGCGGACCATTTCCAAAGTACTACTTTTGACGAAGCTGAAGCGAGTGAAAGGCAGGTTGTCGAGATATGCGTTTGGCGTTCATTAAATTGAGGTATGGACGTGTGAGATTGAGAGGGAAAGTCAATCTTGAGACATTAATATGTGTATTTCCGTTAAAGACTCTAGATACACACTATCAGAGTCTTATTGAGCTGTGTGTGGTTAGCTGTTACAGTGATTGAGCTCAAACCACAGTACGCTGTTTGTGAACTACATGCTGGCTCTATTTCGTACAGAACATAGATCGCTATCTAGCTGATAGTAAGTTTTTCTCATACATAAATGAGAAGAATCATTGCGGCGACCCTATCTTTGACCAATAGTATTCTCCTAAATCCTAGGAGCGAGCAAGCTTGGAGTTTGGGGATCATTGTGGAGACTATGGAGTAGGTATTAAGCGCTGGAATGGGGAAAAATGTAGCTCGCTTTGGCTATATTTTGCTGTCATATTTTGAACCGCCACATACTCTCTTCCTGATATCAAGCTCATTTAGCAACGCATAAACGAAGAAAAAATCCTTTATTATTAGATTTACTAGCCAAGAAAGAGTCGCTCACAATGGCTGACAACTCCATGAACAAACAAATAGTGCTCATCACTGGCGGCAACCAAGGCATCGGTTTTGAGATTGTCAAGAAGCTTGTTGCGGAGCAGCCAACCTACCATGTGCTCCTTGGCTGTCGCACTCTATCAAGAGGAGAAGAAGCTATATCGAAGCTGCAGAACCTAACCGGCTCAGTTTCTCCCATCGAAGTAGACGTCACTTCAAACGATTCAATCGCAGCTTGTGTGGCACAAATTGAGCATGAGCATGGCAGGCTCGACGTGCTAATCAACAATGCTGGCATTGGAAGGCATGCAGTGGAAGATCTGTCGAGCCTCAGAGCCAAAATGTCTGCACTTTTCGATGTCAATGTGTTTGGCGTTATGGAGATGACAGACGCAGCTATCCCCCTTTTGAAGAAAGCCGCTGACCAGGGCTCGGTACCGCGAATTGTCTTTATCACTTCAGAGATGGGTTCTCTGGGGAATACTCTTAATCCCTCGTGGAAGTACTATAAGAGCAATACTTCTATCCCGTACAAATCTAGCAAGGCTGCCGCCAACATGATTGGGGCATGCTATTCGACATTATTTCAGAAGGAGGGCTGGAAGATTAACTGCTGTTGTCCTGGGTTCCGTAAGACAGCATTTAATCACCACATGCCTAATGCTATGGACGTGGAGGAGGGCGCTGTAAGGGCTGTGGAGTTGGCGACTCTCGATAAAAATGGCCCGACAGGGACTTTTAGCAACATTGATGGAACCGAGCCGTGGTGAAAGAGGTAACAACAGTATATTACCTCTTTAAGCAAGGTGTTCACGAACTGGTAGGTAGAGCGACTTATAGCGAGAAATTTATCGATGACAGCTATTTACAAAGAAATTTCGGTATTAATGTCCTGCATTATCCCAACCTAACTTGTCTATATATATTATTGCATTAGGCTTAAATCAAACTGGCCAAGGGCGGCATCAAGGTAGCCTCTCTGTCAAATACCGGCTACATCGCCGCCCCCGGAAGCCTTAGCCAGTCAAATGTGTCCAGCAGTCCAAAATTAAAATCGTTCATATCTTCCGGCAAATTTGTATCCCATGCCATTTCAAACTCTTGCTGAGGTGCTGGATTAGGCGTGGGATTCAAGGCTTGCTCGATTACTCGCTCAACCACCGTCCTAATGCTGTTACACAAATGAGCGCCCGGCGTCGAAGGCCCAATCCATTCAAGAAAGCCGACAAGCAAGGTCAGCTGCTTTATTATCATGGACTTTGTAATCTTCGCCGTTGTTGGTGATTCTGCCGCACCAGAGGAAGTCCTTAAAAGCTCCATGCACAAAATCCCCCCTGCAGGGCCGGCGTACTCCATAACGAGCCACTCATAGTCTCCTTGTAGACCTTCCAGGCGATTCTGCTGTGTCCAGAATGTAACGGTAAGCGAGATCATCTCTAGACTGATCTCAAGTGTTTGTGCGCTGTACAGGCCATCGCCCTTGTATGACAGCTTCTCAATGAAGAATAAATTACTTAGATGTTCCAGTCGTACTAATAATTTGGCGTAGAGGGCGGTACCGTCAACTTCGGGATCACTAAAGTCTTCGTTTCTGAGCCGCAGTCCTATTGGAAATCGTGATACCGTATCCATTTCTCGTTTGCGTAGTTCGCTTTTCAGAAAGAGGTTAGTACAAAGATATGGAGGAGGGCTCAATAGTGCACACGTACTCAAGATCATAGTTGTTACTCGCGACGTTGGGTGCTTGGAGCACCATCTCTAAGATTTCGCTCCTTATCTTTGCGCTTATGTATGCAGCTCGCAGATATGTCATGGGATAAGTTTTTCCATCAATATTCCATCCGTCCTTGTCCAATCGGTAGTCTTTGAGCTTGGTATTGAACAATGAAGCATTATCAACATCGAGGGGTGTTGGTGTGGAACAAAGCCTGCTGCTAAGCAACGGCGGCCGGCCAGTCAAAGTAGATAACATCATATCAGCAATAAAGACGGCACAGAAAGTCTTTCGCTTAGCCTGAACAGCTACTGACTCTTCTGGCAATGAGTTGGATGATTGAGATGTGTGGAGGCCAAGAAAGGTGGCCATAGCGACGGCTTCTGCATGCAAGCGCCAGAATTCCGCACCTAGGTTGGGCATTAGAGACCGTTCAATATAATTCCGCTATTGCCGTAGTATGATCCGTAAGAAAGCTTACCTGTATCACCAGTAATGAGTGATGCAGTGAGGCTGTTCAAATGTAAGAGGAATACCATCATTGTGTTGTTGCAGCTAGCCATTCGGCAAAGGTCAGCACACCTCGTTGTACCCATTTTGTACATCTGCATGAGGTTTCTACGATTATGATTTCCAAGTTGTTTGCATTGTTCGACGTTGCCGTTTTCTGATAGCGAAGTAGCTCCACAGGTCCAATATCCGAACAAGATACCAAGACCTTCCCAGCGAAAATTAATCCCGGAGAAGGCCTCGTACCATTGATCAGGGTCTGTAAAGTCTTCCCTAAGAGGCCTGGAACTATTTTGAAAAAGCAGCAATGCCATTTGTGACAATGCCTCGTTGCTTCTCTCTCCTTCTAAGAAATGTCCCAGCGTCTTCCATAGTGAGTCGTGAAGTCGATCCACGGCGAGGCGGCACCATGCATCTGAAGGGTTCACATTCCTTCCGTATAAGAATCTTGCTGCCCCTTGATCTGGTATTGTCCGTAACACTGCAAAGGCAGCCTCAAAAGCAGCGGCATCTGGGACCACGGTGTTAGTTGACGCCATGCCGCTGTTATTACTGCCGGCTAAGCCATCACGGGTTGGCTCAAGGCCAGCTACATGGTCGAGGTGCTTTTGAGTCTCGCGGTAGAATTCTGGGAAACTGGTTGCTCCTAGGTAGCCAACATTTCTATCTGAAGGAGAAGCAAGGTCCTCAAGTGTTGGCGGGCTCAATGTTGGTGGGTTTGGCGCTGCCGGCTGTCCATGCCGCCGGCTATCAGCCGATTGGCGTCTTGCACCAACTGAAGGCAAAGCCGGCGTGACAAGCTGCCCCTGGATAAGATAACGGCAGCTTTGGGGGGCACTCTTTCGTATGCACCTCGAGCAAATAGGAAGTCTGTGGTCGCAGGCGACCTTGCGCCGGCGGCATGGCTCGCAAGCCTGGGGGCGGCCATTGCGCCTCCGGGGAATTTCAGACGGAATGGCCAAGCTGCCGCCCGTGCGATTCATCATTATAGCGATAAATGGGCCCGATAGAAACCGCTTTTCCTTGCTGAAGCGTCTCGCCAGCGCAAACGAATATGTGAAGACGGAGAGCCGAAGGCCTGAGATGGGAGAGAGTGAGCTTGAAGATATGCGGCTCTCGGCTTCGGAGCTCGGCTTGGGGAGCTCGGCGTTCGGTTCCATTTTTGATTTGCTGACATGGGCCAAGTCTGCAAGACAGCAAGTCTGCAGAAGAGTGTTGCTATCTGCTTATTGACTTATGGATATGCTGGTCTTGTCTTATTTAGTAATTGATGAGTCTCGCTAGGCATGGTCAACAGCATGAGATGAATGGAAAAGAAGATGTCTGAAATAGACGCTATGGTGCTTTCTAGTTGGAGCTTGACTGTTAAGATGACATTCTGGTTGAAATAAATATGCCCTTCTATTGCTAATCGCATCATAGACTTTATAGTCCAACCCAAACGTCCATCAGGGCGCTTTTGTCTTATCTTAGTCAACTGATCATTTGACTTCCTCCACTTTACCAGTTTGGATATCAAAAATGAGACCGCGAACCTTATCTTTCATGTGCTTCGGGACAATTGGGCTAGATCGGAACCACTCCAAGTCATTCACAACACTTTTTTTAATCCCAATCCTGTTTAAGAAAAATATCGATAGTAAGCATTAATTGTTTCCGGATGTGGCTATCGCAAAGAAATGGACTCACACTTCGTTTCCCCCCCCCCCACCCAGCCCATGCAACGTTGTCAATGGCAGCCGAGTGTGCCTCGCCGATAACATTCTTCACCAGCTTGTCCATACCATCATCTTTGAAACGAAGACTTCCACAGTCAGTGTGATGGACGACGATGATCTCTTGAAATGAATCCGGGAAGGCCGCATTCAGTATGAGGATGTCTCGCATAGCGTATTGAATGTTGCCTCCAACGTTACGGTTTACAAAAACCTCTTTATGCTTGAGTCAGTTTTAAACTTTATACCAGAGGAAGTCTTAACTGGGAACCTTACCTCCGGTTTTCAGATTAAAGTAGTTCTCGGGAATGCATCTAGGATCCACGCAAGTGACTTAGATAGCCTACGTCAGCGTCCGATGAATAGAAGTCATGTTGTGCAATCAATGAAGCTTACCAACCATTGTCGTAAGTTCACCCATTTTGCCTTGAGCTTGGAGCTCAGTAACAAGGGGAATGGGCTCATGTGTAGCAGCCACCTCCCTAAGTGTAGTAGATCAGTAATAAGCAGAGAATTCAAGAGACTTAATTCATGCTCCGGCGAGTCTTTCAAAAACTAACCTGTTTCTCTCTAAGAGCATGTTATACTTCGACATAATGTTCTGATTAAAACGACGAGATCTATATGTAAGGCTTGAATGATAATTAAATAGTGAACTGATTGTAAAACATTGATAAATTATACTTCTAGTAGGAGGTTTATATACTTTTTTGAATCGAGAAATCAATACCACTCAAATATGTAATCGAATATGATATCAACCATGGACAGTTTGTAAACTAACTGTAGCTAGCAAGTAATAACCTGTGGCTGCATCTAGGATGGGATTTTTACTCTTGGTTACTGGGCGTTATTTGCCTGCAGCTACTAGAGATTCCTCATTGAGGTGGAGATTTTGGTGAAATATCTATACGGTAAGCAGTCCTGTGCAATCATAAGTTTCATGGATCATATAGATTAAGATGTTTTTAGTTAATACGTTTTTAATCCAAAATAATATTGCCTAATCTGGATATAATATGTCGAATCGAATATAGATTTTCGGCTATCTGCAAGGTTTAACTACTCCCCTTATTCAGCCCCTACTCCTGTCGATGCCCTGCTATCCTGAGAATGACTTAATATGCTTTTCAGATCCAATAATAGTAGCTACATACTCTTCGTCATTCTGCCATGCTTGACTTGCTTTTCGGAGACAATTATAAGGATTACCTGCGTGCCTCTGAGAATGACCTGATTCACGTTTCCCAGACATTTCTAATCTTCTTTCGCCACCGTGGCAAAAGATATAAGACTTCGATTGCTGAGCGATAGTCCCTACGTTTTAAGAAAAATACGCGGGATACGAGGCGGCAACAGACCACGAGGCACCGACTCAGTTGCAGCTAGTGGTGAATATTAACCAAAGTGGGGAATATTTATAACGAGCAATTCCTAAATGAGAAAACACACTGATATTTCGCAGCATAAACTATCATTCTTCGCGGATTAGTCGTCCCATATCTATTTAATACTCCACCAATGATCACGCAAAGTCCTTCTACGCCACGCCAAGAAAAGCAGAAAGCTTTGAACACTGATGAGATAGATACCATGAAGTAACCACAGTAGTCTCATCAGATTGAGAGCTGAGATTCCCTTTGAGCAGTAGTACCCGCTGACCACGCTCCATTCATTGAAGATGTACTAATCGAGGCGGCCATGGAATCATTTATTTGTATACTTCCGATCTGGGTTCTAGTCAAGAACTGTTTTATTAGAGGGCCTTAAAATACTCAACTCACGATAGCTCTAGATGTATGCTGGTACAGCTTTTCTAGTATAAAAATAATATATACCAGATATATGAGAGAGTTTTTACAATATTTCCTGAATACTCTTTGAAGTTGAATTAGGCTGGTGTAAGAATTGAGCTTGATAACTGGCTCTTTTGTCAAATTATCAATTTCTATTTTACTGGCATAGTTTGGCAATGCATTGTAAACATATATTAATAAACACCTATGAGAAAACAACAAGGAGGAGGCAAAATACGCAATATTGGACAAGATGATACCATAGTCAAAGATAAGAAAAGCTAGGATAGCCGTCTAGTCTCTAAAGAAGGTTGTTCAACATTGAAATAATTTGGCGCACTCTAATTTAGCAATCATCTTCGGGAATTTCTCCGTCTCCCCACATCGAAAACACCTGTCCTTCAAGCTTCTTCATTCCGGGAAGTATGTAAGCAACCATCTTCGTGTCGCCCTTCATAACATAGCCACCATCCAGGTAGCCATTGCCCTCTGCAAGCTTCCTAGATGCGATATTATCTTCGGTAGTAATAATGCACATCTCTTTGACACCAAATTCATCTTTCCAATATCGAGAAATCCTAGCGCTCCCTTCCAATCCGTAACCTTTCCTTTGGTAGTCGGGGCTTATCACATAGCCAAGGTCCATAGGGATATCAGGAGTACGGCGACAAAAAGAGATAATCCCAATCGGGATTCCCGGCGCAGTTTTAAGGGAAGGTATATACATGCATGGAGTGTCTGGGCGGCGGCCATGGGCGTCAGACGGCTTCATCATCAACGAAAAGGAAAGCCGACGAATGTCGTTTTTCGTCCAAGCGCCATCTGTTGGGCCGGCCCCTGCCAGGAAATGATTGAAAGTATCGACTGTGAATTGCATGTGCGTCTCGTTTTTCATGTCGAATATGGCGTATGTGAGACGGTCCGACTCGAGTGTAGGGGCAAAAAGCCCCTGCGTGTTCGCATCTGTTGTGGTCGACATGAGGATGTGTGATTCGCAATATATGGATAAAATTATTACTAAAAATGCATAACGACTTGGCTACCTTTAAATGTTGTATGCTTCTATTATATTTGGTAGAAGCTGACTGCGACAGCTAGCCATATTAGCGAGTCAGGAGCCATCTTCGCGGCTATGGCGGGCACCTGCGGGTAATACAGTCTAGCTAATTTCCCCGTGTCATCAATAGATTCTTATTGGAGAGGAGAGACTAGATCTTACTTCGCATATCATCAAGGCATGGCCTATTTCTAGAGCTAGCGGAGAAGTGGTAGTAAAGCTAATAATAGTCCGAGTCATTTCTGTGTGCGAAAGTGGTAAACTCTCTGGCTGTTAGATCGCTCTGCAGTAAATAGCACTTACAGCGTCAATTTCCCAGCTATTCTCTCCCCGAAATAGCGCCTTTACAACTTCCTAATGAGCTTTAGGCGTATCTCGGGGAATAGTTATGGTATGCGAACCAAAATCCAAGAAGTGGATGCATATATTTAGATGTGGAGAGCGAGAGAATTTCACGAACATATAAGTCGGCTTAAAGAGCAGAAGCTTAGCATAAAGGAATAAAGGAGATCATTTGGTGCATTCTATTTTGGGAAAATCATCAAGTAAATAGAGTATCGATCGATTTCTAATACTTGATCACAACTGCAAATTTCAATATCTACAGCCGCTACTCTAAGCAAATCATTCCTATAAAGCCGCGGCTCACTCAAATTTCCTTTATGGCCAGCGTATGCTTCACGTTGAATAATGCTTCAGTAATGGTAGCGAAGGCAACTCGGTAGTTTTCTGCATTTTTATTTAGACTATCGGCCATTAGTTTGGCTCCATTGCTGACAGTCACTATTCCTTTTACAGCATAGACATGGGGTTTCTCATTGCGCTATAAATTTCCCCATTCAACTGCTGTTCCTCTATTCCATAAGTCCTCTAAGCCACATGGCTGTTAAAGTTGTTTCGCGCCGTTCGTTCTTCGTTCTTCGTTTAGTTTAAAAGTGTCGAGTCATTTTCCTTTCGTTTTTCATTTACAGTTAAGCAACTACTAACTGGCCTATACTATTATTTCTTTTGTTAGGCGACAGAATAGTAAACCTTTGAAGCTACATCTAGGTGGCGATGAGCTTGTTACCTTGTCAAGAAAGCGCTACGCCCTTGTATGAAGCCACAGCGTTCAGTATTTCTGTGGCATTTTTCGTCCCTGCGGCGGCATCAGCCGTGCTCATGTCGAACTTTTCTCTTTCGACTTTCGATTCAGAGTTCTTGTACATAGACTATTAGCAGCGGCGTAGCTTCATAGTAAATAACCCACGACCGCTTTCCCCAAAGATGGCATATTAGGAAACCAGTGTCAAGCTTCGGGGTTAACAGAGTGTTAAATCCATGTCGTTGGATGTTACCTTGAAGTAACTCTGTTGGCTCATCTGAGCGATTTGACTGCATATGCTTTGACCCAAGCGCGCACCAACCGTAATATACCAAGGCTTTAAAGAGGAGTCAGCTGGAATGCGTTGAAGTCCCTCTCTCCTCTTCCAACTCAACCCCAGCCATTGACTTATGTATATTGCACACTAGATAGCTACAGCAGCCTAGGCGCGAGTCAATACTAGGTCTTCTATACTTCTTTTACCAGGGAAAAAAAGACTCAGGCGAATAGTACAACCACCAAGAAAGAAAAACTATAACTTCTTCTTCAACTGGCCCCCCGCCACGAAAAAGTTCAACGATCCAACTTCCCGGAGTGGCCTGGGCGGCGCCGCCTCTAGTAGCCAATACGGCTTCAGTTTTGGACCGGACCGTGGGGTTAGATCTATCATTGTACAGAGAAACAGCCCAGTTAGATCTCGGTTTTGGTAACGGCCGTGGGCCGAGTCGGGCCCAAGAGCCTCCGGCGTGATAACCATTATAAGCAGGACGGTCAAGTCTGATAATCCTAGCTAGGTTCTAATCAACTTCAGCTGTTATATTTCCTCACTTGAAAGATAAAAAGAAGAAATAAGTCATTTAAGGCTCAATATGGAGCTCATTACGGCTATTCTTTCCAGACAAGCAGCAATTGATGCTTTGCTACGATATACGGATGGTCTCGACCGTGCCGACGCCGCCCAGCTCGAATCAGCTTTTACCGAAAATGCTATTATCGACCTCACTGCCTTTTCAGCTCTTGGCATGAGTTACGAGCCTATCTACGGCCGCGATTCTATTATTGCCGCATGCATGAGTGCAGTCGGCGAGGCTCTTGAAACAACCCATTCGTTGACCAACATTCTAGTCAAGCTGAACGACCAAAACGATAGCGCCATTATCACTTGCTATTCCGAATCTCAGCATATCAAAAAAGGTCAAGTCTTTGCCTCTAACTCTCAAGACAATTCCCTCATAGTAAAATGCCGGTACAATGCATCGGTTTCACAGCAGGGACCTGAGTGGAAGATTGAGCGCTTGGAAGTTGTACCACTATGGAGCCAGGGTAGCATGAGTGTTTTTGGGCAATGAGTGAGGTAAAATTGCTTGTAGTTGCTATAAGCGACTGAGTGATAAAGTGAACTAATTAAATATATCTCGTTTGGCATCCAGATTTCAAGTCATCTGTTAGTCTATTATCAGATGCATGGTAGGCATCTAACATTCTGAACGAAGAATATCAAAGTCATCGCATCCATCCTATAAACACTAATGCCATGAAAATTATCTTTTATTCTTAAGTACTGTGCTATCATTCTTTCATGTTTGTGTTTACTATTATTCCCGAATCGTTTGCGCTGTCCCACAGATTCGGGATCCGGAGCGCATAAAGAGTCCCGGATCATCGGTACGGGCGTCGCTATTTCTCCAGTTGTCTTTCCTGACTATTAATTGCCAATTAGTATAAAGATTACGAATTTGATGACGTATTCGATTAAAAGAAAACTCTTCATTTATAATTAATTATTCCTTTGCTGCTCTATTTCACTTCACTTAGTTCAGCAGACACTCCGAGTTGCTTCCGCCGTCTCCTTAGCCAATTCCGCATGAGCCCACAATGGCTCATTCCACTCAACAGTCAGAAAATACTTTGGGGTTATCGCCCTTTGCAATTGATTTCCTCATGGGAGGGGTTTCTGCCGCCATTTCCAAGACCGCAGCTGCCCCCATTGAGCGAATCAAGCTCCTGATTCAGAATCAAGATGAGATGATGAAAGCTGGTCGCTTAGATCGCAAATATGGCGGCATCGGCGAGTGTTTCAGACGTACGATAGCTGATGAAGGAATTCCCAGTTTATGGCGCGGCAACACTGCCAATGTGATTCGATATTTCCCTACGCAGGCCCTTAATTTCGCCTTTCGCGACAAATTCAAGAGGATGTTTGGCTATCAGAAGGATCGTGATGGATATGCTCTGTGGATGGTAGGAAATTTGGCATCTGGAGGCCTTGCCGGAGCAACTGGACAGCTATTTGTCTACTCTCTCGATTACACGCGAACTCGACTGGCAAACGATGCAAAGAAAGGGGGGCAACGCCAATTCAACGGATTCATCGATGTATATCGAAAGACGTTAGCGTCAGATGGAGTCGTTGGTCTCTACCGCGGCTTCTTCCCCTCTGTATTTGGCGCTGTTGTTTATCGCGGTCTTTATTTCGGCATGTATGACTCTTTTAAGCCACTTGTTCTGGTAGGATCTCTGGAGAACAACTTTCTCGCCTCTTTCTGTCTGGGATATCTTGTCACTACGGCGGCGGGCATCGCTGCTTATCCTCTTGACACAATTAGACGGCGTATGATGATGACATCAGGAGAAGCAGTCAAGTATAAAAGCTCTTTCCATGCAGCTAGACAAATTGTTGCTGGCAATGGCGTGCGCGCTCTCTTTAATGGTGCTGGAGCTAATATTTTACGCGGCGTTGCCGGTGCCGGTGCGCTGTCGATCTATGAGCAACTACAGCTAATTCTTTTCGGCAAAACCTTCAAAGAAGAGTAACAGCCGATGTAGTATTAGTTTTATTTGCATTTTAGAAAGTTTATGATGTTATCATTATTTGGAGAAAAGAACTAGATAAAGTATAGAGACTCAATATTTCGACTATGCTGACATCATCTTCTAAATACATCATATATATTTTCTTCAGTCAGCGTCCCGAAGTACGGTAAAGTTCCTGCTCCGCGGTTTAAAGATTATGATAAATGGGTAGCTTCCATCCTTGCGTATTCTCCTGTAGGATCCAGTTTCCGATATTGACTCCAAAGAACGAAGCTATACCAAGGAGCAAGTTGACCATAGCAACAGCAAAGGACGACGATACCATCTTATTCCAAAAGATGGTATCGTCACCAATACCATTAGTTACTAGCTCGATGAAGGGTCGAAATTTATCATCATAAGCTTTAAGCGCCATATCCAGTCCCTCAGTAGGTTTTCGAGTTCCACCCTTCGCATTTCCGCAATAACGGCTAATCTCACCAGCCAAGACGTATGCTCCTACAAGACCGGAGGTAGTGCCCATGCCGGTAAGTGGCGAAGGACAGTACGCGGCGTCGCCAACAAGAGCTACGTTACCACTGAACCAAGAGTCGAGCTTGACCAAACCTAGGCGTTCACAGTAGAAGTTCTTAGAGTCGTTCATATCTTGCAAGATACCTTTTGCGTTCCATCCAGCATCGTGGAAAATCTCCGCCAAGGCCTTTTTTTGATCTTCAACTCCCGCTCGGTGAGCCTTCTTCATTCGCTCCGATTCAGTATTACAGGGCAGATATATCTGGATCTCTTCCGGAGTGTGTCTTCGAGTCATGATAGCGCGTCGCCTTGTTGCCAGATAAAACGTGCAGTTATACTCTTCTCCTTTCTTAATAGGACGAGGGATTGTAAAGTAGGCTGTATAAGCACCCTTTACAGGGCGTAGTGCATCTTGAACGCCTGGTCCCAGCATCAGTTTTCGAGTGTTTGAACCCATGCCGTCGGCACCAACTAAGAAATCAAACTGTTCCGTTTTGCCGTCTGAGAAGTGAACTTCGACTAAGTTGTTCTTCTGTTTAAAGCTCTCAATCGAGGTTCCGAAGCGAAAATTGACTTTTTCTTTGATAGCATCGTACATAAGTTGACAGAGGTCACCTCTCATGATCTCGTATTGGGTGGTGAAGCTCTGTCGCCCTTTCCCCGAGTTGTTCACTCCGAAATAGGCACGTCGTCTGTTTGAGCTGTCGACTATAAGCATTCCTTGCTCTGGTACTGACTTTGCGCGGAAAGCTTCTTCAAATCCCATGAGCTTTAAGACCTTGATGCCGGGACCCCGTAGGTCTACTTGAAGACCGGTGGTTCGAAGTTCAGGGAAACGCTCAATGACGGTGACATCGTGGCCTAGTTTCGATAGCCAGTAAGCGAGCGCATTGCCAGTTATACCGGCGCCGCTGATCAACACCTTCATTTGTGCCATTTGAATTATATCGAAAAATCGAAAAGATGAAGGATGTAATGGTGTTGATTCTTTTGATAAGATACTGTGTGTTGACGCTGATGCTCTCGAAGTGAAAATGGTGTTTTAAACTGATGTTCTCAATGGAAAATATGGAAGTGAAGAGAGATGCACATATATATTTCTTACGTTTGCTCGTATATTCATCATCTCGGTATTTTACAACAGAAACATGTCCGCCATTGCCGTCTCGGCCGAGCGAGCGCTCGTTACAATATCGTATTCTCCTCATGCAACCCCCCTTTTCATCACATATCACTCATGATTCAGTCATTATGCGATGAAATTTCTGTGCATGAAATCTGATATGTTCCGCTCCTCTAAATAGTAAATAATCCCGCCGCCCCATAGTATTGTGATTGACCGAAGCAGCGTCACACGACTCATTTTGTAAGAGCATATTCATAGGCTCAGTCCATTGCATAAATACTAGCACAACAACCTTGTGGCCGATTTACTATACAAAGCCTCTAACTTTAGAAAAGAAGTAATTAACTACAGTCTATAACTAGCAGGGAAATAAAATGGTCACAATTAAACACTTCAAGTAGCGCTCTGCTCCATTGTACTACGCTGCGCATTTTTCGCAAGGCTCAGTCTACTTGCTATGCTACTCCCTTGTTTCCACTTATGCCATGATCGTACATTTTTTTTTTAAAAAAAAAATTGGCTCTTGAAACTGCTTAGTACTATTTTTGACTGATCCGCTTTACGGTCCTTTCTTAACAGCTCAAAGAACGGCATCCTAGTTCCGTTAGAATAAAGATCAAGTATACTACAGATACGGGCTTTTATAAGAGGACTGGGTCTCGCCTAACAGCGATAATTATGATCTAAAGCGCTCCATGCCTTATTACGGTACTCGTGAAACTATTTTCAGAAACTCGGTTCGAGGGTGGTCTCGTGCGCCGGTTCGAATGGCGAAAATACAAATTGCCATCCTGTTTCTTATGAACGATCCGCTGTCTCAGATGCCAGAGGCAAAGGGTATCCACTATTTACTCGACCCTTGGGACTATAAGTACCATTGTCATCATGAAGTAAACCGCAATCTCAATTATAGGAAGTTTTATTTTAGCGCTGTAAGCAATCTTATGCCTCCATAGGCCTATACAACAAGGTGATAGGAATCGGTATATCTCAACAGCTCTGCTTCACAGTTCTTATTTTATTCAGGAGTAGTATACGAGCGTCCGGCAATTCCGACTCACCAACTGTTGACTTGTCACAAATGACAAGTGAGCAAGGATCGCTTGAACCTCCATTTATGCTTCCGGAGATCATACTCTAAACCCATGGACCGGGGTTGACTCGGGTTTTAAATCTCAATTATACTTGGCGTAATTGACATGTCATTTTATACCAGTATTGAGGCGCAATGTCTCATCACATGGCGATAGTGAGCCACTGCGAAGGACTATCTTGTTGTGATAAAAGTGGATTATATGAACAAATCGCGGGCTTGGTACAGATTCAACTAGTCGATGCTCAGCGAGTTGTCTTTTGTTTTCCGATAAGTGGGCAGGGTCTCAGCTGGGACAGAGCTGCCGCATAGGTTACTTTGATCATAACCGAGCCCGCAACTTCGGCATAAGAGACATTTGAGAGAGTCCGCTGTGGCGGTTGAGTCATATTACCCATTGGCTCGGAAGCGCCAGCTGTGTCTCGGAGGTATCGCAAAAGCACATAGTGAATCTAAAGACAGTTTTATTAGGGTTACATTCAAGAAAATGAAGCTGCTGTGTAGTGGCAATACAAGGTTTACGAGGTACGGTAATGCAAGGGAGAGAAAATTCTGTAAACAAGGCGCGGCCAATTCAACTCGGCTATGAGGGGTCGCCGAGACGGTCTCTAAGTTTTCATCCGACAGGGATTTCTTCTCTCCTGGCACTTTTCCGATGCAGGTTATGATCTGCTCGGGTAAAATCGAAGTTTATAAGTTTAATGAAAAGGACTGTAATACAAATATGTATCTCACAGAGTGTAGGACGAAATAGCCGCAGCATCCTCACAACTCCCCTCACATCTATCTAATGTGAACTATTACCTATTGTATCTAAACAGCATAGAATGGTGTGAGACACCAAATATTGGTACAACCCTAACTTCCTCAAAGCCCGTCTTAGTATACAGCGGCTTTCCTGCTGGCGTCGCGAGCAGGTAGCAATCCTTCTTGTCGCCTGCTGCTCGATTTATACCCCAGTCCAAGAGGATCTTGCCGATCCCCTTCCGCTGCTGCTGCGGATCCACCCCGAGGTAATCAAGATCTTAGCGGAAAACGCGTGTTAATTGCCCGTTTTGGTAACTCTGTACGGCTCACGAAGAGTTTAAGGGGCGAAAGTAACTTACGCCAGACATCCTTGATGCCTCTTTCTCCGAACATCTCCTGGTGGTCGGATGAGACAATTGCGCGCAGCTCTGCAAATGCCTCCTGGTCAAAACAGGGCGGTGGTGGCTCTTGGGCGCTGGGCTGGGGCTGATTGGACGCCTTTTCGGAGTACACGTCCCAGAGCGCAAAACCCACCACCTGGTCGTTTAAGGAGTCGTCGACCGCTACTACCATGATTGCATGTGGGGAGGACAGGCTTGCTGTCTTCTTTGCATATCTCCAAGAAAATATATCATTGTCCGGAGTTGCCTGGGCAGGGAATATTCGCGCTGAAATGGCATCTGTTTTGGGGTGAAGGCTGCAGCCGCGATGCGAGCAATGGCGGGGAGGTCGTCCTTGGTGGACTCGCGAACACGTATCGTCATATTGAAAAAGACCAGTAAAGACTGTTATAGATGGCAAAGAAAGTAAAGTACCGCAAAGTATGAGATACAAGGACAGGACAATTACATGGTCGAGCTATACATGCCGGCAGTTTTAAGATTCATGAGCAAAAGGCTACGCCGACGCTAGGCTCGCCCAAAGTGTCAATGTCAACCAAAGGGCGAGGAAGTGGGCTTTCTTAGATCCATCTTTTCACGTGTACTCGCTGCTCATGGAAGCTATGATTAGAAAAGAACTCAGAATTATTAATCAGGAAACAAAAATTGTTAATAAACCAACTGCATTTGCTTGGGACGCTCGGGTTTGGCTTCTACCAGGCACTCTGTTGTGTCTCAATTTCAAGCGTTGCTAGGACTGATGCATGGAACTTACACTACATCACTTGTCGCAGTGGAAACGCAAAAATTAGACGGCCGGGTAACATCTTAGTTAAAAGTTGAAGTGGTAATACAATCTAGATGACTAGAATGGAATACATGTACACATAAAAGGCCACTTTTTCAATTGGGCCCAGCATATACAATCTACACCGAGATCTAGGGTAGACCAAATACTGCATATAAATCAGCGCACTGGAGACAACGAGCTAGTGCCTTTTACTAAGCGGAAAATAAAACTCGAGCTAAGCGGTAGGCGCTATCTTGAGGAGATCCGAATTTCTGGGGAGGCTGCTGCAGGAGCGGATGCATCTCAGATTGTTCACATCGTAGAGGGTATGATATGCTGCGTACTGGCTTGAAGAGAATAATAATATACGAAGATAGCAAATCCCTTTACGCTTTTGGATAAATGAATTCCCACGACAATTTTCCGAGAGTCTGAATCTGAACTCTCCTTGGCACAGAATGTTCATAGACTTACAGTGCTTACTGGCGGGTCTCGGGAATTGCTTTTTATCCCGAGAGCTAGCGCATAGTGCCTCGCTGCGGCTCTTCGCTATTGTGGTACAGGTAATATGATTAAATGTTCTCTGTCAAATATAGAAATGTGCTATAAACATCGTTGTAACCAGGGCCTCAGCTTGTGCTGCTTCCAACTGAATCCTCCATCCACGTATCAGAAACCAAAGCACTTATTTGCTTGCTTTCGATAACATGTTCATGACCGGGATTAATAAATAGGAGGGGCAGAACTAAGAGCGGCATGGATGAACTTAGTCATCCGAGGCCGCTGACCATTTCGCAGCTCGGACTCTCGTCTCAGTCAGACCGGCCACGAGAATGTGTGGGAAAGATTTTTTTAATCTAAGTGCTCAACGCATACAACCTTTTCTAAAGAAGAAAAACAAAGGAGAAAGTAAAAGTAAAGGATGAAATAAAGGAAAACAAACAGACAGCGTATTTCCCATCATGATACAAAAGAGCGCCTGTCTTTCGTGCCGCACGTCCAAAATTCGCTGTGTGTTGGATACGTTTGCCCAACATGGCAAATGCAAGCGATGCTTCAACGCCAACAGCGAATGCGTGTTCAGCACCATTGCGCCTAGACAAAGAAGGAAAAGGACTGATACGCGCGTGACGGTCCTAGAGAAGCGACTCTCAGAGCTGCAAGCAGCAGTAGACCTGCAAAGGCTGGCTCAGGATGGTAGTGGCGCGACGCATGCCACCGCCAGCCAGATTGCGCTTGCGCCACAGCCAGGATATCACGACGCCAACGTTACATGCCCCGGTGAGAACAGGCCAAGGATTGGGACAGAGAAATACCAGCCTGGAGAAGACGATGAAAGTTCATTTGGCGATTGTCGCCACCACCCATCTCTGGAGAGGCTTTTTGCTTCACGGCTGCTGTCAACGGACACCGCCATACGTCTTTTCAACGACTTCACCAACAATGCCCTGCCGCAGTATCCCATCTTGGCACTTACCAGGGCCGAAGACTTCGATTGGTTCAGAGCACACCAACCTACGTTACTTCTTTCCATCATCGCTGCTGCCTGCAGAGCATCCAACCCAAGCCTGTTTCGAAAGCTTAGTTTCCATTTACGAGGGGAACTATCAGAGCAGGTCATGGTCCATGGGAATAGATCTGTCGAGCTGGTCCTTGCCATTTTAATAATGGTGGAGTGGTACGATGTGCCCGAAGACATGAGACGCCTGAACTTTTACTCATGGATTCAGACTGCAGGCCTCATGATACGCGAGCTAGGACTGTGGCCATGGAGCGAGGATGCCGGTTCATCTGTGGACTATACTATGGCCCAGTGGCGCATTTCTTTTGCTGCCTATCTACCCTTGTCAACGTGAGTAATTGGAACACGACTCCTCCCCTATTTTCTTTCCTTGTTTCTTTTTTTGTTTGCTCTCACTCGTAAACGAGATAGCTAATGGATGAGTTAGCGCCGCTGTCAGCCTACGTCGACCCACGCCATTAGTATGGACTGGGAGCATGCGTAATGGTGTGGATGTGTTTGACAAGAATAGTGTGCTCGAAAGCGATAAACGATTGGTCGCATGGGTAAGATTGCAAATGATAGCGGAAGAGGTCGAAACATTAAGGGTCAAGGTGTCATTGGCGGCCAAGGTGCAAGGCGAAGCTGATCCTTCTGGTCTCGTTGATCAACTTACTCTATCGTCACTTGAAAGCAGATTTAGTAGATGGCGAGATGATTCTCAGCTTGTTTTCAACGGTAAGCGGCCTTGAGCATTGTGTGTGCTATCGTGTGGCTGTCGGCTGACTCGTAACATGCTACGTAGGCTCACTCCGCATGCATTTCTTTTACTGCCGCATCAAGTTTTACGAGCTGGCTGTCACCTGCAGCCCATTCCGATCGGCTTCTCACCGAAAGACACAGCCGCAGTCCTTGGCAATTGCCAGGGATATGACTTATGTTCGGACAATCATGTCTTTGATACAATCCAGCCATTCAGCCCTGGATACATTGGTACTTTTTGACACGGCGACTTACCGCTGCTGTCCCACCGTCGTTAGTGTCCGGGCTCTTTACGCTCTACAGGAGTTATTCGCAATATGGAAGGCTGTTCGCAGCCGCCAGGGATATCTATCCGAGTTTGTGACTGAAGAGGTGCTAGCCCTTAAATTCTACGCCAGACAAACAGAAGAGTTTTTCAAACAGGTAGTGGGAGCAGAGGAATTTACTGTTCCTCGGATGGCGTTGAAAGCGCTGCCTAATCTTTTGTTTTCACTTGATGATATCAAAAACCAAGAGAGACGGCATCGGGTACAGCAGCCGGAGCGTTTTAATCAGGGCAAATCACAGGGACCTGCACTCGACTCACCAAGTCCGTCGGCCAATGATCTTGAAGTCATATTGATTATCGACCTGGGCGAAATCCAAGCGCCCTCTGTGGGTCAGAGTCGGAACCAGGTCCAGGATGGTGCAAGGACGGACGCAACGTTGGAGTGGCCAGCTACGTTGTCAACCAATGATGACTTCAATACTACGCTGGAGGATGCGTTTTTGGCTCCCGAGTTGGGGACATTAATAGCGTCAGACTCGGTGCTAGACCCAGGCTGGCTATTTTCAGAGTGAGTTTATGTGCCTGCGCCGTAGCTAAACTACGCGTATATTGGCTTCAAGAGGCGGAACGTAGTGCATTAGTATGTTGAAATACGAGCGTCAACGCAAGGGAGTTTGGATGAGGAATAACCGCAGAAATACGAGGACGAAAGACTTGACCGGCCCGGGCTGACGAATTAAATCACAAACGTCAACATCTCTTTCTTCGTTTCCGTTCCGCCGAGTTCTTTTTCAGCTGGCTGGGCATGCCAACACCTACGCGAAGCGTTCAAAAGGTCACTGGAGGGGCTTGATGTACAAGTACTATGTAAGTAAAAGAAGGCTGCCCGGTCACGTAGTGGAACCCTGTAAACTTTGCAACCCGAACAGGGGTTGTTGTTAAAGTGAGGCTGCAATTAGAGGAAGCAAACGCCACCAAACAAGGGCCCTACGGGCCAAATTTGTATTGAAGTGCCGTACTTGTAGGTTTCTCTCTATACTCTCTCTCTTGCTCTCATGGCCCCTCCTTTCTTTTTATGGGTGGATTAGCGTTACACCTTGGTCGTACAGATGAAAGCCACAACTGCCGAGCTGTCAGAGCATCTAGACCGCTGGTAGATATTAATTTTAAACTGGTTAAGCTGTACTACCGGTGCTAGTCCCAAGTGAAAGATGGAAAGCCGGTAGCTTCATATATGCCGGGACCATTAAATAGAGATTGAGATCTCTTGTAACTTGTTCGGGGCTGCTAGGGAATAAAGAGGCTAGCCAGTGGGTATCACATTGACCCGAGGTTCAGGTTACCGCAAAGCAAAGCAAAGGCTACTGGCGTCGCCAATCTACCCGTGACTGTGCAAAAGATGGCCGATGGTGCCGGCGTGGGCTGCGGCTGAAAGCAGGGGTGGTATTCCTACGGTACAGTATACATGACAAGGGTCCGAAGCTGTTTCGGGGGGCCCTGTTTAAGCAGCAACGCCAGCCAGGTTGGTGGTTGTGAGGTGAGACATTTGAGAGTGGACTAGAGGCCGTGAATGCCATAGGATGAGACGATGAAGCAGGCATCGATGCTGACAATTAAATTGCCCTTTACAGTAGTGATGCTCGGCCTCGGTACGGTATGACACTCACTTTGCACAGCCAGCGCTGTCTCGAGAGAACCGACTACATGTGATCCATCTATATCATCTACATCATCTACATCATCTACATTCCACATGTACCCTGAATGATCTACACTGCCGTCTACCCAAAAGGGTCCACCAGCTGTATAACCGTTGCCCAGCTGTAGGGGAGCTTGCTTGTTCCAGCATGGCATCCAGTTCGTAGCGGAACAAGTAGCGCCCAGTTCATCACAGTCATGCCCCGTACAGTACACAGTGCATTGCTGGCTGCAGTAGAGCGAATCTCATCTTGATAGGGGTCCACTCTGCGGGGTAGGTCCAACGGCCGCTAAGCCAATCTCCAGCGCCCGCAGCCAACCAGATGCGCTGGACTCGCGCTGGCGCAGCGCCCACGTGACCCACCGTTGCCAGCCTCTTTCAGCTGCCCCACCGCGGCCACAATAGCTGCCAGATCCCTCGCCGTTTTGAGATCTCCATCTGCGACTCTACTTTTCGGTCCTGGTTCATCGGCACCGTTTGATTGCCAGGGTGGGAGGCTGTGATTCCATTTCTTTTTTTCCTTTTCCTTTTTTCTTTTTCCATCTCCAGCTCTGGTCCTCTCCCATCATCCCTTCTTTTCTTTCCTTCTCTTTTGGCGGATCCCCATTTTTCTAACATACACTCTTCTCTTCTCAGCATCTTTGTCTTTAAATACTCAGCCCAGCTTCTGCTTTTCCCCAATTTCCTTGACCATCCCATTCTATGTTTTCTTTTGATTATTCTTTACAACCTCGCTTTACTTCTGAACTACATGTCTGTGCAGCAGTGATCTAGGCAAATTTGGATCCTGAAAAAGTGATGGGCGTGTAAGCCAAGGAACCACCAATGAATGCGCTGGAGACGTCCCTTGCCGGTCCTAGGCGGCAAAAAAACTCTTGTTCTCTATGCAAGCAGAGGAAACAAAAGGTTTGTTACCAACTAATATGTTCTGCATAGTGCCAGGGACGCTAACCTTTGCCTTTCTACTTTGTTTGCATGGAATGTAGTGTAACCGGATATGGCCCTGCACCAATTGCGCCAAACGTGATGAGTCGATGAACTGCTCGTTCACAAAGACCAGTGCCGTATCACGCCAATCTGCCGCGAGGAAATCAAATGCAGCGCGTAAAAACCGCCACCGAAAAATTGCGGCTGCGGCCGAGGCAGCTCTTCAGACTGGAGAGGAGTCCAGCAACGCAGCCGTAGGACAGACAGCAGACAAAGAAGACCGTCGTAACAGCTCTCATGGCTTAAACTTGGACGGCGACGACCATAAACAAACCGCCAATTGCAGCGCTACTGTACGGCCAGACGACTTGCCCTGCCCCGAAAACCAACACTCTGAGCAACAACCCCCTGCACTTGAAGCTGGAGTAGAGGTAAAGTCGATTTTCTTTATCGTTAGAAGAGTTCTTATTCTTACATACAATCTATGACACAGGCGAAACCACCGCCCTTTGAAAAGCGACATGATGACCAATACTGCATATCAGCTCCAGACTGTAAACTGCTCCGGGAGGCCTTGGACACTCTCCCTCAAAGACGAGATCATATGGGTACGCTTCGATTTTTGAACACATCATCTTATCGGTGTGGTAGCATCTGTGCCTGAGCTAACTAGCTGTTGTGGCTATCTATTACAGACGCACTTGTTCTGAGCTTTTTCCAAAACGTGAATCCCCATTATGGTCTTATTCACCAAGCCGAATTCGCCGTCGAATATACAGCATGGTGGGAAAAGAGAGCAAATAACGATCCATTACCAATACCATGGACCTGCCTACTATTGATGCTGTGTGCATGTGCGTGTCAGCATCTGCCTGTCGATATACAAGAGAAGCTTGAAGAAATGTTCCACGCCAGCTGCCAAAATCTTACCGAATCTTACCATTACTGTGCACGAAACCTCTACGGTGTCATTCCAGAAGGTCGATATCACCGGCATAACGTCATGTGGCTACTGCACTCGACGTACTGGTACAAAGCTGAGGCCTTGTTTACTGAGTGTTGCCACATTTTCAACACGGCCGTTCGAGAAGCTCAAGAACTCGGTATGTCTATACCGCTACCCAACCAAAGGGCTTAGCGGCCATCGATATATATGTTCTTTACTAACTAGTGCTAGGATTTAACAGAGAGGAACTCTCAGAACACCTACCAAACTTTGAGCGTGAGATGCGGCGCAGAGCTTGGTGTATTATAGATTCGTGGGACTGGTGAGTGTTACCAGCTGCCATGCTGTAGTCCAAAACCTTTCATCATCTTTCTATTACCCCACACGGTCGGGGTGAGTGTTGCAACGAATAAACAAAACGCTAATATCTTTCTAGGCAAATCGCCTCTGGACTGTGCCGAGACACACTTATCGATCATAGTACTTGCAATGTGCAGCGCCCATCCTTGACACTGGAATTGGACGGACAGTTTTCTCCCCTGATGCATATGAATATGCAATCAGACTTGGTCCATAAATTAGCTGAAAGGTTTCATTCTCCTGCCAGAATCACCACGCCCAGTGAAGTCATGGAATATAAAGACATGATTGTCGAATGGATGCAAAACTTTCCAGCAATCTTTGCTTTGGAAAATCCCGACACTTCACACGATGAAGAGCAGACATGGATCGAATATCACCGCCACTATAACTATACAATGGGCTATATGATGCTGCTCAATCCGTTTCGGCCGCATATGAAGCAAGTCTTCGAACAGGATGCTCCGGAAGACCGACTAGAGCTGCGTGCTATTGCTGTCGATATGTCGATACGACTAGTAAAGGTATTGGACGACTGGATAACTTATCTTACATTTCGCGACGGACGATTCCATTTCATCATATTCTCACTTGTTGATGCAGCGACGACGCTGGCTAATGTCATTTTTAATGATAAAGCCGGGACTGCAACTCGTCGAGACGAAATCTACCAGACTCTTGAAACATCCCGTTTGCTGCAGGGAAAGCTCTACTGCCTCTCGCAATCGGCGAAGCTGGGGTTCAGAATCATTTCCAAGACCTTTAAAAAAGTGATGAATACAGCTCCTGCAGAAGATTACGCCTACCTACCAGATGGAAAAGACGATACTGAGCAAGCAGTCCTATCCGCTGCGCTAGAGTCAATATCACTTTCTGCGGAAAATCGTATAGATCCTGGAAAGCAAAGGCAGAAAGTGACTGGAGCTCTCACGGAGTTGTATACTGATAGTGCTGAACCCGGATTGCAGCCTTCATCTTTCAGCCATAATGATGGCTTAGTTGCATCTGTGACCGACGATTGCCATGGACGTCATGAACATCGTGAACATGATGAAAATGACGCGCCTACATCTCATAATGCGGTGGCCTCAATCGCTGTACCTAGTTATGATGAGCAAAGAGTTCCTGGCCACCATACGGCTGCATCCGAGGGGCATATGTTACCGACGGCTTCGGCTTATGGACCAGCTGTGCCTTCAAACGATGCCGCAACTGCACCTCTGATTGAATTTATGTCAGATTCATCTTATGTCGGACCTCCTCCAGCCCTCAATTACAATGAACCCATACCATTGGAACAAGTCACGTCCACATCTCCTGACTATGCCATAACTGCACCTCTAACCGATCCAGCAATCGCATCGGCGTACGTTGAGCCTACCGCTTTAAACCATGCCTTTTTCACACCTTTGGGTGGCATGGGGGTTGCGTTTTCAGATGATACCTCTATTGCACCTTTTGTCTATGATGATACTTTGCCCTTAGACTATGGTGCAATAACCTCTTCAACTTATGATGCACCTCTCTCCTCAGACTATTCTACCACTAGGCCTTATGCTGAGGCCACGCTTCCCTTGTACAATGCATATGCATATCTCGAGAATACCGGAGTTATATCTACAGACAACTTTATTGAGAATCCTCCCCTCTTTTCTGCCCCTACAGCATATGGAGTCCTTGCATCCAATCAAATCCAGCCTTTCCCAGGGTATGATGTTACTGGGCTTGATACTGGTTATGGGTTCTATAATGATCCGGCAGGATCCCAGAATTTCGTGCCTAATACTGCTCCTATCACCCATCCCACTTCTGCCACTTCTGTCTCCTATTCATCTCCCGAAACCTATCCGTATTCTGAGACTTATAGCGCTCCCGCACTGTACAATGCTGCTACACCCTATTCTGATCCTACGACTTGCGTCGATTCTTCAACTTCTTTCGAATCTCCGGAATCAAACCTGTCTTCCACGAATTTTGATGGCGCAGAGACTCACGCTGCCACGGCGGCAGCTGCAGCGGCCCACGGAACATATGCTCATGCAGAGTGTAGCGAGGATACTGCTTAGCAACACCACCACTTTCGGCTCCTTGAAGCAAATACACTCCTTTATTGGCCAATGCAGCTCTTCTACGCTGACTGGCATATAACTATGCCTCATTTCAGGATTTGTGATTTATTCATGAAGCTAGACGTACCCACAAGCCAACGCTGGCACATTCGATTTGGTTCTCTTTCTTTTTCACAGCTTGCGGGCGTGCAATGCATTCTTTCGCGTACTAGGCGGATATCTTTCACATATAGTGGGATAGCTTAGGATCTTGGCAGTAGCCATTCGTTTCTTTTTGGTCTTCTTCTTTGTTTAATATGGGTATTCAGAGTAATATCGCGAAATTGCTGAGTTTTCCACCCATCAGATGTATCTTGGGGCTTTTCGTTCATGTGTAATTCGACTTATACTACTGATAATTTGTTGTAATAATAAATATGTTTTCTTATAGCTGGTAAATTTAAGAGCAATATGTTGCTAGTACATGTTAGGTACCGTCGTGTTTAAACGCCGCCCACGTGTATTCGGACAGCTCCCAAAAGGGAGAAATGAAATGGAGTAAACGTAAGAGACCCATGCTAGCAGAAACATGAATGGTAGGAATGCGGTTACCACATAAAATGATGTTGCTGCAGGGACTAATGCGAGATACAAAGGGTCCTCCGTCCGCCAACTTCGGTGCTCGGTTTAACGCTGGCGGCCTTCCCAGAAGAGCTCTTCGGAGCCGCAGATGCAAAAGTTCCGCCTCGGAATGGCGCGGTTTACCCCACCATCGCGGCCGCTATGGGAGGGAAAGGAGCTTGGACAAAAAGACCCCTCGTGGCAAAACGTCGGCACTGGCTGCATGTAAGCGTTGAATTGGTGCTGGTGGTGATGATGATGATGGACACGCAGCAACGCATGCACCGCGGGCTCGAATAAGGGTTGGATGATTGTTTGCGCTAATAGAACGACTCTATCTACGATGTATCTACGACGCTGCAATGCGCTGCATCCAATTTATTCTGCGTTGGAGGCTGCTGCGTCAAGCTGCTGCATATGTACACGTAAATTCCATGTAGGTACATGCAGTGCTCTTTTAGTGGCTGGCGGGTGGAAAAAAGCTCGTGCCAACCGTGCCGTTTTTCGACATTCCTTAGCCTCAACCGTGAGCGTCTTTCCCTCTGTCCACCAACTGAACAGAGCGCTCCATCGAGAGCCGCGGCAGCCAAAGCACTGGAAACGCAAACACAAACGTCCGCTGCATCCTGCGGCATCGAACACCGCACACCAATTGCCCGCAGATGGGGTGGCTGCAGCCTCTCCGGGCCGTCCAAGCCCTCCCCCCACACTCGATGAGACGCCTGGCCGCCCTGAGGCGCAGAACCCCGCCGTGGGTTGAGCTGCCAGACGAGGGGCTCCTCCAGAGACGTGCCTGTGTCGCCTGCCGCGCGTTTGCTACTTCTGCTTCTGCTTCTACTTCGACCGCTCCTCCTCCTCCTCTTTTCTCTTCTTCATACACCTCATCACCGCCTACTGGTCTGAGGCTTCTCTCTTCATCAGCGTCGCCTCTTCTCCATTCTTCTTCCTCTGCATCCCCGCGCATCGCCCGTCTCGCCAACCGCTCTCCTCCTCTCCGTCTTCCTCGTCGTCTTGCTGCTTCGGCTCGCTTCTGCTCCGCCATGTGTCGATCCAGAGCTGGCCTCGAGGGCTCGTCGGTCGCCGTCCAGAGCCGCGAGCTGCTGCCCGCCAATGTCGTGCCTCGCCACTACCATCTGACCATCGACACCGACTTCGACAAGCTGACCTACAAGGGCACCGTCGTCATCGACCTGGATGTCGCCGAAACCTCAAACTCCGTCTCCCTCCACACTCTCGAGCTGGACATCCACAGCGTGAAGCTCTCCTCTGGTGGCCAGGCTGTCAAGTTAGATATCCCCTCCCCGCCGCTCTCCGTGTCTTCGTCCCTGATTTGCTTACAGCCATGGTGATTCTCTCGTATAGCGCCACTCCCGCCATTACCTACGATGAAGCCACCCAGGTTTCCAAGTTCGACTTTGGCGGCTCCCACACTCTCGCAAAAGACAGCAAGGTGCAGCTGGAGATCGACTTCACTGGCCAGCTCAATGACAAAATGGCGGGCTTCTACCGCTCTACATACAAGAGAGAGGATGGCACTGAGGGCATCCTGGCCAGCACCCAGATGGAGGCTACCGACGCCCGCAGAGCATTCCCCTGCTTTGACGAGCCGGCTCTCAAGGCAAAGTTCACTGTCACGCTCATTGCTGACAAGAACTTGACCTGTTTGAGCAACATGGACGTTTCCTCCGAGACCGAGGTACAGTCCAAGGTCACTGGTGGAACCAGAAAGGCTGTCCACTTCAACACCTCCCCTCTCATGTCCACCTACCTCCTTGCCTTTGTTGTCGGCGAGCTCAACTACATCGAGTCGAGAGATTTCCGAGTCCCCGTGCGAGTCTATGCTCCCCCTGGCCATGATATCGAGCATGGCCGTTTCTCAGTCGACCTCGCTGCCAAGACTCTGGCCTTTTACGAAAAGGCGTTCGGTGTTGACTTCCCTCTGCCCAAGATGGACCAGGTCGCCATCCCAGACTTTGCCCAGGGAGCCATGGAGAACTGGGGTCTTGTCACATACCGTGTTGTTGACTTGATGCTCGATGAGAAGGCTAGCGGTGCTGCTACCAAGCAGCGTGTTGCCGAGGTTGTCCAGCACGAATTGGCTCACCAGTGGTTTGGTAACTTGGTTACTATGGACTGGTGGGAGGGCCTCTGGCTCAACGAAGGATTTGCTACGTGGGCTTCATGGTACTCGTGCAATATCTTCTACCCAGAATGGCGCGTTTGGCAGACCTACGTCACCGACGACCTGCAGTCTGCCCTGTCTCTAGACTCTCTCCGAAGCAGCCACCCAATTGAGGTCCCCGTGAAGCGGGCTGATGAGATTAACCAAATTTTCGACGCCATCTCTTACTCCAAGGGATCCTGTGTGCTTCGTATGATTTCCACCTATCTTGGGGAAGATAAGTTCTTGGAAGGTGTTCGCCAGTACTTGAAAAAGTACGCCTATGGCAACACTCAGACCAGCGATCTCTGGGATTCCTTGGCCGCCGTCAGCGGTAAGCCCGTGCACGAGGTTATGACTGCATGGACGAAAAAGGTCGGATACCCCGTCCTGACCGTTACCGAGAAGGAGGGCGAGAACGCCATTCACATAAAGCAGAACCGCTTCCTCCGAACTGCCGATGTCAAGCCCGAGGAAGACCAGACCTTGTACCCCATCTTTTTGGGCCTCAAGACCAAAGATGGTGTCGATCAGACGGTAGCTCTGAATGAGCGAGAGAAGGAGTACAAGGTGCCCAGCACCGACTTCTTCAAGCTCAACGCCAACCACACTGGAATCTTCCGAACGCTGTACTCCCCAAGCCGCTTGGAGAAGCTTGGTCAGGCTGCAAAGGAGGGACTTTTGACTACTGAAGACAGAACTGGTATGATTGCTGATGCTGCTGCGCTCGCAAGCTCCGGTTATGGAAAGACGTCTGGCGTCCTCAACCTCCTCAAGGGATTTGATTCCGAGACCGAGTTCGTTGTTTGGAACGAGATCATCTCCCGAATTGGCTCCATCCAAGCTGCTTGGATGTTTGAAGACGAGGCTGTTCGCGATGGTGTTCGAACATTCTTGAGAGAGCTCGTCAGCCCCAAGGCTCACCAGCTCGGATGGCAGTTTTCTGACTCCGACGGCCACGTTGAGCAGCAGTTCAAGGCCGCGCTCTTTGGCAGCGCTGGCCTGAGCGGCGACGAGACTATTGTTTCGGCCTCGAAGGAAATGTTTACCAAGTTTATGGCTGGTGACAAGTCTGCTATTCACCCCAATATTCGTAAGAGTGTATTTGCGATTGCCCTCAAGTTTGGCGGTAAGAAAGAGGTACGTCGTTTTGAATCCCTCACCTTGCTTCCTGTAATAAAGTGTTATTAACATGGTTTCGCGTGCAGTATGATCAAATTTTGGAGCTGTACCACGCATCAACCAACAGTGACGAGCGCAACACCTGTCTCAGATCGCTTGGTCGAGCCAAGGAGCCCGAGCTTATTAAGAGAACTCTCTCCTTGCTGTTGAGCGGCGAGGTCAAGGATCAGGACATCTACATGCCTGCTGCTGGACTGCGCACCCATCCCGAGGGTATTGAGGCACTCTTTACCTGGTTGACTGAGAACTGGGAGGAGCTCTACAAGCGACACCCCCCCACCCTGCCAATGCTCAGCCACATGGTGTCACTCCTGACGTCTGGCTTCACCACCCCAGAGCAACTTGAGAGAATCGACAAGTTCTTCAGCGGCAAGAACAACAACGGATACGACCAGTCGCTCGCACAGAGCAAGGACTCTGTCCGATCCAAGATTTCCTGGTTGGAGAGAGACCGACAGGATGTGGCCGACTGGGTCAAGGCCAACGGATATTCGAAGTAGGTGTAATCACGACTCTTACTCTTACGTAGCATAGTAGTAGCAATGAATATGAAAAGCAAAAGACAGGAAGAAGGAAAAGACAGAGGTTTGGGAGACGAAAAAGATGTTTGATCAAAACCTCATATGTAATACAATACCAGTTTACCATTGCTAATATACCATGATGAAGATTGATTTTGTCGCACAAACAGTGACGTACTGCGCGACGCAAATGTGGAACTGGACGTTGAGAGCCAGCCTTGCCTTGCATAGCTCATGCAGAACTGGATACATGTGATCTTGCTGCAGCTAGATAAAGATGGACCCGCCCAGCGAATGCTCCATGGTATATGTATATATACTCAACCTGCCTAAGGTGTATATATTCAACTTGCAATCTGGTTATTCCTGTTTTAGTGTTTGATACATTCTTGGCTTTTGTTGCAGTGACATGGCTCAAGGCAAGGCACTCTCGCTCGTTTTAATATACATTACCGCCCAAAACCCCTGCTGGCGCCTTAGCTGCGCCTCGAGGCGCGAGGTGAAGAAAATGCCTGGTGGTTGGCCGCTCAGCCGACCGCCCTGCCTTGCCGCTGGTTGGACGCCTAAATGTCTAGCTGCACGTGAAGTATACATGTATTTAATATCGTCACAAGAGTGATGTTGCTGCCTGAAGTTGTTTATTCGTTGTGTCACCCAAGCTTCGCGTGTCACTCGGGCCTTTATGTATCACTTTGGCTTTCGCGTGTTACTCCAGCTTCATGCTTCGTGATTGCTACAAACGACTTTTTTTTTTTTTACTCTATTTCTTCTCTGTTTATACAGCAACCATGGCAAATGGAGCAAACGACGAACTTGGTAGTTTTTTTGCCGTTTATCCTCAGTTCGAGTACGACCCACAAGAGAAATCGTGGACCGCCTACAACCGCCTAGTTGACTTCTTTGGATGGAAGACGAACAGCAAAAAGGAACGAAAGGCCCGGGACAAGTTCAAAAAGGCGCTTGTAGGGCGGTTTGGGCAGCTGTATGGCACGGATGAGAATAAGCTGGAGGTGCTGCAGGATCTTTGCCGGAAGGTTGGGATATCTCCCGTTCCGAGCACTATAACGACTTGCAAAAAGGTATGTTTCGATTAGAGTCAAGAGAAAAAGAAGGGGAAAAAAACAACAACATTGATCAGTGATTAACTTTTATCTAATTATTTTTCAACTACTATTAGGCTATTAGCAAAGTTCACGTCAATATCGTCGATTTCATCGACTCGGAGCGGACTGGAGAGCCAGTTCCCACGTTTCGAAGCTTGAAGGAATTTCAGGCGTATACCACAAAGAGTTCGAAAGTGTTTCCGAAGAAGGAAGCCAAGAAAAGTGGGTTGTTGAGATATCTGCTTCGTAGGGTCTTTTAGGAGGGTGTGCAGAGGTGGCTGTACGAAGTTGCGAGGGACCTTGTTGTCGGAACTGAGTGTGGATGATGGGGGGCGTTTTGTTCAAGTTTGTTGTACGTTATGAGTGGATGAGGATAGTGTAGTTATTTTACGCGCTTGATACTGAGAATGAAGTGAATTGTTTGACAATCTGGCAAAAGTCTTGTGTAGAGTTGCGTTTAGGCAATACAGCACTGCCGTATTAAGCAGTCCTGTCGAGGACAGTGCAACACGTGGAGCGACCTTGGGCGTATCATGGCTTTTTTTTCCCTTATTTTTTGTTTTATAGAGTTTCTAAATATTAAAGTGTCAATTTGCTACATGAACCTCATGATAAGCTGCATTAAAGACATTTGTGCGCGAAATAGCTTGTTCTTCGAACTGAATGAGAAAAATAAATGCCAAAAAATTTCACAACAGTTTGGGGCTAGATGACAATAACATTAATTCAATCAAACAGCGCACATTATTAAGGTACTATGGGACTCCAAACAGCGATCATGCGTGAAGCATCGTGACTTTTTGACTTGTTGTAGCAGGCATCCGTTGTGGGGAGCTGCTGGTGCTGTGACCCCCGCGGAGTGGGTTGCTGATGGCGGAGACGATTAGCGCCCGCCCGCTAGCACTTCGTGCCTGGCTAGCGATCTCTTGGTGTCTCGTTTGGGAGCTATCTGTTTTAGGAAACGGAATGGACATTCAAGGTGCGTTTGCTTGGGTGTGGTGAAACAACAGGTGCTGCAGCTTAAAGATCAGTCTCTGTGCCTTATGAACTGTGGTATATAGAAAAGGCAGGCTTGTCTTATTTACCTTGTTCCAGGCGAGTGTAGGTACAGAGTGTAGGCACATGTTTGCATTATAGTGCAAGAGTTAGCTCTGATGTTGGCTGTGTGTGTGTTTTTAAGTCGCCTATTCTTTTCAGAGGCATACATCTCTCGCTTCTTCCTCGAAGCGGCCTTTGATGTAGCGCTTGATTTGGGACCTTGAAGCAGTATTTACCGCACGGTTCGCCGTCAGTACTTGGAGGTCGTGAAGAATGCCTTGCATCAGGCTGTCGACTGTGTTTGTGCTGGAGATGGCCTTTATTGCCTTTGCACACCGCATTATAAGCGAGGCATTGGCGTCGGGAATGACGCTTTGTAGGACTTTTTGGATAGCAATTGCTTTATTACGGCAACTCTTAAGCATCGTGGACAATGCAATGTATTGATCAGTCGACAACATGCATGCGTCTTCTTCCTCTTCTGCCAGCCAGTAAAGCGCTGCCTCTAACGTGTGTAGAATGGCGGGTAAGCGATCGGCCACATCGCGAAACGACCGTGGCAAGCCTGAGACATCGTCAACGGCCTCATATAGCTGGATAGAGGCGTCAATAATGGCGATGATACCTGAGATGAGGCACTTCAGATCAACATTCATCTTTTAAGAAGAATAGCTAGTAGTCGAAACGGCTGGCTTCTTGGCTAAGGTGAAGATACAGCTGGTATCTTAATTGCACACAGCTACCTGGAGATTAAAGAAGGATATCGAAACTACTTTGACTTGAGAGCGGGAATGTAAACAATATTTATATAGAAATATAAGCATAGCCACATTTATCTGATGCATATACGACAAGCTACTTGATACTATTCGAGAGCGCTCTGTAAAACTAACGATGGCACTTAGTAGACCATATGATGTAGCTGTTGGTAGTACAACATTATGGCGTTTGAACAGAAGCGTTTGAACAGACAGTGAACAAGGTGAACAGTAACCATTTAGGACTCATAGTACCCATAGCAGAAGCAGCGGACCGTCGCCGGTAGACTCCGGCTAGCCAGAGCGCGACAATATGAACCAATAAAAGGATCTCAAAGGCATCATGAGATAGCGGTGCATTAGGCGTAGTCGATTCTCGCATTCTTTTCAATTCTGATTGGCGATACAATCAATTTTTGCGTCTGTCAGTTTTAACCCGCAGGCTGCCTCTGTCAGTTATATTCTGCAGCTTGCCCCTGTTCAAACCAAGCAGTTTGGGTTTTTGAACTTGAACACCAGGTCCATCGGCCCCATCAGAATGGTTCCAAGCCGGGGAGATGCTTGCAACACTTGTGCAACCTCACTCCGTCAATTTTATAAAATTGGCCCTAGGCAAATGATGACTGAATATGGCTAATAATTTTCATCACTGGACTATACGCAATGTAAACAGCTTATATATATACTATTCAAGAGCTACGCTGCATAGCAGAGAATAAAGGTGTTTAGCATAGATAGTTAAAGAACCGGCATCCAATTTTGAAGAACATGTTATTGTCAAATCTAAAGCTTTCTTACGCTATCTTTTGCAGCTGATAACGGTTGTTTGGTGGACTTATGTACACGCACGTCCCGCAAGAAGACTCGCGAGCTAAGGAGCTATAGTGACGCTGGTTTGTGCACGCTTCCAATAAAAAGAAGGATGGAAAACGAATCCCCAAAAGTTATAGGTGGTAGCGAGTTTTACATTTTTTTTTTTTAAAAAAAAAAAAAAAAAAAAAAAAAAAAAAGAAGGAAAAAAACCATTACAGAAGGCGTGGTCGTCAATACTCAGTACCTGGACAGTGTAAGAGAAACACAATATAAGACTACCTCAAAGAATAAACCAACTTTCTCCAAGTTAATATGGGGTAATCTTTAGAGAATATAAAGGCATTTTATGAGCCTCAAATCCTCAATAAAAGACTTTGAGCAAAAGCTCCTGGTTAATTCCTCTACTAATGGTTGCTTTCTGTGGACTAAATTGATCTAGAGGATGTAATACAGCCTCAATATGTACCGAACCGGTACCCTATAACTTAGTATAGGGTAATTCTCACGTCATGAGAAATACCTAGATTCTAGCTTTTATTAGCTGGCAGGCTATATTGGATTACGGGCAGTGCGATTATCACGTAGCTAGCAGAGAAGTATCTGAATGCAATCATGATGCTACATTAATAGCTGACTATCCGATGTATCTAAATGAGAGTATAGACATAAACCTATATATCCAGCTAGCTAGATGAAGAGAGGCATATGTAGTCAATGTTGGCGTTATGTAAATAACTCACTATGTAAGGTATCTAAATGAGCGTAAGAATATAAACTTATACATCTAGTTGGCTGGATGTAACTTGTTTTACTCGCTTATCGAGTAGAGCCAGATTGCGACATACTCTCAATTCATCTCGTCCAACCTTCATCATCATTCCAAATACAAGAAAAATGGCCGTAAATTCCAAAAAGGATATAGCATATGAGCCTATATATTCGGATTCTTCATCCAAAAGCTTCGAGTCTGTTCTCCATGATGAAGATGAACATTGTTCGATGGGACAATGAAGCGCTCTGCCTGCTCAAAGCCTTGTGTGCGCGTCGGTATCATTGCTCTCACAGCGCTGAACAGCCTCCTGCTTATCGCCACTCTTATTGTGCTTCACCTCTCCAACAAAAGCCAAGTGAAGTGTCAAGAATCCAGGTAATGCACAGAGTAAGAGTGTGCCGCTATGACGTCCCAATACTCTAAGCTAGCCACCTAGCAGCCGACCTACGCCCTTTTCGAAAAACAGAGGCTGACATCAATGGAATACAAGCTACACTCTTAGAGACTGTTGCAGGTGTTATTGAGTATGAACAAGTCATGTTTCAAGGCCATCTTGATCACAAAAGCATATACAAGGGGACGCCAAACAAGGCAATGGACAAGGCATGGGATGATCTTATGTATAGTGAGTTCCCCTTACCTGCTTGACCGAAGCCCTTCGAAGATACGTTAGCTAACGCAGAGTAACAGTGAATGGCACGGTCGTGGACGCCAAGGTGATTGACCGCATCGGCAAGTCTCGATAGTCAGTCAAATTCACGGAGCAGCAAGAACAAGGAGAGAAATACTTTGCAGTGTCGAGGTCTTCCACCAACTCCACTGCCTTGTAAGTCATCTTCTCGTCGCTGCCGTGCTGGAATCATTCGCAGACTAAACTGGCCTCCGACCTACCGGAACCTAATTTGCACATATACCTACCGAGAGTACTATGACCATCTGGAAAACAGGCAACTAACATTTGAGGATCCCGAGCATATCCTTCGAAAGCGCGTGGATCACTGTATCGATGTGCTGAGACAGGTTCTCTCCTGCAACACTGACGTTGGGCTCATAACATACAACTGGGTCGAACACTACGGCATCTTCCCAGACTTCAGCACCCAGCATAAGTGTCGCAAGCTGGATAACATTTTCAAGTGGGTAGACACACATCAATAGGCCTCTGGGCTCCCTGCTCAGAGCAAGGATTCAGTATGGTTATCCGAATCACCGCTTTGAGTGAGCGTTTTAAACCGGCAGCAGATGGTTTTATGCTAAAAAGGTAAAGGAGAACATTGTTGTTTGGATGAGCCCATAGCTCGGTCTACAGGTTAGCCAGGCTGCTGCCCCAGGCACGTGTAGCTGGACCTCCTCATGAGAAACTCAAGTACCTACATGTATTTAGTACTAGACACACGAGAAAATACAAGCTCTTCCTTAGAAAATGTCCCGTAGCATTTGTGATGATCTCGTTGGAGCGAACATATCTCAATGGCGCCAGCGATAATCAGCCACATCCCGGATTGATGCATATCCCCGCTTATAGGCACCCTCCGCGGCTCAACTGCCATTTCGGTGGCTGCCGGCCGTGTAGAAGCGGAGCCCCAATAGCGAAATCGATTTAATGTGTCATGGCTTAATTGGTGAGAATTGAGTTTGAGTCACCCCGTCGAGATGACGTCCCAGCTGCACGTGTATATAAGGCTGGAAGAGTTTGCTGTTTTGCTGGAGACTTACAACTCTTAAAAAGGTTTCACAATTTGTTGTCTTAATACGCTGCTACTACTATTGCTGTCTCTTTTTCTTTCTTCTATATTCATCACAAAACATCTATTGCCTCTGGTACGTTCAGCGTTATCTTGTTTTTTTGTGGGCTTGCACTTTTTACAAACTTTTTTTTTTTTAGCTGTTGCTTGGAAGCCACTCCAAAGATATTGTCAAATTCCCAAGTTTTTAAAAAATATTTTACATAGTTGTAATTGGATAAATGCAAATTGATTAACATTATTCCCTCTCTAGAAAAGAAAATACTATTACCTTGTAATACAGGCTGTGTCAGCCGGGTTCCCTGCCCAACATGTGTTCTCATCACAGAGAAGAGCGTGGTAGAGAGAATACCCCTCAGTTGCCGGTTGACGCTCAAGATGACGTGCTTCCAAGAGATATTCCTCAGCGCACTACCTTTTACGACTCTGTCGTTGAGCGGCAAATGTCCCAAGCGGATGCCAAGCTCTTTTACCAGCGCAGCCAGCTAGATGACTCTCGCAGTTCAGTAGCTGGTGACCAGGCTCTATCAGCCTCGTACAATGACCCGGTCGCAGCTTTGGCAGCAAACTCGGGGCTCGAGTACGAGGAGGATACTGACCTTCCAGGCTCTGTTGGGAAGAGTTCCAGAGTTGGTGTAGACAGCGCGAGAATCGCAGCTGAAGCTAGTAGAGGAATGTCAAACAGCTTCCTAGACTCTCAGCCACAAGTGACGGCAGAGCTGAGCTCCATATCTAAGAGCATAGAGGATATCATAGCTCTGAGACAAAAATATATGGCTCTCTCGCTGCAACGTCCTGGTGATGACCCGAAGGATAGTCCTGACTGGGAGATTTATCCGTATGGGGATGAACCAGGAGACGACTTCGATATGGAGCATTTCATGCCATTGCCATCTAACGATGACAGCATGACATTTAAGCTCAGTGATACTGGAGTTTATGAAATCTTCAAGAATGACGATTCTCAGACACTTGCTTTCTCAGCCCCAACTATTCGACAATTCTATATGGACCTTGACAGCATCCTTACTGCCTCCTCGGATGGGCCAAGCAAGAGTTTCGCCTTCCGCCGCCTTCAATATTTGGAAGGCAAATTTAATCTGTATGCGCTTCTTAACGAGTATCAAGAAACCGCGGACAGCAAAAAAGTTCCTCACCGAGACTTTTACAATGTCCGAAAAGTAGACACTCACGTTCATCACTCGGCATCTATGAACCAAAAGCATCTATTGCGCTTTATCAAGAGCCGGATGAAGAAGAATCCTGACGAAGTCGTTTTGTTTCGTGACGGGAAGCATTTGACACTTGCGGAGGTGTTTGCCAGTATCAATCTCACAGCTTATGACTTGAGCATTGATACGCTAGACATGCACGTATGTTGTTATCAAAATTTATTATTGCTATGACCACTTCCAGCTAACTTCAGACAGGCCCACACAGACTCCTTCCACCGGTTTGACAAGTTCAACTTGAAATACAACCCAATTGGAGAATCTCGACTTAGAGAAATTTTCCTAAAGACGGACAACCTCATCAAGGGCCGGTATCTAGCCGAACTCACCAAGGAAGTTATTTCAGATCTTGAGGCTAGCAAGTACCAAATGGCTGAATGGCGTCTTTCGATTTACGGCAAATCTCTGGATGAGTGGGATAAACTCGCAGCTTGGGTTGTCGACAATAAGCTTTTTTCGCAAAACGTCCGCTGGCTCATCCAGGTACCTCGTTTATACGATGTGTACAAAGATAATGGGCTGATGGAGTCGTTTGACCAAATCGTGACCAACGTCTTCCAGCCGCTGTTTGAAGTTACCAAGGATCCCTCGAGCCACCCGAAACTGCACATCTTCCTTCAGCGCGTCGTCGGTATCGATACCGTTGATGATGAGAGCAAGATCGAGAGGAGGTTGTACAGAAAGTTTCCCGTTCCGCGAGAGTGGAACACAAAGCAGAACCCGCCATACAACTACTGGATCTACTATCTCTTCTCTAACATAGCAGCTCTCAACTTCTTGCGCAAGAAGCGAGGATTCAACACCCTTATCCTGCGGCCGCACTGTGCTGAAGCCGGAGATCCAGAGCATTTGGCAGCTGCGACGCTCTGCTGCCATAGCATTAGTCATGGAGTTTTGCTTCGTAAGGTGCCCTTGCTGCAGTATGTGTTTTATCTGGAGCAGATTGGAGTCGCCATGTCTCCGCTTAGCAATAACGCACTCTTCTTATCATACGATCGCAATCCATTCCCTCAGTACTTCAAAAGGGGTCTCAACGTGTCTCTCTCGACCGACGACCCGTTACAATTTGCATTCACTAAGGAACCGTTAATGGAGGAATACGCGGTCGCCGCACAGATTTATAAGCTTAGCCCGACAGATATGTGCGAGCTGGCCAAGAACTCAGTCTTGCAGAGTGGCTACGAAGCGGCTGTTAAACGTCACTGGCTAGGACCGAATTTTGACAAGCCAGGCAAAGAAGGAAACACTATGGCCAAGACCAATGTCCCTGACAGGAGGGAAGAGTTTAGATATCACACTCTGCTTACAGAGCGGGAGGTGTATGTTCCCCCCCCCTTATAGTTTTCTACAATTCTTGATGACGATGGGAAGAGTTACTGATGAATTTTACATACAGATTGAGCCGATATGCTTCGTTTAATAACAATATTGAAAAAGGAAACGCCAAGAATGATCTTGCAGCACAAGCACCAAGCGGAAATTTGCCGTCTTCAAGCGCAACAGAAGCTGCATCGAGCATCACCACTCCGATCTCTACAGCTGAACAGGCGCTGCCTCACCGAAGTACTTCAAACTCTGTTGCCGATGCGCACATATCGGGCAGCGATCCGATGATTTTCCCCGGCATCTTGAGCCGGGACTCTAGTCGGCGCAATCTAACTAAGATGGACAACTGGGGCATCCAGTCTACTGAGCTGCCTACTAGTCCAGAGGTAGACACTGAGTAAACTGCATTTGCTATTTGTACGGGAGAAGGAAATTGGCTTCAACGCTTCATATGCGTTTTAAAATTTGATTACTGATCGGAAGGATTATGTGTAACATGGTATTGTTCATCACTTGTTATCCGCCCTAGCTGGGTATAAAGCGCGGCTCAACACGCGCATGTTTTTACTACTTCAATAATATAGATTGACATAGAATAAGCTACTTCAAAGATGTAGCGATTGGCTAATTGTATAAATCGTCATTTTCACGTTAACTCTTTCATTGGATTTTACTCCACACCATAGATAATAAGAGATGCTTAGCTGCGGCTGAAATGCAAGAGAAAGCGTGCTTGTCTCAGCGCGAGGCTTCCACATTCCACTTCTAAGGTTACCAGTAATACATATTAGTGATCGAGCGATCTTGCGGGCTACTCTCCCTCTATAATTCTAATCGTGACAGGGTGGACAGCAGAAAATTGGAGAACTCTACAACGACAAGCGTATGTTAGTCGTATACTAGTCTAGTAACTAAGTTGCATTATCTCGCTAATAGCTAAGGCACAATAAAGTCGTCATATTTAAGTAGCTCCCTACTGCTCCTACTAATACTGAGTGCAGTGTAACATTTGATGCATAGAATATTTATTAGCGTTATGATCTTAAATACGTTAGTATAGACATCCCACAAGAAGATTTTCTATACGGGGTATCTCTACGCAATTATTCCGGCGTACGCACGGTTCCCATCCTTCGGCCCCTATTCAGCGCCCCGTCTCGATCCCGCTAGACGCTATCAAATGCACGTCGGTTATATTTAGCTAGACTAGGCTTTCTTTGCGTTGCTATGGTGTAACATTGCGAAAATTATCTATGAAGGGCGGTTTGTCGTTAAATTAGCATTTGGAGACTTGGTTTCCATCATCTTCATCACGACTCGCGCGGCTTCGTATCAGAGAGTTGCCGCTGTTTCAAGCTTAACAAGCGTTTCAAATCTCTACAGCAACATCTGGAAGCGTTACATATGGAGTATGAGCCTATCCGGCATCTGCCAGGCGGCAATCACATCCGAATTTTGAGCCTGGCTCCGAGCGCAAATTTGTCTGATCCAATTCATGTCAAGTTATCAGTTGTCAAGCTGGCAGACGAGCCAACTTTTATTGCTCTTTCTTATGTCTGGGGATCTGAAGTTGGAAAGGTAAGGGGAGATGCTTTCGCTATGATAACTTGTACTGGTTTAGCTAATGTAGCGAACAAGCTGCCGATCACTTGCAATGGTGAACAATTTCTTGTTACGCAAAATCTGGACTCTGCTTTGCGCCACTTACGCGACGAAGCCAAAGAGAGGATATTATGGATCGATGCTATTTGTATCAACCAGAATGATGATCAAGAACGCGGTTTTCAGGTTAATCTCATGAAAGACATTTATCGCATGGCACATGCCGTTGTCATCTGGTTAGGAGAGGCTGATGCGGACAGCGATCTGGTTTTCCCACTATGCGAGAAGATGACTGAAAGTAGACTTGATCTGCTAAAAGATTTAGAATCCGGACTCGACGTCGTAATGGGCCCGAACCGAAAGCAGATCTTAGAGAAAATGATGAGAGACGCAAAAAAGCGAAATGCAGAGAAAGAAAGGGAGGCGGCAAACCTTGAAAGCGTCTCGGATACAGCCTCCAATGTTGCCTCCAAAGTCGATGGCCCCTCTGAAGTTGATGGTACTATTGCCAACACGGGAGACGAGGAAGTCGACGTATCTGATGCTAGCGACGAAGAAATTTCAGCCTTCATGAGATTGATTGCTCGCCCATGGTTTACTCGATGTTGGATTCTCCAGGAAGTCTGCCTTGCAAAACAGGCAGTGTTATTGTGCGGTACCCAAGCGATTGACTGGGATATATTCTACATCGGCTTTGTAATAACCGTTCTTATGAGCGAAAAGGGACTCCGAGGCCGACCAGAGCAGCTCTTTCGAACGGCACTGGTACTAATTGGCAGGCTACGAACAAAAATACACGATGAGCAATCGCCATACGAAGGTGCCGGGCTTCTGTGGCTACTTAGTAGGGTATGGTCACTGAGTGCGACAAACGCCCGGGACAAGGTTTATGCCATTCTAGGTCTTCTTGGCGAGAAAGAGTCTCGGGAGTTGAACATAATACCTGACTATACACAATCAGTTGAAGAATGCTACCAGAAGACCTCTCTACTCATTATGTCCCAGACGAAGAATTTGGACATTCTCCATACCGATCGCATATTTGAATCCACGCTGGACTTGCCATCGTGGGTTACAGATTGGAGAAGTTTACCTGATCCTAGCCCCATATGTCTAGATCCGCATTCACACGATATAAAAGGAGAAGAGGAAGACAAGCGACCATTCAACGCTTCGCTTTCTACCCAATGGACACCGAAAATTAGCTCTGATGCGAAAATCCTGATGCTATCTGGGTATGACTTTGATGAAATAATAGAAGTGGAAGATATTCTTACCGTTCCCGCTGCCGACCATAACGATATTGCCGGAATGGCAAGTTCCATATCAAACGCCACGAGCTTTATGAAAAGATTAATCCTCGGCCTGGGCTCCTATTTCGACATTTTAGTAAAATGGGAAGCCTTAGCCACGTCCAAAAAATACTCAAAATACCCGACTGGCGAAGACACAGAAACTGTATTTGCCATGACCATGTGCACCGGAAGCATTGATTCGCCTGAACTGGCGCTTCAGAGATTTCAAAAGTGGCGCAAAACGCTTCGAGGACCTCGGAAGATGACTTTCCTGAAGAATATCGGTATCAACGGCGGCTTTTACAAGACAATGGTTGCGGCTGTGGGGATAGGCTCCGGGCTTAGCGTTGTGGATGACAGGGTGTATGCCACCGCAACTGAAGCGACACTATGGCGACGCTTGGCCAGGACAAAGAAGGGGTACTTGGCGGTTATTCCCAGTCAAACAATTGTTGGCGATCATGTTGCTCTATACAAGGGTGGTAGAATGCCGTTTGTTGTTCGTCAACGAGAGGCCAACAAGAGGGAGCTCATAGGACCATGCTATGTTCACGGTATCATGTATGGAGAGTCGTGGGATGAGGCGCTGTGTAACGATGTAGGTATTATCTGATTGTGCCATGAAGCTAAGTAATGTACTAGATTTTTCAAGTTTTAAAGAAAAAAAAATGAAAATGAAAATAACAGTTTAACTCTTGTTCACAAACTATCCCATTGAAATAACAATTCAGTATTATTGGGATTCTACAGCTGTCCCTGAAGAACTGGGCATATTGATTCCCCCTCGGCTGATGAAATCCATTAGCGTTGAAGAATGTGTTTTGTCGTCTACAAGAAGCTTCATATCATAAGCTAATTTCTCAAAGATATGTTTCAGCAGCCCATCCATGCCAAGGGTTTGTAAGCCACCAGAAAACTGTATCATTTTGGCAAGTGCACGCACATGCTGCCTGGATGCAGTAATATTGCCCACTCGAAGCTGTACGCGCGAGTGATATTAGCCGTGTAAATTGATATATATGTAAATTAGTACTTAGAGAGTTTATTCTCACCTCATCTATAGCTAATGATATTACTGTAGCAATCACTGGATCCCTCGTGGAGCAATCCTGTCCGCCAATAGCCTCTTTGATGGCGCAAATGCATAAAATTTTATACTGCGTCGCTAAAGCAGTGTATTCTACGCAACAGTAGATTTCACCAAGGTGGCTACAAGAAAATTGTAAGGCACAATTTAATAGACCCACGTATGATATGGCCATTTGAATCCAGCGTATCCTAAGTTGGTGGTGGTGAAAGCTTGTATCTTTGAGTACCACGCACTCGGAGTCATACTGGGTGGTGACAACAGTTGCATCTGCAGTACAATTTAGCAGTTAATGAAGGGCTTAATATCGGCGAGTACAAGGCCAACGACATTACCAATTAAGCCTCATATTAACGTACAATGATCAAAGAGGTAGTGCTCCAGCTGTGAAAGTGGTTTCACAAAGCATCCAAAAGGATCTCTCCTGTTTGATGTGAGCGGGTCGATAGGGTCGAGAAATACTACCGCAGCCACCTTGGCTTTATCGTCAGCCAAACATATCTCCTTTGCTTCCGTTGTTGTATCAACTTCAATCTTCTTCGCAGGCGGAATATATGGTTCCACATTGCTAGCCTGGCTGATCGATTTGCGGGCAAGCTTCACTCTTGCATGGTTTACACGAGCAGCATGCGAGTAAGCACGACGCCGCAGGCTTGAAGAAGATCCTTGCGAAGGGTAAGATAGGTTTATGAATTCAATTATGTTCGCCATCGGCGAAGAAGTCGGCTGGCAACCGCCGAAATCCGAAGCCGTAATCTATGAGATCTGATAACCCAACGAGGAGACCATTATGCGGGTCTCTCTGTAGCCCCGATAGTTTGTTAAGCGGCGTGGAGATTGAAATCGAACAGTTGACATATAGATAAAGATAGCAGCGTGGAGGTTGAAGAAGCAGGAAAAGTATCTTTTCGGTAATTGATTCTCAGACTGTGCATATGATAGTCTACAAAGCCCAAGAATTGAGAAGGCTTACAAACTAAAAGCCAGGGTGAGACGGGCAAGACTTAGGTACAATGTACTCTTTCCTAATTAAGAATAGATTGCCTATCTCACCAAACCGCTGAGTCTGATGCCCCCGCAAGGATCTTGCGAAGCCTACCGTTGCGTGATGTATGTGTGCTTTCATTACTCATGACTCGATGAATAATAATTGCCTATATATGATACTTTGTCGTTGTGTGCCGCGGATTAATATGCGCATATTTCTTGGTGTGGAGTACAAAGTACTCTTTCTAAATTAGGGATAGAACTATGATAAATGCTTCGATCACCATGTTTGGTGGGAAGTTCCAATGAATGTCATTCTCTCCAAGGCTTATAGATGCATAATCTTGTCGGAATAGCTTGCTATTTCAATATACAACAATTCTAATAAGCCTTACGTTCACGCCGGAGACCGATTATCCGCTCGAGTGCTGCAGACATTCTTGACTCCACTGTGGAAGTCGTACGGCGGAACGCATATAAGTATTCGTGAATTACTCGCCTATCAGTAGTAAGAATCTCTGTGCAATTCTCAAGTATAGCGTTTAAAACCTCTGCTCCCTTCTTTCCAACTCGAAATCTACAATGGCAGCCTCTAAGCTATCACAGGCCAGCGTGGCCATCATTATCACCAGCACTCGAACTCCTAGAATTGGCCCCAAAATCGCAAACATTATCAAAGACATCGTAGAAGAAGCAGATCAAAACGAAACGAAGCTCTCTTTAGTCGACCTAGCAGACTTCAAGCTACCCATCTATGATGAGACCGTTGTTCCATACCAGGTCCCCTCTCAGGCATCCTATGCAAATGAGCACAGTCGTCGCTGGAGTGCCGAGATCTCCAAGCACGATGCCTATGTCCTCGTTATCCCAGAGTACAATTATGGCATGGCTGGAAGTACAAAAAATGCGATTGATTACTTGAGAAACGAGTGGATAGGCAAGCCCGCAGCCATCGTCAGCTACGGTATGGCTGGCGGTAAAAACGCTTCAGACCAGGTCAAGACGTCGCTTGAGGGACCGAGATGCGCGTGAGTCCTACAAGGCCTCAGCTGGTATTTGTCAAGAGCGATGAAATTTCCGATATTTTCACAGCCATGCACAAGGGAGAACTCGGGGAAAGGTCACGCGAGATTTGGACGACTAAGGATAAGCAGGACATCTTAAAGGCTTTCGGGGAATTGAAAGAGGCTCTTAAGACTCCTTCCGCAGAAAAGAGGAACTAATAAAAAGGTATCTATTATTTTAACTAGCTATATCTTGATATTTGCTTACATTTGGCTCAGGCCAGACTTATATCGCATGTCATGTCCGCCTACGTTGCCTATACGTCTGCGGGCGTCAGCAGAATGCGCTCCCCCGGAGCAAGTCTCCCGCGCCACGAATACAGATGTAGGCCACACATACGCAAATATCCAGTCTTCCAAAGATTTTCGTCACAAAAAGTTCTGCTGATTCCCTGGGAGAATAATTCACGTTATTTTTTGAAAGATGATATATTAGAACTTCTCGGCCCGCAAATCAACTTTGAACTAAAAAAACCAACCTTAGTAGGAATATAAAGAATATAATTGAACTTCATTGACCTTTCGATCTATTCATTCAGACTCCAGTCATCCAGTACAGGCGAATGATTGAATACCCCTTCAAAATGGGAGCTCTAGAGTGGCAACAGCTCTGTGTGCATTTGAGGCTGTGTCGAGTTGGGCTGTAATTGGGATACCATAACTGAAAGAGCTGAATTTGTACTAATAATGACTAAGAGCTTATGATCACTCTTATGGACCATTGGATTTCATATATAACCAAGCTATTTAGATACATGAATTAGTTCAATCGATCTCTTCAACGTAGGATTCAAAATAGTCTTTGCTTTTTTTCATCCATTGGTAATAAATTCTAGCATGGTTTCTAAGGTAGAGCGCGACTATGAAGGGCTAATTATTTGGTCCTTGCGGGCTTGCGCTTATCCGCTGCACAGAGAGCAGCCGGAGAGGGTTCACTTTAAAGAATTATTGATTGCCACAGTCCCCCTGTACCCCTGAAGCAGCACTGCGGACAGATCGGAGCTCAATAGGACGCCATGTCCGAAGCCATTCATACTTGAGACATTGAAACATATTTTTCGCTACAGAGCGCAGTGATCTCGCATTCGCTTAAGAGTGGATTAAAAACCACAAGGTTCTGATTTGTCACTCAGGCTGGATTGGCCACCCTCAAGGCACTTCCTGCATACTACGCCGTGCTGTATAAGCACTCGTATACGGCCCTCGTGTGAACTAAGTATGCTATTAGAAAACATCTCTTAGCTAGAGAATTAAAAATATTCACCTCCAACTACTCGGCGATACTATTATATTTGTTTGGTATTCAATGAGATTTGATCTTGGCTTGCGCGTCAGAAGAACCAAGAGTCGAGAACTACATCTACATTGAACATCTTTGCATGGGTAGTTCAACGTCGGCAGTTGTTTCTCCACTCTTGAGTAGATCATGTTCAGCTATACTAATCACAGTTAATGAAGGCCTGCTCCGTTACGATCCGCGTATCTTCGAAGATGCATATTAAAGCTCTTGAAATATAATATCTATTAGATCTAACAACCCCCTTCTGTATTTTGCGTATAGACAACCTATTCCCCTTTGCTCACTGGGCCTTGGAATAAATGATTACTCAACCCGATATTCAATTGATAATCTTCTGAAGTCACAGGCAATACCTGATCCAGTCAAATAAGTGGGACGGATGTAAGGCTTCAGCCAATAAGGGCCCGAACCTCGGACTTGGTTGTGATGCTAGTCCGAGGTTTAATATCCCGAGGTTTCCATGCCTCAACGGCTCATCGACTTTCTTTCCTAACAAGACAGCTGCCCATTCAACGCTAGTCAAATTCATACGAGGAGCCGAAGCCAAGAGTGAATATGTCAACCCGCCGCTATCGTTCTGCCATCGCCTGTCAAACTTGCCGAGTGCGCAAGGTTCGATGCAGCGTTTCTATGACGGGAGTTCCCTGTATAAGCTGTGAACAGGATCAAACAGAATGCGTCTTGAAGCCAAGACAAGGCAAAAGGTAAGGCAAAATATTTGTTACAAATAAAAGAACATGATATCATCAAGTCGAATTGCTGACATCAAGCCACTTGTCCCACAGGTTCCGGCAGAGCACCACCGTGTTTCCGGCGCCCCGTCACTATGCTGCAAGCTCGGCTTTGCCAAATACCACTAGCCAAAGCAATCAAGAGCCAAGAAATCTGACTCCGGATTCCAGCCCAAAGAGTGATGTTGGGGAACCACGCGGTTCTCGGTCATCTTTAGATACGCCTGATACCCGGGCTTCGGCTGTATCTAGTGAGCGAAGTATTGCTGCTGACGAAGAACGAATTGGTGTTGAAATGATAGAGGTAGCTCTGGGACATCCACGAAGAGCAGGTCAGGTACCATACTACATTGGTATGCGAGCTCGGAGCTTCTCAATCTGATGCTGATGACGCTGACATTGTTAAAGGTGAACAAACCGGGGGCCCAACATCTATTATGCATATATGCACAACGGATCATGCTATTCCTAGACATCTTCTTCTGCCAGAAGGAAAACAAATCGTATTAACGGAAGATGACAGAGCTTTTTTTCGCAGTAAAGGTGTCTATTCTTTCTTGTCAGACGCAACCATGGATAGCTTGATACGAGCGTACTTTCACCATGTCCACCCAATCATGCCAGTCTTGGAGGCAGATAAGCTCCTGGAACACCACCGCTCTAAGCGATTACATGAGTACAATTTGATATTGCTGTGGTCACTTTGTTCTATATCCTGCAATGTAAGTGCATATATACCTCTCGCCTCTAGTCAATGGGTTGCCTAAGTATGAAACACAGTATGTACCTCCCGAGATATATGAAGCCGAAGGATTTGCATCTCGAAAAGCCATGAAATCCGAAATGTATTCTCGTGCAGCCGTAAGTGAAATCCCTTGGACTTATTCTTCGCCTATGTAATGCCAGCTAATTGACCGGGCATAGTGCATATACAACAATGGTGGTGAAAAGAACAACTTTATTCTCCTACAGGGAGCACTGCTATTAGGCTTTTGGAATTCTGAAAAAGAAGACCATATGCAACCGTGGCATTGGAGCGGCCGAGCAATCAATCTATGCCAAGTACTTGGGCTCCACCGCGATATTGATTCCGTCGGATACAACCTGTCTATAACCGAACGGCAGCGTTCCCTATTTCGTAGATTATGGTGGACTTCCTTTTGGCGTGACCGCTGGCTTGCTATGGCCCTTGGAAGACCTCTCCGAATCAACTTGGACGAATCTGACACCCCGGATCCATTAGTGTCAGATATGGCGGCAGATCTGGAAGGCATTCCGGAATCCACAACTTCGGCTTTCCTGCCGAGGGACTTGCCGCAATTGGCGGAATACTGGGTCCAGCTTATACACATGACAAAATTGCTTGGCAAGACACTCACAACATGCTATCAGCTCCGACGCCCAAGACCAACCCTTAGCAAAATTGACTCCCTAGAGGCGGAAATACTACAGTTTGCTTTACCAGACTACCCGGATCCCAACCTATCTCGGCTCGCAACGTTCTATTATTACCATCTACAGCTGCATTATCAGTTAGTTCTCCTCGCCAGAGTTTGTATCTGTTTTACGACGCATCTTTTGCTAATATCCACCCCTTGTAGATCCATTTTAATTACGTGCTATCGACCGTATAGTATAGAAACTCCTTCAGATCTCCCTCCGTACCGACAGAGAGAATGGCAACTGGAAATGCAAGCAAAGGCAATGTCTGCTGCTTCAAAAACTTGTAACATCGTATATTCTCTCGCCCAGGGCAATTACTTTTCCTATGCAGGGCCAATGACGTGAGTTTGTTCAATAAGATTCCATGCTCCTGTCCCCAACCCGCCATCTTACTGTCCGAGGAGATATGCTCAGTAAAATGAGATGCTAACAATTGTTATGCAGGCCAACCCTATTGGTTCCAGCTATGCAAGTATATCTGCTCAACTGTAAATTTGGCGACGCCTTATCAAGACGCCTCGGGCTGAACATGCTAAACATGTGCATGATGATTTTGGAGGAGCTGCAAAAAACCTACTCAGTCGCCTCAGTTTGCCGAGGTATATTCGGCAAGGCTATACAGCAGCTTTTCCCAGATGACGCCGCGAGCATTTCTTTATTCCACTCTCTCCCCGAACCGAATATCGTTGCCATTCCCGAGCCGATGCCCCCTACTATGGCTATTGCAGATACTCCTCTTCAACTCGAGCTATTTGGCTCGAATGCTTCCAAGGCTGAATTTATCGACGCTCTTACTGCAGAGCCATCTATTTTTAGCTTTGTGGATATGCTTAACTTATAGTGGATTCTACAATTGCATCGCTCATTCGAACCATGCTATAACGCAAAGCTGGACTTTTGCTTATCCTAAATACTATAATGATAATGAATATTTTCAAACGAGTACTTTAATTTAAATCATTTTGAAGATTTGATTCAATATTGTTTTATTAACCATATCACAGATATAACTGTCAAATGCAACCTGTGTTTATCCTGCCTTTAGTCATATGTGTTTTGCCAATTTGCTAGATATACAAATCAGACAGCTCTGCCTCTACCACGACATTATGCCACTTCACTGCCCGCTGTCAAGACCATCTTGCCCAATGTTTTACCCTCGAAAACCAACTTCACCGCTTCTTCACCCTGAGAAAGTGGGAGAACTTTTCCAATGCAGGGCTTAATGCCCTTTGCCGCCACAAACGAGATAAGATCTTTGAACTCATGAAATGAACCCGCATACACGCCGTGGATGCTCAGTGAGTCTACAAACAGACGGAATGAGTCCGTAGGCAGCTCAAATCCACTATGGGCACCGCAGCTTACAATTGTTCCGCCGGCTTTAACAGAGGCCATCGAATGCTTCCATGTCGCAGCACCACTTGTATCGAAGACGGCATCGACTTGAGTAGCGAGTGGTTCCCCAGGTTCAAACGTCTTCTCTGCGCCGAGTGATTGAGCGAGCTGCCTCTTCTCGGCTGTGCGGCCAGTGGCCCAAACGCGCATGCCTGCTGCTGCTCCAAGCTGAATGAGAGCTGTACTAACACCGCCTGAGCTTCCTTGTACTAGCATCGTCTGCCCAGCTCGCAAGCCGGATTTCGTAAAGAGCATACGATAGGCAGTGAGCCAAGAAATTCCAAGCACAGCTCCTGAGACCACATCAATTGTGTCTGGCAAGGGCAAAACGTTCTTTTCTGGGACAATGAAATACTCCGCAAGGGTCCCTTCAGTGAGTTCCGAGAGAGCATGGCGACCAGGGTCAAGCGTTTCATCGCCAATATAAGTCGGTGTAGTCATAAAAGGATAAACAACCACTCTGCTTCCATCCTCCAACATTCCAACGCCTTCGCAGCCGATGATACGTGGAAATTTGATGGGATGGGCGCCAAAGCCTTTTAGCGTGAATATGTCATGGTAATTGACACTCGAGGCCAGAAGTTTAACGCGTACCCAGCCCTCTGGAGGCGTAGGCAATGGCACTTGACCAACTTTGAGGCCGTTAAGAGGATTCTCATCATTACCGCTGGCGGCATATATTGCAAGCATAGTTTTGGGATTTCCTTCTGAAAAGGCCATGGCGAGTTTTTAAGAGCTTGTTCGCAGATGATTAAGATCGTTCGGTTGCGACAGATGAGGAATCTCAGATGGCTATATAAAATGCCGAATGTCTTGTGTAGGGAAAGAGTAGGTTTAGCAAAAGCAATTTAGCTTTGTATTATCTGAATCACTCAATAGGCTGACTATAGTTTGAAAATGTGTGTGATTATAAACCATCTATACATGGATGAGATCTTTGAAGGTGTGAGATAGGAGCAAGGACGGCGTTGAGATGCGGAATTCCGCTCCCACCAGATTTATCCCTTCGTGCAATTCCGCATCGCTATATATGAGTGCATCTCTTCATCATCAATAACACCCAATCTTTTATATAGTTAATTAATCACCTAATCAGCTATTTTATTTCTCGTTGGTGAAGCAAAGCGCATGTGTTTCACGTCAGTCCCATTACTCTTCATTTCCGCTCTAAAGGCGAATTATTGGAGCACGCCTTAGAGCGTCCTACGGAAAATGCAAACGGGCAAAACAAACGTGCTAAGCCACTCAACTGTTCAAGTTAATTTTCAAGCTTGTTCATTTGTTTTTATATCAGTATCTCTCTGCATTAATCTTCAAGTGTCAGATGTCACAAAAGCGGGCCACTGTGGAACAGGCTACGCACTCAATATTTTGCTACAGGCTATTTTTATGCACTTCGTAGGGATATGAAATTTTAGTTAAATGTTAATCGAAGACTGCATTTATTATTCTTTACATAGTTTGATTCTCCTTGTTAAAGATAGGCGGTACTTAGTGTTGAATTCACCACAACTTATTTCTTAAGATGTTCACCAGGGTAGCTGAAAGGTACATGCACACGCGAAGAAAAGACCTTATGCAAGGTGCCGATAGTCAAAGCCCTACTCATACTTGTTACGAAATGTGCATCTCTATGTGGCAAATTCACTCTCTGCAAAGTTACGTGTGAAGTTTCCAAATATTTGCGCTAAAATTTGTATTCGTCTCCTTTGACCAGACCACATTTGGTATCTTCATCCTTCTTTACGCGGACAGTGCACCTACAAGCTGTGCGTACCATTGGTTGGGGGCGCAACAAGAGCCTAAATTGACTCTGAAGATGCTGCGACAGGCAGCAACAGTTAACACCCAACTGCGCGGACACAAGGGGACGTGTTGTAACCTCCAAATCTGGCTCCATGCCCGGGTCACGGCGGCTTCACTTCAACGAAGCAACAACAGGCTCATTGCTAAGAGTACGATGGCGCCATGACTCGGTGTCGCCGCCCATAATCAGACACATGCTATGATTGAAAGAGACCGGCGTACGAAAGGGAGAGTCAAAGTCGTTGGGTACTGCGATTGAACCGCCAAAGTTCGCCCGCTTTGAACTCCGAAGAGAGTTGGCAGGCAATCTCGCACCGATCCCCATCACGTTCACGTTTCACATCGGTTGCATACCGTACAAGAGCCTCCCAATTTTAACGCGATGCGAAAACTCTCCGTTCACGTCCATGGTTACTCGATTCAACGCCATGCCCTTATCGCTTGTTATGATTATGACTGTGTTGGCTAGCTCTCCATGATGTTCGGTACATGCCGGCGTGGGCACGTGAATAGAGGCGGCGATTCTGTCCCAAACAGTTAGTTGATTTGACGTATCGTAAACCATGCCACAGGATAGCTCCCTTCTCACGGCTTGGAAACAGGTCTGTCAAGAGACATAGTTATGAACACTGTTAACTCTATATATATTTAAGCACTCTCACGTCTCATTGAATCAGTGAAAATTTTCACCTCTTCATTATTAAACTTTGTAGCTAATTGAGATAGCTTTTGCATAATTTCAAACCCACGAGAAGTTCCGGCCAAGTTGCATTTGCGGTCAATAAACTCCTCAAGAAGATCATATTCTTTAATACAAGCAAGCCAGGTTGCGATGCGCATTTTCAGTAAGACTCCATCATGAATTTCAATCCCCCAGTATCTCAAAATTCTTTCCCTTGTTTCGGACGAGAACTTTTCGACTCCTCTATTGCAAGACTCGAGATCAATGAAGTGGAGCTGTCGTATAAACTCAAAAAGACACTGATTCTGAGACTTAACCACTGGACTATTGTGTTCGTCTAGAATATGGTCATGGCTTTGAGTTTCAGAATTCAGACGCATAGATTGAGTTCTCTTGCCCACCAATTCAAGAGGATTCGGCAATAAATGAAAAAATGAAAGCTCCGCAATGTGGTGTAAACTGTAGAGGCAGGCAATAGACGATACCCTGCGGCCGCACTGTTCACATTTCGGGAATAAAGAATACACAGGTGAACACAATGGTAATGGAGTTGCACGCTTTGGACTATATGTGCGAATCCAGAGGAACGCAATCCAAATCATCGTGCACCGTTCAATTTGGCAAGGCTTTAAGGCATGGCGTAATGTTTCCGCCGATCCATCAAAGACATGATAGAGCCATATCAGAGCTTGTGACAAGGAGTGGCTGTGGAAATTGTCACCGGGATCAAAGAAAGTGGAGTCAACCCAGTCCTTTTGAGCCGTCGAAATCAAGTTATTTGTATAGTACCACAAGGGTCGCTGGGCTTCGGGCGTAAGGTTTTCACGCCCCATTCCGACCAGAATCCTCTTCGTCACATAAAGAGATATTGTCGGCGGTAGTATATTAACACCACAGCTCCAGGATTTGATATCCTTGTGCATGCGCCCTCTGATATCCCGGTTCAACATAAACCTCCTTAATTCACGAGGTGTATTGGCATCCATGCGTTTTAGCATTGAGAACAAGAGCTCAGTGTCCCCCATAGGTACTTCCATAAGCAAGCCCTGTGGCGTGTGGTCTGCGAGGAGTTTGTTCACGCCATCGAGACACAAGGGCTTTCTGTCAGTTTCGAGACGTTTTAGATGCAGATCACGAAGTGCTGTAAGTTGCCCTGCGCATTTGACAAAACCTTGCCCAACTTGGGGAGGTGCGGTTGGAGCCACTCCCTTCAGCACTGTGATGAATAGGTCAATGTCATCTTGAGGAGCTTCCTGAGACCCGTCTTGCCGGAAATACTCTGAGAGAATTTCCCCCAACTCTGCGGAAGATGCCAATTGTTTGTCCTCAGTTTCACGACGCTGTGTCTCATGGGCTTGGCGAATTTCAATATCGACGTTTTCAACAGATCCTTTAAGTAGGTCGAGAAGCCGGTACTCGGCGACAGAAGGAGTTCCTGTGAGCGACTTATATTCTAGATCATGACTCATACTAGACCAAACATCCATTAACAATGATCGGAGCTGAACCTCAAATCTTTGATCAAGGTGTTTCCCAGATTTCGGTAACTCCGTAGGAGTTTGGGCATCTTGGTTTAGGCGTAACCAAAGATGATCTGCTCCATATTCTCCATTCATCTTATCGTAGATCTGCAACTTTCTGGGCTTCCAGTCTCGGTGGAAGCAGCGAGTAGAATCATAGTTGAAGACATTCTTGAGCATTTGAACCACCTCAGGCTGTTGGTTGGGGAAGAATAGGGAGATCCGAATACCGACGAGGTCGACCTGATCACCTAGAATGCTGTCCATGTCGACGTACCCCTTTCGTTTGTTTCTTTCGCGCAGCTTCTTCCGCAACGACGGAACAGACTTGATTCGACTGGTTACTCGCGCCCGTATGCCGAGATTACTCAGGCCATTCTTGATGATTTTTAATGCAGTAGTCCTCAGTGCATCCCATTCTTCCTGATGTTGGCTGAATTCCTTTATGAAACTTTCGATGACGCGTTCCCCCTCTTCAAGTTCTCGTGTTATGAAAAATTTACCTCCTAGACCGTCCGGTACTGCTACGGTAAGCAATAGGCCCCTAGCCCTGTCTTGATTGCTTGAGCAGGATGATTTGCGATTCATGCTGTGTAATTCCTCTGGAGCAAACTGAACATCTGGCGGTTAGATCTTGGAGCTTTTCATTAAACGGAAGGATTTATGTTTTCTGCACTTATGTACTCCGTACACTGTCGAGATGTGCTTTACACAGGACAGTCTGGTGATGCCGGCCTTGCGAAAGGCGTCGTTCTCTTCTCACAGAGATGAAGAATGGTTGGCGAACCTGACCTTCATGTTACTGTAGTCTCAGGTAAGGCTGTGCTCAGCTAGAGCGTTGCTGCCTAAGTCGCATCTGCCTTAATGACAAAAAGGACGGCAGGAAGGCGAGGCGGATTCGAAGGCGCACCTCAACTGAGGGGTGCTGCATAGGCGAGCCGGGTGTATAATAACAAGGCTTTTGAAAAGATGGTGGCACTCTCATATGACCCGAGAAATGCTACCCAACGGGCCTGAGTAAGCACAGTCCTGCCCAAGGGAGACGCCGGTATAAATCTACTCATGGGCTCTGGCAGGAAGAAATCAGCCCACGAGTGCTTCAGCCAGCCTTCTTGCCGGATGTCTTTGATGCGTGGACCAGCAAAGCATGTACAGAAGCAGGGTTAAGGCGCAGATGGAGCGCAATCCATCCCTGGTCGGCCTGTACGATTTTCTGTCGCAACCAGGCGCCCGGCCACGTTGTTCTAGGATAGTGTCGCTTGACTTTGCGGCGCATGACAAGAGCCCAACGTGCCGTTTGATCCAGCCCACAGACCTTGCCCTGGAGGTGCATAAACCCCGTCCGTCGCCGCATCCTGGGGCACCTATACAGTCGGGCCAAATCCTTATAGTGGAGGATATATCGCCCGAGGAAATCGAGATAGTGGGCGGCGCCCTCGAACTTGACCCGTGCTTCTTCGCATCGTATATCTCTCGGACATGGCGCAATCTGAAGGCGCAGGACCCGCAGGCTTGCACGCTCCCGTCGCGCGAGCGCCGTCAGGGCTTTGTGCCGCTCTACTACCACCGAACCATCGTGGCGCATGGCCTGGAGCCGCACACGGCGCAGTTGTTGCGCACCTGTAACCACCCACGCAAGCTCTTCGTGCTGTCACCCGTCAAGGGCCAGCGCCTCGGCCTGGCGCAGCACGCCTGCGTGGTCTCGAGCATGGTGCGGGCAGATGGGCGGTGGATCGGTCAGTACAGCGACCCTAGCCTGCCTGGATTCTTGCTCGCGTCTCATCAGATTATCTAAACTGCCGTCTATTAGGCATCATCCTCGCCGATCCGCCCTTCCGGAGCCGCAACGACTACGTGGCGCTGCGCTCGCGATCGCCAGTGCCGACAAACCTCAGCATCACGCCCTTTCTGGGCGGCTGTGAGGACTTCCAGTACAACGCGGCCGTCCACGCGTCTTCCTTTACTCAGCCGCTGAACCCGGATATCGACACAGACGGCATTGACTATCCCAGGACCAAGAGCGACCGTCGCGGCATGCTCGACGAACTAGTTTACTACTGGACCGCGTCCGGGCCGCCGGCGGGTATTTTCGAGGCGTCCGGGCCGCCCTCGTTGCATGCGCTCGCTTACCTGCCGCTCCGGATCGTGGCGGCCGAGTGGGTCAACTATATAACACTCGTGGACTTCAGCGCCAAGGAATACGAGTGGAATGGCAGCGACAACGACGCTCCGGGGAGAGGCACTCGTGATGCTACCGCCGTAGCATCGCGGACGGACTGGAAAGCCAAGGTCGATGCCCTCGATGCGCGGCTCCGTGCCCTACAGGCGTGGCGTCGGCGCGTCATGTCCTCCATGCGCAAGATGCGCCAGGTTGCACGGTTCCTAGACAGCCCCGTACCTGGCGTGGACGGCGCATGTTGCAACGGCACATCGGACAGGCACTTCGACCACGGCGCTGCCAACGCCTGGGCAGCATTGCGATCCGACTACATGTCCCTGGCGACCGAAATCACAGAGCACGGGGCACGACTCGAGAGCATGCTGGCCGTGGTGGCATCGGGCATGGCGCTGCTTGAGGGCCGTCGCGCCCTGGCCGAGGCGGCCAATATCACCCGACTGACGGTGCTTGCCTTCGTCTTTCTCCCGCTGACTTTCGTCGCCGGCCTCTTTAGCATCGGTGGCTCCGATGTGTATGCGCCTGGAGGCTCGCACTTCTGGGTCTACTGGGCTGTTGCGCTCCCCCTAACGCTCATAGTTATGCTCATGGTGCGCCCACCTGTACTTGTGATTATGATGCTCAAGGGACTGGAGGAGTGGGTGAGCGGGCTTCGATAAATGCAACCAAGTAGTTGAGCTTAAATCTACCTCCTAAAATTCAACTTCTTCAGGCTTTCTGAGGAAAGTTTTGCGACTAACATCAGTCTTCCACCGTCCTTTTTAACAGAAAATGACGACTGCGCCGGCCGCTGTGGCCCGGCTCGTCGCTGCTGTGCCTGTCGCTTCTCTGCCTCCTTTTGAGCCTGTCGCTTCTCTGCCTGTCGCTTCTCCGCCTGTCGTTTCTCTGCCTGTCGCTTCTCCGCCTGTCGTTTCTCTGCCTGTCTCTTCTCTGCCTGTCGCTTCTCTGCCTCCCTTTGAGCCCGTCGCTGCTCTGCCTGTCGCTTCTCTGCCTCCTTTTGAGCCCGTCGCTGCCCTTCAGCTTTTTGCTGCTCTCGCCGCTGTGATGTCTGCTTTGTATTGACCATTTTAGAATCGCTCACTATCATACATTAGTTAGTACAGCTATTTTCAAGAGCCCAAGGTAGAGTTTTAACTGAATTTTACCCCAGACAAGTGAACAGACGTGCAAAATCTTCTTCTTATAATGTATCCAAGCTGCCTTTTGTAGAACAGGAAACAGTGTAAAAAGATATTTCAGATAGGAACGATTAAATACATATGTTCCTTTAATAGGATAGTAGCAGCAGGCAGTGTGCCAGCTGAACCATGTCATAGCCTTCAACTGAGGGCACCAATCAACTTCCCAGTTCGCCTTATGACTTGGTCGCCTTACTGGTTGCCTTGCTGGTTGCCTTATTGAATAGCCTGTTCTTTAATATTAGAGTGCAATGCGGTCTTCGCTGCTTTCTCCCTAGTTCATTGGGCAAGGCTGATTGCTGTGAGTGATATTGTAAACACGGCTAGGAACGGGGAGTCTTGTGCAACTCTCCTGCTGTCCAGCACGATAGCAAGTGGACCACTGCCATCTTGTGCCATGTTACAGTAGATGTTGAGCCATATTAAACAACAGGCGCCTGAAGCAAGGATCCGGCCAAAGTTGGGCGTCAAGGCCAGGCAGAAACCAGCCATATTGCGTGGATTGGTTCGGTGCGCTATGCAGGAGTCGTTGGCGTCGGTGATGCTACCTGATGAGCCGCATATTTGGCTGCGCTCCTGGTGACTCAGGTCGTGAATGTCATGCACACCCGATTAATCGGCCATGATTTTCATTCTCGTAGACATCTCTACTAGGCAGCTCATTTTGGAGGATGCGGTCCGCTGGTACACTACGTGTTCTGCAGCCCTTCGTCAACGAATATGAGTTAGAATTATCGCATGAAGACTCATGTTAGCTAGACATTTTGCAGCAACGTGAAGCGCATAAGCACCTGGCAGGCTCGACGACCCGTAGAAGAGCATGCTGCCTCGCTCGCCTGTATATCGGCTGGCCTGCATGTACCAGCCTGAATTCTGGCTGGATGGCAACATAGTTCAGGTATTCTTTCACATATCTGGCCGATAGTTCACCGTCGGGTTGGAAAAAGATATTATAGAAGGTGTTATCCACAAAGGTTCCAAATTCTGTATTGTTCTTCTGAGCCATGGTGACAATTTGCCAAACGAGTGTTTGAGAAGTATAAGAATTTTTGCGATGGTTAAATAAAGAAAAATCTTCCTTTAAACGAGATGATGTTTGATATAAATCGTCTCTTTCTCCCTGGACTCCATCGTTATAGTATGTACGTACACTTCCAATTTCGGAATTCCGCTTCATCTCAGTTCTGAGCAATGGTATGCTTACAAAAATATTGCTATATGTTTGTATCAGCGACTAAGTGCGATCAGTGCGGAACTCCGCCGTGAATTTCTTCATGGCGGAGCGAATGGGAACGTGGGGCTAAGCTCCATCAAAACCCCAGATTTTGTTTCCATATCTATGAATTAGCTAATTTGAGGCAGTTGAAATCCGTTTCATACTTCTTTTCACGGCTGAGCTAAATGATTGCTGCGAAGCGACTAGCAGAATATTTTTTTAGTCCCCTGTAGCAGCTCGTTTGTAGGGCAAAGGTGTAAGAGTATCCTTCTATTAAGCAGTTCTAGACTCGCCAACGACCATCTCTAGGGAATTGACATTTTCCAAAGTTGAACTGTTCATTAAAATGCATTTGCAATTCCAGATAAACCCGCGCTAATATACTTGGGGAAGAGGCTCAAAAGCGTCGGATCAAGACTCTCAGTCGTATCCGTATGAGTCACGCAACCCTCAGAAACTTGTTTCCCATCAAGTCGATCTTGCATCCACGATAATGCTTCCGGTATTGCTATCAAACCATAATTCACGTGGTCCAACTTCGGCGAGGTGGCTCGCTCATAGTGAACTTTCGTACCGTGCTCGCAATAATCCCGCACCATCGCATCTATCTTGCTAACATCGGATAGATGATCATTGACGGTTTGGTATATGTACAGAGGAGCTTGTATAGCTGTTGGTGGATGCATGTTCTCTGCTTGGAAAGTCGATTCCAGCTCGTTTATCAGCCCTGGCAATGAAGTGTTATAAAACATGCCCAAAATATCTTGAAAAGAGAGGATCACAGTAGCTTCTTGCAGACACATGTGCAAGGAGCTGTAGAAGATATCTCGAAACTGAGGCTTCAATGATGAATAAATGTGTTGCTGGAGTGCTGGGTACTGCCTGGACAAGCCAATCATTGCCGATGGGATGAGAGCCGAACTCTGTTTTTTGTTGAGGGCAAAAATATCGCTTGCCTTTGAAAGACCCGGCAGCCCTCCCATCGCAGCACCAGCGATTTCAAGCTCGGGTGCATATAGTTCCTGCATATTGATTGCTACCTGAGTAGCAGCTCCTCCCCCAGAATAACCCCATATTCCAATCCTAGGATTCGATGCAATGCCGGTGATAGGACCAGAGTGTTTCGCGGCTCGAATGCCGTCCAGAATCGAATAAGCCGTTATTTTGCTTGCAGTATATGCTGCTTTGGGTCCTTCGTAATCCGGTACTATAACAATCCATTTCCGAGCAAGCGCCGTTTCTGCGAAAAGCACCTGAACTTGAGTGATGTTGGAACCGTAAGGTCCACCCTGCTGCGCTGAACGCTGCATTGTATATGATGGGGCGCAATTAATAGTTGTAGAGTCTTCAGCCATTTGCAAAGACAGCACTTTGTCATACTCGGCATCTGGCGGAATGAGAACCGTCAAGACAGTGGCAGTAGGCTGCTCTAAGCTATCGGTTGTTCGGTAGAGAATCTGGTATGCCTTCTTCAAATGCGTTGGTATCCATCCGTAGGCGGAAATTTCTGAAGGTGGCTCTCGATAGGCTATTATTTCTCCTGGTAAGAAGGAGTCTATATTGCGTGGAACGGCATAGAATGGATCATCGCTTGGAAGCACAGCCGCTTGGTCTTCTTGGGAATGACGTTTGCCAGGAAAACGAAACCCGGAAGCCGAAGCGGCCAGGGACACAACTAGCCAGTAGCTTAAATAAACCATATTACACAGAAATCGGACAGCCAGATAGAGGTCTTGATAGTGGACATGGGAGGATTAGGCTGCAAGACGTTGGGAACGTTCTCAGCACCTGGCCCAAATTGCACCATCATCACTCTCATCTTCACATAATAAATTATTGGCGCAAGGAGTCTCATTCTTATACTTCAATGTGGAATAACAGAGCCATGTGATGCAAATAAATAATTAAGACATATGGCGGTTTCGGTACTTTTTCAAGCCACGGCGGGAGAACACGAGGCGGTATGTGAGACCGTCATACCTCCAATCTCGTACGAGCTGAAACACCAGCCTATGCTTTCTATACATAGTGTTGCAAACTTCTCATTGCTCATGTCTTGTGGCTAAAAGTCATGATATCAGAGTCACACCATTATTCTCAGGAAAGATGAATACTCTTGAAAGGTCATTTGTAAAACTTGAACGACAGCCTCGCAAATGCCAGTCATGTCTGCGCGCTCAAAACCGCTTTTGGGAGAGTTTCATCGCCACGCTGCCCACATACCAAATCTCACCAATGTCTTACGTCGGCGATCCTTCCAACCAGCCAGAGTCACGCACACATTAATGCCTCTTCCTCCGTCTACCGTCACGCTAAGAATTCGTGCCATTAACCGTCATTCCACACATTCAAATTACCATTCAGTCGGGCTATCATTTACAGCAGCTTTGTCTAGACTCTGCGGACATCGTGACTCGAGACAACTAAATACGGCATGTAGCAAGGCGCAATATTGTCCAAGACCCAATATATGACACAGCACTAAGCAATAGAGTTAGCACATAATTACCAGGCGTTATGAAGCAGTAGTAGAGTATTGCGCTTAACCTCAATTAAGCTCCAATGCATGTTTCAAAGCCGCGATAGCTTCTCACGCCGTCGTTGCTGACCATCATCCGCCGCTTCCCACTTAAACCCCATCTCTCCCAACATCTTCTTCAGCATGATACGTAATCAAATCAACAATCGAAAACATGTCTATCGGACTTAAAAAAAAAAAAAATCATTATTCATCCAATCATGATGCCGTCGGGTATTGGAAAATGAACCTGCAGATGCCCTTCAGCCGGCCCTATCGGAAACCAGCTTTGGACACACGCTATACTGCATGTACCGACATACACACACACCTGACCACGCACCCGGGACGATCAGCAATGCAATGTGGGGGAATAAACCAGCAAAACAGCCGGACGACTTCAAAACCCAAAAGCCGGTGACACTCAGATGCGATGTTGCATCAGAAAATGCCCAGGGAGCCCGTTAATGAAGTGAGGGGTAGATGTTGTAAGTCGGGTAAGTCGACGTTCCGCAGCAGCCTGGCAGGCGGATATAAAGAAGAGTCGATTCGAGCTTCACGGATGGCCAAATATCTGTCTCCCTGTGTACTGTTCTTCACTGCCTATTGTTCATGGTATTATACGGCAGAAATCATGGTTTCAACCAAGCAGCTTCTGCTTCAGCTTGCCTCTGTACTTTCAACAGCCCAGGCCGCTATAGTTCACCACCGCATTGATGACAGCAGCAACTCCTCCCCTGTCGTCGACCTGGGATATGCCAAATATCGTGGGGCCAGACTAGATGCCGGAGTCGATCAGTTCCTTGGCATGAGATTCGCCCAAGCGCCTCTCGGGCATCTCAGATTCAGGGCACCACGAGATCCAACTCCAGAAACGGGAATTCAAGATGCCTCACAGGTGAGCTTTATTATACAAATTTGATAGTATTATAAATAATTCAATTAATTTTTGACACAAAAACTTTACAAGTTCGGACCAATATGCGTAGCTGTCGGACAAACACCAGACGCCGGCCACGCAGAAGACTGCCTCTTCGTCAACGTCTTCAAACCATCAGGCGCGAACGAATGGTCCAATCTGCCCGTCTGGGTCTACATCCAAGGCGGCGGCTATTCGCAAAACTCAAACGCCAACTACAATGGCACCGAAGTCATCCAGCAGTCTGGCAATGGACTCGTCTTTGTCAACTTCAACTACCGCGTTGGCGCACTTGGGTTTCTTGCGAGCGAGCATGTCCGCAGAGACGGCGACCTCAACGCCGGGCTTTTAGATCAGAGAAAGCTCCTCCATTGGGTACAGAGGAACATCAGAAAAGTATGTATTAGTAGCATCTCACTTACAGCATACCATTCACAACTCTAGCTAACATGTACGTTTACAAATAGTTTGGCGGCAACCCCAGACACGTTGTCATCCAAGGCGCATCCGCCGGCGCCGGTTCCGTAACGCACCACCTCACAGCTTACAGCGCCAGAAAGGACAACCAGCTCTTCGTAGGAGCAATACCCGAAAGTCCATTCTGGCCAACTCTCAGAACCGTTAGCGACATGGAGTTTCAATATCAGCAGCTCCTCGCCAACGCCAATTGCTCATCCCTCGACTGTCTCCGCGGCCTAGACACACAGACATTCATCAGCGTCAGTCCCAACGCGCCATTCACAGGAGCAGCAAGCAGCAACCCCTTACCATTATGGTACTGGCTGCCCGTCATAGACGGCGACCTCATCACAGACCACCTCTACACCAACTTTGAAAGAGGCCACTTCATCCGCGTCCCAGTCCTCGTTGGCGACGACACCGATGAAGGCACTTACTTCGGCTACAACGCCGCAACCGCAGAACAAGTCCAAGTCTTCATGAAGAACAACTACCCCCTTCTCCAAGACCCCCAGCTCGAAGCCATCAGCCAGGCCTATCCCCTCGCAGCACCCATGCCCCAGCACGCAGCCTACTTCCCATCCGCAGAAGCAGCATACGGTGAATCTACATTCACTTGTCCCGGCAACACAGTCGCCGCCTCCGTAGCACGATATTTCGATCCTCGCCGCATCTGGAACTATCACTACAACGTCTTGGATCCGGATAATGTAGCCAGTGGCCTCGGAGTGCCTCACACGTTCGAGACGAGTGCCATATTTGGGCCTGGATACTCCGGTGGGGTGGCGGCGTCCTATTATACGACAAACGCGGCCATTGTCCCAGTCACCATGCATTATTTCATTAGTTTCGTGACGAAACTGAATCCTAATACGGCCAAATATGCTTCGGCGCCGAATTGGGATCCTTGGGGCCAAGGAACGGGAGAGAGAATCCGGCTGCAGACGAATAATACAGCCATGGAGCCTGTGCCTTCGGATCAGATAGCGAGATGTAATCTGTGGCAGAGTCTTCAGGGCTACACCCAGATGTAATTATAAAAACTACATATGAAGGAACGAATTGAATGACAAATATGACAGTTATAGCGTATAGATTGAAGGTCAAAAATGTAAAAAGCAATCATCCACTAGACACGATCACTCAATGTTCTTTTTAACATTCCATGATGACGATGTAGCGAGAAAAGATTTAATTTGATAATCTAAGTGATGAAACCCGCGTAAACTTGTAGCAGTAGACAATACTAAACTACAAACATCATGCTCCATAAACTTCATGCTCGATAAAACATCATAAATATACAATTCAACCGTCCAACTTCGTACTCAGCACTTAGAAAGAGCTAATGTTATTTCCGGCATCAGCGCCAGCTTCATTCTTCTCATTGGCAATTTGACTTTCCCTCATCGCAAGGACAACCGCCGTCAACTGGTCAATCTTTTGTTGCAGCTCCAAAACTTGGACTTCAACGGACGACGGCGCATCCACGTCGTCCTCTCCCCGTGTTCGGCTCGTCGGCAGCAGTCTCGCTGGTCCAGATCTGCGAGGAGAGGCAAGCGAAGGACGGCCTGTAACAGCCGCTGGGCCAATATCCGACCTTCTCCGCCGGCCTTTGGGCTCCTTGGGGCCTTTGAATCCGCGAAATTCATCGTCGTCGTCTCCTTTATACTTGAGATACTCGTAAAACTTGATGACTGCAACAATAGGTGCGTGGGTCACCTTGAGAAGCCAGATTCTACCTGCACGGTACTTGTGGTACCGCGGAAAGATGTATCGCCATGGGCGGAAGAGAATTAGAGAGAGTAGGTTGAATGGTGGGTAAAAATGAGTGAGTCGGTTGCTGGTCGACGCCTCTAGCACATAGACGCTATACACATAGAGATATTCTTCTTTGGCGTGGGTGACGACCCGAGAGAAGCTGTTGGAGAGCATACCGGTAAGTGATCCCATGAGAAGGAAAGAAGACAGAGTGATGAAAATGACCATCAAGGGAGGGCCGAAAATAGGATCAATCTGGTCCATGACCTCAAAACCAACGTAGCTGGAGCCATAAAAGATCTTGGTCAGAATTCCTGTCATCTTACTCAAGCTAAAGCTGTCTCGACCAACGAGCGAAAACGTAGTGAGGAAGCCAAGATAGACGATAATGATCAAGACCATGAACTTGATAAAGTCCTTGCCCATTTCTTTGAGGCAGGGGATCAGGGTTCCCCAATAGGGGCTTAGACTGAGGATGGAGCAGATGCGAGGAATCATGAAGAGGGCTTCCAGAGCCAACACATCAAATGCCAAGTCGTTGCAACGTGTTTCTGGCCGCATGATGCCGACAATTCCTTGACTATGGTTAGCACTGCGATATTTTTACATTTGCCCACTGTCATATGCAAGTGGAATGAATTACTCACTTAACACGGCAAAGGTAATGCCAATGAGGATCATAATCATGTCAAACAAGTTCCAGATATCGGTAGCGTAAAAAATGGCTCCAGCATCGGCCCATTCACTCAGCTCATCGTAGAAGAAGGCAGCAATCCAGAAGAACAGGGCAATCTCGGGGCCGGTGAGACGGGTTTCGTCTCGCACAATGAGAACAGAATAGTACAAGCACAGAAATACGCCAAAGAACAAGACTTCCCAGCATTTTAGATACTTGGGCACACGGAGTCGGGAATAAGGATCCGACGTGGTCGGGTTATAAAAATGGGGATGTTTGGATGAGTTGACGGACATTGTGTCCCAAAAAACAATATCACCGTTCCATATGCCGGAGATGATCTTCTGCACGACATGCTGGCTAAGAAAACGCTTGGCGTTGGCGACAGCAGCAATCTCGAGAGCGTTCAAACCTTCAAAAGCAGCGGTGGGGTCATCCTCTTCGTCATCATCGCCGTCGTCGTCCATACTGAGGTTGGTTAGGCGGGATAGGGATGAGAGAAGCTGAATCTTCTTGGACGAACTACCGACGGGTGCGCTGGGAGACGAGCCGTCAAAGGTTGCCAGCACGCGAGGGAGTAGAGGAGCTCGCTCGCCGGCTTCAGGATCATTGGCAAGCTGCTGCTGCTGCTGAGCCTTGGTCTTCTTATGGTCCGGGATCTCGAAGAGGCAGAATGTCACAGCTTCACGCTCTGAGTGGCGGGTCAGGAATCTCCAGGCTACAATCTCACAGGCGTTGGAGCGAGCTTCTCCAAGACCCTGGTTGTCACGATCCAGGGCATAATGCCATTTGAGGGCCCTAGAGAGGCGGGGGATGATGAGTCAAAAGCAGGCAAAACAAGACGCAGCTGAAACCTACAAGAGAGCATTGACAATGGCAGGGTTGGCGCAGGTATCGGTCAGATGGTTAGTCAAGAGGCGGAGACAGTCGCCAGCAGATGTCGTGCGCAGCTGGTCAAAGGTGCTGGGCAGCTCAACAGCGTCGGTAAAGTACTGGGACAGCTTCTTGACCACCAGGCGGAACGAGTCGTCGGGAGCAATGTAGGGGAGCTCGACGGCATCATAGCGGGCGGAGAAGGGACTCCCCTCGCGCACCGGCTGGGGTTTGAGCTTGACACGGATGGGCATCTCGAGCTCGAAGCTGCCAGAAGCTGGGATTGGTCAGTTTGTTGATGTCTCAACAAGGATGTCGTGCCTTGAACAGACAAGCAAACAAAGAAGCAAGCAAGCAAGCAAGCACGCAAACAATCAGCCCAGCGAGGAGAGGCAGAGGCAGAGGAGATGGAGATGAGACACGGATATAGGTAGTTATCCAAAGCCAAGAAGAGGGGACCGGATGAGGTTTGAGACGAGACGATGCAGGCATGATGCTGGTGACGGAGCCTCTGGCGTTAGCGCAGCGCAGTGGCCTGTGCGTGGCAGGTGACTGTCGATTGCTGCTGCATCTGGCGCCAGATACCTCGCTTCCCGCGCTACGGCTGGTAAACAAACACAGCAGTCGGGGCCGTGGGACTCTAACAGCGGCCAGGTATTCGCTGCTACGGGGCTGTGATCCGCCCCTAGGGGTCTCATCGCCCCCGTCGCATGCCAATGAGCAGAGCAGCCGCCGCCATGCTATTGTTTTGGCAAGACCCCTGTGGCGCCTCTTTTTTTGGGGCGCACCGATTTGGAGAAGCTGCTGCTTGATTGGGGGCATCGCTCCACAAAATCGTCATTTGGGAGAAGGATGCAGCATTAAATATTGTATTGTAGGTAGAAGGAAAGGGAGTTGTGGCCGGTTATGTACTGTAGCATCAAATGTCACGACGATCTTGAGATGGCGCTTAATGCACCAGATGGACGAGCTTATCTGTCATTGCAATTTCTCCACAGACGGATGCTTCAGATACAGACAGATTACTCCGAGACCTATCTAGCCTTGGGCTTCCAAGGCCATTATCTTTTGTCTCTGCTTAATCTTTTCACCTTTCTTTTTTCTTTTTCCAAAATTCTCCACTCTCATTCATTCACCCACCAGGCGCTGCTCATTATCATTCACATCCATGCCAAAAACTCAACTCACCAGATGCCATATCCCTCTAGATACTCCGCCCAGCGCAACAGTCATGTCGGCGCAATCTTCAATCCAATCCCACAACTCGGTGCCACCGCCAGTAGTGCGCCGTAGCACTCGCTAAGGCAACACGCGATATCTCCACTCTCTGATATTAAACATCAAAAATGCTCCATAATACATAGTGCTAATATCGCAAGAGCCCAGATCAATGCATCTCTTGTCCCCAGCTGCTAGGCTCCGTTTGGCTGCTGGGCGACGGGCCGTTTGAACAAGGGCCACCAATCGGCCGCTGCGAAAACCAGACAGAGAGGGAGACGGTTTGATTGAGGTCGACACAAAGAACAGACCAGACAATGAACCCACAGCTACGCTACAGTCCATCATGAAGCAGCCTACATTTGCCATGCAAGGAGAGAAGGCCCCATAGGCGCGGAAACAGCCACCGCCGAAACCTCAGGGCCAAGTCAGGGCCGTCCAAACGTCAATAGCCGCTGCAAGTCTACTCTATCCAAAACCGCCCTCGCCCACCTATTGTTGCGCTGCATTAGCTATACTAGTACCTATTCTCTATTTGTGCACAATAAGCCATTCGCATTCACATGCACACAGCAATCCTCCTCAGGCACAGCCATGGCATCAAGCCCAAGTGATTCCACCGGCTTTGCGCGTATTCCTATTTATATCAACCACCTTACCCACCGCGCAACGAGATTCAATCGTCCCGCCGTACCTCGATTGGCCGCATTGCACGACTAATGTATGCCAATTGGGCCTTGCAGGGGGCAATACGAACAAGGCACACACTACCGAAGACTAGGTAACAAGCAAGCAGTACTACCCGACCTCGCCATATTTCCAAACCGTTTAGTATTTTCCAGAAGAAGCTTCTCTCTGTTTTCTCTTCTCTCTCTCTTTCCGTAGCTGTTTCCAAATAATTTGCGAAATTGTCTCTTTTTTTTTTCTTCTTCTTTTTGTCCCTCTCTCTCTCTCACTCTCATTTGCGCCAAACTCCCACACCACCACCCATCAAACAACGCCCGCGAAAATGATCGTGGCTTCTCTGCCGCGATCGCCCACAGCCACAGTCCTCCTCGCTTCGTCGACGCTCCTCCAAATCGCCTCCAGCCATGCGCTGCCCCGAGAAACAAAGACCATCGCCGTGCGCGAGTTAAGCGTGGTGGCATGGCCCATCGTCGCAACCCCAGCGCCAAAGCTATCGCCAGCGCTTGCTTCATCGCCCGTCGAGCAGCTGCTACAGCGGGACTTCAACACCATCTGTGGCTGGATAGGGGGCGATCCCAACCTGCCAGCCACGTGCCTGGCGGGCTCGCACTGCGCCGCCGACACCGTAAACAAGGCAATTGGCTGCTGTCCGGACGAGGGGCCTTGCACCGAGGGAATCTTCACGGGCTGCGTCGACGTCAACAGCCCGCCGCAGACAGAGCTCAACCCTTACGTCTTCACGTGCACCGGCGCTCAGGTGTGCTACTTGAACCACTTTGACGGAGGCTTCTCTCAGTTCGGATGCGGCTCAGTCTCGCAGTTGGCGACGACGGTGGCTGCCACGGCGCTGAGCCAGCTCCCTCTGGATCTGAGCCGCGTCTCTGTGCAGCTGACAGAAACACCAACCATTCTATCCACGCCGACGACGATTGGATCTCGGACCGCAAGCAAGACCACATCCAGCCGGAAAACCAAGACGACAAGCGGATCCAGCACCTCTGAGACGGATACGTCTACGAGCACGGGCACAGGCACAGCAAGCGACTCATCTTCAACCTCCACTTCGACTTCGACCCCTTCAGCGCCGACTTCGAGCGGCAGCTCAAAAGCAGGGCCAATCGCAGGAGGCGTAGTTGGAGGTCTCGCCGGTCTTGCTCTCATCGCCGCCCTGGTTTTCTTCTTCCTGCGCAAAAGAAAGACCAGCCCTTCTCAGTACATCACGTAAGAATAAGGAAAAAAAGTCCCTTGACGTTGCTCATAGAATAAGTTTTGCTGACACTGAATGCACAAAAAAAGGCCATCAACTGAGAAATACGACGGCCCCGATTCCCGCGCCATTCCTCCCAACACGGCTCTTCTAACAGAAGAAAGGGGCTTCAACGGCTACGAATCTGAACTCGCCCCAATGCCGCAAAGGCCACCAAGACCAAGCGAACCCGCCCCCCAGCTCGGCGAGCTCGGCCTGGCCGTGCCCATCGACACCGGCTACGGCAGGCCTTCAGACGAGATCCCTCTCACGGAAACGGTGCCCAAGCCGCCACCAGAACCCATTGTGGAGGAAGATCTCCGCCCATATAACCCGCGGAGAAGAGGCGATGGCGATGGTGCCTCGTTCTGGTCGCAAACAAGATCGGAGAGTCGGTCTCGAGGTCGGCCGTGGGTTTAGAGAGGAAGCGAAGCGAACTCAGTCTTATTTGAACTCAGTCTTATTTGATACCCCCCCAAGAAAAAACGTTCCTTTTGTATAACCTGGAAGAAAAGGCGGCGGTGGCTACTTTGAATACCACTTTTATCTTAATATTTAGATCCCCGACTACTCCTCCCCCTCCGATGACATCTCAAACATCATCCCCTTTATCCAAAACGACATTCTCGAATGACATTTCACTCCCCTGGTATCTTTGTTTTTTTACAATAATTGATGCTAGCATTGGAAGGAGTATATTGGAAAGTGCCGTCTTTTTTCGTTTATTTATTTATTTTTTCTGCGTGTTACGTACACTATTGTTTTGTTCATTGAACATGGCTAGAAGAATGAGGGATTAGCACTATACATAAGTACATAGCAGAGAGGCGTTGGGAGATACAGCTGCATCACATACGTGAAAGAAGTCAACATAATATAGCATGAATATGCCGTTGCCATATCTTACAAGCTTCATTCGTCATTCAAGCAGGAAAATGCAGACATGCCAGGTATCATTACCCTTCTAAGCTCCTGGGTCTGGCCCGCCAATGGACCAAACTCTCAGTGACGATTCGTCAAAGACTTGTCTATGATGAGATTCTTCATCGCTAGCAGCATCTGCTCCTCTGCCCTCTCGCGGATACCCCCAGCCCCCAGAGCAGGTTGCTGCAACAGAGCCGCTAGAGTGCACAATCGTGCTTCCTACAGGAGATTCGTGGGCTTTCCACGTCCAAGTAGGCTCTACAACGTCGTTTCTCATACCAACTTCTTCCCACACAGCTACCGAGCCGTCCTGTGTCCCAGCCCAAACTTCGAATCCAGCCTCTCCCTGGAAAACATCAAAATGCAGCCGCTGTTGGGTGGTAGCCCTGCGGCCATTCAGCACCGCCAAGAGCTGTCCAGTGCCACGAATGTCGTAGACCAGCAGCCCATCCGCCTGGCGCTCATTCACGGCAAGATACCGCCCGCAGGGGCTCCACGCTGTCTGCACGATTCCCTGGCCTCCCAGGCTGATGTGAAACGACTTTTCATCCGCATCAGCGATCGACCAGTTCGCAACAACCCTATCAGTGCGGTGGATATCGTACGTCCCCATCCAGCGGGTCCAGGTGCCGGCCGCCAGGATGGACCCGTGGCCGCTGGCATCGGAGGGAGGTGATGCTGCCAGGGCGGCCACGGTGCCTTTCATGCCAACGCCGCTACCCTTGGAGATGTGTCGCCGGGATGGAATCGTCGGGATGGTCAAGGCTGGACCATCTGAGCAGTGGCCAGATGCGTCGAAGAGATCGATGCGGTTCGCCGAGCCACAAATGAAGTGTGTCCCGGGATATTCCCACAGCAGAGAAGCGGGGGAAATGTACTGCTCAGACTCCATGCGGATGAGCTTATAGGTGTAGAGGGGCCGACTTGCGACATCCTCAGCGGCATCAGCATCATTGTCATCGTCATCAGGCTGAGGGAACGCGTGGTACAGGTGTAGGGGGTGATCTCGGCATCCCACCAAGAAGGTCTGAGAAGCTGGGTTAGCCAGGGAGAAGTAGGGCGCACTGGCGAGGGTCTGGGTGGGTTCTGGGAGCTTGATGCTGGCTTGACGGGCCAGATGGCGAGGTTCTCCTGCAGGCTGCAGGAGGTCTGCGGGAAGAATGAAGGACGCCACGGTTTGGTCAGACGATAAGGCGAGGATGGAGGTGCCATCGGCTGTCCATTGGGCGGAAGTGTAGAAGCGCTGGGTTCGGATGCTCGGGTCGAGAGAGGCCGTATCAGGAGAGGAGGTCTCATTCTCACACTCAGGATGGCTGGAGCTTCTGTTGTCTTCGTCGTCCGTCCCGAGAGGTGAAGGGCTCTCATCCGGCACTGGTGCGATCACGCTTGTATTGGCATTGGCAAGCCGCTCAGCCAGCAGACGGATTGAGGGTGCCATCTTGTCGCGCTGCTCGTCATGACGGTCTACGACACAAGATGCCTCTGTCTCTGCTTCTGCTTCTGCTTGGGCCATGATTCCGCTGGTGCTGGCATTGCTGCCCCGGTATGCAAGGCGTGTCCGGCTCCACATTCACCGCTGCATGGTCAATGAATGGGGAGAAAAGAAGAGAGCGTCTGCTCTGATCGACTGGGATGTCGTATAAGCCTAATGCTGCACGTTGAGTTCCGGTTGAGATTGAGATCCTGGCAGCGATGCTGGATGTCTATGCAAGGGGTTGCTTTAAGATTAGCAGACGGCGAGAAAAGCATGGACGCTAAAGGAGATGGAGATGGCTCAAAAGAAAAAAAACCCCAGCGCAGGTATCTAGCGCGTACTCTGTACGAATGGGCCGTGCCTGGATCTAAACTGCCCGCCGCCAAACGACGTCATTTCGGCCGTAGCGCTCGAGACGTTGTGTACTTGGTACTAGCCGCATACCCTGATCTCCGCTGTATCGATCCAGAGCCTTATCAGCTCTCCCTGCTTTCAATGGGCAGCTATACTTGATCTCAGTGGGTCAACGAGCATTTTGAGCCGATGCATGTCTTAAATGCCAATCACCCAACGCTATGCAAATGTCCTACAGCAGTAGAAGTAGGTAGTTCAACAGTGCTAATGTGTGTGTTTGCGCCTCCTGGGCTTCGGATACGGGGTACATTAGCTTCGGGGCTTTCAGAGGGCGGAAAAGCTGCCCAGTGGCTCCGGCGCGGTGCCAATCAGCTGCGTAGGGTCGCACTGCAGATTGCCCTGGTCGGTCGAGCGAAGCTGGCGTGATGATGATGATGGCAGCGCCAGCACTTTGGGACGCTGCACACATATGTCTGCTGCTACCACCTCCTGTTACGGGCAACAGATGCATGGATGAGACAAATGCCTCTTGGGCAGAGTTACAGCGCGTGCCGTTGCGGGCTGAGGACTCGCCTGAAGAACCGCCCGCAGGCAATGTTCAGTCCAGGTACATGTGATGTCGGATATCGATGGCGGCGTTGCGTGCGCGGGCCCAGCGAGTTCCGGGCTTGTTGCAGGTACTACCTACATGGCAGCGATGCCTGGGTGCTGATGCGTGCCCAATCAATGTTAAATGATGCTCAATCGTTGCATGTGATATGCACCGAATCAATCAATCTCTCCAGCGCTGCCTTACACCAGCAGCAGCCACTGCTAGCGGGCGCCATCGTCGCCTCGGGGTGCTGCTAGCGCTGCCCAAAGCACCAAGTACCCGCGCCGTACCCCGTACTCGCTAGCGCTGTGCCGCGACGTGCCGCAATGCCTCTTCAGCCTAGCCCCGGCCCAGGTCTCCAGTACCTACGGAGCTCATCCATGCTCTGACTCTCCCATCTTCTCGGTGACAACCTGAGAAGCGGCCTCGCCTCTGCCTCGCTCGCCGCTCACTTTTGCCTGACCCTGAGCGCATCTCGACCCCCCGACTGCAGCCCGTGGCCACCGCCGTCTATTTATCGGCCCCTGCGTTGCCGACGACCATGAGTGCCGCATAGCGCCGACTTCCAGCCATATCGTTGCGGCCCTCTGCCTGACCCAAAGACTGCCCGACTGCCACCAACATCGACGCCGTGGGAGGTTCGAGATCCAGCTCTGCCTCGTCTCCCTTGCCAGCTCCCCCTTTCCAGCCTTACGCGACTCCACGGCGACCGACTCCCAGCCGAAGCGAAGAACAATCTCGTGGCCTTCTGCATCAACGCGGCAAACAAACATCATGGAGGCCTCTCCCTTGGCAATGGCCACGGCCTCCACCTGCGACAGCCTCAAGACGCCCTCCTATGTCGAGCTGACTGTTTCCATGTGAGCTGCCCCCCGCGATGGCTTCTCTCGGGCCCTGATTCTGACAATCCGCCGCAGCATCATTCTCATCGGCCTCCTGATCTCCTACCTCCCTCAACACTATCGCATCATTTCTCGCCGAACATCCGAAGGCATATCTCCCTACTTCGTTCTGCTGGGCACCACGTCTGCCACTGCTGGCTTCGCCAACATCCTGACCGTGGCACCCTCTCGCAACGCCATTGGCTGCTGCAGAGAGTTGGAGACGTTTGAATGTGCTGCGGGCCTGCTTGGCGTTGCCCAGCTCGGAACACAGTGGTTGTGCTTCTCTGCCATGTGAGTCACCATCCTTTATCCCATCCTTTGTCCCACGTCTCTTCTTCCGAATTCCCTCGCTAACTTCTTGTTTCCCTTGCTATAGCCTTATCCTATTCCTCGTCTTCTTTCGCTATCGCGAAGCCAATGTGCCTCAGGATGAGCTTGGTGGAGAGAGTCCCAGATGGCAAACGGCTCTCGCTGTGGGGGGCCTGTGCATCCTTCACGGATTGGTTGTGATTGCACTGACGGGCGTGTTTGCCATTGCCCTGCCTAACAAGCTTAACATCTGGGCCAATTTCCTCGGCGTCATGGCCGCAGCTCTAGCTGCCGTCCAATACATTCCTCAGATATGGATGACCTACCACCTAAAGCACGTCGGCAGCTTGAGCATTCCCATGATGTGTATCCAAACGCCGGGAGGCTTTCTATTTGCTGCCAGCCTTTTCGCAAGACTCGGGATGGAGGGATGGAGCACATGGGCCATATACCTCCTGACTGCAGTTATGCAAGGCAGTGTACTTGCCATGGGTATCTACTACGAAATTGCGAGACGCAACGAAGAATACGCGCATAGCTATACCAGCAGTGCGCCTCAGTCTCCCATCGAGCACCACTCTACGCCGCAGCGTCCATACGCTCCTCGCACCTACTCCGAGGGCTGGGAGCGCGGCCTACCAGGCCCTTTTACAGGCCACCCAGAACGGTACGCCGAAACCGAGGAAGACTTGGACGACATGGAAGAAAGAGAGGAACGAGCGATTGCCAGAGAGAACCAGCCGCTGCTCAGGCCGGGCGGCATTGGCAACCCGCACAGGAACTACGACTCGACTTCGCGTCATTAACGCCTCAGCATTTTAGCGGGGAATGCATCTTGGAAGATGCGATAACAACAAGCTTACTTTTTTCATTTATGTTTTAGCAAACAATTTTTTTATTTTATTTTTTTTTTCTTTGTGCCATTATTATCGAGATAGAAAGTCTTAAGTTACGAAGGGAACGTTATGTGCCGCCGCCAAGATTTGACATTGAAGCCACTAAGGGTGTTCCTTTCTTTTTATTAAATATGTGTAAGAATACGTGGTATATAATAGGTATGGCATGGTCTATCTAGTTTGGAAGAAATTGACAGCATTAATCGACTTGACATTGTAAATTGTGATGATTTTTGCCAACGACGGTGGGTAGAGTGCCAAACTCGATTACTACCTACTAGGTATCTAGGCAGTGTCAACTCACCGTCAATGTCGCTCCATGGCTCACGAAACGAGTTTTTGAATGCACACTCATTTCTTGACAATAAATGACCCAATAATTGACATATCCATCATGCTTAACATAAAAGGTCCAATATTTACGCCGCCAAAGCAACGAAGATATCATATGTTAACTTACCCTCGGCCACTTTTCATTCCTTTTTAATCTTTGTAGAAACTCAATTACAAACAGCCAAAATGAAGCTTTACCTGCTTATTACCTTTTCTATTCGTTATCATCTCGCTTGCAGTTGGTGAACTTGAATTACCAGGTATACACCAGTGACGGGGGAGGCATACAGCCCAAAAACAAACGACAATAACAGGTATCAATGGCAGTGTCAACCCGTGAAGCAAGTCAGGGCGGCTATGCGGCAACCTGCACAACTGGCAAATATGTAAGATTTATTCCTTATAACCTCACTAGGTACCTTTGAGTTGAGAGATTTACAGAGTAATCGTAGACACAACCGCATGACCTTGAAGCCAGAGTATCAACTGCATATAGGAAGAGGCAACATCAAATATATTCTTACAATGGTATATATACAAGACTCTCTAGCAACTGAGTTCCTTGGTTTATTAACAATATTAACAACCTGATACTACACTCAATGCGATAATATCATTTCCTGCTCTTGTCCAGCGATGTCCTTATGCTCCTAATGGGGGGACTTAGCACCATAGACGGAATCTTTTTCTTCTCCCCCTTCTTCCATTTCAACCTCTGCTGCCCATTGGTATATCTGGGCGCCGTTGTCTTCTTCATATATACCTTCGCTAGCTTCAATACTGAAGCCACCATCATCAACATCACTCTCGTCATCAAGTTCTTCTTCTTCTTCTTCTTCTTCTTCTTCTTCTTCTTCTTCGGCTGCGCCACAAATGGCAACAACACGAAGGAGATCCCACGAGAGCTGGAGAAGATTAAAATTTGGTACATGCTCCGGGTTATTTGCTTTCAATGCGAAAGTTTGGCCAGTTTCTAAGAGCAGGCCGCTTGCACGATGCGCGCGCATGTTTCCCCATGTATTGCTCTCAAGGCCGGCTGTAATTACGACTTCACGTAAAAAAGCCTTGTCTAGATCTTGTGACGGCTTCAACTGGCCAGTCTTCAACCAATGGAATTGGACTACAATTGATCCATCATCCAGTTTGCGCAATGGTTTGAATGCCAGTTTAGCACTATCAAACCACCAGTGCAGTTGGTGGTTAAGGGACAGAAGATTTTGTGGTGATTCAGTTATACCTCGGTCTTGAGCCAACATCGATAGTTGATCAGCTACATTGTCGCCCCAAAACATTCTCAACAAGTCTAAAAGAAGTTTTGAGGTCTGCGGATTCTTTGTTGCCGCAAAAGGGAAAATATGTGCAGCTTCAGGATTGTCGTACTTTGTAAATAGACACCTATAACCATCTCGTTTCTTGCACTACGTTTGTTAGATAGACATTGAACAGTTGGTGATTCGGACCTACCAGCTGAGCAGCAATGGGATTCCGACTTGACGACGAAACACCGAGACTTGGTGATTGGGGTACTGGTAGCGGTGGAGATGCATCTGTCGAGACACGTGTGGGCAGAGGCGTTGTTGGCGGCGGAGACGTTCTGGGTTGAACAGGGGTTAGAGGTTGAATTGGCGTGTTTGGATACGATAAAGATCTTCCATGCGTTACGCGCTGTCGCTTTGCAGGACTGGCATGTGTTGACGACGATTTAGAGCTGTTCTTGGCTGAACTCGGCTGCGATGTTGATCGACGTCCTCCCTTATTTACATCTGCAGGCGAGGCCATTAGTAGAGGGAAATTAATAGAATGGATACCCAAACATACATCCAAATATACTTGGCAATACCGTTGCCGCGCAATCAGCAAAGAATTTACGCACGGGGTCCAAGTCGTCGTTCCGAATGTACTCTCTTAATAGACGTATCCTAGATCGAAGCACATCCAGGGGAGCGACCATGAAGACTGCCGCGAATGCCATGTCTATTTTGTAAGGTGATTGAGCTTTCTGTATAAGGTCCCGGATATCCATGTAGATTCGGTGTCTAGCTTCTAGATCAGTAATATAATCTAGGACCGGCTCGTCAGGCAGTTCATCAAAAGCGATAGCGTCGAAAGCCAAAGGCTGTTTCCTAGATATAGTGAGAAGCCTCCCAAACATCGCACCATTAATGCTTTCACCCCATCTGCTTAATTCTTGTCGTTGATCATCGTCTAGGCTTGAAATAAGGCGAAGCATAGCCTCCTCGGACACTGTAGGTTGGGCCATGATAGTTCTGTATAAACTGGTTAAAGAAGGGGGAATCGGCTGGAGAGAAGATGGCCAGAGGGAGACGAGGAAAAAGAAATGGTTGGGGAAATCGGTATTACGATTGTCTGGTAAGAGGGTTTCAGGCTAGACAGGTGGGCTAGAAGAGTGGGCGTGTCAATATCCACATGAATAAAGGCAAAAAGGAGAAATTTAAGCTTGCGAAGAGTTAAAGCTAGAAAAGCTAAATATGTACAAGAAAAAGGAAAGGAAAGGAAAGGAAAGGAAAGGAAAAGAAAAGAAGAACGCGACGCGTCACGTGTAACGAAACATTGCGTTTACGTATTGTCATCTGGCAATGGCCATGCCAGCTGTCAACCAGGAATTTCGGTGGGAACATGTTATTGATCGAGATTATGCACCAGGCCACTGTTGGTAATCATCGGTAAATCTTCGTCAAGCGTTTCATCATATTGCCCGTCCGCTCGCAACTGAAATATAATTCTCGTCTATTCGTAACTGAGAATAAACGAAGCCCATTTCGCAAACTTGGCGAGAAATATCATTGACCTCCTTATCGGTTGGGGGCTCCTTTCCCCGAGCATTCAAGGCCGCGACAGTCCAAACGATTAGCATACGATTTGCATCACTTAGCAAAGGTGCTGAGTCTCGGGCTGGTTTGGCCAGCTAGACATTGGTTACCACCAAGACTTCCGCGAGCCTCACGGCAGCAGTCGAAGATGGAGGCCGCCTCGATGCCCTCGACGGAGGCAAAGAGGGCAGTGATGGCCATGATAGAGGTCGAGAACTTCATTTTGTCTCGATATATAGCTTGATATGGAGAAGTGTTTATGGCGGGATAGATTTTGGATCTCGGTAGAAATGTGGCTTTCTGTTGATAAGGATACTGAACACTTCTTCGGGAACGATGTCTCCTTTAGAATTATTCTATGATTTTGTTGCCTTAATTTTTGAGATACATCATCACTGCATTTCCAAGAAATGGAGTTGGATGTCAATTGTGGCTGAGAGTTCTGTTCTTCTCCAGTCGACCTTGACTATAATATAGGGGGGTGAGATGCTCCACATTTCTCAGCCGCATTGCCTTTACTGTCTACAACTGCTGCGAGTGAGACTACATAGACTTGTCCGTACTCCCACTTCAGGTTTGTTTATACTGCAGATGAGTCCGTTGATAGGGTGGAAACAACGTGCTCAAAGCGCGGTGAGCACGCCTCTATCTTCAACGGGATTGATGCTGTCTTGTTTGTAGACACCATGCTTACCACCACTTTATCCATAACGAAAAGATTGATTTAATATCAACTCAAAGGAATGTTCAAGTCCCTATCGTTTACGAAAAATCACCGACAGATTATGCAATTTTATATTTAACAGTTTGGATACAGCGAAGAATAGCCTGGGTGTACCCAAGCTTTATACTAGCAGGCTACGAACTCTCCCTGGCATATAGTGCCAAATTTAGATGAGCAAGGTCGTAGCACCGTACTATGACACTTTCACATGTAATTCGCCTCCCGTCGGGAACTTTGAAAAAAGACACGCGATGAGTGGACCGGTGATCCAGCCAAGCTACGGTGTCGGGAGAGAGACCAGCATCAAGCATCTCCGAAGGAAGCCCTGTAAATCGCTCTAGAAGAAGAAACCATGCAACGCCAGGTGGACTGCTTTACCAACATCCAATTGGCATTGTCCCGCAGCAGTTGGATGCAACCTCTTCTGGTGGGAGGTGTCCACATCACGGACCGGATCATCGCCAACAACCAACACAAGCAAAGCTATCAGCAATAGTTTATACGAACTCACCACCAACAATGTTCATACAGGTTGGCCGAATTTTTATCGCGTAACGGATGGAATTTGATGCCATAGCCAAAAGAGATAAGTGGAGGCATAGATCCAGAAGAACGAAGTAGCTCAGCAGGTTGGTGCCTACAGCCATCTACAGACTGCGCATTTGGCAATTAAGGAGCAGCTCTGTCACTTCTCCTCCACCGCTGCTTGTTAATCTGCCTCCTGAGATGGAGTGTCTAACGTGAAATCAAATGGCAATCCAGGCCTATTGGGTGCATCAAAGTCATCATCACTACGATCTTCCCAACTTCCCTGTATCACTATAAAATACGCCAACAACATCTTAACCAGCCATTTGACCATCCCAAATATTTCCTCATGGGGCACACCGGACCATGTGGCGAGCTCAAATCGATTGTTTCGACCACCCTGATTGCTTGATGGGTTATATTGCAGGAAGTGTCCTCGCCGCCAGTGCAGCCGAATACTGGACCTCGTCGAGATCTGTACAGGCAGAATCCGATGCTTTGAGCTGGGTCATACTTTTGCTTCTATTCAAGTGTATCAGACGACCTAGAGCTAGAGCCAAGAGTCCAGATTTTCCGTTTCAACATGAAGTCAAGTCCAGAACGGGTTCTTGCTGGATTGTCGGTGTGGCTATAGCTGTAGCATCTGTTTGCTCTGCTGAGAAAAACACTCCTGGTTTCTTAAAAGTGAGACTGTTTTATACTCCGTTATACTTCTAAATCTATGCTGACCGATGGTAGCCCGCATTGATACCACTATTACTTCTGATCGAGGGGCAGCTAGATCTCCAATGCCGGCGTTTAAAGACAGGACAGTCGGGTGGATGGGCAAGTTTAGCGATCACCACCTGGGGTTCTGTGGCGATTTCCTTGTTTGGAGTTTGTTCGTTGGCCTGTTGGCAGTTACCGAGCTTGTCTGCTTCAGTGTTGTCCTCCATTGAGCTCATGGCTCTTGTCATTATCTATGGGACTTTGCTACCAAAGTCGGCAGCAGTATGCTCTGTCACACCCTTTGTCGATATAGAGGCCGACATTTCATCTCTTACTCCGCGGATCACCAGCTCTTTGCTAATTGCACTGGTCATCCAGCGTGTGCTTCTCGGGTTTGTGCCGTTTGATCTTGGCGCGACACTGCTTGGTGGTGTCGTCAAAGCTGTTACCTGGCTTCTTGCTGTTGAAACGGTTCATCACGTCTTTGCCCCTGATTCTCGAATTCGTTCTGACATCTTTAGGCTCATCATTTTTCATGAGTCGCTGTCGCGGTCATTAAGATTTTGGCCATTTTTGCTACACGCAACCCATTCGTAGAATCTTTTGAATCACAAGCATTGGCTAACATCGTCGGCTCTGGCCTAATGCTGGGACAACTCGTGGCGTTAACCATGAAAGTATCCAACCTCAGATTTCTGTGGCTATTTTTGGCTATTCCTGTTGTTTCTTACCTGGCAAATATACTTGCTATCCGAACTGCCCATTTAAGAGCGGTGACATTCGCCAATTCACATGAGCATCCCGTTGAGACCATTATTAGGCGAGCAAACACTGACTTTAACAATTTACTACTTCGCCAATCCCAATCTTACACTGACGCTTGCGACGAATACCGTCGTCGATATAATTATGAGCCGCCGCCTGGCTTTGAAGAGTGGTTCAACTATGCCAAATCCCACAACTCAAAAATCATTGATGACTTTGATGTTATTTATGAATCTATTATGCCGCTGTGGAATTACACGGGTAAACAAATTAATCAGGCCATAAAGGATGTGCAACTCTACTCAGGAAACGAACTCTGGAAATGTAGATTCTCTGGTCAGACGAGTTCTACGAAGTGCGTCCACAATTGGCGCAGTAATGACAGGCATGTGAGCAAGTTGTTTAACCAACTCATGGGTGATGTCTCAGGCCTGCCGGACGTGGACTTTTTGGTCAACCACTTGGATGAACCAAGAGTCATATTCCCCAGAAATCATGAACAATCTAACCACGTATCAGGCATCAAATTGAAAAGCCTCTCGCGAACTCCGACGTGGAGTTCCCTTACACAACACTGCGACCCAGTTGGGGTTCAAAGTGCCACCAACACCACACCTCCAATCAACTCATTCGGTCTGCCATTCATTCAAGATGGACGTTCCTCTAAGGATATCTGCAAACACCCTAGCTACCGACAAATGCACGGTTTATTAATGAGCCCAACTTCATTTCAGCTGCTCGAGGGCATAGTTCCAATACTATCCACTGGGTCCTTGTCCACCATGGGCGACATTTTGTTTCCAAGCCCAGCATACATTGAGTCAGAGTTCATCTACAACGAAACACTTGACATTGACTGGTCTCAAAAACGGAACAACGTTTACTAGGCTGGCTCTACATCTGGGGCATATGCTACAGACTCGCAGTGGAAGAATTATCACAGGCACCGATTCGTAAGCCTGGCTCAGATGTTGGATAAGAAAGAGTATACATATCTCGCCGACAAGGGTGGTGTTGTACAGCGGGTAGCATCTTCCTTTCTCAATGGCAGGCTATTTGATGTTGCCTTTACAAGAGTCTATCAATGCGCAACAGTAGCGTATCGAGAGCAGTCCTTTCTCTATCGCATAAAGGCCTGGGCGGATAAGGACGCAGCATTTCATTCGAGGTTAGCGTTTGACCTCGACGGCAACGGCATCAGTGGTCGATGGTACAAAATGGTGGCTTCCAACTCAGCACCATTGAAGCAAACTATTCTTCGTGAGTGGCATGACGATCGCCTCTTGCCGTGGGTGCATTTTATTCCAGTCAGCCTTGGCATGGAGGAGCTACCCGAGTTAGTCATGTATTTGACCTCGACGAAAAAGGGTCAGCAGACGGCCAAGGAGATTGCAGATCGCGGTAGGAAGTGGTTCTCTGAATCCTTGAGGGACGTGGATATGGGTGTGTATGTATATCGCCTGCTATTGGAGTTGGCGAGATTGCAGGACCCTGAGCGGATAGTGTCCTCAAAATCAAGCACTTGATTCAATATATATGAAGCTGTATTGAATAAAAGCATCATGATTTCTTATGTGTGCATTCTATCTATAGTAGAAATAGTAGAAGTAGTAGAAGTAGTAGAAGTAGTAGAAGTAGTAGAAGTAGTAGAAGTAGTAGAAGTAGTAGAAGTAGTAGAAGTAGTAGAAGTAGTAGAAGCTGTTGGTTTGGGTGAGTGTGAAAAAATTTATGCAGGCGTGCCATCTGCTATGGGTGGTATAGTTTGAACTTTTGATTGAATTGACATTTTAAAACAGAAATCTAAATGGTCATTAAATTGTAACAAGACTGTAACTCGTGATATACGTCTAAAAATCCGTCACACGCACGGTATCTTTCTTATCATGCCCCTTGACTGCCGTATCCCTCTCTTCATCATAACTTTGCTGACTACCCGTATCGTACTCAGGTTGAGCATCGTCAAGATGATCACCAACCTCCATCCACCGATCGCTAGTAGCAGGAATGGGAGATATCTTGCAGAACAGCCAATATGTGGCCAGCGAAACGATAAACCCGCAGAAAAAATTGAGATTGTAAATGTACGTGGCGCCAATGGGTACTTTGGTGCCAACCGCTCCGGCAAAACCAACAACATTGATCACGATTCCGCTAATGTATGCAGCATAAGCTCGCCAGTGAATTCCCCACGTGTAAAAGTAAGGCCCATTTCTGCGACCATCATATAGCTCCTTGGTATCCAAGTAACCCCTCCGCACAAGGTAATAATCAGAAACAATGACGCCAGCGATAGAGGAGAGGAAGACGCTGTAAGCGGAAAGGTAGGTTGTGAATTGGTTGGAGCTGCTGAGCAGGTTGTACGGGCACATTGCCAAACCAACAATGGCGCAAATATATGATCCTCGGCGGATGTTGATGTAGCGTGGGAGTAGTGCTGTCATATCGGTTCCCGCAGAGACGGAGTTGGCGGCAATGTTAGTGCCTAGCTGAGCCAAGGCAAATGCCAAGGCGATTATAAAGACGCCGAATCTCTGGCCAGAGCTACCATCATCGATAAATCTTCCAAGGAGATCCAGAGGGCTCCAGATTGGTTCGTTATAGATGATGGTTGATGACGAAGAAACGATGATGCCGATAAAGGAAGTAATGGCGAAGCCCAGTGGAATCGTAAAGAGCTGAGACCAAAGAGCATCTCTGGGCTTACGTGCAAAACGAGTGAAGTCACTATCGTTGACAACAAGAGTTGCAAAGTTGGCAATGGAAGACATGACGCCGTTGACAAACTGCCATCCAAGCTTGCTCCCATGAAGAGTGCTAGGCTGTCTAATGAAGGGGCCGACACCACCAGCCCGCACACAGGCCCAAATCAGGAACGAGATACCGGCAGCGGGCACAAAATAGGCTTTGACGGTGAACAAATGTCGAACCTTGTGCACGGGGAACCACAAGGCTGGCAAGGAGCACAGCCAAAAGATGACGAAAGAAACATACTCTGGTGTGTTGGTGGCGCTGGTGCCAAAATTTCCCGGCATTTTGGAGCTGTCCCAAGATTTCCATATCGAGCGGATCATAAGATAGACGCAGGTGCCGCCAATGTAAGATTGAACTCCATACCAAATGCATGCTGAACGGAATTGTGTTAGCAAGCGATATGATAAGCGACACATGAATGCCCTTCATCGTATGAAAATAAATCAAAGTTCGCCAGGTTGATCATCGTATTCACTTACCCATGGCAGCGCGATTAAAGACCGGCCATAGACTCCCCCAGATTCCAAAAGATGCACGACCAATGACTGGAAAACCAATATGGTACGTGGCTCCAATTCGTCCAGTCGTTACAATGAAGCAGGCAGATATAGAGTAGCCTAACCAGACGCATATCCACGCCTGCCACCATGACAGACCGGCGATGATCATGGAGGATGAAATCATCCATGTGTTGATGTTGAAGGAGTCTGCAATCCAAAACGCAACAAAATTCCACGGACCCCACTGCCGACGCTCTTTCTCAACGGGTTTCAGGTCATAATTGACAAGCTAGGAAGAGTGTCAGCACCGCGTCTTCGCTCGTCTCATCCTATCTCGCCTAATCTGGCGGTCTCGATTTCGTTGTACTCCCAGGGAAATTCCTGAGAAATACAACAGGACATGACGGGTGATGCGATATCACGACAAGTCAAGCAAAGGGGAGTTTAGGTATGAGACGAAGAGAAAGGAAAAAAGCAAGGACCGCACCATCAGCTGCGTGGTCGAAAGGCCCGGCTCGGCCTCAACAGCCAGCTTATCCGCCAGGGATCTGAATCTCTGTCGCAACGACATGGTGATGAGCCACTCAAGAAGATGGAGAATGCAATTGCGAAGTCGAGAGCATAGAGAGTCGGTATCCTCTTTTCAATAACAATAAAAAGAACGGTCGCAACAAGTGGCAGCAGCCAATGGAATGGCCGACGCACCAATGACGTGAGAGCCCAGGGTTTTTCTAGTTGATCTCGAGGATGGAGGGGCCGGTGATCCACCACTGTTGCGAGGATGAGCACGCGAGCCGGGTTCCTATTGACTGCCAATATGCGCCCGTGCTCCTTCGATAGCTCAACCGTGTATGTGCAAGAGCTGGACTGCTAGAGCCGGTGTTTGTGCTTGGGTGATCGGCGCAGTAATCGTCAGAGGCTTGAACTCTGGACAGCGGGTGGCGCAGAAAACGGGAGAGGCCAGAGGCTTTATCTACCAGATTTCCTCTTCCGGGCTGGGCGACGTTGCTCCGCAGATAGAACGAGATGCTGAGATGCGATAAAAAAGCGGAGTGCGAGACCAGGCTCTGTCGAAACTGCTGATATTGATGGCTGTTGGCCCTTGGAGGTTTTTGCCGCTATCAGCGGACAGCGCCCTCTCTCCCACCACATGTCGCTGCAAGTGGGCAAGCAGAGGCCATGGCTCGGCAATTCTAGTACCAAAACGAAGTAGTGCTGCAGTTAATAAAGTCGTTCATTGTCTTGAACGACGCAGGCCGGGGCTCTCGAAGATGCCCTGCTTGTCCCCCCCATTGGGCGGTGGTGATACGCAGCGACAAGCGACGATAACTAAACAGCACAGGGTGATCTGAGTGGCAGATAGCGGGTGGAGCCAGAAAATTGCCGGGCCTTGGAGTGTGGAGGGACCCGCCATCCCGCAGAGCCAGCGGCGATGGGTTTCAATTACCCCATCTCATCGAGTCAGCAGAAATGGGAGTCAAAATGCTGGTGCCTGGGGCCGATAGACCGTTGATCGAGCCGCTATCGCTATCACCACCACCGCTATCTGCTATCTCTGGACGCGATACGACGGCAGATAGGCGGGAGATAAGTAGCCGGTACACACGTAAGGTAAGGCACATACATATAGATAGCGGAAAGATACGCGGAATTGAGAGATGATGCTCTGGAAGAGATAGCCGTCCATCGGATGTTCTTTTTCCCTTGTTTGTAAAACAATGGTGTTAAACAGTAATAAGCTTGTTTTAAAAGAGCCAACTCAGTTTGTTTTTCAGATTATGGAAGAGGGGAAATGCCACGCAAGAGGGAGTCGATGCAAGGGAGAATCTGGCACAAAGCAGCCACCGGCGAGATCCGGTCTGCACGCGTTTGTTAGGCCCTGCAGCATTCATCTGTCATTGGGCTCGCAGGAGTGAGATGCTCTAGATGCGGCACTGATTCTAGAAGGCCGAAGGAATAGTGTGAGTAGATGTATATACATGTATTCTAATGGGTAAGGCGACCAATGGGATAGACTCAAAGATGCATAGAAGTGTAAATTTCTTATTAAGCTGACGGGGGATGCCCCTAGTTTCGTTTAGAGAATACAACATTGTTTATAGTGATGTCGTTGAATATTCTTCTTTCACAGAAAATGCAAGACGCCTCGTCGCCTCGGACATCATGGAGGATATGCACCAGCCAAGAATCGCGAGCTTCTTTGGATGGTAATGCGTTCCACACCACCGCATTCGTCGGGTTCTCCTTGAACCAATCCAGTAACCGAATCACAAACTCCATGCCGCGTTCCTCAGTCAGCGAAAAGGAACTTTGAAGGCCATTTCAAAGTCATCTGCACCCTCATCTTGCTGTGTGATAATGTGCTGGCGGGGCTGCGAAAGGGTAGCTGTTATTGCCCGACTGAGTTCAGCAACCGCCATCGCGTTCTTCTGTTGTTCCAGTCTCTTCACTGCTCGTATCTTTGCCCACCTCTTAGAAGCAGCAATAAATCTCTATGGTAGGTATACAGGGTATAATATTTTGCATGTAGAAAAGAAAAACTTGGATAATGTTGAAAGTGTTGTTCACGAAAGTGGTGGCATTGTTACGCAGCAGATGTTGCTTCGCGTTGCGCAAGCGAGAATTTCTTGTTGATTTTGTAGACATTGAAGCTGATTGCAAAATAGCCTGCTCAACGCTGGCCAGCAAATAGACGAGTTGAGTCAAGCTTCTTGGGACAGTGATGATGGATCTCCGTATGGAGTACCTACCTCTCTGGCATTTCGCATCAATACTAACACGAGGTACTAGAGTATTTAATACTGTCGCTACCTCCTATCAGAGGCAACGTTAAAAAAAATAAAAAATAAATTACATTCCCTTCAATAGCAATCTAAATACATTCGTCTTCAAGATTCATTTATATCGATCTTGAACAATAGAGCCGGGGCTTACCCTGGAACAAGCAGTTTGACCAAGCTGGCCAAGTACCGTGGTTACTCAAGCATGTCCCCATCCACGTATTTGACCAGCTGAGATACCCGAGTTCACCTGAAAATACACGTGCTTATCGAGAGAGCTGCGTCTTATCGCTTCTTGGCACCGGGCAGCCAACCACAGGCGCGCTGCCAGTCACCCCCCCACCTTTTTCTTTTTATCCCCCACCATCAATCTCCCCTCCTAAACACCAATTTTGGCACGAACCATCGTTCATTCGCAGGGCCCGCGTTTGGAATAATACAACAAAGCAAGCGAAAAAAGAGGCTGAAAAAAAAAGAGGCCTACCGGACGACGCACCCAACGCCCTATCCGCGCCAGAATTGTTCGTCCTAACCATCGCCGACGCCCAACATGGAGGATCAACTGGCGCAGCTTCTGGCCAACGCTCAGCTTCCCGAACAAGCACCCCGCCAAGCTGCTGAAATCGAGATCAAGCGAGCCCGGACGAATCCTGCTTTCCCCATATCGCTTGCTCGCATCGCCGCTCACTCATCCATCGACACGAGCATTCGGCAGTCTGCTCTTAGCACACTGCGATTGTTTATCGAGAAGAATTGGGCTGTCGAGGAACTGGACGATGAGCCCCAGATCCCCATCTCTGATGAAGCCAGAGAGATCCTAAAGCAGACCTTGTTGGAGGTGGCTTTGAGCCCTGAGGAGGACAGAAAAGTCAAGATCGCAGCCAGGTAAGATTTTGGTAGTCGCTTCGAATTCTGCCTCGATTTAAAGGCTATCGAAACCTGCACCGACACTTTATGCGGGTTTAAGAACTGGCAAGCTAAGACGGCTTCCCCATACTCTAGTTATGCTGTTGGCAAGGTTGCCATCCACGACTTTCCCGAGCAATGGCCCGCACTGCTGCCCACCATCCTCGGCGTTATCCCGACTGGCAACGATGCTCAGCTCCACGGAGCCTTGAGGGTGCTTAGCGACTTGGTCGATGAAAGCTTGAGTGAGGATCAATTCTTCTCCATGGCCCAAGATATTGCCAAAGGCCTTACCGAGGTGGCCCTCAACGAGAACCGAAAGCCGATGCTGCGCGCGCTTGCCATTTCAGTCTTCCGAGGATGCTTCGACCTGATGAACATGGTCAAGGACGAAAACAAGGAGGTCAAGACTTTTGCAGAAGAGCTCTTGACGCAGTGGAACCCTTTCTTTATTGCTGTGCTCAAAGGCCGCCTGCCAGAAGGCGACTCTAGCTCTGGCGCCCAGCCCGAGGCCTGGAACAGCATTATTGCTCTCAAGCTGCAAGTAGTCAAGACTCTCCTCCGAATTCGCAGAGTCTTCCCCAACCTCCTCCTTCCCCAGAGCACCATCTTCTTTACCGCGGTGTGGGAAGAGCTTAGCATTATGCAAGCCGCCTACGAGCAGCTCTATATCATTGACGAAGTGCAGTCTCGCCTGGAAGACTCAGACAACCTTCCCTATACCCTCGACCTTCTCATCCTGGAGGAGCTTGACTTCCTGAACCAGTGCTTCCGCGCGCCCCCTGTCCAGGCCGAGCTCGACAGCCATCTGCAGGCCCACGCGTCCGGCCACGAAGTCCCCTGGATGATGGACCTTATGAAGATGCTTGTTGGTTATTCTCGAGTGACCCGCGAGGAGCAGGAACTCTGGGACTTTGACTGCTCTTTATACTTGGCAGAGGAGACCTCAGTCACGGCCAACTACACTGCTCGCACTGCTGCTGGCGACCTTCTCATTAAGCTGGGCGAGTGGTTCAATGAGAAGACGGTTGATGGTCTGTTTGGATACACCAAGACCCTCTTCCCAGGTGAAAGCCCCTCCGCATGGAGAAGCCAGGAGGCGGCGCTGTACTTGTTCGTCATGCTTGTCAGCGACTTTGAGGATTTGAGCAAGCCTCTCCCTGACGTGGTTGCCAACGCTTACCTGGAGCTCGTCGACTTTTCCATCAACCAGTCCGAGCAGCCGCTGTTGCGCGCTCGAGGATACCTGGTGGGTGGCATCATTGGCCGCTCGCACCAGACCCCGCCAAACCTGGTTGATCGCATTGTGCACTCCATCACAACTGAAGAGTCAGAGGTTGTGCAAGTCGCGTGCATCAAGGCTATTGAAGGCTTGATCAGCTCGGGGCGTGTGGCCGTTGACCGTCAGACGCCCATTATCGCCTCCATCCAGGCGTACATGAACGGCAAGGACCCCGAGGAAATGGAAGCGGCTGACGAGCTCCTCGTCACCCTGACAGAGGCCCTCAGGGCTGCCATCGGCATGGATAGCCACATTGCCATCTCTAGCGACATTCCGTCCGTGGACCTCCTTTTCCTGTTGGCGAAGCTGGGAGCTAGCAACTTCCAAGTCACAATGCTGGTTACAGAAGCATTTGAGGATATCGTCGGTAGTCTCTCAGACGCCTCTTCATATGCCGCCTTGTGCGCTCGCATTCTGCCAACACTGACTGGTGCATTCGATGTGGCCAACCTCACAGAGGACAACCCTCTTGTCACGGTCGCAACAGAGCTGCTGGTCGTTTTGACAGAGCATGCCTCAGAGCCTCTCCCAGAGGGCTTCGTGGCTGCTGTACTCCCCAAGCTTAACCGTCTGCTTATGGAATCGACCGAGGGTGATGTCCTGCGGCCCGGATCTGAGGCAGTCAAGTGGATTCTGGTGCACGACCACCAGCAGGTCTTGAACTGGCACGACTCCAACGGACGATCTGGCTTGGAAGTCTGCCTGCACATTATTGATCGACTCTTGGGTCCTTCCATTGAAGACAATGCTGCCTCTGAGGTTGGAGGATTGGCTGCCGAACTGGTGGAGAAGGCTGGACAGGAACGCCTGGGACCATTCCTGCCACAACTTCTGCAGGCGGTTGCTAACCGATTGGCCACTGCGCAAGCCGCCGCTTTCATCCAGTCCCTCATCCTCGTCTTTGCGCGACTGTCCCTGGGCGGTGCGCAAGATGTCGTTGAATTCCTTAGCCAGATCCAGATCAATGGAGAGAGCGGCCTTCAGGTTGTTCTGGCCAAGTGGCTCGAAAACTCTGTTAACTTTGCCGGCTACGATGAGATTAGACAAAAGTTCGTCGAAGAAATCTACACACGAGACCACCTGATTTGAATAGAATGTAAAATTTGCTAACGTGCTGGTAGCGTCATTGCGTTGTCGAAGCTCTACTCACTCAACGACCCCCGAGTAGCACAAACCTCGGTCAAGGGTGATCTAATCGTCGGCGCAGACGATGGAATGATTAAGACCCGTTCTCGCGCCAAGAAGAGTATGTCAACAAGCATTTTCAGTATTCCCAGTACGGCCGCTATTATGGACCGACTGTACCACCAGTACATAAGTGAAGATCAAGAGACTAATAGAGCATCAACCAATAAAATAGACCCCGACAAGTACACCATCATCCCTGCCACTCTCAAGATCGTCAAGGTCTTGATTGAGGAGCTCCTGTCCGCCTCGGGCGCCCGAGCTGCTGCGAATGCCGCCTCTTCTGCTGTTGCTACTTCTGCAGAATTCGATGACGAAGACAACGACGAAGAGGGCTGGGAGGACGAAGACGATACGCTCGACCTCTCCCTGGGCGCAACAAAGGCCGAGCTCATGGCCTATGGAATGGATTCCAGCGCACGCCAGCGCGACGACGAGACTCAGCAGTACCTTACCGAATTCTTCATTCGCTGCGGCCGAGAGAACGTTGCCAACTTCCAGGAGTGGTACAACATGCTGACAGACGACGAGAAGGCGAAGCTGAACGAGGTGGCCAATGCTGCAGGCCAGTAGGTGGGCTGCACCATGTCCGAAACGTTTATACTTCAGCAGAGATGCGTGAAAGTGACTGTTCGGGAAAAAGCTATGCAGAGGAGGATGGATTAACGTTAATTGACTGCTATCCTGGATAGGAATGCCAAAAAGAAGAAAAAAAAATCGTATGCGGAGGAATCCTGTCTTTACAGTATAAATGAAGTGGGCGAGAGAGGCTTTAATCAAGAAGAAGAGGAAGCGAACGATGGAAAGAGAGAGAAGAAAAAACTAGCTAAAGATTACGATTGAAACGAAAGCATTGCGATGGTAGAGATGCTGTGGCGATAGATACCTTTGATAGTATAGAGAATAAGACATAACCCAGTTTGGGTCCACTGTTAATCTGGAATGAAAAGTGAGAATTGGAAAAGTCAGGTAGTTGATATTCTTGTTTTGCTTCATGTTCTTTCAACTCTGTTGAATGCCATACCAAACGTTAATAACATACTCGTACACTCAAACTCCAATCATTTCCATCATACACTTCGTAAAAATAAAAGGGGGATAAGAATCAGTTAGATAATATCACCTCCAAAGCCTCCACTATAGCCCCCAAATCCTCCCCCTCCCCCATTAAACCCCCCTCTGCCACCGCCTCGTCCTCCATGGCCGGGAAACCTCGGTCCGCCACTAGGATTCACTGGATCCCATCTCGCTCCTGGAGGAGCTTGCGGGTCGTAGCCAGATCCGTGCGGTCCATCTCCTCCCCAGCCGCCTTCGCCCGTGAATAGCGGATCGTCAAAGGTAGGGTGCATTCCCGAGAAGCCGCCTGGACGGGGGAGGCCTCCGCCTACGAATGAGCCTCGTAGCGGATCGTGAGGCCCAAGGCCGGGAGGGTTAAGGTCGTCGTGGCCGATGTTGCTCGGGGGCATCCTAAGCCCACCCATATAATGGCCAGGAGGGCTGAGAATTTGGTGTTCGTCCTCAAAACCAGGAGGCGGGAAGTCACCAGGCGGAGGTCGATAGTGAGCGTTATCAGGCAGCAGTCCAGGCTGCGGATGAGGCATATATGGCCGAGGCTGATTACCCGCGGGCCTGTAGGGAGCGCTGGGATCGCCCCGAGCCTCCTGTGCCCGCCTTTCATCTCTGGCGTTTGCTTCGGCTTCCTCGGTCTCGACATAGCCCTCCTTTTGAAGTCTCGGAATGAGCTTCTGCACGATCTGGACTCTTGTGTCGTTCAGGATGCGCTCGATGGCATAATTTGAAACAAAGAGCTTCTTCAGCTTCTCTGGGAGGCCACTCCTGTCTTCGTTTCCGTGGGCATCGAGGGCGATGCGCACGGGCAGGTTCCTGGACTGGACGATGTCCCGAACAGTGTATTCGAAGCGATGGATGTTCTCAGCGCCGACGGCGAGGCCGCGGATCTCGACTTTTGAGCCCATTCGATCGACACGCACGACAAAGGTCATGGAGGACTGCTTGTGCTTGTAGACGAATGACAGAGAGCCGAATCCATTGTTCCACTGAGGAGGCAGACGAGGGGCGAGAGAAGCGCATTCAGCTACATGGATTTTTGGATGAGTCTCGAGTGTATGATACGATGCTAGTGGGGTAAGTGAGAGCTTACGGATGAGCTTGTCTTCATCAAAGCCGCATAGTCTGAAGTCGAGAGAGGCGAGATATGCGTGGACAAGCAGGGCGATGGCCTCGTATGAAGAGGCGAGATCGGACGAGTCGTCGCCTTGGACATGTGAAGGCAGGGCATCTGCCATGGACTTGAGGACGGCAGCTGTGCTTAGAGGCGGAGGCGCTGTTGCATCAGCCATGGTTGATGAGTATGAGCAGAGGATATTAAGCGGTATATTGTTGAAAAAAAGAGAAGCTTGATAACGACGTCTCTCAATATGATAAAATCAGTGATGCGGTGCTGTTTGAGGCTGATAAACAAGCTGGGTATACAGGCTCAAGTGATGTTGTTAAAGTCAAAGTCGGGTTGAAAATGCGTCATTGCTGTTGCTGCCTCCGCAAGAGCTCTACATATAGCTGGAGCTCAGCCCTATGGGCGGGGCATCTCGAGCTTCAGTGGACTGACCAACTGTACGCTGGCTGAGGAATTAGCACTGTCGGTTGACGCCGATTAGTGAAGGAGGAGCTACCTGCCACCAGTCATCACATGACTTGGCGTTCCCCCATTAACGCGAAACACGACCAACACGTCTCCCAAGCCTTTCCTTTTCTTTCCTTTACTAAACACCACAACCGCAGCCATCACGGCACAATGTCAGCCTCGGTCTCGCCACCAGCGCATCGCCAGCGAGACCAACACCACAATCAGCCTCGTCCAGACCAAGCCTCTTCCTCAGGCCCTTCCCTCCCTCTTCTCGCCGCAGCGCCCCTGCTCTCCTCCTTCACCTCATTCCTCACCATCGCCATCCACTCGCTCCTCTACCACCGCAATCTCTACCCATCAGCATCCTTTCTCACCGCCCGCGCCTTCAATCTCCCCGTCCACCAATCCCGCCACCCCGCCGTCTGCGCCTGGATCAACGACGCCGTCTCCGCAATCTCAAACCAGCTCAACGCCGGCGCCGTCAAGCGCATCGTCTTCGTCGTCCACAGCGCCAGCAGCAGCAGCAAAGTCCGTGAGCGATGGGTCTTTGACGTGGAGCGCTTCCCAGCCTGGGGCCTCAAGAATGAAGCCGCCGCCGCCGCCGCAGCAGCAGACTCAGAAGCACCGACTTCTCATCAGCAGCCAGAAGACGAGGAAGACAACGACTCCGAAGAGGGAGAGGACGAAGAAGCCGCTGCCGAGGTGCAAGATGCGCTCAACTGGGCCGACATCCATGAAGCTCTCAGAGGAGCGTTGCAGAGACTGGCCTATGCGGCGCAGGGCGCTGAGAAGCTGCCAGAGGGATGCACATTCACACTTGCCCTGGAGTTGAGAGACGAGGCTGAAGCTCCCATAGGTGTAAGCAAAAATAACACGTAGCAGGAGAAGCGAGAAGAGAGCAATGCTCCTTCTGGCGAACGTAACAAAACCCAACTAACAACTTGATGATGACGCAGCATCCCCAGCCATGGATCCCCTCAGAGCCCAACCTCCAGCCCCCAACCAAGCAGAAGCCGTACCAGGGCGAATCTCTCAAGGGCACTGCTACGAAGCCAGTCCGTTCTGTGAGAGCTGATCCTCTGTTCTTCGAGTGCTGGATGGAGCAAGGCTCGCCTGAGCCAGAAGTCGTAAACTCCAACAGTACTGGCGGGATCGTAACGAGTACCTCGTCTGGAAGCATTCCCCAATCATAGTAATGACAATGAATAATTAATTAACAGAAGAGGTAAAAATGATTTAGACTTATCTACATAGCAGTATCTACGTGCCTGTTGGTGTCTGATGGGTTCCATGCTTAGTGTTGGTTCAGCTCCTCAATAGCCGAATCTTGTTCCTTTTTCCAACGCTTGTAAAGCTCCTAAACTTCTGATTTATTAGGCTTACATGGCTTCTCACCCTCAATTACTAGGTCGTCTCCCTCTGCTTTTTTGGCAGCTTCTGCAATTCTTTTAAGCGCCCAACGGTCCTTCGAAGGGAGTATACACGGGTCATTATTTTATTTTGATCTCTTCTAAAATATATGTTGGCGATGTACTCGACGGTAATGAAATCCGCACAGATTACTGCAGCCGTTAGGAGGAGGTTCTAATATTTCGTACCAGAAGGACCGATAACTGTCTTTGTTGTCTTCAGTCTCCCGAAATTTCCCGTACTCAGTTAGAAGCTTTTCCGTGCTCCACAAGCAATCTTACCATGTGCCAACTGTTCGGAGTCGATACTGCTGCGGTCAGTACATGTATGTTGCCGTAGTCTCGGTACGCCTTGAGCAATGCGCTTCGAACTCTCAATATTATAACTGCCTTTCCACCCCGGATGTGTAGGGCTTGAAACCAGCTCGACGGGCATTGCGCCATCCTGCATTGATACCCAATTCAATCAGGATCTTAAAGCCTTCTTGTGAATCTGGTATGGTGATTGGTAGAGGAGTATATAATGCTCGTGAGGCTGCATCATCAAAGAGGGGTTGAGCTTTGGCTCCCTCTCTTATCGAGACAGAACATGTCTAGAAGATAAAGGCAAAGATGATGTTAAGCATAACTGAAACTCCATCTATCACACGGGTCCATTGCCGGCGTGTTGAGTTGATTCTCGCGTAATATTAACAGGTATAAAAGTATTTGGAAAAAGAGGAAATATAACAGGAAGAAATTAATTAACATCTTTCATTCAAGCTTATTCCCTAATATCTACCCTTATCGAAAAAACAAAAGACGAAGAAGAAGCTGGCCCATTCTAAAAACACACAAATATCAAAATCCCTTTTCACAAGGGGCTATAAAAACAGCAAAAGAAAAAATTAATAAGAAGAAATAGGTACTCCCCAAGACTCCCATAAACCCACAAAGTTCTTGTTTTCAAAAACCACTCCCAGACCTCCCCTCCCTTCCCTTTCCAACCACCCCTTCCATTCTTTATTACAGAAATAATAGTTGTTCTTTTTCTGTGAAATTAGTTTATACAGCTTGTATATCCATCAATCAATCAATCCCATCATCCATCCATCCATCCGTCGTCCTGCGTCTATTACAAGAAAAATTTTGTAAGAGAAAAAAAAAAAAAAGTGTAAGGACGGAAAAATACAACATCAGAAGCAAAATAAAAAAGCCGACATTACCATGGCCATCCATCATCATAGAAGTAGAAAAAAAAAAAAAAACACCAAGAAGGAAGATCAAAAAGCCCCAACTTCCAAACAATTTAAAAAACAAGAAGCAGAAGAGAAATGTCACAATAAATTCTCCTTTCTTAGGAGCGCACCCCCTCTTTTCCTTCTTCTCACTCAGTCCCCTTCAGCGCCGCCCGCAGGCTAATCATCTCACGCTTCAACTTCGCATTCTCCTTCTTCATCCTCGCCAGCTCTTCTCCCTGGTTCTTCAGTTTAACAATGAGCTCCTCTTTGTCTTCTTTGCCCTTACCCTTTAGGGCCTTGACAATCTTCGCCAGCTCGGTATTGAACCGCTCATAAAGCAGCTCGTTCTCCGCTACAGCCTCTTTATGTAGCTGGTCAATGGAGCGCATCTTCGACTCGGTCGTCTTCAGCGTAATTTCCACATCTCGCTGCAGCTCGTCTTGCTTGTCCTGGAGGTCCTGCATCACCGCCGGCATTCGATCCTCCAGCGACGCCACAGATTGAGATAGCCGTTGCAAATTGACCGTCTGAGATTCGGACAAGGTACCGCTGTTTACTAGGGCCATTTCCTCACCAATCTTGACTAGCTCAGACTGTAGCATGGCATCCACCTCGCCCACAGCAGTCTTCTCAGTCTGCAACCTCTCTCGCAGCTTCTGAGGAGACTGCAGACGGAGCTTCTGTGCCGGAGTTCGGGTAGGGCTGCCCGCTTGTCGGCTTGGCGTTTCGCCGGACGAGCTTCCTGGTCGGATCGGCCTCGGCGGCAGCAGCGTTGGAATGTTAGACGTCGATAGAGTTTTGCTGTGTGTCGGCTTCGGCCTCCTATAAGGCGGTGGGTCCTGTCTGGTCGGAGATTCTCCCCGCATTGCCTGTTCTAACTTGGCCTGAATCTCCTTGATCGGTGACGCCGCTCTCATTCCCCGTATGCTGCCATATATATCTGTTGTCGCAAAGTTTTCCTTCTGTCGGGGTGACCGGAGGAGCTGTGACGAATTGGGACTGATGGGTATCTTTGAAGGAGGAGGCATCTTGGGACTAGCATTGAGCTTCTCCGACGTCTCCTTTGTGTTTTGAAGAGGCTGCAGCGCATTCTCCCTCTCCTCCGCCTCTGGATCTTCGTCGATGCTAGTCGTATCTATCAGTGACTTGAGATCGGACAGGGAGCTTCTCCTCTTATGATGCCTCCTGGGTGTTCCAGGCGTCGATGGTTCATAGGCAGGCTCTCCAATCGTATCGAGCGGAAACTCCATGCGATGGTTGCTGGGAGGTCTCGCAGGGTCCTCGAAGGCAGTAGCAACGTGGGGCCTATCTCCGGATCCCGGCCTCCCCAGCGTGAATCTCTTCTGGATGATGTTGTTGTCATCGATTGACCGTTGGCGCAGAGCTTGCTGCATCGTCGCCCTAGACATGCTCGCGCTCTCACCGGTGGCTGGATTTCGATGCTTGCCGAGACTCCGCCAGACAGAAGTGCGCTCCTCCTTGGAATTCGAGTTCTGCCGAATCAGCATGTCAAGGCCAAACTTGCGGCGCAGAGAAGATGTGTTGGATGTCACGGATCCCTGGTGAGATTTGTTGCCGCTCGCGACGCCGCCACTACTGCGCGTCTGGAACGACTCCATTAGCTGCAACTCGGCCAAACTAAAGCCGCCGTAGGTAGCCTCTCCAAATATCCTATCACAATCATCGACTAGGCGATCTAGTAAGTTGATATAGTTTGCTGCTGTGCCGTCGGTAACTAGCATCTCAGCAAACGCCAACGTCAGTGCACCGCGATCGCTATCATTGCTGCAACCATCCAGCAGATCGGCCAGCAGCTTAATCAGTGCGGTAAATGCCCTTCGATTCTGCGGGGCCAGCTCCTTGAATAAAAAGTTGACAAAGTCGGCAAACTCGCCCGGGACACGCTTGTTGGCTCGCTCCTGCAGAGTATCGAGCATCTTGATGGTCGTCACAGGTCCTATCTGTTCAGTCCAGGCAATGTGGAGGAAGTTCTCAAATGCCGTAAAGACAACTTCGGTTCCCACGTCGTTGGCCACTTCCACCTCTTGGGGATTCTCGATGAGCCTATTGTATAAGTCGTTGACGAGCAATTCGTCAGCTGAAGCGCGGTGTAACAAAGTCCTGCCGTGGATGGAGCCCTTGCGGTATTGAAGAGCCGTGGTGAAGGCCTCAAACGTCTGCTCTAGTCGAACAAGAGGATTTTCCGGCATCACTTCTTCCACTGCTTGCCTGCTATTAGTGCTGTTCTTGCCTCTGATGGAGCCATACATGGAGTGATGGCTGTCAGCTCGCTGGATAGAGGCTTGGTGTGGATGTTTTGCCTCTGAAAGAGTAGTCTCGGAGGCGTTGTTGGAGCCGCTCCACAGGCTGGTGAACAGTTTGACAGGAGATGCTGCCAGGAAGGATCGTGTCTTTTCAGCGCGGTTGGATAGACATAGGGTCCGCAGCATCTTGGAGTGGTAGGAGACCATGGGGGCAGTGAGGGCCCGGTTAGAGACATTGAACTGGACGCTCAATAGCTGCATGACTGAAGGTATGGGTTAGACTGAATGAACCAAAAGAAAGAAAGAAAGAAAGAAAGAAAGAAAGAAAAAGACGAAGAAAAAGAAAAGCAAAGAAAAAGAGGGGGGGGGAAGGATGGAAAGAAGCTTACTTCGCCTTGACATGGTGGGAAGGAAATCTTCTATAGCCACATCGTCCTGGTACTGCTTCCCATTCAGTCCCACCGTGAGCAGAGAAATCTTCTTCATATTCTTGCTCGTCACGTTAATCACAATCTCGATGCCGTAATGTCCGACTGGAGCACCCTTGGTCCCCTTCTCATGGTCGACCACCACCCGGATAGGGGCCGGTTCGCGTCGGCCTTCGATGAGCTGGTCGGCGCCCTCTTGGAATATCGCAGCGTGCAGGCCCAGGTTGTTCTCTGGCATTCGCACTGATCGCAGGGTCCAGCGGGGATCTTCTCTCTCTGCCTCGGGGAACCGTGCCTCGATCCTGGCTTTGACGACATCTTCGCTCCACTTTGCAGCTTTGCCCTCAAAGGCCTCTTGCAGCAGGAAGCATCGTGAGGTGATGGCTTTGGGAACTTTGTGCTCGCCGGGGTGCATGCCCTTCATCTCCGCGCTAGACGTCATCCAGATGAGGTGGCCATCGGCTGATTCCGTAAAACGAACATCTGCGAGATGATGCCAGCCCGTGAAGATGAACTCGTAATGGCTAGGACCGCCGGCAGCATTCGTCATGGAAATGAGCAGCTCTGCCGCCGAGGGCTTGTCGATCTCGCGGAGCAAATCTCGCCCCGTCATGTTGTTGTCGCCAGATTTTCTTAGCATGACGATGTAGTCGGAGAATAAGAGGAAAATGCCAGCATCGTCGGAGTCGACGGTGGCCTGGTACGGCGGTGAGAGTTCTAAAAAGTCAGCAGCTAGGATGAGGCGGCCCTGGGGCTCAAGATCTGCGGGCCACGCCTCAACCATATTTCGAAGGCGGTTAGCGATATGAGGTTTGTCTGGCAGGGGGTCATCCATGGAGCAGATGTTGGTGATGATGTCTCGCGCCTTGAGCATGGGCTGCAGCGCCGGGTGTGTGATGGGTAATGAGGCGATGATTTGGTCAATGAGCAGGCTGTATCGCGGCAGTCTCTGGACAGGCTCAATCAGAAGCGAGCGAATCGTCTGCTCTCCCGCCTTGCTCACTCGCTGTCGGAAACTCGACTGCTGGTCCAGGAACGAATTCAGCAGCGTCGGAAAGTGCTGACTCGCCTTGATGTAGTCTTGGTAGCACTGGGTAAATTTGGGGAACCATTCAAGGAACAGCTTGGCCATGGCTAACGCGCCAAGCGGATCCTTCTTGGGAGCAGCATTATTGCCTGCCCTCGTCGACGAGGACAGATTCATCGTCGGTGACTCCATGTCTTTCACGGCATCCTCCTCGGTTTCGTTCATTATCTTGCGCAACTCCTCGACAAAGGCTGAGTTTACGTGCAGGATGCCGTCTGACGATTTAGGGAATAGCTTTTCCAGCTCTTCTTCGGATGGACTCAGACTCTCGACCGATCGCTTCTTGGCGTTATTTCGGAAGTCGTTGGCCACGGTCTTGACGAGCTCCTGCACCTTGAGCACGTAGCGCTCCTCGGTGTCGACGAGCTCGCTCATCTTCATGCGCAGCTCCATCTTTTGGTCCTTTGTGAAGGTCTTGTTGCGATTCAGCGGCGTGGGTTTTGAGGGCGCCCGGCGCAGCTTGCTGGTGGGCAGGAAGACGGGCTCGCCAAACAGCTTGACCAGCGGTGTGTAGTTGCCGTATTGGCGCAGAGTCGGGTCGATGATGTCGTCCTCGTCGTCGGGCATCTCCTCGAGCTCGGAAGACTGGGGCGGCACAATGGAGCCGGGCGGCAGGATGAAGTCGATGTCGACGTTGTTGACGTGCTGGGTCTGCAGAGCCTCATCCAGCGTGGCCACGACGTCGGCGGTGTTTTCGCTGCGGACCATCTCCTTGACCAGGTCGGCGGCATGCTGCTCGCTGAAGAGCGCGGGCGCACTGCTGGGCCGCTTCCCCTTGGGCGGGTACGTCGCCTTGAGATGTGACTTGACATTCTCGGGCAGCTCCTTGAAGTAGCGGAACAGGCCAAAGGCCAGGCCGCGGTAGACCTCGTCGCCCTGGAACTCGCGCGGCAGGTGGTTGACGACGCTGTAGAAGGGCGAGCTGGGCGAGATGGTGATGCGCGGGAAGCTCTGGAAGCCGGCGGGCGTGAAGACGTGGACCTGGACGCGCGAGCTGTTGAGCGTGTAGTTGGCCGTGGTCGAGGGCCCGTGGAAGATGAGGACGGGCAGCTGGCCCAGCAGCGGGTCGGCGGCGTGGTAGAGGACGATGTGCTCGGGCGAGAGCGCCAGCTCGTCCGTGACACGCACCATCGTGGGCTTTGGAGGCGGACCTGTGGTCTCAATGGCCAGCGGCGCTCATAGCCCGGCGAGCTGCGTGCGGGTGGTGATGCCGGCTGGTGCGGTGGGCGTGAGGGCGTGTTTCGTGGTCTCGCGGCGGTTGAGCGTGTTTCTTTCTGAGTCCAGGGATGTCTGTCGGCGGGCGTTGCCCTTGCAGCGTCGTGATGGATGGCGAAGGGGCCGGCCTCGTCTCCCTGTGGCTGTCTCGTCTGTCGCAGCTGTTCGGAGTCGTCAGGCCGGATCTGGTCAGCAGCCCGTTCGTGTCTTTGTCTTTGTCGCTGTCGTTGTTTGTTCCGCAAAGGGCAATCGAGAAAAGAGCGTGTGTGGCGTGTGATGCGGGATGGAGAAGAAATGCGGGATTGGCGATCTGTGTTCAGAAACAGAAAAGAGTCAAGCCTTGCTTTCTGCTTTCTGCTCTGCTGCTCTGCTCTCTGCGGCCAACTTGCATGGGAGGGGTGAGGGAGAGCAGGCCGAGGTGGGCCCCTGCGCAGGCTATATTTCTTTAGGTCCCGTCAGAAAGTAAACAGAGGCTTTTTTGGGGGGCGCTTGTGGCTTGAGCGCTTCTTCATTAAAGAGTTAAAAAGAGCCAACTAACGGCTACGTTCTTAGCAACGAAGAGAAACAAGAACAAAAAATTGTCAGAGCAATTAGCGGTATGTTCAGAATTTAGCTGCAAAGCTTAGTTCCCGCGCCCTAACAACGATCTGGTTGCCGTGGGAATGTGTCGAGCTTGTTGAGTTTTGAGTTTTGTGTACAGCATCAACTGTGTATGGTGGCTTTTGTTTCGTGATGCTTTTCCACACGGCTTCGGTGATCCCTGCGGCCGCAATGGGGCTCAAACGAGGACAAGAAACAAAATTGAGAGTGACAAGAAGGGAAAAGCCGGAATCTTACAAAGCCTTCATTAAACTACCTCTAGTATCCAGATAGCAGCACTACTTGTACTACGTAGCTAGTTGCTACGGCCCTATGCACGACACTTGCAATATCGAAACTGCTTGAGTCCGGCACGATGAGATGAGGTGAGGTGAGGCGAGGCGACCACAGGCGCGGCTCGAAAATAGATACCGCTCTCGGGCTGCTCGTTGCTCGACACACGCCCGTCCCCAATCTCCAATCCCCATCTTTTGCTCCAGCAAACACGAACAAGCCCAGCTGAAAGACTGATTTGCCTAAGAAGGGGGAGGGTCCCCTGAGGATTCCGGCGCCAGGGGCCCCAGCTGTTTTATAATGAAGGCAAGCTGCTTGTGAAACGTCCAGGGCCCCCCCTTGGTCCCCTAAAGACCCCGCTGGAAACAACCAGTTGACAGCGGGCAAGCGCTGGAATGAGGGGCGGCACAGCAAGTGCACTGAAGCTATTGATATTGGAGCTATTGGTCGATGCACTCACAAGCTCTGATGGAGCTGCTTAGCGCCTCGTAGTACCCGTTCTGGGTAATGAAAGCCCACTGTAGCTTGCTGACTCGCAGCCTGGGCCTAAGATTTGAACCCCGCAGTTGGCGCCCTTTTCTCTGGCTCTCCTCCATTCTCTCATGAGCTCAAAATAACCTGAACTGCCCCCAATTTAGCACGGAGTTAGGTGCCTCTACTGCATTAGTAGGTCCGTACTCGCCATGACGTACTAACCTGCTTTGAGCTATCGATAATTTTCCTGATCCAGCTCCAGCCTCATCTCCAGCCTCATCTCATCCACTCAACCTCATCTCACTCACAGCTTCTTTCACATGCCTCCGCATCTCCACCCTGAGCCTCATCTCATCGCCCTCAATTGATCTGCGCAAGGCAATTGCGAAATCACCTCATCACAGCCAAAAGCTACGACCATCACAACTCTAGAACATTTTCTCATTCTTCATCTCACATCAATCTCTACCGCCATTAGATAAACTTCCCGGCTGCTCATCTAGTCTTGTTCATCCGTAATCATAAATCAACCCCAAAATCATTAAGCCTCAAAGGATCCATAAACATAAACACGCAATGTCCAGCGCCGACATCAAAATCCCCCTGCGCCACAAGCCAGACGACGTCGGCTACCGCCTCATCGAACTGCCCCCCGAACTTCAGTCTCTCCTCGAATCCGATAATCCTCCAGTGTTTGTCTCTCCCCATTGTCTATTTTCCCAGTCGTCTTGAACCTGCTGTAGCTCACACATAACTTTTTCATCGTTTACCTTTGCTTCAGCCTCACCCTAGAATCTTCCGAAACCTCAGCCCTCCTCAAGTCTCCCGACAGAACCTACTCTCTCCGCCAGAAAAACACGTCAAACTCCGTCATCCTGCTCTCTCCCTTGGCCTCATCTACGTCTTCAAATCAGGGTATAGCCGCTATTTCTACGATCCACGAGACTGTCGAGCTTGAGCTTGTGCCTGAACATGCCGCTGCTGCAAGCGGACAGCTTAAGAACACTGGGAGCAGGGGCAAATGGCACGAAATGTTTGGAAAGGGACGATAGTTGCGAATGTTAAATATATTCACCATAGCGACTATTCTAAAAATACAGTAAAAATTCAATCCAGATACGCCCTATTCCAAAATCCAAATGCGCCCCATTCCAAATACAATATATCCATCAGCCCTGGCGCCAAGCCATTCACTTCACCCAGAGCCTCCAATTTAGGCATTTTGGTTCGTAACCTGCCCCCACAAAGCCAACACAGAGTCGATAGCTTCAGCCACTGGTGAGAAGCCCAGCATTTCGGGCATATTTGGCAATAAATGCATGCCCGGCACTCGTCTCGGAGGGACTGGTGGGGGCTGCTCTGTGGAGGTCATTGCCAATTTTTGTGCTGGGGTTGGGTAGAGGAGTGGCCAAAATTGTTGTTGCTGCTGCAACTGCTGTTGTTGTTGTTGCTGCTGCTGCTGCTGCGGTTGCTGTTGTTGCTCTTGCTGTTGTTGTAGCAGCTGTGGTACGAGTAGTTGTCGTAGCTGTACGTGTGACTGTTGATATTGGTGTAGCAGCTGTGGTATTTGATGTTGCTGCAGCATCTGTGGCTGTTGTTCCTTCAGCCGCAACCGTAGTTCTTCTTGTTGTTGTTGCAGCAGCTGTACTTGTAGTAGTTGTAGTTCTTGTTGATATTGCTGCTGCAGTGGTTGCTGCTGCTGCTGCACCAGTTGTTGTTGATGTTGCTGCTGCTGCTGCACTTGTTGTTGATGTTGCTGCTGCTGCACTTGTTGTTGTTGCTGCATTTGTTGCTGCTGCTGCAGTGATTGTTGTTGCTGCACTTGTTGTTGTTGCTGCACTTGCTGT